AGATAAGATTTTAAGTTCAAGTTTTAACATTTTTATAGTTTATGTGAGTTTAATATATTATCGTCATTCTCAATAAAAAAAGGTCCTTAAAAAAAAAGAGTGAATTAGCTATAAAGGGAAAGAAATTTGAAATGAACTATATGAATAAAGTCAGAGTGTACCGTCTCAACACAAAGAAGAGGTAACAAGAGGTAACTCGCATTTAAAAGAAAATGAATAAAATGGGTTGGGCTGCAAGCAATGAAACTTCATGGAAAATGGCTTCTTGAATTGTTTTACAATCATCTTCATCCATTATAAGATGAAAAATTCGGTCCAATATTTGGGACCCCCCATAGAAAAAACAAAACAAAAATATTGTAAGTCAAGTCACCTATTTGATCGTCTAAACCCTATTACATGAGCTTGTTCACTACATGTTTCGAGCCAGCACCTACCAAATTCAAATCATAAACAAGCACAGTGTATATGACTTGGCCCAAATTGTATGGTGTGGTGTGGTGATGGTGCTCCTGTTGAGAGCTGGGTGGTATAATTCATTGAGCAAGTGACTATAGTCAACTACTAACACAAATATTGAATATATTTAAATGGATGATGCCATAAACAAAATGGATTGCCGTAGGTGTTATGTGTCACTAGAACTGTACAATATCTTAGTTGGTAGAAATATAAACAAAATTTTGCGTGACGAGATCATATAAAAAATACATGATTTTAAAAAAAATGAAAATTGTTTATCTAGAATTTTCTAATCACATCAACGATAATTATTGACAGAATTAAACTGAGAGTTTGTTGAGAGCAGTACTTGTTTTGGGAGGTGAATACAATCCTCACGTAAAAAATTAGGTAATGGGCATGCAAGGCAGGGGACATGAGCCATTATCGGATAGTGGCCACCATTATTGTTCCTCCATTCACATCCATTCCTCTATAACGTTACTATCATTTATAATTATCCTATTCTTATCAACAAATTCTTCTTAATCATTAATAATTATCTAGCTTAACCTAAAATTTACGAACTCCAAACCCGAAACTGCAATTTCTCTCAGACGCAGACCAAGCCACTCAAGGAGAACATCCGGAACAACCTCTCTCTGGTTTGGTCTGCTCTCTGCAGGGTCTAGTCTCTTTTAATTTTTAAAAAATAAAAATAAAAATAATGGCATGGCCGCCATTGCTTAGTTGGATCCTATCTTCTTCTTCGTCTTCCTCTTCTTCTTCTTCCTCAGAGTATGAATCCGACGACAACAACGACATTGAAGATTTGGGAGGAATTAATGATGTCCCCGACAACGTCCCAAAATCACAAAATGACAATATTGATGATCATGAAAACGACGACGTCTCATACGAACCGCAGGAGGAGGATCAAAACTCCAACTCCACCTCCGACTACACCTTCACAGTCTCCGAACCCAGTGCAAAACGACGACGCATTGATCGCACATACGAGCCAGCATTGACGTCGGAAGCACCCGAGGAAAACAAGAAACGGCGTCGTAAAAGGGTGTGGAGCAAGGAGGACGAGCTGGAGTTGTTGCGGAGTTTGCTCGACGACTACTACAGCAGGGGACAAATTAGAACCACCGTGAAGGACACGGCGTCGTTTTACGAAGAAGTTAAGCCCAAGTTAAAGCTGGAATGTAACAGGGTCCAAATGGTCGAGAAGCTGAGGAGATTGAAGAAGAAGTACCACAACGTCGTAAACAAAATGAACGGCATGAACTCGACTGGCAAAGAGTTCCGCTTCAAAAACCCGCACGACAAGGTCGTTTTTGAACTTTCCAACAAGATTTGGAACGTCGTAGATTCGCATGAAGATTATGAGCCAAATTCTAAGTACGTTAGTGTTTGCAACAATGTTAAGGTGAAAAAGGAGGAGGACAACGTGGGTAGCAGCAGCGTTGCAGATCATGAACGGCCACAGATGAGACACGCGTGGTCGCATTCTAGGCTAACAACAACGTATGATGAGAACAATAAGGCTCATGATGTTTTGAATGATAATGGAACGACGTCGTCGTTCGATATTAATAATAATAACAATAATGTGGATGATAATATGAAGAATGATATACCAGGGTTGATAATTGAGGGGGTGGCTATGAATCCATTACCTCTGAGTTTAAGTAAATTTGGAAGTGGGGTTGAGGTGGCGCATGAGAAGTGGAGGAAGCAGCAGATTTTGGAGCTGGAGGCATACTCTAAAAGGTTGGATTTGGTGCAGCATCAGGTTAAGGCAGCTTTGGATGAATTGCGGTCCAAGGGAACTGAGTAAAAATTGTTTTCAATTCATATAGTTTGTAAAATTCTTTTGGGTTGAATAGGATAGATAAATTTGCTCTTCTTTATTTGATAGAGTAATTGTTAAACTAAATAACAATTCCTAGAATAATTTAGACATGCATTAATTTTGTGATTTATTCAACTGTCTAAACAATTCGAACACAAAACCTTAAGTGTAGGTATAAATGCTCTTAACCAATTGAGTTTCAAGTTCCTTTCTCAGTCAATGGCAAGGACGTTTCTACGTCAAGCTACCCAACCCAAATTTTTCCTTAAAATTTATTGAATGGGCAGCTTCTCTCCTCTTGTCTTGTCTACAGCAACTTCTCCTCCTCTCTATAACAACTTCTCCTCTACTTCTCTTGACATATAGACATCAACTTCTCCTCTTGCTAGCAACAATTATAATTTATTCTTCTCATTCTCTCCTTTTTAATTTTCTTATGTATCTTTATGTTGAAATTGAGTATTCTAAGAATGAATTAAAATTTAGGGATTTTGTTACAATTAATTAGGGCTTTGATTTTAGGAATTTTGTTGAAATGTTTGATTTGTTGTTGGTATTGTTGAAATGTTTGATTTATCTTCTTGACAAAATATTCCTGAATCTCCCATTGTTGAGCCTCAAGTTGAAAGAGTTGAGAATCAAAGAGTCGATGATGATCAAGATTTTAATATTAATTATTTAAGTGTGATCCTAGATTACATTGTCTAGTTTTAGTTTTGGTATTTGTTAAACTTTTATTTATTGATAGGCATGCATTTGAGGGTAAAGATCATTACGTCCCTCTGACTATGTGTATCTTTATATGTTTATTAACGAAATCCACTCATACCATTGAGTTTAGTTTGTAAGTTTTGCCCAGTCAACTTTCAAATTTTGGAATCTCGGTAGTGAAAACTTTATTGTTACTTTATTGTTTTGTTGGGTTTTGGGTATTTGAGTGTTTGGGTTTTTAGGTAGTTGGACTGAAACCCAAAACCCAGCCCATTTTCTTGAATCCACTTACAATCGCACACCTTCCCCACCTTATCCAACTCCCTGTTTCAAAGCAAGCATATGCCCTTCAATGGATCCCTTTCCTTTGTGAGCTTTCTCCTCCACCCAGATGCACACGCATAACTTGAAAAACAACAACTTTCCCATTAAACCATTTTCTCTGTACACTTTGTGCTTCTTTGAATAACAAAGAGGCACTAAGTCACATCCATCTCCACTATCAACATTCATGGCTTGTGCAACAACAAGACCCACCTTCTCTTTCCACCTCTCAACCTCTTTTTCTCAACATTCTCATCCAAAACCCAAAACCCAATTCACAAACCCAACTCTCCTTCCCAAGATCCCAAGCATTTCACTCTCACTTACACACAAGCCCCATAAACCAAACAATTTGACTACAAACTCCATTGATGTCTCTAAAGAAGATAAACCAACATCAGATGAGCCTGCTTCTCCTCCTCCCACCTCCTATATAGAGCCAGAGCCAGAACAAGAAGCAGCAGCAGAAACAACATTTGATAAGCGTAGGCTTGAAGAGAAGTTTGCAGTTTTGAATACAGGGATATATGAATGCAGGTCTTGTGGGTACAAATATGATGAGGCAGTGGGAGACCCATCATATCCAATCCCACCAGGATTGCAATTTGATAAGTTACCTGAGGATTGGAGGTGCCCAACATGTGGGGCTGCACAGAGCTTCTTTGTGAGTAAGAGTGTGGAAATAGCTGGGTTTGCTCAGAACCAGCAGTTTGGGCTTGGTGTAAATGCACTCACTTCTGGCCAGAAGGCTGTGCTCATATTTGGGGGCTTGTTCCTTTTCTTTGTGCTTTTCTTGTCTGGCTATTTTCTGCAATGATGAATGGGAGGGAGGTATGATATGAGCCCTTTTTCTTTCATATGTGAAAATATAATAATTTAAGTCACTTGAGTAACCAGAGAGGTATAGTATCTTTTGTTTCTGAGGAGGTTTGTGTGTTGAATTGTAGCATAGGTTCCATCCCATGGACATAGCATTTCAAACGTTGTGATGTGAAAAGAACCTCTTCTACAGTTGTATAATAATGTCAAAGCTTTAGACTTCTTGGGGTAAACATATTGTTCTTCAGTGTCTTGGTACTTATGAAAATGCAGTGAGTTTTGAACAATCAACTAATCTCATTCCATTTTATTTGTACAATGCCCAAAACAGGGTTGTTAATTTGATATAGCTTTGTCATCATTTCCTATTACTTTCAAATGGCCATATCTCGTACACATCGCATAAGTAATCTTTTGAGAAAGTAAAGAAAACGATAACAAAAATACACGAGCAAAGCACCAAATCCCCTTCCATTTAACTAACCCTGTTGAGATTCTGGAAAATAAATAAATAAAAAGAAAACCCTGTTGTGATATCATATCATAATTTAAAATAAACATCCAGGTACAAAAAGAAAACACTAACAGATACAGCGAACATTCCTGAAGGGAAAAGAAACAAATTCCTTTTGGATGACATAATCCCCTACATCCTAATGATACATATCAACCCTATTTCTGATTGGGTAAGCGCCTTCTCAAATTCTTCCTATGAAACTATAACAACAGAACGCAACTATGTACGCATATATTACAAACTACCCAACAAATAGTTAATGATATGTGCACCGCCATGGCCAGTTAGTACAATCTGTTGAGAGTTTCTGCAGAAATCTCATCCGTATTAATGTAACAAACCATCCTTCTGTGGTTCCCGTGCTACTGGCTGCGCAAATCGGGCAAGCCGAATCACTTTAGCATCGAACCACAGTGTCAACCTCTTGTTGCCATGTGCTACATATACACTCGTGAAGCTAGTCTTAGTGCCCTCCCCTCGGCCACAAGGTAAGATAAGTTTAGTATTCTGTGTGGGGGGCACCTCTTACAAAGAACCAGGCGACATCACACAAATCCAGATGAATCACTCCCAGTCTGGTCTCTAGCATCCGACATATCCTGGGGAGCACGAGTCTTAACCTGATACACCTTCTTGACTGGCGGCTGCTCATATGCTCCACCAAATCCAGTTTCCTGTTGCCTATTATATAACCCACCGTTTGCAGTTGATTCTTTGTTAATCCACTTGGGAGGCGGCGAAGGAAGAGCATCCTGCGCAAACTGGTGTTGTGGGTTTGTGGAGTACCCTGAATTTGGCATCCAAAAAAAAAATTTTTTTGGGGGGGTCCCCAAAAAAAAAAAAAAAAAAAAAAAAAAAAAAAAAAAAAAAAAAAAAAAAAAAAAAAAAAAAAAAAAAAAAAAAAAAAAAAAAAAAAAAAAAAAAAAAAAAAAAAAAAAAAAAAAAAAAAAAAAAAAAAAAAAAAAAAAAAAAAAAAAAAAAAAAAAAAAAAAAAAAAAAAAAAAAAAAAAAAAAAAAAAAAAAAAAAAAAAAAAAAAAAAAAAAAAAAAAAAAAAAAAAAAAAAAAAAAAAAAAAAAAAAAAAAAAAAAAAAAAAAAAAAAAAAAAAAAAAAAAAAAAAAAAAAAAAAAAAAAAAAAAAAAAAAAAAAAAAAAAAAAAAAAAAAAAAAAAAAAAAAAAAAAAATAATATGTGCATAACTAAAAATACTCAATATGAGCACAAATTTAAAAGCAACATTTATTATAACATACCACATCCAATGCACATGAAATGCCATACTCTTCTAAAGCAGATTTTAGCACCGGCCAAGCTTCTTGTAAATCTTTTGCTGTGAAAAGACAACGCCAAGACTCATAGGTAAGAAAGCTTTGTTCTTTTACATAATTATCATAGTAATAATCATATTTTAGAAATCTCATGGATGGAATAACTTAATTATGGTGGAAAATTAAACAGAAAATAGGACACAAAGTTGAAGTAGTTTAATTTCATACATAACAGCCTTGACAATTTTAGAGTCGGTTGTTTTAAAGTGATCAATGATTTCTTCTAATTATTTGGCTCTTCTAGAGTCTTCTATCTTGCTCACAGCCAACCCCCCACCCCAAGTAGCGGCGGCTGCTTCTTCTTCTCTGCGGCCTCACTCTGGAATTTTTTTATATAAAAAAGAAAAAAAAAATATCTTGGTTTTTGTCTGATCTAGGGTTGTAAATCAGCATAATTATTAACTTAGAATTTAATCAGGGTTTTAGATTTACTTTCATTTAGCGATTAAAACTAGGCTACGAATTTCATCCATCAATCTCATAATCATTACTGGAACAAAATAAGAAACGAAATTTTATTTGCAGTAAATTGATGAGAAGGGCAACAAAAAGGAAGAATAAGAATAAGATAGAAAGATACTCGTGCGTAGGTGCATACGGAGAACGCTCAAATCATATGGGTCATCAGACCTGGCGACCTTCATGTTGTGGGCGATTATCTCCTCCATGTTGACCTTGTTTGTCATCGTAGCCAATTGTTTGGATACTTGTTCAATCCCTAGCCTACGCAAAGACAGAGAGAATGTTTGGGTAGTAGTTGAAAGCCTAGGCACTGACAGGGCAGAGAGAAAGAGAATGTTACCCTAGGCACAGACACAGAGAAAGAGAATGAGTTTTTGTTAACGCCGTGAAAACTAATAACGTTTTTTTTGGTGGGGTATTTATACGAGGGAGACGTATTTATATGGGAAAGGCTGAATGCGAGAGAAAATTATTTGCTGGGGAAGTCCACATAGGCCAATGGGTTTTGGTGGGGTTTGGATTCCGAATAGGTCTCTGTGATCAAGTAAATCACTATCTATTTCTTCTTTTTCCTTTATTGTTTTGGGATAATAGCTCCTGACTTAATTACCCTTTTTGATATATCCCAGTTTGTTTTGGGATATAGTAGCTCCTGACTTGCCCTTTTTTATTATATCCCAGTTTGTTATTGAAAAGGTACCATCGTATGCTGCTTTTGTATTCTAACACAGGCCTTTTGGTACCGAAAATCTTGTAATTTTCGTTTGAATTTGTTGTTGAGAATTACTAATAAGAGAGAATTGACGGCCATATTATAGTAAACTTACTTTTATATGAAAAAGGGAACAAAAATAGAAGTCCCATTGATGATTTTGGATGTGATTTTAGGGTTATTGTGCTCTTCTTTTTCTTTCCCTTTTATAGCACCAAGTTCATTAGGGCTTTTTCTGTACAAGATGTGGAGTTGTCCTGCATAAGCATACATTTAACGTTCATTATTTCTTTTTTCCTGTTACCGAATTAGGATGTTAGAAGGAAAGAAGTTTGCCTAGTTGATCAGTTCATGGGTATGACCTGCATTTAGGCATTCATTTAACATTCATTGATATTCATTCTTTCCTGCTATCAAATCAGGATGTTGGCAGGAAGGACGTTTTCCCAGTTGATCGGGTGATAGAAAGCAACATGGCCCAGTCTCCGTCTATGCTAGACTGTGCTACCTGTATATCAAATGGGAAAATTGATAAACATGGTGAAATTTTTTCTAACAATGATGATGAGATAGGATGCCAAAATATGAAATCTGATGTGCTTGAAGATTTGGAAACCTCTAATAATGTCGACCAAGAAAGCATAACGAGTAATGGTTCTTCTCCGGTGCCTAATTCTAGTGAATCAAGAGGCTCCAAGCGTCTGAATGAGGATGAGGAACTAAACCTTGATAATAAGAGGGGTCGAACCGTTATAATAGATAGCGATGATGATGCTCCACTGAAAGATATTTCAGACTGCAATTTGATAAAATCTGAGGACCAGTCCAATGTGGATGCGAGTATGTGCATATCTGCCCCTGGTGGTCTTCCTTCACATAGTCTGAATAAGGTCTACTGCACTGCTTGTAATAAACTTGCTGTCGAAGTGCGCTCACATCCACTTCTGAAGGTGATTATTTGTACAGATTGCAGATGCTTATTGGACGAAAAGATGCATGTGAAGGTATGGGCATGAGTAACTTTTATGCATGTGAAGGTGCTGATGCACAATTCCAATATAGATACATCAAGTCCAACCTGAGTAACAGATGACAATTCAGGCAGAAATCGAAGTCCAATGTTCTGATGTCTTCCCCGACTTGGCAGTTTCTTTAATTTGCCGTATAATAAATAGTTGTCCCTGAACTCGTTTGTTTTAATTTTCAAACACGTGGTTTTGGCTAAACTTACCAGTTTTATTGTGGGGAATGATAAAGTCCTCACCTGTCTGAGGCGGGGAAAAGAACTTATTTGGGAGATATTCCTTACTCAAATTCACAATCACTTGGTCAAAACTTGGGGCGCAAGTTATTACATTTTACAGTCTGTTAGGGGTTTCTAACTGCATGCTCAAACATAAAAGAAAGTTGACTCGTTGACCACAAATGGTTTTCAAGTCAATGGAGAACTTTTACCCTACCATCATAGACACTACATCAAAACGGGTAAACATATATATTTTGCACTACTCCAAGGAAAAGAGGATGATGATGACCATGAGGATACTGGAACTTAGGTGACCATAAAAAAAATATTTATTTCGGAAAAAAAATCTTTTGGTTTTTTTTTACTTGGCATGCATAAATTATAACTTAATCTATCTCTCAAATAAATTATTATAACTTAATATTCTATTTCACACATAAATTATAAGTTAAAAAGTAACACTTTGATTCCATACACCCTAAACTCAATTGAAGGGGAATATATATAATCAAATTAGCTTATTTGAGGGACACCCTTATAGGGCCTACACTGTATTGTATTTTACTAATTCAAACAATCTATTTTGTAGATATTCATTTAAAGATTATCTCTATAAAAAATCACTTGAATCCGATATCATTTGACCACTCAATTAAATTATTGAAATTTTAGTACTTTCTTAAAGTACCGTGTTCATTAATTTTGTAGGACACAATTAGATGTCTAAACGGTTTCCAATTTGTCTAATTTTTTGCAAGGACGATCTATGAATGAAGACCTAAAAATTAGATGGTTTGGATCGTAGAAAAAAGTTTTGTAGGGTACCCTAAATAGTGTCCCTCAAATAAAATTATTTTGCCTATATATACTTAAGCACTGATGAGGTTAAACGGCATTATTTATTTTGCGGTACTCCAATTAAAAGATAAAGAAGATGATGCTGCCGACCATGAGGATACGTACTGGAACTTAGGCGATCATAGAAAATAAAATACTTATTTCAGAAAGACAATCTTCTAGTTTATTTCTTATTACTTAGAATGTAAATAAAACTCATATCTAGCTAGATCTATCTTTTGCATGCATAAATTATTATAACCTAATATTCCATCTCTCGTCTCTCGCATAGATTATAAGTTAAAGGTAACAATTTGATCCCAAAACACGAGCTGTCGACCAAAAGGAAGTGAATCGGTTCAGCGCTGAGGCCGCGGCCGTAGCCGTCCCTTATAATCCGTTGGATGTGATGAGCCTTGAATAGATGGTGAGGAGTCGGACTCTACATAGTCAGGATCATCTTTAGTTTCTTCATCAGAAGCTGATGTTGGTGGTGTAGCTGGTGCAGCCCTCTTAGAAACGGCACTACGTCTCATCACGGAAAAGGGGCTTGTACTTCCCCACCCTGCCACCGTCGCCGCAGATGTCCGTGGGAGGGCTGACGTGGATGGCGGCAGAGGTGGTGCATCTTTGATTTCATTGATCGGGGGCTTCCTCCTACTAGCTTTCGTTCTCGCCTTTTTGAGGATGGCTGCAGGTGTTGGCTGTGCTGCAGAAGCCGAAGCTGTGGCGGTGGCCGCCTGCAATGGTACTTCTAACTCTAACAGCTGGATGCGTGGGTCGGATTCAATCCCTTCAATTCTCTCAAGAGTCGTTCCCGCCTTTTTGAGGATGGCTGCAGGTGTTGGCTGTGCTGGCTGTGCTGGCTGTGCTGCCGAAGCCGAAGCTGTGGCGGTGGCCGCCTTCAATGGTACTTCTAACTCTAACAGCTGGATGCGTGGGTTGGATTCAAACCCTTCAATGCTCTCAAGTGTACGCAAATTATCATTAAGATATTCGCCGTTGGAGAATAGGGCTTGCTTCCTTTCACTTATCAGCAGCGAAAATTCAATACGCCCCTTTATAAATCCCACATTCCAAAACTTGTTTGCTTCAATAACTAGTTCGTCATTATGCCGCACCACAATCAACTTGCAAGATGTCCTGAAAATAAAATGATCAATAAAACCTCAAGTCAAAATAAGGATTTGATTTTTTTAAATAAACAATTAAGAAGAACTGTTTGAGAATGGGTAATTAAGTCGCATAATATACAGGTCTTGCTTTGGATTTTCACAAGCTTGCAATTCAGGGAGTAACATATTATTGTAACAAGAAAACAAAAGTAGGATACATACCGCAAGCTCTCCCGCACCTCGCTTTGTATGCCTTCAGCTCTCGGAAGTTGATTCTCCTCCTCGCGAACTGCGTTACCGACGTCGTTGGCTGCTAGTTGATTCTCCTCCTCGCGAACTGCGTTACCGACGTCATTGGCTGCTAGTTCATCCTCCTCCTCGTCAACTACCTTACCGCCATTGGCTGCTACTCCCTCCTGGGGTTGATTCTCCTCGCCAAACTTGTAACAATTTCCTGAATTATCCACGTAGTACGGAGAAATATTGGATAAGGCTGCAACGTCAAAATCCACTGACTCTCCCCCTTCTTCATCCATTTGATAATTATCAAGTTCATTAGCCCAATCATCCGTCCACTCGCTTAGTACTAACCCGACTTCATTGGCTGCTAGTTGATCCTCCTCCACGCCAACTGCGTTACTGTCATTGTCTGCTACTCCCTGAAGTTGATCATCCTCCTTGCAAACTGCGTTACGGACGTCATTGGCTGCTAGTTGATCCTCCTCCATGCCAACTGCGTTACCGTCATTGTCTGCTACTTCCTGAAGTTGATGTTCCTCCAATTCAACGTGGTCTGGCCACGGAATTCCTGGAAGGTCTTCCGCTCGCTCTATGACTTCCATCACTCCAGCCACATCAGGTAAATGACTAGCCCAATGTCCAATCGTATCATCATCAAATTCGGGGAGGGGTAAAGGTGATTGTGGTGCTCCTCCTTGTTCACCCATTACCGTAAGTAAAATCACAAACTGCGAAGAAAGAACGGAAATAGAAGCAGCAAGAACCGAAGCAAGGAGATCGAAAAGCTTGCACTATCTTAAACAAGGAAAAAGATGATCGAGAAGCCTTATTGTGTGCATGCACTATCTTAAACCTGGAACACAATGAAATAGAGAGGGCTGTATATATAATAGATCTGTGATCAACCACCATTCCTTATTTGTTTTGGGATAATAGCTCCTGACTTGGCCTTTTTAATATCCCAGTTTGTTTTGGGATAGTAGTTGGGATAGTAGGTCCTGACTTGCCCTTTTTTTATCCCATTTTGTTTTGGGATAGTAGGTCCTGACTTGCCCTTTTTGATATCCCATTTTGTTTTGGGATAGTGTCCTGCCTTGCCCTTTTCGATATCCAGGGGATAGTATAGCTCCTCATCACTTGCCCTTTTGAATATCCAGTTTGGTTTGGGATAATAGCTAGCTCCTCCTGACTTTGGTTGTGCACGTAACAAAATAAGATTTGCCAACGGCGCTGTGGTTCATATAAGCCCGCATTTGCGCTAATAGTTTGTTTTGAGAGAGAGAGAGAGAGAGAGCTTTTCTATTTGAAATTTTGAACACAGCATTGGTCTTTTCAGTGTTCCAAAATTGCCCATATATGATATACCCACACCTCCAACCCTTCAAATTGGAACCCATGAAAACCTAACCCAGTCACCGCCCGGCCACCGCTCTCCTGCCGCACTGCCGCAGCGTGGGATGATACGTTTTCCTTGCTTAATTTTAATCCACATGAGAGCAAAATTCTTTTTTCTTTTTTCTTTCTGATCTTGGGCCACATGTATAGCCTTGACCTTGGGCAATATATCTGGATATTTATTGTCCTTTTTTTTATATTAATAAATCTTTCCCATTGACCTCTTAGGGGAGCTGCACTGCAGCAAAGCATTTTGCATTGGAGTCAAATAAACTTGGGAATTATACTCTCAATCTCAACGCCAAAAGCCATGTAGAGGCAGTATTATCAAAGCAAATCCAACGTGGAATTACCGTAATATTATATTTAAATAAAAAAACATATTTCTCCCAACATCTCGCTGTCCTATGCTGCATTAATTAAAAATAAAATAAAAGCTATATAGGTGATAAATAAAGAAATGCTGTCGTTAATACAAACAAGGGACGACCCCACAAATAAAACTGCCTTGTCCTCCTTTCATTTATGTTAGTCTTTTTTCCTTAAATATTTCATTTATTGTTCTTCAGGCTAGATGGAATAAGAGAGAAAGGGAAAAGCTGGTTGAGCGCTTTAATGATCGGATGTCCTAATAAAGTTAAAGAGGGCGAACTGCACTGCACTCTTATCAGATAGCTAGACAATAATACTCTATTGTAGGTAGATGATATTGCTTATTGAAGGATTAAACGAGTCATTACATTGGAACACAACAAATTAAGCATCTCAAAAAGTATTCCTAGTTATTTAGTTATAGAATTGATCATCTTGTAGTGTAGTGTAAACTCATGGACTAAACGACCACAACTGCAGCAACAGAACCCAACATTCATTTTCGAGATTGTTCATCATAACCTCAATGCCTCAACACCTTTAATCGCTTGAATGTAATTTGCAAGCCTCCTTACACGAGGTGCCGGAGGCATATTATGAACAATGCAATCTTCCACAATCTTCCTGACTAGCATCATTCCTCGAATTGGACCCATAATGGCAACCATATCATCCTATTCATTTACAAGCAAAATAAAAATCATTAAAAGTCATCACTCTCTTCCCACTCCACCTGGGCGTGTGGGAAGACCAGATAAAATAAATTTCCAAACACAACCATCAAAAGTAGGGAAAAAAAACACACTAACCGTTGGGCATAGATAAATGTTACAGCATGTCAGTTTTTCAAGTTCCTGCATCCCAATTACATTGTAAAAACAAAAGAACAAATACAAAAAAGACAAGCAAAAAAATGTAAATGTGATCTAGGACGCTTTTATGCACCTGTACCGGAAGACTCATGAGCAGTTTTTTTCTGGAAACATACTTATCCTGCACACACACACATTTCAAGATATTTAAAAAAAAAACATATAACTAAGCTTTTGCATATGTCCAGCATAACGAAGAGTTGTTGGGTCATAATTTTTATAGGATAGAGAGCAGAACACCAGAAAGTCCATATTCCTCGTTATTGTCACCCTAACCAATTCTAAACCTTTCTAAGGTCAAACAACAACTCTAAATGCCATGTTATAGTATTCCTGAAATTTAAAGATGCTGCTTCATAACTACATAAGAATGCTTATAAGAACATAAACAATTGTACGAAATAAAAAATGGGAGGACACTTAAGAAATACCTACCGGCTTGATATCAAATTTTTTGCAAAGCCCATCGAAAATATACCCAGTGTAGACGAGGTAGCATGGCATTCCATTCAGTACTTTTACTGCCTGGATCAAAATGATGCACACTGAAATCAGAAGTTTAATAAATAGAAGAATTCTTTTATTTATTTATTTTTTTCCTTAAACACTTCAATGAGAATAGAAAACCTTGGAGGATTCAAGCAAAAAGGAAAGCCAGCGTAAGTTTTCATAATTTAAGTTAGATAAATTGAACATAAGCTTTTCGTTGAGATGTAAATATTCTAACATAAAATAACATTTATAAGCAATTAGCATTCAGCGTCCAAATATGATTGGCATGCCGTTGCCTTGAGGGAGAGGAATTAAATTGAAGTAATAACTTACTAACTTAGCAAATCAATTGAACCTGAAGAATAGATAGGTTACAGATAAGAAACAATAACATAAGATTTGACATTTGTACCCGAAGTGGAGGGACTCCTGCTGATAAAAGTCGAATAAGATATCTAGAGTCGAGAATAGCATATGAGTCCTTAGCCTTGGTTGTCGTGAAATGTGATGAAATATCATGATCCTTAACCATGGTTTAAAAAAAAAAAAAAAAAAAAAAAAAATAATGTGCATAACTAAAAATACTAAATATGAGCACAAATTTAAAAGCAACATTTATTATAACATACCACATCCAATGCACATGAAATGCCATACTCTTCTAAAGAAGATTTCAGCACCGACCAAGCTTCTTGCAAATTTTTTGCTGTGAAAAAATAACGCCAAGACTCATAGGTATGAAAGCTTTATTCTTTTACATAATTTTACTTCATCTGAGTGTTTACCATAATTTTACTTCATATGATCAGAATGAAACAGATATGTATATATAGGTGCATAAGAGAGACAATATATTACAGTGATCAATGATTTCTTCTAATAATTTGGCTCTTCTAGAGTCTTCTATCTTGCTCACAGCCAACCCCCCACCTCAAATAGCTGCTGCTAGTGCTTCTCAGCTAGTGCTTCTTCTTCCATGAGTTACTGCAGCCTAAACCCTAAATCTTATTGCCCAGGTACATACTCTGGATTTTTTTTATATAAAAAGGAAAAAAAATCTTGTTTTTTGTCTGATTTAGGGTTGTAAATTAGCATAATTATTAACTTAGAATTTAATCAGGGTTTTATATTTACTTTTATTTAGCCATTAAAACTCGGCTACGAATTTCATCTATCATTCTCATAATCATTACTAGAACAAAATAAGAAAACGAAATTATATTTGCAGTAAATTGATGAGAAGGGCAACAAAAAGGAAGAATAAGAAGAAGAGAGAAAGATACCCGTGAGTCTATCAATGGGCATACGGAGAACGCTCGCATCATATAGGCCGTAAGACTTGGCGACCTTCATGTTGTAGGCGATTATCTCCTCCATGTTGACCTTGTTTGTCATCGTAACTAATTGTTTGGATACTTGTTCAATCCCTAGCCTACGCAACAGATAGAGAGAATGTTTGGGTAGTGGTTGAAAGCCTAGGCACTGCCAGGCAGAGAGAAAGAGAATGTTACCCTAGGCACAGACACAGAGAAAAAGAATGAGTTTCTGTCAACGCCGTGAAAAGTAAGAACGTGTTTTTTGGTGGGGTATTTATACGAGAGTGACGTATAATGGATTTTGATGGGCTTTGGATTCCAAATAGGTCTGCGTATTTGGTCATTGCCTAAACTATTGGGCTTTTAGGGTTTAGGGATAATAATAGCTCTGTGATAAAGTAAAGAGCGCTGCTATTTCCACCCACCTGTCTTATTTTCCCACCCACCTTATCTTCTCACCCGCCACATAAATTTTAAAAAAACACAATCCTATTTTTACACCCACCAATATTCCTAAAATACCCTTATAATTATTACCTCATTTCCTCTCTCCTTTATTCTCTCTGCTCATGTCTTTTCTCTCTCTTTGACGACACATCTCTCTTATTTTTCTCTATCTTATTTTCCATCTCTCACACTCCATCTTTGTCTCTATCTCTCATGTTTACTGAATTAAAACAGTTTTTTGCTGTAATTTTTATTTTTATTTTTGTAAATATGGATTCTGTGAATATAATCACATTTATGCTCTTAGCTTTCTACTATTGTAAATAAACTTTTTTTTCCAGAGTTATCCAAGGACCAGAAATCTATTGAACTTTGCAATAAAAAAATATAAAACGCCCATTCTTAAGACATGAGAATGTCAAAGAGTACAAAGCCAAACAGATAAGGGAAAAACAACAGTACTCGCCTTCTTCGCCTTCTCATGAGCAAGGAGTCGTATTCTTGTGTTTTTTTTCTCTCTGTCAAACGATAGGGTTACTTGAGAACTGAGAAGTCTTTTTTTTTTTTTTTTTTTTTTTTTTTTTTCCCTCTTTTTTTCTTTCTTTTTAAGTCCTTATAAGTCATTTTACAATAGGGTTAAATTTTTCTTTAAAAGCTTAAATATAAAGTGGGTGGGAAAATAGGACAGGTGGGTGGAAATAGCAGCACTCTAAAGTAAATCACTATCTATTTCTTCTTTTTCCTTATTGTTTTGGGATAATAACTCCTGACTTAAGTACCCTTTTTGACATATCGATAATTGATCCCAGTTTGTTCTGGGATAGTAGCTCCTGACTTGCCCTTTTTTATATCCCAGTTTGTTAATATCATGCGTCCAATTCTGTATTGATTATTTACAGTAACTTTCAGTCTGTCCCTTTCAATTGCTTCAGACAGTATATTCAGTAATAAGCACCGTCATGGTACCATATATTTTCTAACAATGATGATGAGGTAGGATGCCAAAATATGAAGTCTGCTGTGCTTGAAGATTTGGAAACCTCTAATAATGTCGACCAAGAAAGCATAACGAGTAGTGGTTCTTCTCCGGTGCCTGATTCTAGTGAATCAAGAGGCTCCAAGCGTCTGAATGAGGATGAGGAACTAACATTGATAATAAGAGGGGTCGAACCGTTATAATAGATAACGATGACGACGCTCCACTGAAAGATATTTCGGATTGCAATTTGATAAAATCTGAGGACCAGTCCAATGTGGATGCGAGTATCTGCATATCTGCCACTGGTGGTCTTCCTTCACATAGTCTGAATAAGAAGGTCTACTGCACTGCTTGTAATAAACTTGCTGTCGAAGTGCGCTCACATCCACTTCTGAAGGTGATTATTTATACAGATTGCAGATGCTTATTGGACGAAAATATGCATGTGAAGGTATGGGCATGAGTAACTTTTATGCTTTCTGTAATCTATATTTGAACATTTTGTATAACTTTTTCATGATCATGCAGGTGATAGAATGTATTAAACTGATCACTGGAAGGAAACTGATATTATAGTTTCTAATGAATCTATATCCTCAATAGAAAGGCCTTTAACTTTCTCATCGCTTTTGGCTGTCATATGTAATGAAAAAAGAGAAAGGAAAGCTAGCGCTTGTTAAGATTTTATATTGTTAGTAATCTGACAGGACCCGCCCCGAATTTCCCGGAACCCGAGACGAACCCTGCGGAGACCCCGGCATCACACCCACGCCGGGTTCACTCCTTAAAACTATGTCCTCTTTTACCAGAGAGGATTTATGGCACTAGACTTTCTGCCAAAATTTCGGCAGAGTCCCCCCTATAAATTGAACATTCCCCAAAATTTCCACATGCATAAAACACATTTTATAACCCAACCAGCAGCACGCACAATATAATCTCATGCAATTTACATAAATGGCCTCCAGCCTTCAAATGATTCTAGCAGAACTACTCACACTGCTTTTAAAATAACTCCATGCATCAAACATGCACATATCCAATTCAAAATCTATCTATGTACACCTTCGCTCACTCAGTCCACCGGACAAGCCTCAATTCAACCAAGTTTCGGGACCAACCATGAGGTCCGCATCATACTCGATAAAACCACCTAAGTGGTGTCTAGGCCGTGGCTGCACCTAGGCGCTATCCCAGGCTGCCTACGTACCCTACTAAGGGATCAAGCCACACGTAGCTCTTTCCTATCAATCCTGGCTCCTGATATCAATTAAACCATCACATCCATATAAATTCATACATTCTCGGGTTTATCCATCACAATACACCCAACATAATCACATAGCTCCCACTCATACGTCGGGACGCACCCGGCCTCGTATGGGGTCTGTCTACACGCCGGCTAATCCAAAGACGCGTGCGACCTCACACTGGGCCTGGCTACATTCTCACCAGCCATCACACAATCATATCTCCTACTCATACGTCGGGACGTACCCGGCCACGTACGGGGTCTGTCAACACGCCGGCTAATCCAAAGACGCGTGTGACCTCACACTGGGCCTGGCTACATTCTCACCAGCCATCTTACCATCATATCTCCCACTCATACGTCGGGACGCACCCGGCCACGTACGGGGTCTGTCAACACGCCGGCTAATCCAAAGACGCGTGCGACCTCACACTGGGCCTGGCTACATTCTCACCAGCCCTCATACCATCATATCTCCCACTCATACGTCGGGACGTACCCGGCCACGTACGGGGTCTGTCAACACGCCGGCTAATCCAAAGACGCGTGCGACCTCACACTGGGCCTGGCTACATTCTCACCAGCCCTCATACCATCATATCTCCCACTCATACGTCGGGACGCACCCGGCCACGTACGGGGTCTGTCAACACGCCGGCTAATCCAAAGACGTGTGCGACCTCACACTGGGCCTGGCTACATTCTCACCAGCCCTCATACCATCATATCTCCCACTCATACGTCGGGACGCACCCGGCCACGTACGGGGTCTGTCAACACGCCGGCTAATCCAAAGACGCGTGCAACCTCACACTGGGCCTGGCTACATTCTCACCAGCCATCATACCATCATTTGGGCCTGGCTACATTCTCACCAGCCATCTTACTGTCACTTGGGCCTGGGCATAATCACAATATGAGGGGTACGTGGGGTAGTGCGTATAGCACTGTAAACTAATATTCAATCTCCTTATATATCATTATACCTCCACACAATTAATTAAATATATCATACAATAACATCAACCAATAAAACATTCCATAAACTCCCACCATTTAAATTCACCAATTTATATCATAAACCCATAATATCCATTTTACTCAACAACGCTCAAGACCTGTCACTAAGGTCAACCTAACCCTCAAGGAAAGGTAAGACTATCTCGGGAGTCTCACGGTCAACCTAGGGTCAAACGGGCCTGCGGGGCCCACCGCCTCCAAATTTCGATCCGAAAGTTCCTATAGGTTCTACAGGCTCTAGGACACATGTCCTGCAAGTTTGGTCCAGATCGGACGATTGGATCGCTCATGATCACAGGATCGGACGGTTACTAAAACCCTAACCCCAGGGTTGGTATTTCCGGAGTATCCGGGACTCCGTTTTACGATCCGTCGAATCCTACACGATCCTGGTAATACCTAGATCAACATATTATAACTTTAGGACCATCCAACGGTCCAAACCTAGCGAACCCGGAAAATACGCGATATGCGATATCCGTTCGGGACTCCAACGGTACTCAAAATGAGATCCGAGCACACCTACGCGCTCGTGAGAACCAGGAGATCCTTTTAGAACCTCGATCCGGTCCATTTTCCTAGCCCACGCGCCGCCACACGCGCCGGCAGCGCGTGGGTGCCTTGAGTAATTTCCGGCGGCCGGAAAACTCCAAACCGCCGGCCAAGCTTCCTATCCTCGATGTAAAACCCTATTCTGAGCCACTTTTGTTCTTGGGCATACCCCAAAATCTGACCGGAAGTGGCCGGAATCACCCCTCGAAATCCGGCCGAAATCCAATTCGTAAATCGAGTTGTCTACGCTACGAATATATCAATTCCTACCCAACCATCAGCTAGATCACGGAAAATAGGTAAGAAAGCATACCTTGATTGCAAGATTTGGTGGCCAGAATCGCCGGAACGAGCTCTGGAAAATCTGGGTAAAAACCGGCCGTTTTTCTGCAATTTCCGGCGATATCACTGCCGGCTGACATCGGAGAATGGGTGGGGTAGGACGGCGGAGTCAGGCCGGTCATTTTGGGACCGGTCCCGACCCGAGTGGTGGCCGGATGAATGAACGGCCGGCCAAAACGTGGCCGGCTGCGGTGGCGTCGCGAACCAGAGGAGAGAGAGAGAGGGACGCGCGGGAGAGAGAGAGTGTGTGAGAGACGGGGGCAATTCCGTCTTTTTAACCAAAAATCCATTTTCCAAATATTTACGATTATGCCACTGAGCTTCATTTGATCATATCTCTCTCGTTACAACTCCGATTCGAGCCCACTACGTGTCTACGGACTCATCTCACCGTGCTCTACGCAACGGTACAACCGGAATTCCTAAATTCCTTCCGGATAAGAAAATGACTAAAATACCCCTATCCCACGGGTAATTTCTCAATTCCACTTAAATAAATTAAAACATGGGATAAATTTGGGGTCGGGGTGTTACATAATCTTTCTAAACCGTTTAATGCTTATAATTTTATATATTTATTTTAAGTAAATAAACATAATTTTATTTCTTTTATTTCTAAACGAAAGGGAATGTTTAATTCCACAAAAGAAGTATTTTTTTGACTAGGTACAACTATAAATTCCTATTTATTTGTTGTGGGTGGTGTGGGCAAAGCAAGGACCTTGTAAGTTTTAAATCTTGCAAGACATTGTTTTGTACGACTTGTATAAAAAGGAATATTGGAGAGGAATGCTAATCCGAGGCCTAGACCTGTGGCTCGGGATGTTGTTTATGTTGCCCAAGTCTTATACAGACATTGATGTTACAATTAGAGAAAGCTATGGTTCTGGAGATATGGTAGTTTCTAGCTCTGATAGTGATTCAGATAATTCAGATGCAGAACTAGATGTTGCTATCAGGTAATGGTATTTATTATGCTGATTTCTAAGTGAATTGTTCTTCTCCTCTGTCTCTCTCTCTCTCTCTCTCTCCATCGCTGAAGCATGCTATAGTTTATGTTTGTTAGCATTTTGAACTCTAAACAATTGTTGAGATTTGTTCTTGAGCATTAAGTATTTTTATTGTACTTAATGTGTTTCTGAACATGTTTGGACTTTGTTCAGTCCTAAGAGGAAGAGAAAGAAGAGAATTAGGAGGATCATTGATGATACTGAATTAGGAGAGAGACCAAAAGAAAAATTGCAATTGAAAAGGTACCATCTTATGCTGATTTTGTATTCTAACACAGGCCTTTTGGTACCGAAAATTATTTCATGAACCTATCTTCTGTAGGAACGTCAGGAACGCTTAAAGTCCAGATTGGGGAATTTTCAGTTCAAATAGAACAAAGACACCATACTGGTGTAATCTCATGCAGATAGTCTCCAAAAATAGGCAGAACATACGCAAAATTTCAGTTATGCCCATTTTCAAGCCTCTCCATAGCTCAAACTGATCATAGCTATGCCAATTTCAACATTGGTATCGATTTCTTGCTAAGCTTTGTTAGTTAAAGGTGCTAACATGCAATTCCAGTACAAATACATCCAGTCCAGCTTGAGTAACATATGAGAATCCAGGTAGAAATCGAAGTCTAATGTTCTGATGTCTTCCCAAACTTGGCAGTTTCTTTAATTTGCTGTATAATAAATAGTTCTCCTTGAACTCGTTTGTTTTATTTTTCAAACACGTGGTTTTGGCTAAACTTACTAGTTTTATTGTGGGGAATGATAAAGTCCTCACCTGTCTGAGGCGGGAAAAGAACTTACTAGTTTTATTGTGGGGAATGATAAAGTCCTCACCTGGACTGCCGAATGTGACCAGGCCTTCGGCGAGCTTAAGGCATACATGAGTCGAGCCTCTTTATTGTCAACCCCTGAGGCTGGGGACGTCCTCACCATCTATCTCTCTGTCTCGGCCACAGCGGTTAGTTCAGTGCTCATTCGACCACACGAATGTGCTGAGCATCCGATACACTATGTGAGCAAAGGATTACAAGATGCGGAGGCTCGATACCCAGACATTAAGAAACTTGCTTTCGCACTGGTAGTCTCGGTTAGACGCCTCCGACCATACTTTCAAGCTCACACCATCCATGTCTTAACCAACCAACTGCTCCGGCAAGTATTGCAGAAGCCAGAGACTTCTGGGAGGTTAGTTAAGTGGGCCATTGAACTTGGTGAGTTTGATATCCACTACAAACCCCGCCAAGCCACAAAAGGCCAAGCCGTGGATGATTTCATATATGAATTCACCGAACCCCATACTCTGGCCAGTCCTCATATTGCAATCAAGCCTACTCCTACCTCGAACCAGGTCCACGTCGCCAGCAACGACTCCCTAGACTTAACTCAGCCCTTATGGACCTTATATGTGGATGGCTCTTCCAATGCCTAGGGATGTGGAGCTGGCCTTGTTCTCATCTCCCCAGACAAGGTTGTCCTTGAGTACGCCTTCTGCTTCAAATTCCACGCCTCCAACAATGAGGCTGAATACAAAGCACTCTTAGTCGGCCTTCGGCAAGCCAAGGAGATGGGCGCCAAGCAAATCCAAATATTCAGTGACTCGCAGCTTGTTGTCCACCAAGTCAACCAGGACTTCACGGCTAAGGACGTCTCCATGACAGCCTACCTCTAACATACCCGCCATCTGCTTACAACTTTCAATGCTTATCTCATAGGCCAGGTGCCACGCTCTGAGAACAGTCATGCTGATGCATTAGCAAGGCTAGCCTCGGCGATGGAGCAGGGCATAGGTCGCAACATCCACATCGAGTTCTTGGACCAGCCTAGCACAGGGGCACCACTCATCTGTGTCATCGATCACAGCCCTACATGGATGGACCCTATCACTCAGTTCTTGCAGAACCAGACACTACCTGCTGATCTTGCTGAAGGGCGGCGTGTTCGCTATCGTTCCGCTCGATACTTGATTATTAATGGCGCCCTATACAAGCGCGGTTTCAGCCTCCCCTACCTTCGGTGCCTGATCCCAAAGGAAGGTACTTACGTCCTAAGAGAGATTCATGAGGGTATCTGTGGCAACCACTCAGGCGCTCACTCCCTAGCACACAAGGTCATTCGGCAGGGATACTTTTGGCCATCACTTCACACTGATGCCCAGACCTTCACCTAGAAGTGCGATAAGTGTCAGCGATTTGACAACATCCCACAACTTCCAGCTGAGCCATTGACAACCATGGTCAGTCCTTAGCCATTCGCCCAATGAGGACTTGACCTCATCGGACCTATGTTTGAGGGCAAGGGCCAAGTCAAGTATGCAGTTGTAGCTGTGGACTATTTCACCAAGTGGGCTGAAGCTGAGGCCTTAGCCACCATCACTGCAGCCCGCATCGAAACTTTTGTTTGGCAAAACATCGTATGTCGCTTCGGCATCCCCAACACCATCGTCACGGACAATGGCCGACAATTTGACAATGCCAGGTTCAAACAATTTTGTTCCAACCTCAAGATACGTCTTTGCTTCGCCTCCCCCGCCCATCCTCAGTCTAATGGCCAGGTGGAAGCCGTGAACAAGATCATCAAGAAAACTCTAAAAACCAAGCTTGACAAAGCTAAGAGTTACTGGCCAGAGCTACTCCCAGAGGTTTTCTGGTCCTACCGCACCACATTCCGTACCTCAACAGGAGAAACACCTTTCTCTCTCTCTTTTGGTACCGAAGCAGTGGCACCAATGGAGATTGGCCAGCCCACATACCGAACCTCCACTTATGAGGCCGAAGCCAATGACGAGCAGCTAGTCCTGAACCTCGACTTCATTGATGAGCTTCGTGACCAATCCAACATGCGCAATATCACGTACAAACAGCGCATCGCTAAGTACTACGATTCCCGAGTCAAGCCCCGTGCTTTCAAACTTGGGGACTGGGTCATGCGCAAGGTTTCCTTGGCCACCAAGAATCCCACTAAAGGTACCTTAGGCCTTACATGGGAAGGTCCTTATGAGGTTACCAAAATCTGCCGCCCCGGCACTTATTAGCTTCGTGATACCAAGGGCAAGACCTTGCCTCATCCTTGGAATGCTAATCACCTCAAGTACTACTATAAGTAAACATACCTAGCCCTAGGACATTATGTTTTCTTAGACTTTGGTCTCGAGCCTTGACTCAACCAACTCTTGTACTTTTTGTCTTCCGGCACATATTTAATGAACGCCCGACCCTGGCTCATTCTCATAAATCACATGGTTCCCATTTTGCTAAGCACAATTGATATCAAATGACAACAAGTCTAATATCATAGCAAATCAAAATAACCTTGCCCCAGGCAAGGCAAAATGTTCATACATAAGCAAACTAAACATCAAGTGTTTAAACTAAATAGCTAGAATACATAAAAAAGGCAACACCTTCAAGACTCGATAGATGGAGTGTCCGTGGTGGCTGGCTCTGGCTTTGGCTCTAGAACGGCATCAGTAGTGGGACTAGATGAAAGAGGCTCGCCACTTGTGTCAAAGTTAATCTCCACCGAAGGGTTGAACATCGCCACCCTCTCCTCCCAATGCAGCTGCATCGCCACCATCTGATCCATGATGTAGCTCATCAGCTCCTCCGAGCCCCGAAATGACTCGATCGCTTCAGCTCGGGCAGCAGCTACCTCCTCGGCCCTCGACCGCTTAAGCTCTTCCATCTCCTCGGCCATCGCCGCTTTCTGTAGCACCAGGGTGTTCTTCTCTTGGATGGCCTCTTGTGCCTCCGCTACCTTATCCTTGGCCATCTCATTACGTCTCTTTAGCCTCTGAATCTCCTTATCTGCCTTGGCCATATTCACGTACATCTCATCATAAGCCTGCAACACAAAGCATGATCAATCAAGGGCAAATTTGAATGATATGAACAAATTCTTAAAGTCGGACAACTTACATAGGCCTGGGTAAGGAAAGTCTTCTGGGCTCGATCTGCATAGGAGGTAGCCGGGGTCCTCGCCAGAACCTCTGGGTCACTCTTCACGCCTTCCAAGAAGACGTTCACCAAAGGAACCTTCTGCTGATGCATGGCCAGGTTCACCTCCTTCCTCTGCCGACGTAGCCCAGAGAAGTCCACCTTCTCCACCCCCTCGGCGTAAACATCATTCATACCAAAGGGGAGCTTCAGCGGCGCCTGCGGGTAAAAGGGAGGAAGCCTCGGCCCTGTCCCCATCACGCTCAGGTGAGCTTCCTCCAGCGCTCTCTTCTTTCCCAGCACATCGGCAACCAGGCCTTCATCATCTCTGGGACGCTTCCCAGCCACCTGCTGAGCACCTCAATTCTCCACCCTCTTGGCCGTAGACTCCCTCAGCCGTTTCTGCATTTCAGGATCATCCAGATCCGTAGCCACCTTCGTGCTTCCCCTTATGATACCTGCCACTGCACACTAAAAGCTAAGTTAGTCTCAACTACAAAAAAGAATCATAAGACAAACAACAACAGTGACCCAGGTACTTACTCCCTTGCAAGAGTCCGGACTCGTACAGGTTCTTCTGGGTGACTAGGTTTTTGCGCTCACGCTGGGTCTCCGACAACAGTGACCTCACTCTCTCAACCTCGTCTTCTCGCTCCTTGGAGATCAGTCCCCACTTCACCGAACCTACACCACAGTTTAGATATCAACTCAGGTATTTATACTTGCACAAGCAAAAAATGAAGACCCAAGAGTCAGAACACAAGCAACAACACTACAAAACAACTAGTCTTAAAGGATGGGGCTAAGGACCTATAGACTGGAAATGGGTTGGAATATGTCTGGAGACGATTTTCCCTGGAGGACACTCCCAATCACCATAGGCTAAGCACCATCTGTTCCGCCAAGACTTCTGCGTACTCGGCTTATGCCCAATAAAATAACCTCTCTCCTTTGCCTTTCGGCAATTGGCTTGTACCCAGCCAAAGGTTCCATGTTGCTTGGAGATCGAATATAGGTACATAAACTGCTCAAATGTTGGCTCCCCCAACCCAACCAACCACAAAGCAATATAAACTCCATGCAGAAGCAGCCAAAAGTTGGGATTGTATTGCCCCGGCGCATACCCCAACTTGGCAACATCATCTGTACCTAAGGATGAAACGGTAGTCTGAGGCCATGCTGGTACATATCCGTGAAAATCATAACTGAACCCTCCAGAGGATATCTCACTACATCCGCAACACTGGGTAACCTCAGGCCCACATAGGGTGGCACACTATAATCTGTCTGAAGCTCAGTCAACTTTACTTCTGTAAGCGTATTCCGCTTCGCCAACGGGACACCAACCCGGATGTCCACCCCCTCTGAAGCTGAAGCCACGGCTATACCCACAGACCCTGATGGTGATGTCTGATTGCTCGAGCCCACCTCCGGTGTATGTGCCAAAGCTAGAACCCGATCAACACTTGCCTCTAACACTTTATACTTCTTCTGCATCTCCCTATATGTCTCTGACCCAGACTCTACTGATGGCCCAGCCATCTCACCCTCATGAACTACCATCCTAGCTTCTATAAGCCCTTATACCAAACCCTCTATCTGGGAACTCTCATCTTCAAAACAAACATACTCACTGGCCTCTTCACTCTCAGACATCTACAACATGCAGAAACAAGAAAAAGGAACTAATACACATGCAAGGAGGATCCAAACACAAGAACACAAAATTGGACGGCATCTACATGCTTTTTGATCTAGATGTATACATTCAACATGTTCATACTCATGCTCAAGGTGTTCATCCTAATCTTCAACATGTTCATACCAAAGGTTGAATTTCATTTCAAAAATTCAAAGAAAATGAGGTCTAACCTTGTTTGCACCACCACGGAAATTCGCCGGAAATCTCCTTGGCCCTAACATCACCATCAAAATCTCACCGGAAATCTTTTTCTCCTTCTCACTTTCTGGAAATCTTTCTCAAAAAACTCCAAGTGTGATGCCTACGTCACTCCAAGTTCCTATTTATAAGGTCCCAAGGGCACACAAGAAACCCTAGCACCCTTTCACCTTCCCTCTCAAAACCCTTGTACCTGCAACAATTTGAAATGCCAATCTCAAGGCCCGGGCAGAAGCATTTGGGAGGTCATCACAATTTTTCAACTTGCCGAACCAGCTCTTCCCACAGTTCAGCACCTTGTCAAAACACACTAACAGCCGTCAAATGTTGACCATGACACCCTTGCCGAACGGCAAGGGTGGAGAAGAAGATTCACAGATCACAAACATACCTGCTTGCCGAAGGCTGAGATTTAACCTGCAGACCCAGCTCCGTGCTCTAACCAATAAAACTGAAGTTTCATCTTCCACACCAGATTATATCCAGCTCCTCATTTGGCTTCGGCAAGAACTGAACACCTAGCTCCAAAAGCCCAGGCCAAATCTCCAAGCTACCGAAGCTTTACTTACTCAGGTTTCTTGAGGAATCTCCCTTGCAAACCGAAGACTCACAACAGAGCCTAGCACCCTTGCCGAATGGCAAGGGCCTATCAATTTCCACAGAAGCTTAACAGCTCACCTAGTTGCCGAACGGCAGGCTCCGTTCAAATCCCAAGAAGACCATAAATCTGTCTTGCCGAAGGACCAGGTGCAGAAGACCTTTTCCTTGCCGAAGAGAGTACCAGTACCACAACTTCCTTTTAGTCAAATCCTTCCTGAACGGCAGCTTTGATACAAAGATAATTTCACACCTCTCCTAACCCTAGCCCTCATCATTTTCACTCTATAGACTCTTACCGAAGGCCCAAGAGTAACATGGCCCCTTTTTACTAAAATGTTGGGACCCAGCTCCAAAACCTGTCAAACTCCCTTGCCTAGGCACCCAAGGACCCAACACCTTGTTTTTCCCTTTTTTTTGACTTAAGGTGTCTTGGCATCCTTGCCTTTTTAACTTGAGGTGTCTTGGCCTCCTTGCCGAACGGCAAGCAGCATTGAAACTAAAAGGAGGATTACACGTCCCCTACAGAAGAAATTAATAGCCTAGGCCACATGGCCATTCAAAAAAACAAAGGGGGGGGGGCCCATAGAATTTTCTTCTCTTTTGATCCTCGCCGAATCTTCTTGGGCCATGACACTCCCCTATGCTGAAACTTAAGGGGCCCAAGTCTTTCTTTCAAAAAAAAAAAAAAAAAAAAAAAAAAACAAAAAAAAAAAAAAAAAAAAAGAATGCCGGGGCTAGGAGAGAGAAGGAAAAAGGAAAAGCCCACACTTTTACCTCCTTCCGGCTTCAGCCCAATTTCTTTTATTTTATTTTTTTGGGACCTAAGCCCTTGCTGCCCAAAACCATCACTTGGTTACCAAACGGCAGGACCCGAGTCGTACACACTGGGGCCCACAGATTTCCTTGCTGAAGCTTCAAGACCCAGGTTTACTTTTCTTTCAAAGGTACCCAGCTACCAAATATCCCAGAGGCTAACACAACTTTTATCATACCTACCAAGTATTAGTGCAACTTCTAGCTTGCCAACTTGGGGGACTAGGGACTGCCCTACGGCACCCACTGAACCTGGAATGCTCGGTCATGATTACACAAAAACTCACAAGTTCCCAACCCAGAAGTCACTTCTTGACCGCAAACTTGGAGGACTACTGTTTACACCATAATCAACCGAGCATATCCAGCCTCAAAACAACTAGCACCAAGGCAGACACGCCTTCTCCCTTGCCGAAGGAAGACACTCTTCCGAGGTGCCAAGCACCTGCCGAAACACCCGACTGCCGAAGCTCACAAACTGCTAAACCTAATTTCCATGACATGTGTCACCACCGCAACGATTTGCACAAAGTCCCACATCGGAAATCTACATCAACCTCCCACTTTCACTCCCCTATAAAAAGGGCACAATACCCTAGTAAAAAGGGTAACTACTTTTCTGCTTTTTACTGTTACTCTGCAAAGGTTACCCTTCTTAGCTGACTTAAGCATCGGAGAGCCTTCGACCAGCACCACACCGGTGTCCGAAGCTTAATGACTGCTTCCCCTATTTTTGTCTTCTGCAGGCTAGCCTTTATTGAAGGTCCAGACCCTTTCCCTGTTGAAGGCAAAACCTCATTTTCTCTAAGTTGACCCTCTCCGAAAAAGAGCATCAACAAAAACAATAACACAATCAAATCAATTTCAGTATTTGGATAAAATTTGCAAATCAATAACACAGACCCACTATGAGAAAAAAATTAGGGATTTGGACTTTTAGGGCAGCAAATTAAAACAGGTCTTATAGTTTAATCAAATAAGATCCAAGATATTAGTAACAACAAAAATGAAAAAGAAGAGCAACAAAAATCGAATGGAAAGATGAAGCAACATTTACTTACAGATCAGTGAGAGAAAGAGACTGAAACAGAGAGAAAACTGGAGTTTGATTTGAAGAAGAAGACCAACGCACGCCACTCCTAAAGTCGAAGCCTCCAGATAATCTCCAACAATAGACCGACCTCTTCCATCATTGCCACGCAACCAGGCCAACCAACCTGGTTAGAAGCGAACTCAGCATCTGATAAAACAAAGGCTTCAAGTCGTTACAATCGAAGGAGAGGAGAGCAAACGGGAAGAGTAGAAACTAATTAACCAAGTCATTTCACTGGAAAAGAAGAGAGAGAAAGGCGGGGCTGCGATGAAGGAGAAGAGGTTTTCTTTCTCTCAGCGACTCCAACGAAGAGAAGAGAACAGAGCTGGAGGGCAAAACGGATAATTCACTGCTTATAAGTCAACTCAAGAAAGCAGACCATCACTTAAGCGGGGGCAAAACCGTCACTTCACTATTCCTAAGCTACAGTCTAGGAACAGTAAATCCGTGGATTCAGTTTTAATATATATATATAATATAATTTCTATATTGTTTCATTCCATTTGCATCACAGTAAAACATTTTGCTTCACTGTTGCATTTTACCTTTTCATGAATTAAAGTCTATTTGGTCTGTCTTTGTTACTTGGAATTGTTGGTTGCTGACGATACCTCTTTGTTTGCCAGGGAAAAAAGAGCAGAGGTTCTTGCAAGGTTCTTGCAAAGTGGAGAGCTATGGGTGGTGTTTTTTCAATTGGCTACTCTGCTTTTAGGAACTTATCCCTTGGAAAGCAGGTGAAGGATCGACACATGGCTCGAGAAATTTGTCATGCCGTGCAGGTAGGTTGATTTTAATTGATAACCTCTAAAAGTGTCGTTAATATCATGCGTCCAATTCTGTATTGATTATTAACAGTAACTTGTAGTCTGTCCCTTTCAATTGCTTCTGACAGCCTATTCAGTAATAAGCTCCATCATGGTACCATATATTTAGTAGCAGACTTTTTACTTACCCTTGTTTATTTTTCATGTTCCCAAAACAAAGCATGCATCTTTTATCTGATTCTTTTTAGACTTTTCCGTTTCATATTGTCCCCTGTATTTATCAATCAAAACAATGTTGTTTGCAAAGCTTGTGACTTAATGTTACATTTCCAACTGTCAGGATGGACCTGATATACTTGTTTGTGATGAGGCCCATGTTATTAAGAATACCCGGGCTGATGTAACCCAAGCCTTGAAACAAGTAAAATGCCAAAGAAGGATAGCATTATAACTGGATCACCTCTCCAGAACAATCTCATGGAATATTATTGTGTGAGTTCACTTGAAAGCTATACGTAGTTTTATTTCTTACAAATTACCTACTATCTTGCTTCCTTTGAAATTTTAATTGTTCACAGATGGTTGATTTTGTAAGGGAAGGTTTTCTTGTAAACAGCCATGAGTTTAGGAATCGGCAAGACTTCTTCACTCAAAACTTGTTTGCTGTGTAATTATTTTGTTTTGTTTTTTTTCCACATATCTTAATCCTGCCTGAAGTTGATCATCCTCCTCACAAACTGCGTTACGGACGTCATTGGCTGCTAGTTGATCCTCTTCCATGCCAACTGCGTTACTGTCATTGTCTGCTACTCCCTGAAGTTGATGTTCCTCCAATTCAACGTCGTCTGGCCACGGAATTCGTGGAAGGTCTTCCGCACGCTCTATGACTTCCACCACTCCAGCCACCTCAGGTAAATGACTAGCCCAATGTCCAATCGTATCATCATCAAATTCGGGGAGGGGTAAAGGTGATTGCGGTGCCCCTCCTTGTTCATCCATTACCGTAAGTAAAATCACAAACTGCGAAGATGGAAAGGAAATAGAAGCAGCAAGAACAAAAGCAAGGAGATCGACAAGCTTGCACTATCTTAAACAAGGAAAAGTAGGATCGAGAAGCGTGATTGTGTGCATGCACTATCTTAAACCTGGAACACAATGAGGTAGAGAGGGCTGCATAAATAATAGATCCGTGATCAACCACCATTCCTTTTTTGTTTTGGGATAATAGCTCCTGACTTAGCTTTTTTGATATCCCAGTTTGTTTTGGGATAGTACGTCCGGACTTGCCCTTTTTGATATCCCATTTTGTTTTGGGATGGTAGGTCCTGACTTGCCCTTTTCAATATCCAGGGGATAGTATAGCTCCTCCTCACTTGCCCTTTTGAATATCCAGTTTGGTTTGGGATAATAGCTAGCTCTCCTGACTTTGGAGTAAATATCGAACTATCCCAAATAAGTCTCTTCAATGGTTGTGCACGTACCAAAATAAGATTTGCCAACAGCGCTGCGGTTCATATAAGCCCGCATTTGCGCTAATAGTTTGTTTTGGGCTGTTTTTGAGAGAGAGAGAGAGAGAGAGAGCTTTTCTATTTGAAATTTTGAACCCGGCATTGGTCTTTTCAGTGTTCCAAAATTGCCCATATATGATATACCCACACCAAATCCAACCCTTTCAAATTGAAACCCAGGAAAACCTAACCCAGTCACCGCTCTCCTGCCGCACTGCCATTGCAAAATGGGATGATATGTTTTCCTTTGCTTAATCTTAATCCACATGAGAGCAAAATTCTTTTTCTCTTTTCTTTCTGATCTTGGGCAATATATCTGGATATTATTTGAACGCAAAAACCTAGCCACATGTATAGCCTTGACCTTGGGCAATATATCTGGATATTTATTGTCCTTTTTTTTTATCTGTTCCGTTGACCTCTTTGGGGAGCTGCACTGCATGAAAGCCTTTTGCATTGGAGTCAAATAAACTACTCTCAATCTCAACGCGAAAGCCATGTAGAGGCAGTATTATCAAAGCAAATCCAACGTGGAATTACCGTAATGTTATATTTAAATAAAAAAAACATATTTCTCCCAATATCTCGCTGCACTATGCTGCATTAATTAAAAATAAATAAAAGCTGTATAGGTGAAAAATAAAGAAATGCCGTCGTTAATACAAACAAGAGACGACCCCACAAATAAAAAACTGACTTGTCCTCCTTTCATTTATGTTAGAGTCTTTTTTCCTTAAATATTTCATTTATTGTTCTTCAAGCTAGATGAAATAAGAAAGAAAGACAAAAGCTGGTTGAGCGCTTTAATGATCGAATGCCCTAAAGTTAAAGAGGGCCAACTGCACTGCACTCTGATTTGATAGCTAGATAATAATACTCTACTGTAGTGTAGTGTATTGTAAACTCATGGATTAAACGACCACAACTGGAGCAGCAGAACCCAAGATTCATTTTCGAGATTGTTCATCATAGCCTCAACGCTCAACACCTTTAATTGCTTGAATGTAATTTGCAAGCCTCCTTACACGAGGTACCGGAGGCATATTATGAACAATGCAGTCTTCCACAATCTTCCTGACTAGCTTCATTCCTCGAATTGGACCCATAACAGCAACCATGTCATGCTATTCATTTACAAGCAAACTAAAAAGCATTAAAAGTCAAAACTCTCTTCTCACTCGACCTGGACGTGTGGGGAGACCAGATCAAATAAATTTCCAAACACAACCATCAAAAGTAGGGAAAAAAAAACACACTAACCGTTGGGCATAGATAAATGCTACAGCATGTCAGTTTTTCAAGTTTCTGCATCCCAATTACATTGTAAAAACAAAAGAACAAATACATAAACGACAAGCAAAAAATGTAAATGTGATCTATGACGCTTTTATGCACCTGTACAGAGAGACTCATGAGCAGTTTTTTCCTGGAAACATACTTATCACACACACATTACAAAAAAAAAAAAAAAAGCTTTTGCATATGTCCAGCATAACGAAGAGTTGTTGGGTCATAATTTTTATAGGATAGATAGCAGAACACCAGAAAGTCCATATTCCTCATTATTGTCACATTAGTTCTTGTATCACCATACCCTAACCAATTCTATAAACCTTTCTAAGGTCAAACAACAATTCTAAATGCCATGTTAAAGGACTCCTGAAATTTAAAGATGCTGCTTCGTAACTACATAAGAATGCTTATAAGAACATAAACAATTGTACGAAATAAAAAATGGAAGGATACTTAAGAAATACCTACCGGCTTGATATCAAATTTTTTGCAAAGCCCATCGAAAATATACCCAGTGTAGACGAGGTAGCATGGCATTCCATTCAGTACTTTTACTGCCTGGATCAAAATGATGCACACTCAAATCAGAAGTTTAATAAATATAATTTTTTTTTTCCTTAAACACTTCAATGAGAACAGAAAACCTTGGAGGATTCAAGCAAAAAAGGAAAGCCAACATAAGTTTTTATAATTAAAGTTAGATAAATTGAACATAAGCTTTTCATTGAGATGTAAATATTCTATAACATAAAATAACATATATGAGCAATTAGCATTCAGTATCCAAATATGATTGGCATGCCGTTGCCTTGAGGGAGAGGAATTACATTGAAGTAATAACTTACTAACTTAGCAAATCAATTGAACCTGAAGAATAGATAGGTTACAGATAAGAAACAATAACATAAGATTTGACATTTGTACCCGAAGTGGAGGGACTCCTGCTGATAAAAGTCGAATAAGATATCTAGAGTCGAGAATAGCATATGAGTCCTTAGCCTTGGTTGTCGTGAATGTGATGAAATAATGATCCTAACCATGGTTTAAAAAAAAACTAAATATGTGCATAACTAAAAATACTCAATATGAGCACAAAGTTAAAAGCAACATTTATTATAACATACCAAATCCAATGCACATGAAATGCCATACTCTTCTAAAGCAGATTTTAGCACCGGCCAAGCTTCTTGCAAATCTTTTACTGTGAAAAAACAACGCCAAGATTCATAGGTAAGAAAGCTTTGTTCTTTTACAAAATTATCATAGTAATAGTCATATTTAAGAAAACTCATGAATGGAATAACTTAGATGGAAAATTAAACAGAAAATAGGTCACAAAGATGAAAGAGTTAATTTCATACCTAACAGCCTTGACAATTTGAAATAGTCTAATCCCTTTTATTTCAATTTCAGAGTCGATTGTTTTACTTCATCTCAGTGTCCCAAACACAGCAAGGAAGAATTACAACACCCATGTTTACCATAATTTTTATTTTCATCAGATATCTATGATCAAAATGAAACAGATTGGGTCAGCAGTCAGAACCCAATATGTATATATAGGTGCATGAGAGAGACAATATATTAAAGTGATCAATGATTTCTTCTAATTATTTGGCTCTTCTAGAGTCTTCTATCTCTGCACAACCACCCCCCCCCCCCCCCCCCCCCCCCCCCCCCACTAGCGGGCTGCTGTTGCTTCTTCTTCCTTGAGTTGCTGCTGCCTCAGATAAATCTTATTACCCAGGTACCTACTCTGGAATTTTTTATATAAAAAGGAAAAAGAAAAATAGTCTTGGTTTTTGTCTGATTTAGGGTCGTAAATTAGCATAATTTAATCAGGGTTTTAGATTTACTTTAATTTAGCCATTAAAACTATGCTACGAATTTCATCCATCAATCTCATAATCATTACCAGAACAAAATAAGAAAACTAAATGTTATTTGCAGTAAATTGATGAGAAGGGCAACAAAAAGGAAGAATAAGAAGAAGAGAGAGATACCCGTGCATATATTAATGGGCATACGGAGAACGCTCAAATCATATGGGCAGTAAGACTTGGCCTTCATGTTGTAGGCGATTATCTCCTCCATGTTGACCTTGTTTGTCATCGTAGCTAATTGTTTGGATACTTGTTCAATCCCTAGCCTACGCACAGATAAAGAGAATGTTTGGGTAGTTGTGGAAAGCCTATGACAGGCAGAGAGAAAGAGAATGTTACCCTAGGCTGAGACACGGAAAAAGAGAATGAGTTTCTGTCAACGCCGTGAAAAGTAAGAACGTGTTTTTTGGGTGGGGTATTTATACGAGGGTGACGTATAATGGATTTTGATGGGCTTTTGATGATTTTGGTCATTGCCTAGACTATAATAGCCTAAAGTAAATCACCATCTATTTCTTCTTTTTCCTTATTGTTTTGGGATAATAACTCCTGACTTAGTTACCCTTTTTGATATATCGATCCCAGTTTGTTTTGGGATAAATATGAAGGCTGATGATTAATGTGTCAGAATAAAAGGTTAAGCATTTGGCAATATCGGTAAACCAACAAAGTTGGTCATAGTACCAGAGTAGGAGACCTTGAGTTCAGTTCCCTGCAATTACAACCTCTCAATATAAGTTGATTTTGCACAAGACGGGCTTGTAGAAATCCACAAGGTTATCTTCAAAGATATAGTTGTGCTTGGCTATCAGGGAACATCCATATCTATGTGGCTGTGCACTAAATTTCTCTTCAAGTCGTGCTAGTTTGATGAACCGCTGGCTGCAAATTAATAAGGACACAAACTGTGAAAAATGCTACTGCTGCTATAATTTCGCATAGGCATTAACATTCTCATACCTTTCCTTGCATAGTATGGCCAAGGATTAAAATATCGGCCGTGCAGATAATATCGGGCCTCTAATTTACAGATATTTCAGGGGATATATATTGTTTTAGGTATCGGGAAAAAATCAACAAAAATGACAGATATAGGCATTGAAACACATAATTTTTGTGTAAAACTTTCATAGATGTTATGTACATTATCAATGAATGTATTGAACAAATAAAACTCAAAATTTACTAATAATAAGATATACATATGATGAAATATAAGTGGTATGTAATGCGCATTAATGACAAGTTTGAAAATAAAATGTTAATTAGAATGAATAAACCATGCATAAATCCATAGTTTGTTTAAACATTGTATTACAATTTAGATAAGTGTCCATCTACATAAATGAAGAGCTCCAATGGGGTTCAAACAATAAGGAACAACCATCTAGATTCTTACAATAGTTATATCAAGTCATGTAACCCAAGCAGTTTGTAAGCCATGCTTGAACATGGTGCATATAGGTCTCTCTTGAGCTCCCTATTGTCCTCCCATATATGGGATAGTTAGGATTAACCAACTAGTAGGTCCATAATTTTTTTTATCATCTTGAGCTCCATAACTAGTTCCATTATAATTAGACATGACATAAACATAGACATCTTAAGATTCATTTGAGTTAGTACTAGGTCTAGTTCCTATGTTCATAGATCCAAAACTGATTGCCATGTCCTCTTCAGATAGGTATATGGGCAGTGGACTATGCATAGATTCTTCATATTAATAAATTATAGAGTTTTGGGCAAGGATTAACTATTTTTGGGTTTCAATTTGCTTCAATTGCCTTCAAAACTTCTGAATTTTTTTTGGGTTCTGTTATGGGTATCGGGAAATATCGGGGATATCGCCAAAATATCGGGGATATCGCCAAAATATCGGGAATATCGCACTTATCGGGGATCTATCTCTCACATAAATTATAAGTTAAAAAGTAACACTTTGATCCCATACACCCTAAACTCAATTGAAGGGGAATATATATAATCAAATTAGCTTATTTGAGGGATACCCTTATAGGGCATATTCTGCATTGTATTTTACTAATCAAAACCATCTATTTTGTAGATATTCATTTAAAGATTATCTCTATAAAAAAAAAATCACTTGAATCCGATATCATTTGACCATTCAATTAAATTATTGAAATTTTAGTACTTTCTTGAAGCACCGTGTTCATTAATTTTGTAGGACACAATTAGATGTCTAAACAGTTTCTAATTTGTCTAATTTTTTGCAAGGACGATCTATGAATGAAGACCTAAAAATTAGATGGTTTGGATCGTAGAAAAAAGTTTCGTAGGGTACCCTAAAGAATGTTCCTCAAATAAAATTATTTTGCCTATATATACTTGAGCACTGATGAGGTTAAACGGCATGATTTATTTTGCGGTACTCCAGGGAAAAGATAAAGAAGATGATGCCGACCATGAGGATACGTACTGGAACTTAGGCGATCATAGAAAATAAAATACTTATTTCGGAAAGACAATCTTCTAGTTTATTTCTTATTACTTAGAATGTAAATAAAATTCATATCTAGCTAGATCTATCTTTTGCATGCATAAATTATTATAACCTAATATTCCATCTCTCGTCTCTCGCATAGATTATAAGTTAAAGGTAACAATTTGATCCCAAAACACGAGCTGTCGACCAAAAGGAAGTGAATCGGTTCAGCGCTGAGGCCGCGGCCGTAGCCGTCCCTTATAATCCGTTGGATGTGAGGAGCCTTGAATAGATGGTGAGGATTCGGACTCTACATAGTCAGGATCATCTTTAGTTTCTTCATCAGAAGCTGATGTTGGTGGTGTAGCTGGTGCAGCTCTCTTAGAAACGGCACTACGTCTCATCAAGGAAAAGGGGATGCCACTTCCCCACCATGCCACCGCGGCCGCAGATGTCCGTGGGAGGGCTGACGTGGATGGCGGCAGAGGTGGTGCATCTTTGATTTCATTGATCGGGGGCTTCCTCCTACTAGCTTTCGTTCTTGCTTTTTTGAGGATGGCTGCAGGTGTTGGCTGTGCTGCCGAAGCCGAAGCTGTGGCGGTGGCTGCAGGTGTTGGCTGTGCTGCTGAAGCCGAAGCTGTGGCGGTGGCTGCAGGTGTTGGCTGTGCTGCCGAAGCCGAAGCTGTGGCGGTGGAAGCCTTCAATGGTACTTCTAACTCTAACAGCTGGATGCGTGGGTTGGATTCAATCCCTTCAATGCTCTCAAGTGTACGCAAATTATCATCAAGATATTCGCCGTTGGAGAATAGGGCTTGCTTCCTTTCACTTATCAGTAGAAAACGTTCAATATGCTGCTTTATAAATTCCACATTCCAAAACTTGTTCGCTTCAATTACTAGTTCGTCATGATGCCGCACCACAATCAACTTGTAGTATGCCCTGAAAATAAAATGATCAATAAAACCTCAAAATAAGGATTTGATTTTTTTAATAAGCAATTAAGAAGAACTGTTTGATAATATACGGGTCTTGCTTTGGATTTTCACGAGCTTCCAATTCAGGGAGTAACATATTATTGTAACAGCAACAAAAGAAAAAGTAGGATACATACCGCAACTTCGCCTCCTCCTCTTGTAAGCCTTCCTTGGCTTCGGCTCTCGGAAGTTGATTCTCCTCCTCGCGAACTGCGTTATCGACGTCATTGGCTGCTAGTTCATCCTCCTCCTCGTCAACTACGTTACCGCCATTGGCTGCTACTCCCTCCTGGGGTTGATTCTCCTGGCCAAACTTGTAACAATTTCCTGAATTATCCACGCAGTACGGAGAAATATTGGATAAGGCTGCTGCGTCAAAATCCACTGACTCTCCCCCTTCTTCATCCATTTGATAATTATCAAGTTCACTAGCCCAATCATCCGTCCACTCGCTTAGTACTAACCCGACTTCATTGGCTGCTAGTTGATCCTCCTCCACGCCAACTGCGTTACCGTCATTGTCTGCTACTCCCTGAAGTTGATGTTCCTCCAATTCAACGTGGTCTGGCCACGGAATTCCTGGAAGGTCTTCCGTCGCTCTATGACTTCCACCACTCCAGCCACATCAGGTAAATGACTAGCCCAATTTCCAATCGTAGCATCATCAAATTCGGGGAGGGGTAAAGGTGATTGTGGTGCTCCTCCTTGTTCATCCATTACCGTAAGCAAAATCACAAACTGCGAAGCAAGAACGGAAACAGAAGCAGCAAGAACCGAAGCAAGGAGATCGACAAGCTTGCACTATCTTAAACAAGGAAAAAGATGATCGAGAAGCCTTATTGTGTGCATGCACTATCTTAAACCTGGAACACAATGAAATAGAGAGGGCTGTATATATAATAGATCTGTGATCAACCACCATTCCTTATTTGTTTTGGGATAATAGCTCCTGACTTAGCCTTTTTGATATCCCAGTTTGTGTTGGGATAGTAGGTCCTGACTTGGCCCTTTTTTATCCCATTTTGTTTTGGGATAGTAGGTCCTGACTTGCCCTTTTTGATATCCCATTTTGTTTTGGGATAGTAGGTCTTGCCTTGCCCTTTTCGATATCCAGGGGATAGTATAGCTCCTCCTCACTTGCCCTTTTGAATATCCAGTTTGGTTTGGGACAATAGCTAGCTCCTCCTGACTTTGGAGTAAATATCAAACTATCCCAAATAAGTCTCTTCAATGGTTGTGCACGTACCAAAATAAGATTTGCCAACAGCGCTGCGGTTCATATAAGCCCGCATTTGCGCTAATAGTTTGTTTTGGGCTGTTTTTGAGAGAGAGAGAGAGAGAGAGAGAGAGAGAGAGCTTTTCTATTTGAAATTTTGAACCCAGCATTGGTCTTTTCAGTGTTCCAAAATTGCCCATATATGATATACCCACACCAAATCCAACCCTTTCAAATTGAAACCCAGGAAAACCTAACCCAGTCACCGCTCTCCTGCCGCACTGCCATTGCAAAATGGGATGATATGTTTTCCTTTGCTTAATCTTAATCCACATGAGAGCAAAATTCTTTTTCTTTTTTCTTTCTGATCTTGGGCAATATATCTGGATATTATTTGAACGCAAAAACCTAGCCACATGTATAGCCTTGACCTTGGGCAATATATCTGGATATTCATTGTCCTTATTTTTATCTGTCCCATTGACCTCTCTGGGGAGCTGCACTGCATGAAAACCTTTTGCATTGGAGTCAAATAAACTTGGGAATTATGTAGAGGCAGTATTATCAAAGCAAATCCAACGTGGAATTACCGTAATGTTATATTTAAATAAAAAAACATATTTCTCCCAACATCTCGCTGCACTATGCTGCATTAATTAAAAATAAAATAAAAGCTGTATAGGTGATAAATAAATAAAGGTCGTCGTTCATACAAACAAGAGACGACCCCACAAATAAAAAACTGACTTGTCCTCCTTTCATTTATGTTAGAGTCTTTTTTCCTTAAATATTTCATTTCATTTATTCTTCTTCAAGCTAGATGGAATAAGAAAGAAAGGCAAAAGCTGGTTGAGCGCTTTATTAATGATCGGATGCCCTAAAGTTAAAGAGGGCAAACTGCACTGCACTCTGATTTGATAGCTAGATAATAATACTCTACTGTAGGTAGATGATATTGCTTAGTGAAGGATTAAACACGTCATTACATTGGAATACAACAAATTAAGCATCTCAAAAAGTAGATGATAAATTTCTCAGAAGCAGAATCCATTCATCAATTCCTAGTTATTTAGTTATAGAATTGATCATCTTGTAGTGTAGTGTAAACTCATGGATTAAACGACCACAACTGGAGTAGCAAAACCCAACATTCATTTTCGAGATTGTTCATCATAACCTCAACGCCTCAACACCTTTAATCGCTTGAATGTAATTTGCAAGCCTCCTTACACGAGGTGCCGGAGGCATATTATGAACAATGCAATCTTCCACAATCTTCCTGACTAGCTTCATTCCTCGAATTGGACCCATAACGGCAACCAAGTGATCCTATTCATTTACACGCAAAATAAAAATCATTAAAAGTCATAACTCTCTTCTCACTCTACCTCGGCATGTGGGAAGACTAGATAAAATAAATTTCCAAACACAACCATCAAAAGTATGAAAAAAAAAAACACACTAACCTTTGGGCAGAGATAAATGTTACAGCATGTCATTTTTTCAAGTTCCTGCATCCCAATTACATTGTAAAAACAGAATAAGAAATACAGAAACGACAAGCAAAAAAATGCAAACGGGATCTAGAACGCTTTTATGCACCTGTACCGGGAGACTCATGAGCAGTTTCTTCCTAGATTCATACTTATCCTGCACACACACATTACAAGATATTAAAGAACAACATAAAACTGAGCTTTTGCATATGTCCAGCATAACGAAGAGCTGTTGAGTCATAATTTTTATAGGATAGAGAGCAGAACACCAGAAAGTCCATATTCCTCATATTATTGTCACATTAGTTCTTTTATCACTACACCCTAACCAATTGTAAACCTTTCTAAGGTCAAACAACAACTCTAAATGCCATGTTATAGTACTCCTGCAATTTACAGATGCTGATTCATAACTACATAAGAATGCTTATAACAACATAAACGATTGTACGAAATAAAAAATGAAAGGAAACTTAAGAAATACCTACCGGCTTGATACCAAATTTTTTGCAAAGCCCATTGAACATATACCCAGTGTAGACGAGGTAGCATGGCATTCCATTCATTACTTTTACTGCCTGGATCAAAATGTTGCACACTCAAATCAGAAGCTTAATAAATAGAATAAATTTTTTTTTCCTTACAATTCAATGAGAACAGAAATCCTTGGAGGATTCAAGCAATAACATAAGATTTGAAATTTGTACCCGAAGTGGAGGAACTCCTGCTGACAAAAGTCGAATAAGATATCTAGAGTCGAGAAGAGCATATGAGTCCTTAGCCTTGGTTGTCGTGAATGTGATGAAATATTGATCCTAACCATGGTTAAAAAGAAAAACTTAATATGTGCATAACTAAAAATACTCAATATGAGCACAAAGTTAAAAGCAACATTTATTATAACATACCAAATCCAATGCACATGAAATGCCATACTCTTCTAAAGCAGATTTTAGCACCGGCCAAACTTCTTGTAAATCTTTTGCTGTGAAAAGACAACGCCAAGACTCATAGGTAAGAAAGCTTTGTTCTTTTACATAATTATCATAGTAATAATCATATTTTAGAAATCTCATGGATGGAATAACTTATGATGGAAAATTAAACAGAAAATAGGACACAAAGTTGAAATAGTTTAATTTCATACATAACAGCCTTGACAATTTGAAATAGTCTAATCCCTTTTATTTCAATTTCAGAGTCGGTTGTTTTAAAGTGATCAATGATTTCTTCTACTTATTTGGCTCTCCTAGAGTCTTCTATCTTGCTCACAGCCAACCCCCCACCCCAAGTAGCGGCGGCTGCTGCTTCTTCTCTGCGGCCTCACTCTGGATTTTTTTATATAAAAAAGAAAAAAAAATCTTGGTTTTTGTCTGATCTAGGGTTGTAATTATTAACTTAGAATTTAATCAGGGTTTTAGATTTACTTTCATTTAGCGATTAAAACTAGGCTACGAATTTCATCCATCAATCTCATAATCATTACTGGAACAAAATAAGAAACGAAATTTTATTTGCAGTAAATTGATGAGAAGGGCAACAAAAAGGAAGAATAAGAATAAGATAGAAAGATACTCGTGCGTAGGGGCATACGGAGACCGCTCAAATCATATGGGCAGCTGTCAGACCTGGCGACCTTCATGTTGTGGGCGATTATCTCCTCCATGTTGACCTTGTTTGTCATCGTAGCTAATTGTTTGGATACTTGTTCAATCCCTAGCCTACGCACAAACAGAGAGAATGTTTGGGTAGTTGTTGAAAGCCTAGGTACTGAAAGGGAGAGAGAAAGAGAATGTTACCCTAGGCACAGACACAGAGAAAGAGAATGAGTTCCTGTCAACGCCGTGAAAAATAAGAACATGCTTTTTGGTGGGGAAGTCCACATAGGCCAATGGGTTTTGATGGGCTTTGGATTCCGAATAGGTCTCTGTGATCAAGTAAATCACTATCTATTTCTTCTTTTTCCTTTATTGTTTTGGGATAATAGTTCCTGACTTAATTACCCTTTTTGATATATCCCAGTATGTTTTGGGATAGTAGCTCCTGACTTGCCCTTTTTTATTATATCCCAGTTTGTTATTGAAAAGGTACCATCTTATGCTGCTTTTGAATTCTAACACAGGCCTTTTGGTACCGAAAATCTTGTAATTTTCGTTTGAATTTGTTGTTGAGAATTACTAATAAGAGAGAATTGACGGCCATATTATAGTAAACTTACTTTTATATGAAAAAGGGAACAAAAATAGAAGTGGAGTTGTCCTGCATAAGCATACATTTAACGTTCATTATTTCTTTTTTCCTGTTACCGAATTAGGATGTTAGAAGGAAAGAAGTTTGCCTAGTTGATCAGGACATGGGTATGACCTGCATTTAGGCATTCATTTAACATTCATTGATATTCATTCTTTCCTGCTATCAAATCAGGATGTTGGCAGGAAGGACGTTTTCCCAGTTGATCGGGTGATAGAAAGCAACATGGCCCAGTCTCCGTCTATGCTAGACTCTGCTACCTGTATATCAAATGGGAAAATTGATGAACATGGTGAAATTTTTTCTAACAATGATGATGAGATAGGATGCCAAAATATGAAATCTGATGTGCTTGAAGATTTGGAAACCTCTAATAATGTCGACCAAGAAAGCATAACGAGTAATGGTTCTTCTTCGGTGCCTAATTCTAGTGAATCAAGAGGCTCCAAGCGTCTGAATGAGGATGAGGAACTAAACCTTGATAATAAGAGGGGTCGAACCGTTATAATAGATAGCGATGATGATGCTCCACTGAAAGATATTTCAGACTGCAATTTGATAAAATCTGAGGACCAGTCCAATGTGGATGCGAGTATGTGCATATCTGCCCCTGGTGGTCTTCCTTCACATAGTCTGAATAAGGTCTACTGCACTGCTTGTAATAAACTTGCTGTCGAAGTGCGCTCACATCCACTTCTGAAGGTGATTATTTGTACAGATTGCAGATGCTTATTGGACGAAAAGATGCATGTGAAGGTATGGGCATGAGTAACTTTTATGCATGTGAAGGTGCTGATGCACAATTCCAATATAGATACATCAAGTCCAACCTGAGTAACAGATGACAATTCAAGCAGAAATCGAAGTCCAATGTTCTGATGTCTTCCCCGACTTGGCAGTTTCTTTAATTTGCCGTATAATAAATAGTTGTCCCTGAACTCGTTTGTTTTAATTTTCAAACACGTGGTTTTGGCTAAACTTACCAGTTTTATTGTGGGGAATGATAAAGTCCTCACCTGTCTGAGGCGGGGAAAAGAACTTATTTGGGAGATATTCCTTACCCAAATTCACAATCACTTGGTCAAAACTTGGGGCGCAAGTTATTACATTTTACAGTCTGTTAGGGGTTTCTAACTGCATGCTCAAACATAAAAGAAAGTTGACTTGTTGACCACAAATGGTTTTCAAGTCAATGGAGAACTTTTACCCTACCATCATAGACACTACATCAAAATCTCCCAACATCTCGCTGCACTATGCTGCATTAATTAAAAATAAAATAAAAGCTGTATAGGTGATAAATAAATAAAGGCCGTCGTTCATACAAAAACTGACTTGTTAGAGTCTTTTTTCTTTAAATATTTCATTTCATTTATTGTTCTTCAGGCTAGATGGAATAAGAAAGAAAGGCAAAAGCTGGTTGAGCGCTTTATTAATGATCGGATGCCCTAAAGTTAAAGCATAACGAGTAATCGTTCTTCTCCGGTGCCTGATTCTAGTGAATCAAGAGGCTCCAAGCGTCTGAATGAGGATGAGGAACTAAACCTTGATAATAAGAGGGGTCGAACCGTTATAATAGATAGCGATGATGATGCTCCACTGAAAGATATTTCAGACTGCAATTTGATAAAATCTGAGGACCAGTCCAATGTGGATGCGAGTATCTGCATATCTGCCACTTGTGGTCTTCCTTCACATAGTCTGAATAAGAAGGTCTACTGTGTTGAATTATAAATTCCTGCTGGTTTAAGTTTTATTTTACAGATGTAATATTTTGGTTGGATGAAACTAATATGACTCATATTTAAGACAAGTGTCCAGCTTACATTGCTGGATCAATTGTAAGGCTGAGATCACATTCTCAGCATTGTAAAAAGGAATGGTTCCGTTAGAAATGAGAGTACTGTGCACTGCCATGTTTTGTGCATAGCAACGAACCTTTGAGCATTACTGAGTAGCCAATCCATTTTTTCTCTGCATTTTTCTGTTTTCTTCAATTCATCTGGTTTTGTGTGAGCTGATCTGGAGCCTAGGTTCGACTCTGCATCTGGGCGTCGTGAAATCAGAATTGGAATCGAGGAAATCCAACGCAGATAACCTCTATCTCGTGGGTTTGGTCTCATATGGCTGGATCTGGAATGAGTGAGCTTCGTGCTCCCATTTTCAATGGCAACAACTACGATTTTTGGAGAATCAAGATGTGTACGATTTTCAAATCTCACAAGCTCTGGGATATGGTAGAATCTGGGTTTGAACAACCAGTGAAGAAGGAGGATAGTGAAGCTCTGACTACAGCTCAGAAGCTTGCACTGGAGGAAAATGTAGCAAAGGATGCTAAGGTGTTGGGTTTGATTCAGAGTGCAGTCTCTGATGAAATTTTTCCTAGAATCACTCTACAAGAATCTGCCAAAGCAGCTTGGGAGATTTTGCAACAGGAATTTCGAGGAGATAAGATGGTACGATCTATAAAATTGCAAGCACTTAGAAGGGATTTTGAAAATACTCATATGCAAGATGATGAGTCTCTATCTGGGTATATAACCAAATTGCTTGAGCTTCTAAATCAAATGAAGTCTTATGGAGAGGATATTTCTGATCAAAGAATCGTACAGAAACTTTTGATTAGTTTATCTAGAGAATATGATTCTATTGCAGAGGTGATAGAGGAGACTAAAGACATAGAGACCATAGGAGTTCAGGAGGTTATTGGCTCTTTGAAATCCCATGAACAACGGTTGCAAAGGCACACTGAGAAACTGACAGAAAAGGCTTTCTCTAGCCTAAGTGTGAACCCCAAAGAGCAGTCAAATGTTGCACAAGATGGGAGTTCTAAGTCCAAGAAGAATTGGAAATTGCAAAACAAGAAGAAATGGGAGGGGAGGTCTGGAAATACTTTCAAAAAGGAAAATCAGAATGAATGAGCTAAGGGTCCTTGCAAAATCTATGATAAATTTCATTATGGTGTTTGTTGGTTCAAAGGCAAACCTAAATGCTATAAGTGTGAAAGGTTTGGTCACTTGGCAAAGGATTGCAATGGGAAAACACCTCAGGCAGCTCATTATGCAAAGCATATGGAGGAAGAAGGGACAATGTTCTATGCTTGTCATGCTGCCTTTGTAATCAAGAACAATAGTGTGTGGTATGTGGATAGTGCTTGTAGTAACCATATGACCTCACATGAATCTCTGCTCATTGATATAGACACCAATGTCACTGCAAAAGTGAAGATGGGAACTGGAGATCTTGTTCAAGCCACTGGTAAAGGCACTCTAGTGATTGAAACGAAATCTGGACCAAGGCATATAAAGGAAGTCATGCTTGTACCAGGGTTGGATGAGAATCTGCTTAGTGTTGGACAGATGATTGAGCATGGATATTTCTTGCTCTTTGGTGATTCTATAGTGGAGATATATGATGACAAGTCACTGAAACACCTTGTGACTAAGGTTCCAATGACTGGAAACAGATGTTTTCCTCTCCCCCTTCAGTATGCAAATGCAGTAGCTATGAAGGCAACAATTAAAGAAACTACATGGTGTTGGCATAGAAGATATGGTCATCTAAATCTTCCTAACTTGAGAATGTTACAATAGAAAGAATGGGTGTATGGACTGCCAGAAATTGGTGACTTAGAGAAGGTGTGTCAAGGTTGTGCAATGGGAAAATCACACAGAGAGGCATTCGATAAAGAGAAGGCTTGGAGAGCAAGCATGCCACTAGAGCTCATACACTCAAATGTGTGTGGACCAATACAATCCACAACCATTGGAGGTAACAGATACTTCCTAACCTTCATTGATGATTGCACAAGAATGTGTTGGGTATACTTCATGCAACACAAGTCTGAAGTATTCAACATTTTCAAGAAATTCAAAGCCATGGTGGAATTACAGAGTGGATACAAGATTAAAAGGCTTAGAAGTAACAGAGGTGGGGAATACACCTCAACTGAATTTTTGAAGTTTTGTGAGCATATAGGATTGGAAAGGCAGTTAACTGTAGCCTATTCACCTCAGCAAAATGGGGTAGCTGAGAGAAAGAATAGAACTATTGTGGAAATGAGTAAAGCAATGATGCATGAGAATATTAGCATAATTATTAACTTAAGGCTTAATCAGGGTTTTAGATTTACTTTCATTTAGCGATTAAAACTAGACTATTAATTTCATCCATCAATCTCATAATCATTACTAGAACAAAATAAGAAAACGAAATTTTATTTTCAGTAAATTGAAGAGAATGGCAACAAAAAGGAAGAATGAGAAGAAGAGAGAAAGATACTCGTGCGTCTATCAATGGGCTTACGGAGAACCCTCAAATCATATGGGCAGTCAGACCTGGCGACCTTCATGTTATGGGCGATTATCTCCTCCATGTTGACCTTGTTTGTCATCATAGCTAATTGTTTGGATACTTGTTCAATCCCTAGCCTACGCACAGACAGAGAGAATGTTTGGGTAGTTGTTGAAAGCCTAGGCACTGACAGGGCAGAGAGAGAGAATGTTACCCTTGGCACAGACACGGCGAGAGAGAATGAGTTTCTGTCAATGCCGTGAAAACTAAGAACGTGTTTTTTGGTGGGGTATTTATACGAGGGTGACGTGTCTATCATATTTATATGGGAAAGGCTGAATGCGAGAGAAAAGTATTTGCTGAGGAAGTCCACATAGGCCAATGGGTTTTGATGGGCTTTGGATTCCGAATAGGTCTGCGTATTTGTAAAGCTAATGGGTTTTGATGGTTGAGGTCATTGCCTAGACTATTGGCTTTTATGAAAAAAGACCGCTTCACAGTTTATTTCAAGCTAACCGACCAGCCCTCCCCCAAAAACCAAAAAAGACAACACATTGTGTAAAGAGAACATTTTAATCATTTTTCTAAAAAAAATTTAAAAAGAGAAGAAAAAAATACCAACGATACTCAGAGAAGCAAGAATTGAACTTAGAGCCTCTAATGCAACGGTAAATACTCTTAGCACTCAAACTCCTTGCAATGACAATTGTTTTCAGCTAAGGCAAACGACCTTGGTTTAAATTGGCGAAAATCGCAAAATAGACCATATCATTTCTACCCTACTAACATGACCAAAAACATCCAGGGCATTTTTGAATATCCCACTCCGTTTGTTTTTGTGACCTCCCTTTCTATGCTGGTAGGAGGTACAACTATGAAATCAAGACCTGAGCTTCAGCATTTGTATTAAACAAAGAAAAAAATTGTGCAGGGATTTCTTTAAGAATGTTTATTCTGCATGCAGCATGCTGCATTGTATGGGATGAAACTATACATTGGATTTAAGTTATTGTCTGCCCAAGGGCAAATGCAGATTGCTTGAACTTGCTCAAACTTTTCATACCAATAATGCAATTTTGCTCAATTTTCTTCTAGGAAACTCGGCTGCAGTGAATAATAATATACCACACCCTATGACTGTTAAGTAGTCTCAAGTCTGCTGCATTCACATGTAATTGACATTTCAAACAGAGAGTGCATCCACCACCTGAATATCTTGCAATATTATCCTACTTTCCCAAACCCTTGAAGGTTAAAGGGACTGTGACAACCTAGAAGATGCAAAAACTTCTTGCATGGTTACCCAAAGAAAACCAAGGAAAGAAAATCATTAGCATCTTTCATCTCCTAACCAATTGTCCTTTTCCTTAGGGCCAGTTGGCCCTTCCTCTCCATAGAGTTGAGTAGGAAACAAATCAAATAGGTTCTCCACTGAGAATCGAACAAAGAATGGAAGACGATCAATCAACTTATCTAGTTCCGATCGAGAATCATACACAATGGTAGGACCCCAGTCACTCATATACTGCAACCAACATGGTTCTGAAATAACACCATCACCAAGGTACTCAGCTGCCACAATTTGATACTTGGTGCTCGAATCAATATAAAACTTGCTCCGAGCAGCATCATTCCTCACTCCAATGTCAAACTTCGATGACCCCTGAAGGTAGGTTCCAGGATGGGGGTAGCTACTATGACCATATTTTGAAGAATAAACAATTAGCTTATTCCCTTCAATGAACTCTAAGTCAGAAGCATCCACCCATCTACCACCACTGTGCTCTGAGAAATACGCTTGCCAGAGTTCTCCTGTGAAGTTGCTCACTCGTAGAGTGAAGTGTTCCCAGTCACCAACATGTTGCCCTATCTTGTTCATTGCAATACTTACTAAACCAATCTTAATGGTGGCTGGTCCGTTGAAAGGACAGAACACCCACATAGCAATATCACTAAAAGTTCCCCCTAGAGCCGGTTTTACATGAACATATAGCTCTGCACTCTCTATGTTTCCGCCCTTGAGATGATTTCTAGCATCATCGTCATTTGGCAAATCTATCCAAAAATCACTATCATTTTCCCCTCCACTAGGCAAATTGGAGCCTCTGTAATCAATAGGTTCACCATTCCCAGAGTCTTCGTGGTACAAAAGTGCCCCATTTTTGAAAAACCATTGCACTGATGATGGCAAATAAACCTCATCAGGATGGAAGAATACTGTGGGGCCATAGTGCTCAATGAGTGCATGAATCTGGTTCAGATTTGGCATTGCATGTAGGGACGAATCAATATTCTTCAAGCACGCAACTTCTAGTTCATCATCAGAATCCAGGTAGGTATTGCAAAAGAATGTACCAACTGAAACACCACTACACAACATACCCCGTTTGCAGGGTCTTGTGTTCCACACCTGAAATTTGTCCTCAGACAACTTTGAATCCATAGCAAGTACCCGATCACGTGTTTCACAAGCCTCTGTAAGATCTTCTCGTACGCATCTCACTTCTTCAGGTCTGGGCTCCTCAGAGTTGTCAGTGACCACAAAGCCCATGGCCTTATAACCCACAGGTGGGTTTGGCAACCAAATATAACCACACCCATTTTTATTTGAGTCCGCATTCCAGACTAATGAGTAGTTAACGGGCTTTCTTAAAGCTGGTAACTCTAATACTAAGTCTTGGGTACAACCATCTTCCAGCCTTGTGGCAACCGTGTCACGAGCCACAAGAACATACCCTCTCAAAGGCTGGTCATTGGGCTGGCAGTAGTAACCGAGGCAAAAGAAGTCATCAGGGATCCCTGCAGGTCTGTAAAATGTGACACCTTTTGATTTTCCATGCAACAGATTACAGCTCCAGATGCTCTCAAACTTGGTGATCTGGATAACTTCAATTTCTCCTAGGCACATTCTTCCAGTAGCAAAACCTCTGCCTGAAGAAATGACAGTGCACTTTTGTCAGAAAATGGGCTCATAATGATAAGTTAATATTTATAATGACGAATACAGACGCAGTGGGCCCTACAACAGTGTCCCTCAAATAAGCTTATTTGAAATACAAAACGGAGTGGAGTGGGCCCTACAAGAGTGTCTCAAATAAGCTCATTTGAGGGATCCCTCAAATAGAGAGAGAGAGAGAGAGAGAGAGAGAGAGAGAGAGAGAGTTTTTCCTTCCCCTTTGGGCCTGAGTTCACACAAAACATCATTTTATAAAGAAGGCTTTTTATCGCAAATGATCCCTGAGGTTAACGAAATTATCACCTTTCATCCTTAATGTTTTTTTGTGACATTAATGGTCCTTAAAGTTACTCTCTATACATCAAATTGGTCCCTACCGTTAGCTTCCGTCAAATTTTTTGTTAGAGTATTGACATGGCCATATGCGGAGCCCATACATCCAATTATATGAAGCCATCCATCCCTGCCCCCTCTCCTCCCCTCCGTCTCCCCCTCTTCTCTCTCTCCCCCTCTGCCCTTTTTTTCTATGTTCTCTCTCCAGAGCCGCAACACGACACTCTCTCTCTCAAGAAATAATCAAGAAAAGAAGATGGCATCAAATGCAAAATTGGTGACGGGCATTGAGTTGAGTGAGAGCAGAAGAAAGGGCTCTTACACTGCCAATGGTTTCCCTACCAAAAAAAAATTCAAACTTTAAATTTAAAACACTTGGGTATGGGATTTGGGTGTTGGGGTGGGGTGGGTTGTGGTTGGGGCTGGGGTTGAGGGGTGATTTGGTTCGTGGAAGGGAGAGAGAGATGGCTGCAATTTTTATTTTATTTTTTAAAATTGAAATTTTAATCTCCTTTATCTATTTTTATTTATTTATGGTATATTTTATTCATCAAAATCCACTTGGCTTTATATAATTGGATGTGTGGGCTCCATATATCTGCCATGTCAGCACTTTAACAGAAAATTTGACGGAAGCTAATGGTAGGGACCAATTTGATGTAGAGAGACCATTAATGTCACAAAAAAAACATTAAGGGCGAAAAGTGATAATTTCACTAACCATAGGGACCATTTGCAATAAAAAGCGTATAAAGAACTTGAAATTGAGCTCCTACAATGAAGTTAAATTTAGAGACAAACTTCAAACTTTTACATGCGACTAAGGAAGAATATGGAAACTTTCAAATTCCAAAAACTCCAACTTTGAAGGCATTTCAGGAATTTGTTGACCATCAAGTTCGTTCATTTCATTGTTTTATTTTTTTACTGGCATGAAGGTGAAAAGCATAAACACAGTGAATCAGACTCATTCAAAATTTCAATTGTTCTAAGATGAGTTGTTTCTCTTCTTTCTGGAATGTTTGAGTGGATGGGGCAGGTTTTCCAATATGTGGACCTCAAGTTGCCACCGACCACGGCCGGTAGCTTCTGGGAAATACCAAAAGGCCATTATTTACTCAAAACAAAGACAACAAACTAAGGACCACCAAATAAAGAAAAAAGAAAAAGAGAGAACAAGCATATGCAGAACATATTCTGATAACCCCCCACAAAAAAAATAAAAATAAATAAACAGAAGATGAAAGAAATCAAGACAAATACAATCTTAGCAAAGCTCATGAAGCCATCTGAATGCAAATAATTCTTCTTCAAAAATTAGAAACCTTCATTTCTTGAAAGAATAATAAATAAATAAGGAAACAAATTGCAACATATAACTGTGTAAGTTGAGGAAAGAAAGGAACTTGGTGGCATACCTTGAGGCCAGTGTGGGAGAGGTGAAGGCAGAGAGAAGGGCTCTGGCTCAGAGTAATCATACAACTCATAGTCAAACTCACTGCTCCAACACCAAGATTCACACCCAAACATCTTAGCTATAAATAAGCTCGGCCAACTCTCACAAATTCAACAACCCACAAAAGTATTTGTCTTCAAGATCAATTATGGTCCTCAGTCTCTCAAATTCCTCTGCCCATATTTACTAACCAAACCCTCAAGGCTGAAGGAAATTTAAAAGGGAAAGAAGGAAAGAAAGAAAGCTCTTCCCTCTCCCACTCACTCAATCAGCCAATTTATGTTTGAAACTTGAATAATTTGTGTTGTGCAAGGGAAGAGAGCACAGAACCCGTGAGGAAAGAGAGAGACTTGAAAAGAGGTTGAGTGAATAGAGAGGAAGCTGAGAGAGAGAGAGAGAGAGAGAGATAAGAAAAAGGAAAAGAAGGGAAAGGAAGTTGTTGAATGCTTATTTTTGTCTACTTTGCGTACAATTTTCTATTTGGAAATTGGGAGGTGGGCTTTGTTTCAAGCTTTCTTCATTAATTTGGGAAAGCCAAAACCACCACCACTAATTGTCTCCCTCCAATTTGATAAGGAAAGCGGTGAACAGTCCTCGCTCGTGACTCATCATTCGCACCTCACTCTCCATTTTGTCGAGGTTGTGACCACGCTCCAATTTATTTAATTTTACCAAACCAAAAAATGTATTTCATTTTTTTAAGAGGTGTATTTCTGTAATTTACTAAAGATAAAAAAAATAGTTTGTTTTTCAAGTTATCATCAACCACCTTAACCACCTTTTTGGTGGTTGTCAGAATATCATTAACCACCAAGCTTGGATGTTAATAATCTCATGCTCCTAAATCAAGTTGGGTTTCACATTGTGAGTGTCATATGTTAATTACAGTTAACTAAATAGATTAACTGCAGCATCAAATTTAGGCAGCCATAAAATATGACATTTGAGGATATTGTCAGTGGATTTTTGGCGTGGAGTTGTGGCTGAACCCTCAATCAAAAGTCTAAAGCCGCCTCACCTGACTTCGCTTAAAGGAAATCAATACAGAACAAACAGCCTCCTATACTATGTCTATGTCATGGTCGGCCAAAAATTATTTACGAAAAATAATTAAGGAAATCCCAATATTCGATCATCTTCCAAGGGATAGTGGCTAGATTGAATTTGTCACACGTTCACCTTGATTCCACCCACAAATAATGATATTTTTTTTATAATGAAATTTAATAAGACAAAATTGCTAAACTAATTGTAGCAATAGTCTTTGAACTGTACTCAATTTTCATTACACCTGTCGGCCAATTCAATCTCCTATTGCATCATTCGTCATTTCCGTCAGATATGTCAAGTTTTCCATTTAAAATGATTATGTAGTATGCAAATTAGGGTATAATTAAGGGACTATTGCTTATAATTAAGCCTTTAAAAACCAGAAAAGAAGAGAGGAAGACAAAACTGATTATATTGGGCTGAACAAAGCTTCTTCTACTTTGGGCTTAAATTGCAATAAAATTCTAACACAAGATTTTTGGGCCATTGACCGCCAAGAATTGGATCAAGACCTGAAACCCAACTTTAAACCCTTTTCAGTTCACTTCACCTTCAGCTTGCTCTGAGTTCTGGTTAATCCATTAGAATTTTGGAAAGGGAACGACAATAACAATGGCTAGCTTCAGCTGGAACACTCCTTCTCCGTAGTCGCTGGTCCTTCACTTGTCTTCATGGACACCATTCTCGCCTTGCGTCCCCTTCCCAACTGTTTTGCCCCACTTCGAAATCCTCCCTTCTCAATTTTCACCACAAACCGCCGTATCAGAATCCAAACATTCGCTTCCAAATTCCCCAACAGCCCCCGAAATCCAATCCCAATTCCGTACAATCCCCGCTCCTTCAGCTTTCGAGAAGCTTCCAGAAGCTTTAAGGAAGAACAAAGGCCACTTCTTTCCGCCGAATGCATTGCGAGGCAGTTAGTGTTGGCGCTCTTCTGTTTCGCAATCGGTTTTGCTCCGTTTCGGACGGTTCGTGCCATCGCTGCTCCGGTGGTTTCAGAGGCGGTTTTGGATAAGGAGGTAAATTCAAAGGGTCATGAGTATTCAAAGTACACGAAGAGGTTGCTGGAGACGGTGTCTGTGTTGCTGAAGAGTATAGAGGAGGTTAGAAGAGGAAATGGGGATGTGAAGCTCGTCGAGGCAGCATGGAAGGCGGTGAGAGAAAAGAAAGAGGAGTTACAAGAGGAGATATTGGATAGTCTCGATGGGGAGCTAAGGGAGCTGAGGAGAGACAAACAGGTGCTGGTGAAGCGGTCTGATGATGTTTTCGCCGAGGTGGTGAAGGTGAAGAGGGATTTGGATAAGTTGGTGGGCAATGTAGGTAAGGAGAAGGTGAAGGAGAGGGCGGAGGGGAGGTTGGGAAGATTAGAGGAGGAGTATAATGAGGTTTGGGAGAGGGTTGGAGAGATTGAGGATCGGATTTTGAGGAGAGAGACATCAGCAATGAGTTTCGGAGTGAGGGAGCTTTGTTTTATTGAAAGGGAATGCGAGCAATTGGTTCAGAGTTTTACCCGCCAAATGAGGAGGAAGGGGACTGAGAGGTATTTATTGCACGATCATATGTGTGCTCATGATTTTGAATAGGACTGAAAGTCATATAAAGAATTTTTTATTTTTGGTGAGATATGATGTTGAAAGTGATCAACTTTATCCAAGTTACGTTGATATTTCACTTTATATACTGCTGCCAACTTACTTTCTGTAGACTCTGTATGCATAATGCTTTGCTATATATGAATAGTCATTTACAGTAGGTGGTTTTGATAAATGAATCACTACTTTAATTGTTCTTAACTTTGCATGCAATATCTTTTTGGAAAAATAAGAAGAAGAAAATTTAGTAACCAAAATTGTTGTGTGAGTATAAATTGTTATGTGGTTGCAGTGTGCCAAAAGACCCGGTTACCAAGCTTTCTAAATCTGATATACAGAAAGATTTGGAAAATGCGCAAAGAAAACATTTGGAGCAAATTATTCTGCCAAATGTTTTGGAAGTTGATGATCTGGGACCTCTCTTTTATTCGACTGATTTTGCTCAACGTATAAAACAAGGTCTTCAAGATTCAAGGGAGCTGCAGAAAAAGACTGAGGCTCAAATAAGGAAAAATATGAAGAAGTTTGGCAGCGAAAGGCGTTTTCTTGTCAAAACACCAGAGGATGAGGTGGTGAAGGGATTTCCAGAAGTTGAGTTGAAGTGGATGTTTGGAGATAAGGAGGTTGTTGCTCCAAAAGCTGTTGGCCTCCATTTGTACCATGGGTGGAAGAAGTGGCGTGAAGAAGCTAAGGCAGACCTCAAAAGAAATCTTTTAGAAAATGTTGATTTTGGTAAACAGTATGTGGCCCAGAGACAGGTAACTTTTGCATCCTTATCTTTATTGTCAATCTTTGTTTTAAATGGTTGTGAGCTAGCATAAAGGTTGATTACTTTAGTATGAAGTTATATGGAATAGTTCGATAGACCTATTTTATCTGCTATTTATCAAATGTTGATTGCAGGAACTTATTCTCCTGGACCGAGATAGGGTGGTGTCAAAGACGTGGCACAATGAGGAAAAAAATAGGTGGGAAATGGATCCAGTGGCTATTCCTTTTGCCGTGTCAAAGAAACTGGTGGAGTATGCCCGAATTAGGCATGATTGGGCTGCCATGTATATTGCACTCAAGGGCGATGATAAGGAATATTATGTTGACATTAAGGTAAGGCATGTGCATAGTTTGTTCAATTTCTTGCTGTTTGTTATTGTCATTATGTTTCTAATCTTTAAATTCTCAATCAGGAATATGAAATGCTATTTGAAGATTTTGGAGGGTTTGATGGCCTGTACATGAAAATGATTGCCTGTGGTATTCCAACTGCTGTTCACCTGATGTGGATCCCTTTGTCTGAGTTGGATTTCCATCAACAGTTTCTCTTGACCCTAAGACTGTCTCATCAATGCTTTAATGCGTTGTGGAAAACAAGAGTAGTATCATATGCGAGAGATTGGGCTCTTCAGAAATTCAGAAATATAAATGATGACATAATGATGACAATAGTGTTTCCCATTGTGGAGCTTATACTCCCCTACTCTGTATGTTCGTAGCTCACCAGTTCAGATGCTTAGTTTTACTAAGGTGATTATTATTGTTGTTTTAAGTTCTATCCCTGTTTCTTATAACAGGTAAGGATACAGTTGGGGATGGCATGGCCTGAAGAAATTGATCAAGCCGTTGCCTCAACATGGTACTTGAAATGGCAATCTGAGGCAGAAATGAATTATAAATCTAGAAGAACGGATGACATCCAATGGTATTTTTGGTTTCTCATTAGAAGTGTGATATACGGATATGTTTGTTTTCATCTCTTCCGTTTTATGAAGAGAAAAATTCCCAGACTTCTTGGTTATGGGCCATTACGCAGAGATCCAAACATGCAGAAGTTGAAGAAAGTGGTATTGCCTTCTTCCTTCTATTGACAACTTTATTTTTGAAGCTGATGACAATCAAACTGTTGCTTATGCTTTGGAGCATTGTACTATTGTTTCTTGACATTTCCATTGTTATCTTACTTTGCTTTTTTTGAGGTTAAGCTATATATATTTCTTATGGCTAGAACTCTAGCAATTTTAACGATCGTAATGACTTGCAATGCTGTATTGTAATTACTCTGTAAACTTTAGTGTTCTATAATATTTCAATGAGTTGAATGTATTTTTCATATCGAATTTATATGTGCGGGCATGGTATGAAATGGTCTAGCAAATTTGTTAAAATAATTTTAGTATCAGATTCTTTTGAGGCTGTGAGTAGTTTCTATATATCCTCTGTTTTCATTTTAGATTGTGAAAGAAGATGGGATACTGGAACTTAGGTGGCCATTGATAATCGATACTTTTAAAAAAAATTAAAAATTAAAAATTAAAACAGCCTTTTTGGTTTCTTATTACTTAGCATGGAAGTGATATTCACATCTAGATCTTTTGCCATATTGTTTAGCTGCATGAGTTTGCATCTTTTAATTGATCCTCTCTTTTGCTCATCTCTCGCAGAAATTCTATCTTAATTATCGGGTGAGGAAAATTAAAGGCAACAAAAAGGCTGGTGTTGATCCCATAACACGGGCTTTCGACCAAATGAAGGTTCATATTGGAACTTAAAATTCTCCTGTGCTTTGTAACTAGTTGAATTTTGAGAAATTAAATTGTGAGATCAATGGCTGGTTGCAGAGGGTGAAGAATCCACCAATACCATTGAAGGACTTTGCCAGTATTGAATCTATGAAGGAGGAAATCAACGAAGTTGTGGCATTTCTGAAAAATCCTGGTGCATTTCAAGAAATGGGGGCCCGTGCACCTCGGGTATGTTATTGCCAATATAATTTTAGAAATTTCCAGTATAAACTATAGGGTATCCGTACATAATTTACTTTCATAAACTATTATTGGTAATTTGCTTTTCAAACTTCGTTTGAGAATTTTTCAGCATGAAAGTTATGCTGCATGCAAAATACATGATATTCGAATGTTAGCTTGTGCTATGAGCATATATTGATCTTTGTTCAATTAGTCAGTATAGGATCCATCTCAAGTACATACGTTAGACTTCTGCTAGTTGCCGCTGTGGATACTAATTTAATGGGTTGATCAGCTTCTGAAATTGTTTATTCTTTATATTGCAGGGAGTTCTGATTGTAGGTGAGAGGGGAACAGGAAAGACATCTCTAGCACTGGCTATAGCTGCTCAAGCTAAGGTTCCTGTTGTTAACATTAAAGCTCAAGAGTTGGAGGCTGGACTGTGGGTTGGGCAAAGTGCATCAAATGTCAGGGAGCTGTTTCAAACTGCGAGAGAATTGGTAGCTAGCTATCTATCTTGCTGAGTTACTTTATGTGAATTATGAAAGAAATAAGTTCCTTTACCTTTCTATGTCTGTATCTTTTGCTGAGCCAGTTTATGCCATTTCTAGGCACCTGTAATCATATTTGTGGAGGATTTTGACCTCTTTGCTGGTGTTCGTGGAAAATTTATTCACACTAAAAATCAAGATCACGAAGCTTTTATTAATCAACTGCTTGTGGAACTTGACGGGTAACCCTCAGCTCTTCTTTTGTTTATTGGACTAACAATCCTTGAATAAGATTCTTTTATGGGCCTTTCTTTGGCCATATATGATTCTTGAGGTAAGGGGTATTTTGTGTAGAGCTGAGTATCCTTTTTGTATGTATAGATATATACTTGATGTCATTTTAGCTAATAGTAACTGAATAACGTATCAGAGGTGTTGTTACTTTCCATCTCCTTTGTCTGTCTGTGTTAGTAGTGGTGTTAGAAATGATCTGCGATGTATTCTACTCTTGATGCAGGTTTGAGAAACAAGATGGGGTTGTATTGATGGCTACTACTGGAAATCTCAAGCAAATTGATGAGGCCTTACAGCGGCCTGGCCGCATGGATAGAGTATTTCATCTTCAAAGGCCAACTCAAGCAGAAAGAGAGAAGATATTACATATTGCTGCAAAAGAAACAATGGATAATGAACTCATTGATTTTGTAGACTGGAGAAAGGTAATTGCTGAATCAGTTTCTTACCCTATTTGTTTTCACACTAAAGAGGTTGATGAGTTTCTTGTGTGGGTTTGTAACCTGGCGTTACGCAAATGTGTGTGGATGGTTTCTATTGCTCTCTGTTTTCTTACTGAGTTGTGATACCATATATGTCCTCAATATGAGCATTTGAGCTGTTGACGTCATTGCTTAAATCTTTTAGTCCCTTACTTACCCAAATGATTTTCATTTTTGGGTTTTCTTGTTGCTTGTAGGAGTTGATGAGTTTTGTAATTATTTTCTGAAATATACTCCGTTCTCTACTTTTTCTATCCATAAGCTATATTACTCCATCATAATATAACATGTATACCTTAATTATATGTCATTATATTTATTCTTAAAAGCTTTTCTAGAAATTTGTACTTCACATGTCAACATTCTCCGCCTTCAGGTTGCTGAAAAGACAGCTCTTTTACGACCTATAGAATTAAAGCTGGTGCCTGCGTCCTTGGAAGGTAGTGCTTTTAGGAGCAAGTTTCTTGATACGGATGAACTTATGAGCTACTGTAGTTGGTTTGTGGTAAGAAACAATTGATACAGTTGTCTCATTGTCTTTGAAAGAATCCATGTCATTTTTGTATCCATTTTGAGTGTCCTTATTGCTTTTGCAGACTTTCAGCACTTTCATTCCTGAAGGGATGCGGAAAACCAAAATCGTGAAGAAGCTAAGTAAAATGCTGGTGAATCATCTAGGGCTGATGTTGACTAAAGAAGATCTGCAGAGTGTGGTTGATCTGATGGAGCCATATGGTCAGATAACCAATGGAATAGAACTTCTAAACCCTCCTCTTGAGGTAACTAGTTATTACTGCAAGTGTTCTATTAATTATTTCAAGATACTTTCTTTTCATCAATTAGCTGTGAATAGCTTGAGGACATACTACTATACTTTTCTTTCTTAAAACTTTTCACTGCTTTAAATAATTTCTCCTACTCGATTGTCATGGCACAGAGAAAGAAATTAGATGTTTGAATTTGAATATACTAACAGTTTGTGGGCTGAAGTGGTTATATTACCTAGTTAACTTTGGCGGTTCCTTCCTTGACTTGCTTTGCTTAATTGTTGCAACTTTGTAGTTATCCTAGGTCAGGTTGTGCCTTTTAAATCGAAAGTAGTAAGAATAATCTTGGATTCCAGTCCTAATGATGTATCTGTACCTCAAGAGTTTTCTAGTTTTCATGCTTTGGGAAAAAAATTGTGATTTCTATTCATTGTTTATCTTTATTATTGTTAAACTTAAAATACATGTAAGTTTTTAGTTTTATTTACTTCAGGATTTTACATGCGTACAATCATGATGGAACCGTAGTTTCCTTTTGTTTCAAGAGTGATTTAATATAAGTTCATTAATTCTCCAGTGGACAATGGATACCAAGTTCCCACATGCTGTTTGGGCTGCAGGTCGAGGTCTCATTGCCCTTCTATTGCCAAACTTTGATGTTGTAGATAATATATGGCTGGAGCCATTGTCTTGGCAGGTTTGTCCTCTATGTCATTATGTATTTAGATCTCTAAAGGTTAAAAACTATAAAACGTGTTCGATTTATAAGTTTTGTGGGCAGATAATGTTGACAATAATTATTTATGGAACATAACCTGGGAAAACACTGGAGAAATTTAAGCCTCTTTTCACAGGGAATCGGATGTACAAAAATAACCAAGGTGAGAAATGAAGGATCCGTGAATGCGAATTCTGAATCAAGATCATATCTTGAAAAGAAGCTTGTATTTTGTTTCGGTTCACATGTTGCAGCACAAATGCTATTACCTTTTGGGGAAGAGAACTTTCTTTCTTCTTCAGAGTTAACGCAGTCACAGGAGGTTGATTCTTTTCTATGCTTGATCTTTATCCATAAGAAGCAAAGAATATCTTGAGGATGATATGCAACCATAACTGCTTTTCTGTTTTCCCCCTCCCCTTTTTGCAACAGATTGCTACACGGATGGTCATTCAATATGGTTGGGGGCCTGATGATAGTCCTGCAATATATTATCACACTAATGCGGTATTCTTCTGTCTTTACATTCAAAATTTGGTCATGTGATAAAGAAATAGATATTTCTCATGTGTCGTCCAGTACTGTGTACATTATATTTCTTATTCTTTTATGATAATGGAGGGCTACCATCCTGCATAGGTATGTTTGTTAGTTCTGAACTTCGGATATTGTTTTTGTTGTCAGAGCTAGCTCTGCTGCTGTTCTACTCTTCTGCCTTGTGCAGTTTGGTTGATAAATCTTGTTTATTCATCTAAAAATGTATTTCTTTTAGCTTGCATTTCTTATAAAAGAACTGTTTTTTTCTTTTAAAATACATTCAATTGTAATACTCGGGGAAGTTATTGGTTATGGACGTGGGACAGTTCCTTGCCAATCTTGTTAGAATGAGGTAGCAAGTAGCAATGTTTTCTTTGCACTTCCAAATATGCATCAAATTTCACCCCTAGTTGTTTCTATCTGGTTTAAGGGTTCAATAGGCTTCTTGTTTAGTGATGGATTGCACGTTCTCATTGGCACAGGCTACTGCTTTAAGCATGGGGAATAACCATGAGTATGACATGGCAGCTAAAGTTGAAAAGGTATGAAGGACTATTACTCTTATTTCTTACTAATCAATTAGTGAAATATTGGTTGATGCAGCTTATCTACTTATCCCACAGATATATGATTTAGCATATTATAAAGCGCAAGAAATGCTCCACAAAAATCGTCGAGTTCTTGAAAAGATAGTTGAGGAGTTACTGGAATTTGAAATCTTGACTGCAAAGGTGAAAAAATCTTGATTTTGAATTGGCACATCTCTTAATTTGACTGGTACCTTTACACGTCCTCTTTTATCCAATAACTTTAATCTCCATCTATCCATGTTGATTGACTTAGTTGTCTGATATCGGCAAACTACAAACGACATTTATTTATTATTTAATATTGAGATCCACTCTTCTTGGTATTGGCAGGATTTGCAAAGAATTTTTGAAGACAATGGTGGTGTTCGGGAAAAAGAGCCCTTTTTTCTTTCTGGATCTCATGATAGAGAGGTATTTTATCTTTCAGTACTGAGTAGTTATATGCTGTTATTGGTGCCAAAATTTGAATTCCCTTTTTGCTTATTGTATGAAGTTTTATCTGTCAATTTTGTAGTTAGAAGTAGCCCTACTATCATTAATTAGAAGAAGAAAGTATTTCTACAAAACTACTCTGAGCAATAAATTCATTTCATCTGTAACCTATACACTTTATATACTTATGAACTGGGTATATATATATATATATATATATATATATATATATATATCTCTCTCTCTCTCTCATTTTTTTCCCTTATCTTCCTTCTTTCCAGCTACAATCTGGCAGCTTTCTTGAAGGTGGGAATGTATCAGGAACTGCTCTTTTAAGTGGAGCAGCATAGATTTCCGAGGAATAGACAGTTGTAGAACCAATACAAATTTTTTTGGCTCTGAGGTGCCCTCCTATTCACAATGAGATTCAATGTTTGTTTGTAGTGCAATATGGTCTTCCTTGTCCTCATGTCACATGGTTTTTGTTTTTTAGCTTTTTGGCATAAGAGATGTAAGCCAGTTATAGAGGAAATAGTTGTGGCTTGAGAAGAGGCAACATTTTTCCTTCTCAACCACCATTTGTCATTATATTGTGATTGGAAATCCTCATTGTATTTCCTTTTGTCAACGTTGTAATTAAAATTGTTAATAGAATGATTCATTTTGAAAGCATTCCTTCTGTTTACTACCAGTGTTCGAAAAATTGGCCTAGGCGGCCACCCATATACTAAAACATAACCTAATTGTGTTTTTATTTCAACCCTCTGCTTTATATCAAGTCATTTATCTTATGACTCACATATATACATTTTTTTTAAAATTAATTTTGTTATAAATTTATAATTTATAATACAAAATTTTTAAAAAAATTTAAAGAAACGCTAGGCACTAGGCACTAGGCCCCTGCCTACCGCCTAGCGATTTTTCGAACATTGTTTACTACTACTACCCTGATAGTATTTGTGTACTATTTTAGCCTAAATGCCTATAGTACAATATATTCGTAGAAAAGAGAACATTTCTTGGCGGGGTAAAAAGAATTTTCAATTTAAATTAATGTAAGTTATTTTTAATGAACATTCAATGGCATATCCTGCTATGAATGCGTGGTATAAATTTAAGTACAAAGAAAAGAGAAAATGCATTTACATGAAGAAAATTATACTTGTAGAAAAAGCCTGGAGAACAAATTCCTACAGAAGCCCCATGACCGGTGAGGTGCTAAAGATAGGCTTCTCTTTGCCAGTTTTCTGGCCCCTGCTCTCACAAATGCTTTTCCTCCTTGGTTTTGCCTCTCCAAGCATTGTTATGATATCTCTCATGGATGGCCTGTCTTTGGGGTGCTTTGCGGTACAAAGAAGTGCGATTCGGAGGACGAGAAGCATTTCTTCCTGGACATGCTTGCATTGACCAGCTATGCTAGCATCCAGTGCTTCTTCCAAGGCTTTCTTGTTTCTCATCTTCCTTCGAACCCATTCCACGATATCCACAGCTTCCCCGAACGTAGGGTCTAAAGGCCTCTTTCCAGTTATAAGCTCTAAAAGAACTACACCATAGCTATAGATGTCAGTCTTCTCATCAACCTTTAAGGCGTATCCGTATTCTGCCACATAACAATAGAAGTTAGAATTAATAGGGCTAACTAGTTTCGATAGTATGGTTTCTGTTTGAGCAATTAAAAAAGGTTCTTGGTAACTAACTTACCAGGAGCAATATATCCGTAAGACCCTGCTACCATTGAAACCGTCTCATTCTTGTGCATCATCATCCTCGCTAACCCAAAATCTGCTACTCTGGCGTCAAGGTTTGTATCCAACAGAATGTTGTTCGATTTGATATCTCGGTGGACGACTGGTGGCTGACAGTCATGGTGGAGATAATTCAAACCTTGTGCAACACCCACTGCTATATTGTATCTTGAAACCCAGTCTACCAACAACTTTCCTGCTTGGTTTCCATGCAATGCAGTCCCAAGGTTCCCATTTGGCATGAACTCATATATCATCACCACATCGGTTTCGTTGTGAAGGTACCCTAGTAACCGTACGATGTTCCTGTGCCGGAGCCTGCCCAAGAGATTCACTTCACCAAATAGATCATCCCCATTTTCAATGTCTGTCCCTGGCCTCCATAGCTTCTTAACTGCCACAACTGAATGTGGCCGATGGATTTCAGCCTTATAAACCACCCCACTCCCGCCCATGCCAATAATATTTGATTCTTGTATGCAAGCAAGAATGTCAGCACTTGTGAAGTTAATTCTCTGAAATGCTACTAGCCTCCAAGGCCATTCTTGATTGGTAGTCTTAAACCAGTTGTTAAAGCTGTTATATGAGTACCACTTCCTATACACCCATCTCCCAGCGAAAAATGCAACGCCAAGACATGAAATTACTGAGATTCCAATGATGAATCCAGTGATGATGTGCTTGATGTGCATGTTTCGATGCGGACCTGCTGTTGCGGCTAAGCTTTGAGGGCATGGTGGAAGTATGCCTCCACAAAGACCAGCATTGCCTATGAGATCGTTAGGATTGATGGTCATTAACATACCATATGCTGGTACTGGACCCTCAAGTCTGTTGTAAGACAAGTTAAGCATCTCCAAGGCTGGTGAACTTCCAAAGCTTTCAGGGATTTTACCAACCAAAGAATTGTTGGACAGATCAAGAATGGATAATGTACGCATTGTTGCTATCGGTCTAGGGATTTCCCCATTGAACTGGTTATTTCTAAGGTTCAGATTTACCAGCTTCTCACAAGAAGCTATGCTCTCTGGAATTTTTCCAGAGATGTGGTTGTTTGAAATATCGAGCACTGACAGCGACGGGCAATCTTGGAACTGGTCTGGGAGTTTGCCTTCCAAGTTGTTATTGGAAGCCATGAAAGTTTGAAGATTTGGAAGGGAAAGAATGGTAGAAGGAAGAGATGATTCAAGGTGGTTCCAAGAGACATCAATGAAGGACAGAGATGTAGACAAAGCAATGTCCACAGGAATTTGACCAGTAAGATTGTTTTTAGCCAATTCTAGCCTTTGAAGAATAGGAAGATTTCCCAGACCAACTGGCATGGTTCCTGAAATAAGATTGTTTTGCATACGAACACGAACCAGTGATAAACAAGTTGAAAGACCTACTGGAATTGGACCAGAAAAGGAATTGTTGAAGAGGATGAGTTTTGTGAGATTGCCAGAACTACACAAACCTGGTGGGATATCACCTGATAATGAATTTGATGACACATCTAACCACTGCAATGGGGAATTCTTTCCAAGGTTCACTGGCAAAGGACCTGTCAAAGAATTCTTCCATAGCTCAAGTACCTCTAAGTTGGGTAACTCGCCAAGCTTGTTAGGAACTGAACCAGTTAGTCTATTGCACATTAAGTTCAAAAGCTGCAAATTCATCAACTGTGCAAGCTCTGCTGGAATCTCTCCTGAAATCTGATTATCAGAGAGATCCAAAAACACCAGTGATGTAATGTTACCAAAGTCTGGTGGAATTTTTCCTGTAAAATTGTTTTTGTACAAATAAACTGTGGTAAGTTTTTGTAGCCTACCCAATTCAGGTGGGATTTGACCACTGAGATTGCCAACTGCCAAGTCAAGATACTGAAGATTGATAAGATTGCCAAACTCTGCTGGGATTTCACCTTCAAACGCATTGTATCCGAGAACAATAGTCTCTAAAGAGGAAAGGTGGCCAAGTTCTCTTGGAAGGTTTCCAGTGAGATTGTTGCCAGAAAGGCCAAGAAACTTTAGCTTCTGCAGCTTCTTGTAAGATGCAGGGATTGAACCTTCGAAGAAGCTCCCTCTGAAATCTAGGCTTTCAAGGGACGTGGCATCTCCAAGATCCTCTGGGAGAAAGCCTGAGAAGTTATTGCTTGATGCATTAACTGAAGTCAGTCCTGAAGCGCTTCCAAGACCAGTTGGAAAATCACCAACAAAGTAGTTTTGACTCACATCAATGGTATTCAGTGAGGTAAGACTGGATAGCGATTTTGGCAACGATGATGCAAAACCATTACAAGAAATGTTGAGAGTAGAAAGACTGTGTAAGCCTTGAATGTGATCGGATACATGGCCGCTGAGGTTCATGTTGGAGATGTCCAGCTTCTCTATAAAGCCTCTGGAGTTGCACATAACTCCAGTCCAGTTACAATGGGGTGAACCTTCCTGAACCACATTGCTTGGAATTTTCCAATCTTTGAGGCCATCCATTGGATCAACAAGACTAGCTTTGATTGATAGTAAGGTGGATAATTCCTCATTCGGCACGGTTTGAGCTCCCTGAGCCTGAGCGAAAACGAGAGAGAGGCCAGTGAAACAGTAGAAGAACATCAAAAGGGTTGACATGTTTGTTGTTCTTCTACCTGGTATGTTCCTATCCTAGCTCTTTAACAGAATGGTGGCATTTTCTGGGCTTTTGGAACAAAGGGAGGAAGAGAGTGTCAAAGACACAAGAGAAGAGAGAGAGGAGAAAGAGAGAGATTGATTAAATGGGTTCAGTTTTGATAAGTAATAATGACAGATTGGGATTAACTTATTGTGAATACGTGGGTTCTTGGGATCAGTGGGTAGCAGCTAATCTAATTATATGAATCCTAATGACTGTCAAGGTTTGGAGTTATTGGAAATCTCTCAGACAGCAAAACATGGAGAGAATGTGTTTCCAGGGACTGATGATAAATACTTGCATATTCTTATAATTGATCATAGTCAACTCAGACTGGTATTAACTAATAATGGTACTTGGTTTCCTTCTTCCTCTTTTTTCTTGTAATTTATTGTGAAAAACTGTACTTTCATCTTCTGTTTAATGTCCCAATAGAATTAGCTCCTCAGCAGCTTATTAATTACTTGGGAAAACACTGACATGCATATGCTTTTGTAGTTATTTTAATAAAATAACTCCCCATTCTCGTTTGTCAAGGCTGGTTGTGCATTTTAACTTATAAGCAGTGAATTAATATGCTTTTTGGGTACTGGTCCTGGACATGATTAATTTGGGCAGATGAGAATCTCTCCATGTTATAACTTATAAGATGTGGAAAAACAACACATGATAGACAACTTGGAATTTTCTCTCACACAGAGAGAGAGAGAGAGAGAGAGGAGATGGATGGTGGGTCTCCTTGAAAAAGGAAAGAAGTGTTTTCTTACAATTCATTTTCCTAACTAGGCACCAAATACCAGTCCCTCCCATAAAACAATTGTCTGAAGCCTCCACAACTTCACATGCACTGATCTGGCTCTTTTGCAATAATTTATATATGAATCAAAAAATAATGCAATGTAAATGTACAGATAAACAAATGAATATTTGCAAATGGGTTTAAATGGAAAATTATTAGACAATAATTGAATTGAAAGCATAAAAAAGATGGAAAAGCCTGGAGGGAGGCCATGTGAAAAGGGCAGCTTCCTTGGGAGAGGACTGAAAATTCTTATTATTATTTGCAATGCCATGGGAATTAGGACAAACTGCCACTAAACAAATATGTATATGGGCCTTTTACTTTACAAAAATATGTAGATAATGGATGGATATGTGTATCCATTTCAGAATCAATGAGGGGGTGCATGATTAGTTAGGTGCCCCCACATGCCTATCCCAAAAAACAAAGCCAGTGAAAGCCGCCGCCACCACCATTAATCATTCATTGGAGGAATCAATCAAATTCATTTGTGGGCACCATATGACTAAATAAATTTTTTTATACAAATAATAGTCTAACTTATTCTAAATAAAGCTAATATAAGGGGAGGAAGATTCAAACTTGAATGCAAAGAGGTAGGCTCACTGTCCTGATCAACTATTCTAATCGATTTTTGCACCATATGACAAAACATAAATCATATGATTGAGGAGTTTGGGCCACGTGGTTGTTGGAGCCTGCTTGATTGATTCTCGTCTCTTGGGTTTGAGTTTGTAAAGGTCCAACAAAAAATCAGGTACTATGTGGACAGACCTAACAGACTTCTACTATGGTAGTGGGCCAGGGAAAAGTTCACGAAGCCCATTATCGGAATTAGAGTCCGTACTATGTAGACCGACCCAACTGCACTGCCTCTCTCTCTCTCTCTCTCTCTCTAGACGTAAAAGTGAGCTAACCTAAGCAGACTACTTCAGCACCGATGGACTTCGTTTAGGTGAAAAACAACACGTGGTTTATCTACCACTTTGCTTGCTCGAACCATTTTGTCCCGTATATCTTGACCAAAAGAACAAAAGTAAAGGGTTTGAAATCAAAATCCTCCCAAGTAATTAATTTATGTACTTTCTTTTGGCAGTTGGTTGAAACTTGTTGGGTTATAACCATGAACACAGAGAGCCTTGATGATGAGGAGAAGGAGATGTTGGAAGGATAAAGATTGTCCTCATTCGCATGCAATCCTTAATGTGCTTTTATCAAGAAAAGCACATTATATAATTCCGTGAAGCAAACAAGATGACCAAATTATTAGTTGCTTAGTTTGAAATTTACGTATTAATTTCCATAATCATCCCAAATCCTTGGAACTGAGTCCCCAAAGAAAGGAAGAGATCAAAACTAGAAACAACCTTGTACATGTAAACCAACCCTATCTTGTCTATACTATTTTGTGAGTATATATATTAAGCGCCACAGATGAGTTCACATTTTGCAGAGTATATAATATAAGACTTGTAATTCAATTGAGTGTATTGAATGTAACCAATTAATGCAGTTTTTTTTATAAATATTTTAATACAAGCAATATTCTACTTTAATCTAATCGGGCTAGTTTGGGAGTGATTCTGGATAGGCCAAAATCACTCCCAAAAACGAACCCTAAACTATGTGGAGGGGGATTCGAACTCGGGTATGCCGGAAATTATTATTTATATATAGCATTAATCTAACCTGGGTTTTATAGAAGCAAGCAAATCATTCAAAATACGAATCGATGACCACTAGTAAAAGAAGAAAGAAATTATTACACTGGAAAAGCTAACAACAAATTACAACTCAAAGTTATTAATAAGGGCTAATTCATAGTTCCACTAAATGAAATTAATAACAAGATATAAAGTCGGAGTTTCGATCCCATATGGGGGGGAGGGAGGAACAGCACAGCAGAAGAAAGAAATAATTAAGAAGCGAACAAGTAAAGTAAAAGTAAATATGAGCCAAGAACCAGACTTGCCGGGTTACATCTTTTTCTTCAACCCCTTTTGCTTTGGTTGCCTCCTTGTATTTCTTGCTAATTGAGAGCAGTAGAACTCATCTGAAAGCCGTAAGCCTAACCATTTTTAATTCCATTTCCATGGAAGCTGATGATGAAGATCAGCCTCTCTGGACATGCATGGCTCCTCCACAGCCACAGCTTCTGTTGAATTCTTGTGCTCGTCGATCTCTCTAAGTGGCATGATCATGATCTTCTTCCTGTGCTTTTGCTTCAACAAACCAAAATTTAAATTCTTGCTACTTTCTATTTCTTGTGGACTTGTTGGTATATATATAGAATACATAGCCGGAGAGAGAGAGAGAGAGAGAGAGAGAGAGAATTTCTTAGTTCTTGGTATATATGACAGTCCCAAAGGGTAAGGCTAAAAATAAAATAGCATATCACTTATAAATAATATTGTATATATAAATGAACTACAAATCTGATAGATGAAGACCTACAAAACTCTTATTGGTAAAATCGTACAGGAGATATGTCCCATCCCATAGGCAGAGAAGCTTTTAAATTAGACTGTGAATCTTAGCTGAACCAACTTACGTGGGGTCCATTCATGAGAAAGCTTCATTTCCTCTAAGCCCTCCATCTGTGTGTATTCTTTCTAAATTTATAATGAGTTGGTTGGTGCATTTGTTGGGTGCCCAATTCACCACCATTCAGCAAAAAAAATAAAGGCCCCAACCATTTTTTTCTCTTTAAATATCATTATGGCAATGCAATCTCTACCTTTTTCTTGTTCGTTCTTATTTAACGACAACGATATCATAATGCTAATGACCACTACTAAGAGTCATGAATATCCCAAGAATCTATGCCACCAATAATCCACATCTTTGGAACAAAAGTTTGACCTTTGTCCTTGCTGTCTCTCAATAGAAACTTATATATCATAGTGCTCTCTTTTAGTCTTCGATCGATTGGTGGGCATCAATGAGGGGGTGCTCTCTTTTAGCGTTCTTGAAAGAGGGGGATGACCCCCCCAATCTTTTGACCCTTTGATCTCTAAGTTTTTCATGAAATAAAGTATCAGGGTTTCTTTTTTTTAATAATTTTATTTGCCTTTTGATGAATGATCTTTGGATTCATTGAAGAGTGTGGAAAAGTAAAAGTGTTGGCCCTTTCTTTTCCTGAATAGTAAAGTAAGTTAACTTGTAGACTAAGGTTACAAATCATAGATAAAATCATGATATTTACAGTGGTCACTACATGGGCCAATCTCCCCACAAATACGTAATAATTTTGTCACGAATTGTTGAAGTTATGTGTATATATTAATCAGAGCGACAAATAAGCAAAGGGTTTGCATTACCCTTTCTAACCATTGAAGAGTGATATTGATTTTTTTTCAATACAAGTAATAATCTTAACTATAATAGGAGATCGATGGGCTTTGCACACACACTTTCAAGGTGTTATGAGAGTTCGAATCTGAGACCACTAATCTATTCCATTAGGCTAAATCCCGTCAGAGAGTGATTTTGATTTTTGAATGGCTGAAAAATGTTTGATTGGGTCACCAAAGTGGCAAGAATTTGTAAGGAAAAATAATGTTAGAGACTAAATATACCAGAGAGACTGAGAAAGGGACAAAATTTCGGCAACGGGGTTGTAAAAAAACTTTATTTAAGATTATTGTCACATAATGATCGGCTGAAGATGATGATGAACAAATTAAGAAGTGGAAATGGAGACAAACAATAATTGCTTGAACACGTATGATATTTCTGTCGTTTATGCATATATAACAAATACGTAAAGGTTAAGAGTGAGTAAGATTGATTCGATTTGTCTTAATCTCACCGCCCCTTCTTGACTAAGCTAATTATATAATAATTTGTAATTAATTTTACCTTGCCAAAAGTCATGTATGCGATGCTCAGATTCCCCCATTGTGGATATGGAGGTAGATTACTATGCCTGCAAATTTTAAAAAATATTTATTGGCTAATTAGGTAATATTATTTGTGCTATATTCGAAGTGTTTATTGCTCAATGTTGCATGTACTTGTATATTCATTCCACTAACTAGGGGTTGTCTGATTTTCTATGTAGTGCTGGCTTCTCTAGTGGCTTTGCCGGCGACCGACCTTTAGACTAAAAATTATGTGAGAGCATAATATAAGTAAGTCTCACCTCTATTATAAAAACGATACATAACATAATATAATATAAAAGATAGTTTAAATTATATTAAGGTAGATTTCTCACATACACACTATAAGTCAAGAGTCAAAAGACTAGAGAGTTTACAATATAAGATTTGACTAAAGTTTCAAAGGGCATTATAACTAATAAGCCTATATTATATTATGATCTTTCAACATATCCAAAGCAGAGAGTGAAGAGTGAGAAATTTCATAGTAAATCAATCTAAGAGTTTAATTTTTTATTCTTTTTTTTCTATGGGAATGTTTAACTTTGATCTACCTCATTATCTCGAGTGCTACTAAATTATGTTACTACACACATTATTTGTCATAGAGAATTGAATGCTGAGTTGGAGTGGTCTTGGTAAAAAAAATGTGCATTTTACCGAGTCTTTAAGACGTGCATGGAAAATGGAAGTATTACCTAAAAAATACATACGTACATGTATAAGACAAGTATTAAACTAGAAAATTCTAAATTTTTTATACGAGTATTAACTCTGGAAAACTAAAAAAACAAAAGGGGACAATAGAGACTCGGGTAATGGCCTAATAATAATGGAAAATGCTTTAAACTAATAACTGAAAATTAGGGGCAAAAATATTTTTTTAAAGGCCAAGTATAGCCGCGCGGCTGTACTATTTAAAAAAATCCTGGTTATAGCCAGGCTTCTATACAGTTTATAAATTTTTTTTAAAAGTCCCGATTATAGCCTCGCGGCTGTACTATTTAATAATAAAAAATTTAAAAGAAGCCCATAGTATAGCCGCGCGGCTATACTATTTATTTAAAAAGAGATAGAGAGTATAGCCGCGCGGCTAAACACAGGATTTTTAAAAAATATATAATATAGCCGCGCGGCTATACCCGGGACTTTTTAAATTTTTTTATTAAATAGTACAGCCGAGTTTTTTATTATTATTTAAAATAAATAGTATAGCCGGCCGGCGATACGCGGTGCTTTTTTTTTAAAAAATTTATTCAATAGTACAGCCGTTCGGCTATACGCGAGACTGCTTGGAATTTTTTTAAATAGGACGGCTGTGCGGCTATACTTGGTCCTTCTCTATTTTTTTTCCCCTGAATTTCGTTTATCGATAAGAGTAGTTCAAAGCATTTTCCATTACTATTATGTCATTACCCCAAGTCTCTATTATTCCCTTTTGATTTTGTACTTTTTCAGAGTTACTACTCGTATAAAAAATTTAGCATTTTCCAATTTAATACTTGTATTATACACGTACATATGTAATTTTTTTTAATAATACTTTCGTTTTTTATAAAGGCTCTGTAAAATGCACATTTTTTACCAAGACCACTCCAACTAAGCATGTAATTCTCTACGACAAATAATGTGTGTAGTAGCAGAATTTAGTAAGATAATGAGGTATATCAAAGGCAAACATTCCCACACACAAAATTGAACTCTTAGATTGATTTACTATGAAATTTCTCACTCTTCACTATCTCTGCTTTGGATATGTTGAAAGAACATAATATAATATTGACTTATTAGTTATAATGCCCCCTAAAACTTTAATCAAATCTCATTTCCCATAATACTACTATATTCAAGTGTACGGTATACTTTCCAAAAAAGGACAAAAACAAATAATGGGCCCGGATTCCGAACTTGTTTAGTTAAAGGGTAAGTGGGCTTTGACTGAAAAATGGATTGCCAAGTGTCTCCTCGGCCCTGATCAAACTCCTATTTGGGCTTGTAGGACTGATTTGAGGAGAAGGGCAATGCCCTTGATTGGTTACGACATGACACTATGGTAGGCCTCATTGCAGAGAATCCGTGTTCTACTCTGAAACAAGTTAGACTATTCCCGAGCCAGGTCAGAGACGTCGAACACAACGCATGAAAATGAAAGCAAGCCCAAATTCAAAATCAAACCTCTGTTTTGTGTTGTCAACAAAATCCCAATCCCCAACTCTTTGAATTTCTCGAGAAACCTTCAAATAATAAAATTGAATGTTTATAATGAGACTGAAGGTGTGGTTTGTGTTAATAGCGCTTGTGCTGGCTGCCACGATTCGACCAAACGGTGCGTTTGAATCGTCGTCTTCCCGGCATCAGACGTCGACGGAGGCTTATGTCACGCTCTTGTACGGAGATGAGTTCCTACTGGGTGTTCGAGTCCTCGGCAATTCGATACGGGACACTGGATCCACCAAGGACATGGTGGCTCTGGTCTCGGACGGCGTCTCCAATTACGCCATGAAGCTTCTCGAGGTTATTACTCTTATTTTGTTTCTTTATTTTTGGTACTTGCGCAAATTGAGCTGTGGAGAATCCATTTCTATCTAATTAAGGAAAGTGGCTGAGCTTAGGCTTAGTTGAGTTTATGGACTTTCCTTTTTTTCAGAGCGGCAAGTTAGCTAATTGAGTATCAATCAGGTTTTTTGCATTAACTGAATTGTGAAGTGATTTTAGGAAAAATAAATGATAAAATTTTCTGCTTTACCTAAAATCAATTTTTCATTCTATTAAAGTTCCAGCTGCGGCAAATACCCCTACATCAGATTGATTGTAAGCGTGATTGTTTTGGTGAATATTTGTGCAGGCTGATGGATGGATAGTGGAGAAGATTAGTTTATTGGCAAATCCCAATCAAGTACGGCCGTCGAGGTTCTGGGGTGTCTACACAAAGCTGAAAATTTTTAACATGACTAACTACAAGAAAGGTAAAAATCTTCAATTGCTTATTATCAGAAGTCAAACAGACCTTGTTACGTTCCAGTATTTGATTGTTTTAGGATCTGTCCCACTTTTTCTCTGATAGCTGATTGTGTTTCTTATCTCCTGTGGAATATCATTATGCAGTTGTATATCTTGATGCGGATACTATTGTTGTAAAAAATATCGAGGATCTTTTCAAATGCAGCAAATTCTGTGCTAACTTGAAGCATTCTGAGAGGCTGAACTCGGGAGTGATGGTAGTGGAACCATCTGAAACTGTTTTTAACGATATGATGAGACAAGTGTCCACTTTGCCTTCTTACACTGGAGGTAAAATAACTCTGCATGTAATTTTAATCACATCTCACTGCCTGTACGTTCTTTCAACGTAATTATTTCTTCATCTGCATGTCAGTGAGTTATGTACTAATGGGTATGTTTTATGTAGACCATAATGCTTATATGGTATGGATAATTGATCTGTACAAATATTATTCTGACTGTTGGAGGGAAGTTTAAATGTATTGTCAAACCCAAGTGTGAGCTTCCAAGTCAAGCTCATGTTTAGGACACAGAATTTAGTTAAACTTTATAGTTATGGTATGATGATGCCAGAACTGTTACTATTGTAGATATTGAATTCAGATCAAATTAAATTACATTGTTGTTGTCAGTGCTCCACTGATTTCTGATACTGACATGTAAGTCTGTCAAAAGGAGTTGCTAGATATGAGTTCTATAAACTTGTTAAATACTCAAATACATGCTTAAATTACCATTGTAAATTTGGTCGTTATGATAGGTGTATTATATGTTTCTGAGTCATGTGGCATCCTTGGGAGAAAGCATTGATCCATTATAGTCATTTCGCTCTCTAAACATTTATGTGCTTTATTTATTACAGGAGACCAGGGGTTTCTGAATTCCTATTATTCTGACTTTCCCAATGCCCATCTTTTTGAGCCAAGTTTACCAGCAGAGGTGCGGAAGTCTAGACCGGTTCCTGCAATGGAGCGACTTTCCACTTTGTATAATGCAGATGTCGGTCTTTATATGCTGGCAAACAAGGTGAGTATGAATGGGTGTTTGAAATGTCTTATTAACGCTGGTTGACTAGTTAAATGCTTTCAATTGCATGTATGATATCAGTGCCTGCACAATCACTCCCAAATGTAAAGTACCATAGAATGAGATGATATTTCTATTGCATACACTTAAGGAATAAGATTTGGCATTGGAGAAGCTAGGTTTTCAATACAAAAGAGTGAGGTTATCACATTTTATTGTATACACAGGTGTACACAAGAGTCTAAAGATGTAATAAAAGAAACCTTTTAATTGGTGTTTGTGAAGCTAATTGGATTACAAAACTGCTAAAAATGTCACAAGTTCTGTCGTGCTACTCAGAACCCATGTTTATGGTTGAAGATGGAACTCCAATTCAAGCTGTAAAGATGTCTTATATCTACAATTTGGACTGCTAGAATTTTCTTTAGTTTGTCCTATTGAACAATAAGGTGATGACCCATATGAAGTGGCTAAATGGGAATGTACTATTGGTTTGTATTTGTTATGCTTATTAAGTTGTTTAATCTGCTTGTGCGTTACACTTTCAGTGGATGGTAAATGAAAGTGAACTTCGTGTCATTCACTATACACTTGGTCCCCTTAAACCTTGGGATTGGTGGACATCTTGGCTTTTGAAACCAGTCGATGTCTGGCAGGTACTGCTTTGAATTATTTTAAATATCTATGTGGTTATCTGATATTTTATGTATAAATATTTATTGTAACTGTTGCATTCAGAGAGGATATAATCAATGACTTTCGTTGATACTGCAGAATGCTAGGGTACAGCTTAAGGAATCCCTTCCAGGAACTGGAGGAGGCAGAAATCCAAATGACGCTCTTCTTGTCAGTTTTCTTTTCCTGCTACCATTTTGTGCTCTACTCTTTTGCTACTATCGGTCGTTTCTTCAGGTTAGCAAGTACATGATCATTTTAGCCCAATTTTGAGAAATTTTTTATTATATATTTTATTATATATTTATTTTTTCTGAATATCAAGGTATATGAATATTGGTGCAGTCACAGGAGTACTTTGGCTCGTTATGTAGAAGCTCGTTGTATGACCAAATCAAACACCTTTACTACAAGATTAGATCTGCGGTGACACTTAATTATACTGTTGTTTCTACTTCATCCTCCATTAATCCCAACCATCAGGTTAAATCCCATGTCTCAGTTGTGTCTGTTGGACTGGTCCAATTTCCTTTCACTTTCAAGCTCATCTTATATAAAATAGACTATCTTCTGCACTTTACAAAGTTACGTGGTCATTATAAAGTTTTTGTTTGTACTTATGCTGTGAAACAATCCTTTAATGTGATGCAGACCAAGGTGCCTGTTTATTTGGGTGGGATCTCTATTGTTGTCTGTTTCATGGCTGCCCTGGTGGCCCTTGCTCTTGCTTTTGCAATTGTGCCTCGACAGGTTATGCCATGGACTGGTTTACTAATGATGTATGAGTGGACATTCACAATCTTCTTTATATTATTTGGAGGTTATCTCCATCTAATTTACCAGTGGGGAAAGGGAACGGCAGTGCAAGCAGGAGCCTTGTCCTCTGTTCCTGAATCAGTTGATTATGATTCTGGGAAAGGTTAGTTGGCTTGAGTTAATCCAATGCTGATGTACCAAATTTCATCGAATTAGTTCCTTGTTTGTTTTGTTTATTTATTTACTAAATTAGTTGATGGTTTTTGGATGTGTTATAGGTCATCAACGGCAAGAATCTTTATGTGCTAGTGCTACACTGTGTTATGGGCTAGGAATGGCTTTTCTGGCTATTGCTGCTCCATCTTTGCCATGTCTTTTTGGGATAACTGCTCTATTTTTAAGGTAATTTGCTCCTGCCTGTGCCACTTTTCCATCTTTAGGAAAAATATGATTCAAAAAGAGGGCTAAGAATAATTTATGTTATTATGACATTTAACAGGCTAGGTTTGATGGTCGTGGGAGGCCTGGCTTTGGCATCTTTCATGACATATGCTTCAGAGCACCTTGCAACTAGGTCATTTTTAAGAGGTTTCGAAGATCGAGATGGAACGAGAAGTAGGAGCTTTTGTTTGTTGTGTTGACTGGTGAACAAAACTGAGTATGTAACATGTAACTGTAAGAAGTGTTTGATTCCTTTTGTTGTAACCTATTTCGCATGGAAAGGCCCGACCATTAGTTTGTAAAGTATTGCAGAAAGCTTGTTGATCTAGAATTGCTTGTTATCCAAGAAATTTTGTGACAATATTCTTTCAGAAACTATTAATCATAATCCCGATTCCCGACATTCTTGTGTACCATCGGATTTTGCAGTCTAAGCGAACAGCGATATAATAACACTGTTTCTTGTTTTGTGGCAATAGTAATTATTAATCGTTAATAGCTGATATTCAAAAAATAAAAAGTTGTTATCATCCTAAACAAGTTTAATATATATATATATATATATATATATAAAAAGCAAAAGGCAGAGAATGGTGAAACATTCAAAATACTAAAAAATGCCATTAGTTAATTCAAACATTAAGAATTGAAATTATTAATTAAATGATGATAATATGGTAAATTCATTTTTTTTTCATATTTAAAAAAATATAAATAAAAACAAAATCAGATAATAAGTCCTATTTTTATAGAACATAACTACCCATGTTATCTTTTCTTAATTCTAAAAATAAAATAAAAAATAAAAAATAAAACCAATTGGCACATGCGTGAGGGGCTAGTTGTTATTAATTATTTTTATTCACCTGTTGTAGTCTTCCTTGTTCACTATTTAAATACTAATTATTCACTAAAGAAATAATAATTAAAACATAATTACTAATTAAAGTAATTACAAAAGTCTAAGATATTACTTAATTATAAAAAATAAAAATAAAAATCATTTTGTGCCGTATAGCCGGACGGCTATACTATTTATATATTAATATATTTTAAGAGTAAATCCACGTGGCTATACTCCTTAAAATTTTTGTATATATTTAAAGGGTACAACTTGGCGGCTATACTTTTAAAATATTTAAAAGAGTATAGTCCCCCATTAATATTTTAAACGTCTAGCTACTCGGCTATACTATTAAAATATTGTATATATTCGTATATATTTAAAGAATATACTTTTTAAATATTAATATATTTTAAAAGTATCTTATGAAAGCAGCAGTCTTAAAACTAGAAAAGCACCCCTAAGAATGTCTGGATTGGTTGTGGCATCAAACACCACAAAGCAAATGTTTTCGAAGAAACCAACCGCATAACCAATGACATATCCAGGATTTGGAAGTTTTTTTTTTTGATTAAGACAGGATTTGGAAGTTGAGTAGGCAGAATTTACACATTGTATGAATATGGGTATGGATATGCTCATATAAAAAATTTCCAAAAACTAGGATACATGTATGGCACTAATACAATGATTAAAATAATATAAATAGCAAAATTGATATTACATCTATCATGTTATAATCATCCATCAAATAAGAAGAAGAAAAAAATCTGAATCAAATGCATTTTGATTATAAAAAAAACATTTAGTACATGTAAAAACAATTAGCATCTATTGCTAAAAAACTAGGCTCTAGTGTACAAGAAATTGGGGTTGGGTGTAAAAAAAAAATTGGGTGTCCAAACGATTTTACCTAGTCCAAAATAATTATAGAGAATTGAATATCACTCATATCTAATCACGTGACTCCTTGTCATTTTTATCCCTCTCTCTCTCTCTCTCTTCTCTTTTCCTGGCTTGTTGATCCGTTCTTTCTCTTTTCTATTTTTTTTTCTTCTTCCCCTTTCTCTTTTCCTTGGTCTTTTTGCTTTATCTACCTATTTTTATTTCCTAACAATTTTCGGGTAGGCAGCTACCCAAAACATGGCTAGATCCGCCAGTGTGCATAACAAACTAACTCATATTTGTGGAAGGATGGGTAAGGGCATACTTCTTCATTATCTATTATATCTTTAGTTACAGACAACAAAGTATTTCAATCATATAAGATAAAGGTGAAAGCAATCTAAGAAATAAGGTGGATTTATGCAATCCTTGGGGTGATGAAAAAACACTAATTATTGTTTGCAAAATTCACCATTGCATACTCCATGGTCATGCTAATGTCCAGCAATATAGGAAACAACATCAAGATGAATGATAAAATATATTGAGTAACCTTTTAACACACTTTAGACAAATTCAATAATCTACAAGTACGGTATCAATCTATTGTGTCTATCATGAAAAACAAAAGACTTTATTAGGACCTTAGAAGTAAAAATCCTCTGAAATATGAGAATTTTATGTTTCTTATATACATAACAAGTAGCTCATCAACTAACTACGCAAATAGAGCTCATTTCCTAAGGAGTTTGTGCAATCACATAAGTTACATGAACTTGGGTATGGGAGTCAGACGAGGGTCAATGCCCAAGTATATCACAGGGTTTGTCTTTCTCTGAAGGTCTTTTATGCATCTGCAATTCCTAGTGCCCCTTATCACTTACATGTGTCATGTCTTATTGACAAATGCATAAGCAATAAGATGAAGTGAAGAGTCCATGTAACCTTGCAACATTTATATCACTCATATTTAATTATTTATTGAAGCATCATTTACAAAGAACTGCCTTTAAATTTCTATATAAAACCAACAAAGGTTGTTGAAACCACACCATCAATCTAATTCAAGAATGTCATAATTTGATGCTATCCATTAAGATAAGGCTGACATTCTAGCTAGAATAGATACATAATATTTAAGTGATGCCCGTGTGTGGGCGTATAAAGAAAAAGGTATTGTAGGAGCAAAATCTAGCATACCATTTATGATGAAAAAATGGCATAAGTCCATGGATAGTAATCCATGCAAAAGGAGATATTCAGAAGAGTAAGAAAAGAGAGCTAATGTTGCCAATGACATATTAAGTCTATAGACCAGTCACAAATGTTACAATCAATCATGTGTTTTATGCTAACTCAAGTATAGACTTCAAAATGAAGAACATTTAATTATTAATTGTTTATAGCTGATATTCAAAAAATAAAAAGTTATTATCATCCAAAAAAAATTTAATTGCTATCAAGTATTTTTAGGGAGTTTCACTAAAACACCCAAAATGGGGGCTAAAATTATAAAAAAAACCCAACACCCAAAACACTTTATAAACACACCAAAAACCCATCATTACACACACTCAAAACCCATTTATAAACACACCCAAAAAATATACAATTGTTAATTTTGGAGTTGATTTTGGGTGTGTTTTTGTGTTTAAATAGTGCTTGGGTTTTTTTATAAATACATGTCTAGGATTGGTTTATATGTCTAGTATTTTTATTCACCTGTCGTAGTCTTTTCTTGTTCACTATAATTGACCAATTAGATTAACCAACCCAAAAAGTAAAAACAGTGGCAACGTAAATTTGTGTTGAATAAATGTGGATGATTTTTTCACTGTTCTGCTATGCGGGTAAAATATGCAGATCAATTACTTTACTTTACTGTTCTTGATTGAATGGCAGAGGATTTATTCTTTAACTTAAAAGCGTGCTCGTGTTCACTGTGGTTTAATGGTTCTCCTCCTCCATAGCGTCCACTGATTGAAAACACACTTTTACAGGGAAAAAACCATATGATATGTTTGTATTAATTCATGGTATTTGTTGTGTATGAGTGAGTGTCAGCTAATTCATGGTACTCGTGTGTTTGAGTTTTTCTCTCATTTTTTTAATTTTAGAAAGAAAAAAAATAACAAACCATATAATATGTTTGTATTAATTCATCCTCTTCTTAACTTTGGCAGAAGAAAAAAACAAATCCAACTTGGCTGAATTTAATATTATCCTTGTTAAAGTTGTACGGACGCCCCAACACAAAGTGATTCATTCTTTCTTCATCTTCACTACCCACCCAAAAAAAGGTGCAATTGTATAATATAATATAATATTCAATTAATTGTTGGCACTTACAGAGTTGAACTAAGAAGGAAAGGAAAGGAATGCCAAGTCAAAGCTGAGAGAGAGAGAGAGAGAGAGAGCGATTTAATTATACATATTGAAAAGGAAAGCCAGTTTTCCATTGGGTGATGGAAGGAAGCTGCTCTTTGTGACTCTGTCTGTCTTCTCCAATTTGCTTATCAGATTCTGAGTTTTGTTGAAGTGTCATTCAACTAATCATCAACCGCATAACATACTATATTATATAAATTATATGTTTATTTAATTTTTGATTAGCTTTGTCACTGAGTCTTTGATGATTCACGGACCAATAGAAAAATCTAAATTTGATTGTCTTCCTTTTTTCTTTTATATTATAAATTGCACGTCATTTTGGCACTAGGTGACAACACATGGTGACTAACTCAAAATTTTAATAATGAAAAGGAAATTGAAATGATGGAGGAGGGTGGTAGACTTTAGTGATCCATCGTCCTTATCCCAAACTGTAGTAGATAATCAACTACTACATTTACTTTAAAATTAAAACAATAAAAAAGTAATAAAATAAAATAAAAAGATGCAGAAAGAAAGCTACAAATATGGCCCCCCACTCCCTCCCTATGTTCTGGCTTTTATCATGTTGGACGAAAAGATTCTATCTTCCCAATGAAGGCTCCATGGTATCTATCTCTCATAATAATTTCTTTTCTTTTCTTTTTTTTCTGCGCATTCTGTAGAGGAAGCAGCTCTCTGCAACTTTATGATAGAGTCTCAATACATTATCCAAGGTGTTTTCTTCTTTTCCTTTAACTTTTCCCAACTATCTGGAACCCTGCCATGCTATTTATACCAATTTTGCTTCAACATTTGATCATGTATTGCTGCTATAGCCCCCACGTCCTTGGCTTTTTCAAGAGCTACTTAGATCTCAAATCTTGTTTATTCTATATGCTGTCCTCCCCCTAGACCTAGAGCTAGACATACATGTGCCCGCAAAAGAAGGGGTCACTATACTTTCCAGTACATTATCTTCTGATCGATTCTCTGCCTAGCTAGTCTTCATTATATATTGTCAAGGAAGGTTTTATCATGTTCCTTCCTTGCTATAAAATAAAAGCTTGAGCTCTATAAAAAGCTGCCGCTGCGCATAATGTGAATATAGAAGAAGAAGATTTTAGATAAACTTGAGGTTTAGAGAGCTAAGCGCTGGGCCCTATCATTTCATTCATGACCCAAAATCTTTAAGCATTGTGTCATATTATACATTACGGCTTCTTTTTGTTAACCAGGAAGACTCATAGAAGAGCTATATATATATATATGATATGAGAGGTTGTTTCAAACGTTGAACATTCATCGCCGGCTAATTAAGAATGCTAATTGCCAGTTAACTGGGAAGAGGAGTACATGTGCTCTAATTAATTTGAGGTTTATATATACATATATACATATAGAGGTATGTTCCCTAACGTGCAATTATTCTTTGAAAGAATCAGACACGCGGTGATACGGTAGCTTTTTCATCCAACCACGTTCCATTATCTACCCTGCTCATGTACGTGAAAATGCTAAACTAACTTGGAAGATAAAAGATTCCAGTTTTGATGAGTATAAAGTATTTGTATGCGAACTTAGTATAGCACTTCTGCGGTGCGGTGTCAAGTCAACGATTCATTAATCAATGAGAAACAGAGAAAAACCAGAAAACCAGTTGTGTTATACAACGACGATCGATGTCTCTTACAGTCATGGAGCACACTAGCAAATGCATAATAAAGATCAAAGCAAGGAAAAAAACACAACGGAAATACAAAATTATATCTCTTTCGCTGCTCAACCTGGAGGAGCTAACATTCCATAGTTTATTTCAGTTTCCTCCATTAATTTCTTGGCAAACAAGCCAAGAATCAGGAGAAAAGGAGTTGACATTCGTCCAAACAGAAACTAAAAGGAAAAGAAAAAACAGGAACGGAGAAGGTCAAGGAATATTAAGGGTTGATATATAAATATATATATATATCATATGTATAAGCCAAGAATCAGACTTGCCTGAGGTTACATTTCCTCCTCAAGTTCATCACCTTCTTTACTGCTGTAAATCAGGCCATGACTGAAAGTTGAGGACCCTATATCCTCCTCCTGGTGAGCTTTTGGACATGAAAGAATTATCTTCTTCTCCTCTTGACATTCTTCTCATCAACTTCTGAAGCACCATCATCGCCGTCATCGATCCTTCCTTGGACAAGTTCAGTGAAACCCTAATTATTATTTCTCTGGCAGAAAAATCAACTTAAGTTGTAGAGGAAGAAGAAAGAGGCAATAGAATTTTGGGGTGGTTGGGTATATATAGATAGATGTCTTAATATATAAGTAGCAATCGGTTGTGGAAGCGGACGAAACAAAGGTGAAAGGGAAATGAATTAGGCCACGTACGTACATGGGAGGCCCTACTTCACATGTCTCTATGTGTTTTACTGATAAAAGGAATATCCCATTAAGTAAAAAGGACCCCCCCTCTTATAATTTAAAGTTGGAATCTGAGGTGAGCTATCCAATTTGGATCCACATATATACCTAAAAACAAAAACAAAAACAATATTCGTTTATTTTGTGCTCATAGTTGGCCAAAACTTACCCATTGGATTGGACAACCTAATTAGCTGGCCTCTAATTAACTCAATCACTAGGTTTTGTATATATAATAACACAAGATAGTTCTTGGGTTTTGCAGATAATGACATTATTAGAAATGGCAGCATTAGTTTTGTTACTTATATAATTGTTTTTAGAGCTTCTTGTCAAAATTTTGTCTCTCATGTCAATTTTGTTGTTCAATTGTTTTTGACAATCTCTGCCGACGCACCATTGTCAGTCGTTGATGCATATAAGATCCATAATAGAATTCACCTACATCAAACACTAATAGTCATTCATTCGCGCTCTCATGTCCATAGCATATGACAAAGAGTCACATAAGATCTACATATTTTTTTAATCTGTTGTACCATATACTAATTAATTTAGAAACATCATTCCAAGGTAAGGTAAGCATGGATTAAATAACTATTAGCTATATAAGAAATGATGATCAACATCATTCGTATATGATCTCAATTGTCAACTGTTTGCACATGAAACCTATTGATTGAAAGACTAAATTGGCACAACATGTGGTAGCCATATATAGCTAATTGTGGTTTACTCCGCTGTCGACATTTCTGGTTAGACATTTCTGGTGCCCCCATTTTTGGAATATTAAATTACACCCTTAGCTCTTAGTGAGAGTATAGAGACAGAGACCTTTTTTTTTATGTGTATACAAGATTTCAAGGCATGTCCTTTAGACAATTGAGATTCAGTTGAGAATTAGTGCCGTTTAAGTGGGGAAGGTCTACTGTAAACAACTAAACAAACATGGTCTGATTAAGGACGATCGACTAGTACTAACAAAGTCAAGGGGAGGGGCCTTTTCAAATTGGATTGTTGAGAGATTGATTGGATGGATTTTACAAATTGAAAGAGTGGAGGGGCCTTTTCATTATTTAGGTCGGACCAAAAGCTGATCCAATTGAACAAGAGAGAGAGAGAGAGAGAGAGAGAGAGAGGAGAGAGAGAGAGAGAAATGTAACTTGTAATAGGACCTCACCTCATGGGTAATGCTTTTGCAATTGAAGAAAGAAGCTCTCACGGGTTTGCAATTAAAAAGTCTCTGGATTTTGGTTTGAGTGGAAGCCAAAGCCAGTGAGATTTGGAAACGTGGCCAACCACACTGAGCTTCAAGTGCATCTTCAGAACTCACAGAAACAAAAAAGCTAAGATCCCACTCCACTGAAAAGTAAAATTTTCTACTTATAATGATTTATGAATCTTCAGTACGAAGCACGTCTTTAATAATACTATTAGTTGGTGATGATGGTATAATCCTAAAACTGTTTTTAAACATTATTCGCGTACAACTAGACACAGGCCCCCGCCATGTCATCATTTCCACCAAACAAGATTTTCTAGCTTCACTTTATTAAGCGTGATAAGTGAGAAAGTAGGAATTGTTGGTTAAAGAAAAGGAAGAAAAAGGGGGAGAGTTTTGTTAGAAAAGCTTTACATGGGGCTCAATTATTTGAAAAACTTACACAAATGACAAAATGTGGGGGCGAATGGAGAAATCCTTGTCCGAATGCATGTAAAAAAGTAGTGGTCAACTTGTCTTCTTCTCTCATTTATCCTCTAGTTTAATATGTCTTGTTTCAGTGCATGTATAGTTTGCATATCATGGATGTCATGTTGACTGAAAAGTTGTAGTCATCCGTTTCATGTTTCCAATTTGGAGCATTGCGTTTCAAATGTCTTTCCAAAAGTATGATGCAAGCCAAACCGAGCAAAGCATGCAATTCAATAGTGGACTGTCTATGAGAAATTATGGCCTCAACCAAACATCCAATAGATACCAACATGCTGTTAAAGACATATATATATATATATATATATATATATATATATGTATATACACACACAGAGAGCTTCCATTGAGAAATCCCTCAAATAAGCTTATTTGAGAGACACCCCTTCTAAGGCTTATTCCGGATTGTATTTCACTAATCTAAACCGTTTATTTTATAGATACTCATTCAAAGATTATCTATATATATGAAAAAAGAATCAACTAAAAGCAGAGGACATGCACTTCCCAGATGAGGCAGTCTATTTGATCTAAAATTAAGATGGTTTTAAAATTGAACTCAATTCCCTTGGGGATCAAGGCAACTGAGTTCAATTTTTGTCATGGTAGATGCATCTCGTACCGACTACTGTGGTTATATACGCAGCCACACACATCCTTCAAGAGCGTTGCGTCCAACTACATCAGGACAACTGTTCTATATGAATAAGACCACTGGGGGTGTAATTGACTGAAGGGCAAATCTATATAACATATAATACACAAATGGAAGCACAATCTTTAATCACAAAATAGAGGGCACAGATATCAGAAGCAAACAAACTAGTCAAGAAAGTTGCAACATCCAAACATTAACATGAACTCTGCATCTGCATTTATAATAGGACATGGCATAGGTACCACCGAAAATACACTCTGAAACTGCCATTCATCCCAAAAATATCGAATAGCAATCAGCTATCAAAATACAGATACAGAACTTGAAATGTTTATATGGACAAATGATATAACAATCTCTGTTTTGATTCCTTGCTGCCTGTAAACCCTCGATGCCTGAAATATGAGGATTCAAGAAACAGATACGATAACGCAGTTAAATAAATACCCAAGGGGGAAAGACCGAGGAAAAAGATGAAAGAAGCAGAAGATTATTGCACATACCCTGTTTACAGCACCCTGAGAGGCCAACATCACATTTCTCAAAGAGGTCTCCTGTTTACAAAAGAGAAGGAAAAAGGGCAAGACAGCAGCAAACCTGTGGCCCTTATAAAATCAGCCACCAACTTTTATCTTTGGTTTTTGACACGACACCAACTTTTATCTGTGTTCCACTATATATGAATGATTCCTTTGTCCAAGCACATAGTTGAGTGCATAAGAACAAACAAACAAAAAAACAAAAAAACAAAAATCTAATACCCCAAAATGAAGGCATGTATTTCAGCCCAACTACTCGCTGTGTAAAGAATGCCAGTTAACCCTTTCCAATTAGAAGACCTTCCTTCTATGAATTCTTTCTGTTTCTTAACTAACCCAGGAAACAATGGAACAAAAGATACACCAAACTGAGTCCCCACTCTCCTAAGGCTTGAACTTGACCCAATTACAATTCCTATATCTGCCTCAAGCAGACAAAGTATGTCACCCACTGAGTCTCCAATGTAAACGGTCAAGCTCTTTCTGTCATCGTGGCAATTTTTTAAATATCTTTGAAAGATTGAACCTTGTCAATAGGAGACTCCACCTTCTTAACAATATCACCTGTGGAGATGGATTCTTCAAAGGTAAACTCATTTGCATGCACATTCAGCTCGTGTAAATCCCCTGCTCCAAAAGTCAATAAATAGATAATGCTGATCATTTATACTTGGTCACAGGAAAAAGGAACAAAGACACGACACTTAATCAAAAGGAAACAACCCATAAGCAAGAATCCCAACAATAAAATAGCTGAAGGGTCCCAATGAGATGCAATGTAATAATGTATCTTAACCAACAACACATTACTTATTCTTAGTTCTGATGATATGTATACACACGTATATAGGACTGAGGCAACACAAGAGAGAAAATCAATATACAGTTGCTCACAGTGATAACTATATGCACTTCAAACGTCAACAATGGGCATCTTATATGCCCACCAAGGGTCAGATTCTAAGGTTTCGAATGATGGCCTCAAATATACATGTACAAGGAAAAATCCATGCCCACCAAATTATTCCCATAACTCATATGATCCAGAATTTTATCCTAAATCCAGGTATATCACCTTTAAGGCATCTTATGAAAACGACTGTTAAACTACGCCTACAAAAGAGGTAATACATTCACATCAATTTCTCTTTAGCAAAAGTCAGTTAGGATCATGTTCAATTCATTTTCTACAGAGGAAAAAGAAGGATAATATTTCAATATAGACCAGCTTGTCCAAAACATACAAGATATAGCTACTGGGATCAAAACGATAAAACTGTCTATAGTACTTCCAAGAAAACAAGAGAATAAGCGTAAATTTAGTCTGCGTAATGCACACACATAAAACATGAACAAAAGTAAAAGTTTATGAATGTTCATTAGGAAAATATACCTGATGAAAAGGCTGACCTGATGAGATCGCCACACCAACAGTATGAAAGAACATGAACATTTGCATTCAAGTTTTCACTCTTGACAATTTTCTGGAAGAAATTAATACAACCATCTTGAAGAATGAGACGTTCACCAGCTCTTTTTATATCCTCAATATTAAGACCCTTGAGTACTCCAGACTTCGTAACTCTATTGTTTGCCTTTTTCTCAAAATCTGAAAGTTTTTCAAGTGCTTTATGCAAATTTTTATAGTCAAACACCACTGCAAAACCACAGAAAGTCAAACGGTCACATCTGAGCAAGTAACCTCTATAAAGGTGCTTTTGTAACAATTTCACACCTTCAAAACAAAAGTTGAAAATTCGTGAGTATCAAACAAGATTGCCTTAATTGTTACTATACCTTTTTCAGTTGGAACAAAGCTTTCTATGCACTGCTCATACTCTTCTGTGTACTGCCTGGAAAGAAGGCCCCATGTATTCCTGAGATCAGCTGATGACATCCGAGCAATCTGATTTTCAGATTGATGTTGATCAGATTTTGGTGCTGTTACTATTGCAATTTCAGCCAAAATGGCAGATGAATCAACGACTGTACAAGTCAAATCAAAATCAGAAAATATCATGAGGCGATCTGTTGCGGGGTTATGTTCTTTGATCAGAGGAACTATGGTTGGCTGAACAAGGGACTGAGCACAGAAGAACTCTATTTCAAGTTTCATTGCTTGGTGATAAAGCTTTTCGATGATGTCAAGCTCCTCGCCTGTCAAAGAGACACTTAGTTTATCGAGCAACTCTTCGGTTTGCGCAGCTGAGGCCTAAATTCAAAGATAACAATATTTGAGCTATAGAAGTAATGAAGGCCATTTATGCAATGCATGAACCTTTGAGAACAGAACCAGCAAATTATAACCAGACTGACCATAAGAAAACAAGGTGAAAAAACTTGATATCACAAACCTGAAAACTTTCAGAAGAGTAATTGTCAATCCACTTCTTGTATGGGTGACTGCCTTCATTGGGATCTAGAAGTGCCTTGAACTCCTTACCTAGAAAGGCATATAGTCTCATGCAAGGAGTCATAGCACCAAGGGTGTAAGCAGCAACTTTGGTTTTTTCAAATGGGGTTGCAAGTTTACCAGGGCCTTTAACTCCTTCAACTTTTCCAGAGGCTGTTGCCAATAAGAAATCTATGTACTTTGCTGCTGCAGAATTGATAGCGGCCTTTTTAGCACCATGTAAACCCCATTCCTGCATGACTCTTATATTTAGACAATGCAAAATGTAACTTAACTGAGTAAGAAACAGAGAATTTCTGCCAATATTTGAACATTAAAAAAAATACAAAAAAATAATAATAAACGCTTAATTGGAATGTTGCATTCAAATACAATTTACATGTCTACTCTTATATTAGACAAAAGAACCCTTCATCATACCTTCACAAATGAATCATGCATTTTCAGCTCCTCCCGAACAGCATTCCTCAACAGAGAAATCGCAACCTTTGCATCATCATCATCTGCACACTCTTCCGCCAATTCATACCTAAAAAACCAAACATAAATGGGAATCAAACAAGTAAATCACCTAAAAATAGATATATAAATTCAAACTTCCCTAGTTCTAAACATAACTGAAATAAAATTTATTCCTATCCTAAACATTATTTTGGATTGCAGGGAAACGAAAAAACAAAAAACTTACCCATTCAATGCACATAAATATTTGCAAAATACCTAACCCTCCATTTGGTTGCTGAGAAAACTGACAAAAAGAAATGAATACAAAATTTTGAAAATCATGATTTTTAGTTACTCCTGTTATTAAAGAACAATAAAGTCAACCAAATAAGTCAATCATTTAAATTATGCTCAGCCAAATTACCACATAATTTTCTCCATCATAGCCACGAAAAAGAAATTTTTTTGTTTTTGTTTTGTTTTGTTTACATTTCAGACCTTTTCTGAGCAACCAAACAACCCTTCAGTTGAAAATCCTAGCTCATCTTCTGGTAGACTTTTAAGGGAAAAATTTTATATAAAAAATTTCACGACATATTATGAAAATAAATTACAAAAAAGGTGACCTAATGTAAATACCAAGGCAAAGAATGGAAAGGTGCATAGGAGAATAAATGTCATATTACTAAACAATAAAAAGTGTCTAAGACGCATATGGTTATTCTTTGTCATTTTCTATGTTTCCTCAGCAACCAAAGAGACCAAGAAGTCAAGAACAGATAAAGGAAAAGAATACCTTACTTGGCCTTTTGGCTAAGATTATGCAAAGAAAAAGAAACAGAGGTAAAATCCATACAATGAAAAATCAAGAACTCTGTCTTGGCAAATATAAATTAGATACCGAGTTTTCATCAAACCACATATCCTTTCCTCCTATTGATTAAACCTCTACATTCACAATCCAAATTCCTATATTTTCCCATATTTTCCCCAAAATCAAACAGACCACAACAATGAAAGCACGAGCATTCGCCAAACCTTTATATTTGTGTTAGGGTAAAACTACCAATATGCAATTTCAAGCAATTCATGAATCTTTATTTTTTGTTGCTAAAAACTGTTATCTAACTTTAAAAAATGTTTAATAAATGGAACCAAATTTTCCAAATTGACAACAAGAAGAAAAAAAAGTCTAAGAATTACAATCAGTACTCTGGGCTATACTTTTTTCTGCAACCAAATACGCCTAGAGATAAATAGACATATAAACAAAGGCATAGTTTAATCCTTATTTGCTCAAACACTTGCAGTGATTAAAAAAACTAAGCAAACCCCAGATTCAGATTCCGATTCAGATTCAATCACAGCATTTTCCCAGCAACCAAACAGTCCCAAAAACCCCAACAGAAAAATATACCCAAAGAAACTCGTATAAAGAAAAAAGAAAATGAAATTAAAGAAGGCAACAACTCACGCATGAGCGAAGGCCTTGAGAAAGTGAACATCTTGGGCAATATAATGGCGGAAAGTTTCAATCTTGAGATTCCCGGAAGCCAAAGAGAGCGAGAAGGGAGTGTACATAGCGAAAACCGATTCTCGGTGGAACTTGATCCAGAAGCGGCGAGCAAGACCCACCTCGTTGTCGACAGCAGAAGCCATGGCTGACTTCGGAGGAGGTATGGCCATTGAGTTGAAACAGTGGGATCGGAGCGAGTTGAATCGCAGACGGAGGATGGAGTTGAAGAGAGCTGGGGTTTTGATTGGGTTTGGGGGGAAGAGTATGCGCATCAATCAAGAAAATGAGAGAGAGAGAGAGAGAGAGAGAGAGTGGTTTGGTATTTGCTATTTGCCTGCTAAAATGCTCCGTGTGAGTATGTGAAAAGAGAGGGAAGTTTTTATCTGCTGCCTGCCTGGTGCTAGATGGTGTTTTTCACCTTGTTTTTATTATTCATTGCTTTGGTGCATAATATTGATTAATTAATTAATTAATTATACTTATATTGAAAAAAATTATGACATATTATGTCAGCTGATAATATCAGCTTACAATATTAAGAAAAATTGTATATGCACGCGAAGTCTTGTATACGATTGCTTCTCTTTCAATATCGTTTGTATAAAAATAAAAAAAATAAATGAAACTTTAGTCAGCTTATGCTAAAGAGGAATGGAATATCTTGCCGTGAATAAAAAGATGAAAAGAGAGGGGGCCGGGTCTATTTTCTTGTGTCATTTTCTGATAAAAGTATTGCCACGTTGTTTTATTATAGTTGGGCTATTCATAGAAGGTGCAAGACAAAGACCTTGTTATACAACTGCAACCATTTTTGATTCTGCCATTTTTGTATACACACGTACACCATATAATACCAACATCTCTTTCAGTTTTTTTTTTTCCCGAACATCTCTTTCAGTTATTTGCTCCCCAAAACTTCTTCAGTGGCAGCTGCATCATCCTCAGACAGACAGACAGAGACATATTGCGTTCCTTGTGCAACCCATTAATTATAGTTAATAAGACCAAGCAAGCAAGGGGGATGGATAGAAATCTTTTGCATCCCAGGCGAGGGTTAATTAGGCTAGATTAAAACAATAATAATAATAATATAAAAAAAGGAGTTTGAATTTCATTCTTTATGATTTAAAATAATTTAAAAAACTAGATTGCTAGACACTCTTAGCCGCCCTTGCCCCTCGGTCTCCTTCCATACCTCCTCCTCCTCCTCCTCCTCCTCCTCCTCTCTCTTGTTTCCCTTCTTTTCTCATTTTCTCCCTTTTCTCGCAAGATTGTTAGTTTATTTTGTGATGTGGAAGTAGTTGCCGTGAAACGATGTCGTCGCCATGATACATTTACCATGATCACATACTTTGAGGCCTGTACATTTTATTAGATAGTAGCAATCAATGCCGCGGCTACATTTGGCCTCAGGCACAATCCTGCCAGCTGCTTCCACTCTTGCAGGTACTCCTCCTAACCAAAAAAGATATATGGGTTGGGTCTAACTGTTTATAAGAGATGTTATGGGTCAGTTTGTAGGTAGAGAAACCAAAAAGGAGTTTATCATTACGAGATCAGATTTGTGTACATAGGATCTCTCTATAAATTATGATATTTTACATACAATGAATTAACATTATAATCAATTTGCATTTATAAAAGATACTATTTTAATATATATTTTTTTAGAATACTGGTCTTGTTGGTCTTACCCAAATAATTATTTATTGCCTAACAAAAAAGGATAGATCCCTAATCCTATTTTAAAAATGTTCTATATATATTTGGATCCGTCCAATTTCAGATTAAGGAAGTTTAATTAGTATATAATTCATACTTGTTCATAATTCTGGCCTCTTTGTTAGGTTGGGCTTATTTCTCTGTCAAGCATAGCTGCTGCGCGCATGGGATTCGGCCCATTATTCTACCTCAAATATAAACGGTTAAATAAAATTATATGTGATTTCAATATCAACAGATCAGAGTGGCGCAGCGGAAGCGTGGTGGGCCCATAACCCACAGGTCCCAGGATCGAAACCTGGCTCTGATAAAAAATATATGTTTTTAATATGTTTTTCTTTTCCTGCAACCCTTTCACCCTTTCTTTTCGAAGCTAGTGTAATGTATAAATCGAAGTTTGCTTTTTAGGCTTTTTGCTGCATTGTTTATTGCCTTTAAGTTCATGTAAAGATTCCTCTGCACTCTTGTATATTAATATATATAACGAGTAGGCCAACTACCCCATAAACTCCTTTCTCAGGTGCTCCTCCCAGCAGTCTCTTTCATTTCATCTCTCTCTCTCTCTCTCTCTCTCTCTCTCTCTCTCTCTCTCTCTCTCTCTCATGGCAGCAGCAGCAGCAGCAACAACATCAAATTCTGCAGATTCATTTCCCAATCTAAGAATCATAGTGGAAAGCAATCCCTCTGAGTCGCGCTTATCTGAGTTGGGCATTAACTCATGGCCCAAGTAATTAGTCTTTTATAATTTGTCTAGATAGTTATATTCAAGTCATGAAGTTTATTGAATTTCAAAAAATTCATTAGATATGATATGATTTCAGATCATATATATTTTTTGACTTTTTATTTATTGTAATTATTATTTATAGATGGGGGTGTCCACCGGGGAAGTACACACTCAAGTTTGACGCAGCAGAGACATGTTATCTGGTAAAAGGCAAAGTGAAGGTATATCCTAAGAAAGCAGCAGCCTCCTCCTCATCATCTTCATCTCATCATCATCATCATCAGGATGTTGTTGAGTTTGTAGAGTTTGGTGCAGGGGACCTTGTCACCATCCCCAAAGGCCTTAGTTGCACTTGGGACGTCTCCGTTGCCGTTGATAAGCACTACAAATTCGACTCTTCATGATCAACGGCCATGATCTTACTAATAAGCTAAGCTAGTGATCATTTGTGCAGAGCCGCCCCATTAAATCTTTTTATCTTCTGGTTTATGTATGTAGTATAGCAGCTGCCATGCCATGCCAGTTCTGAACTTGAAATATTCAGTATGTATGTGTGTCTACTTTTATGAATTAAATTAATGTAAAGTGATGTTAATCTCCTTGCTTGATTGCTTGCTGTATAATTATATATCATATATGCAGGTGAGAGAGAGATTATTATGGAGGTGCAGTGCAGCTGCCATGCCTTTTTTGTTCTTTTGACTGGTCAGCTGCTTATTTTATCATGCATGATGCATGGCATGCAGCAAGAAAAAGGCCTCCTTTTTTGTAGCTTTGTCACGTGAAATCCAAGCTTAAAGGTTTATAAATCTCGAGCTTTTTCACATACATTTTCCATTCCATACAACAACATAAGAAAAGGCAAAACTGTTTTCTTTCACTTGTTCGTTCTCACCCAAAATGCACACAATTCCAAAGTGCCACGTATGCAATAATAATGTCAGTCTATGAGTCAATCGTCAACGGACCAAGCTGACCACCCACCATCAAACTTTGTGGTCCGCATCTCAATCCGTTGGTCACGGCCAGGCCCAAGGCCTCCTTGCTAGTAAAAAAGATTGGGCTTAAGTGCTGCACGTTGGGCTAAGAATTTAATCAAGGTTTCAATCCCAACAATTGGTGGGCCCAGCATGAGCCCAACTGGCCGGCGGGTTACATTTGTTTTTATTTTTATTTTATATAAACGATATTGGGGAGGTGGTGGGAAATTGAACACAGGAACTCGGGTGCAAATTTTTGTTACAATTCAAAAGAAAAACAAAGATGTGAAAGAAAGAAAATTGACGAGTTTGAGAGGCAAAGCTATTTAGTTTATAAGTCAAATGCGACTAAAATACAGAAAGAAAGAAAGAAAGAAAGTGAATCCCAATTAAAAAATTAAAAAGAGAAAAAGGGGAAAAGAGAAGCAAACCAAGCCTTCGTCCGTCCCGCCGCTAAGCAAGTAGAGAAGTGGTGTGTGTGTGTGTGTGTGTGTTTGTAGAAAGGCTAAGCTGCCGCAGCGCTGCTGTTGAGTTGAGAATGGGAGAAGATAGTGAGTGGGTGACCCCAGGGGAAGTGCTTGGGAAAGCCTCCAAGTTTAAAGCAGGCAGAGGTGCCTACGTGTCGCCGGACAATCTCACCGTCTATGCTTCCCTCACTGGACTCCGCCGCATCCTATCCCCACCTCCCGACTCACCCGACCAGGTACTTATCAGCTTTCCTTCTGTTTCTCTACCCACAAACCTACAAAGATTGAGAAAATTAGTTTAACAGTTGGAAGTTTGAATTTTTGGTTTACTCTGGCCTGAAAATCTCAACTTTTTAATATTGGAATTGGATGTTCACCGATAACAGTAGATGTAAAATTCAGACATGAACAATCCTAAACTTACTTATGAGTGCTCCATTTAAGAACTGTCCCTACCCTTTTGTATTACATGGCCCTTAAATTCTGAATGTGTGAATTTAATGATGTGGTGGTCTTGGCATTTCCATTGATGACATTGAGTTTTATGATTTGTAGAGACCCACTGTGGAAGTAACTGGTCACAAGGCCCACGGTGCCATTCCAGAGCCTGGATCAATTGTCATTGCTAGAGTAAGGGATCATCAACAACAGCGTGATTACATAGCTTTCCTGCTTCAATTAGGAGGCAGATTGTTGGACTGATTCATATATATAAACCTTGCCCTGTATTTTTCTGATTATGGTAGGTTACCAAAGTTATGGCAAGAATGGCTTCTGCTGATATTATGTGTCTTGGCACTAAGTCTGTCCGAGAAAAATTTACCGGTATAATCAGGTACGTAACATTCCTTTTCAACAGTGACCTCAAAGGTGTGGCATTTATCTTGTAGTATTCAGTTTGTAGCTTGCCTTCTGTTTTAAAATTGTTATTTTGTTGACTTTACAAGTATACATTAAAGCTCAGAGCTCGTTCTATTAACAGGCTTCAAGATGTTCGAGCAACCGAGATCGATAAAGTGGATATGCACATGTCTTTTCACCCTGGTGACATTGTCAGAGCTGTTGTGGTATCCTTTATGTGTGGAATGTCTCGGTTATTGTTTGGTGAAAGAGATTGTAATATTCAATCTGATGATCCCACTGCTGTGCAACTTTTATTTAAAGATAACTTGAGACCAAACTAAATAGTACATAAAGGCTTGGTGTTTCTTAGATGTTAATAAGTTAGTTTACAACCTTTTCCCCTCGATGCAAATCTGGTTAGGTGTTAGTCCGTTGAAGAAATCCTATTCTTTGAAGTGGCATGCCCATTCCTAATTTCTTATTACTGCCATCAATAAACGTTTTCTTTGTGAGGATTAATATTGTTTGAATATAAGTTTTTTCTTCTCTGCTTTGCTTCATTCTGCTATATGCTTATTCCAAAATATCTATATTTCTTTTGGGTGAAATTCATGATATCAATTATCATATTCAACAGTTTCTTTGATTCTTTCGATAAGCTGTCCCTTGGAGACGCTAGGGCTTATTATCTGTCAACTGCAAAGAACGAATTGGGTGTTATTTCTGCCCAGAGTGCAGCAGGTATATGAACTTTTGTTAGCATACAGCCTTTTGTTCTTTATCCTCATCTAATGTGTGCATGGGCGTCTAGCTAGTAACCCTATCAAATCTAAATGATGTTAGCTCATATGTGGTTTTCTAATTGTTCATTGTAGGTGCAACAATGGTGCCAATAAGCTGGACAGAGATGCAATGCCCTCTTACAGGGCAAATTGAGCAGAGAAAGGTTGCTAAGGTCGGAGGATGAAAAGATAAACTCAACATCAATGTTTCTTCTTGTCCTTTCTTCCCGCTTTTTTCTTTTTACTAGAGAGTCGGTAGCCTTGAAATTTCTTATAGATAAAGTGTACTCAGGGATTTTGGTTGTTAAAGTCAGAAATTATGGTAGTTTGATATACGATTTGGTGTCAAGGGGTATTGGTTAAAGTCAGAAATAGGTACCACAGTTGGAAGGTGCATTCGACATCTCTCTCATCCAGTATCACGATTCATTCATTTGAGTTTAGAGTTCATGAACAAAATTGGGATTAACCGAAGTTTTTATTTTCCAAGTAAAAAAAAAATGCTTCTGATCAACGAAATTATAAATGCTCAACAGATGTGGGTTACAGTGGGCAGATAGTATATCTATTCCGAGCATCTCTGGTTATTCCAAGACTAAGTATTGCACTGTATTCCCATTATACCATGGAGGTCGTTTCTGTAGCACTATCATGTGACATGGTAGACACCTCTGCAACATCTGTGTCATCAGGTGCATCCTCCATTGGCATCTCTTGTGGACAGAAGAAAGGTTTCGGAGGCATTTGCAAGAGTTCGACGTCACCTTCAAGCATCTCTACAACTTTGCTCATAGAAGGGCGATTGACGGGCATCAACTGTATGCAGCACAATGCAACCATGACCATTTTCTTGGCTATTTTCTTATCATACTCAGAGCCATCCTCAATTTCAATGGTCAATCCCTTTTCTAGTTGCTCATAAATCCAAGAAGGGAAGTATATCTGGCTTGAATTTTCTGCATGTGCATTCAAGTTCTTCCTACGTCCTGTCATTTCCAATAACAACATTCCAAAGCTATAAACGTCAGCTTTGTACGAAACGCCTCCAATGGATCTATAGAACATTTCTGGAGCTATATATCCCATTGTGCCTCTTACAGCAGTAAGAGAAACAGTGTTATTATCTCTAGGGTAAAATCTTGCAAGCCCAAAGTCTGAAATCTTTGAAGTGAAGTTTTCATCAAGAAGAATGTTGTGGGGTTTAATATCAAAATGTAGAATTTGCACATCACATCCCTGGTGCAGATATTCAATTGCACGAGCCACCCCGAGAGCTATCTCAAGCATGCTATCCCAACTAAGAAGAATATTTTTTCCTCTGTCAGGAAAGATGTAGCTGTCTAGGGATCCATTAGGCATGAAGTCATAGACAAGAGCTCTTTTTGGTCCTTGAGAACAAAAGCCAATCAGCTGCACCACATTGACATGATGAATTCTTCCTATTGTGGCAACTTCATTGATGAAATCTTGCCCTTTACCTTTGGAGCCACTCAACATCTTTACTGCAACAAGATGACCATTTGACAGCACTCCTTTGAAAACAGAGCCAAAGCCTCCCTGGCCCAGTTTATCTTTAAAATCATTTGTCATCTTCTTAATATCTGAATAGGAATACCTTCTCGGCATAAGGTTCTTGTATGCATCCAGGAACTCTTCAACTGCATCATCCTTTATGAACTTTTTCCAGTACGCTCCCTGACTGAGTTTAATTTTGAAATCAATGGTCATCTTCTTAATATCTGAATATGAGTACCTTCTTCTCATAAGATCATTGCATGCGAGCGAGAATTTGTCAACTGCATCATCCTTTAGGAATTTTTTCCAATACAGTTTGTAGCTCCAGAAACCCAACAAAACAATAATGCCGAGTACCATTCGTGCCGTCAGACTCAATCCTGCCATAATAACAACACAAGCAGGTTTTTAAAGTTCAATCTGGACTCTTGATCTCTATATGTCTAAATGCTTTGATGCTCTTTTTTCCTTATTCTATGTTCTTTCCAAGTTAATTTAACCTTTTATGTTCTTGAAAAAGACTTACCAGTGATCTTGGCAGCTCGTATGAAACCTGCGTGAAATGAGAATCAATGGAGAAATGATTTAGGTGCAACTCACATCAACTACCATTTAAAAACTCACAACATTAACCACCATTAAGAAAATTCTAACACAGTACAAAAACTGGTGCTAATCAAACTTACCCCGTTTCAAGTGCTCACGAAAACCTGCAAAGCACCACGAGTGTCAATAAGAGATTTATTTCAAGAACAAAATAATTATATGCATTCTAGAATTATAAAATCGAAAAGTGATTCAAGAAACATGCATGGCAAGTCAGCCACACATGCGCAAAACTGCTCTTAGTGATACCCCTCCTCCTCCATCAAATTTTTACTGCTTTGGACTATAGATAGTATACCCTTGGATCACTAGAGATATATGCATTCTGAAAACTGCCATAATTTTCAAAAGCACAGAAATCACCCTCACATACTGGAAGAAACTGATCAAAACATTAAACATACTCACAGTAGAGCGATTGGGATGGACTGTAGCAGTACTTATCGGGGAGAAAGTGCAACCATGAAAGCTCAAAACCCTGTCTCAACTCATCATGTATGGAAGAAAATGAAAGCGCCTTCCCAGTTTCTTCATAATTCCTTAAAATGATCGTTGACATATTACAAGAAGAATGAAGATCATCTACCCCATCTGCCATTGTAACATAAGAATACAAAGTTGTAGATGAGCTACTGCAAGTGATGTTTATGTAGTCAGGAGACTCAACTGGAAACGAGCAATCGAAGAAGGCTACATAATGGATGGAAACTGGGTAGTATCGGTCTGGAGTATAGTACGGGATAAAGTTATCTTCTGTTAAACTGCGGAGTGGCCTAATGGAGCAACTATCGCTTAGCAGACCAGGATCCACAAGTCGGATTCTAAATAGTTCATAATCAATTGCCTTGACATAATACGTACCATCGTATAGATTTAAAATGGTGCGGTTATGCTGGCATGACAGTTCAGCTGGATAGTCGAGAGTCTTGAGACAACTCTGATGAGGAGAAGCGTTTTTCAAGTGAAAAGGGTATCTAATGTCAAGGAAATCCCCGCAAGAAGCAGGCTGACAGAGTTCTCCTTTGGCCGCATCAGGAATAATTACAAAGCAAATAGCTACGACAGTACATGTTAATAACCAGATTCTTCTCACCATTGCGACTTGCGAGGGTTGAGATGAGATCATAGATTCATACTAATAAGGGAGAAAGATAAAAGAAAGAATACTTATCATTACAAGTTTCAGGCTGGATGGAAGAAACTCAGTCCTTGCACTTGCCAAGAAAGTTACTTTAGAGATGACAGCTACAATCGGACCATACACCAAGTCAACTGCTCAGAGTCAAATGATAAGGCAGGCACAATGCATGCTGCGTGGACAGTCGGCATGTAGCGTCCAAACTTATCTAATAAATGTTAATCAAATAACAAATAAGAAAAACAGATGGATGTGAATGGACCAACGACTTTTTTAATATGACGCAGAAACTTTGATCTGATAATAACTAACTGGCTTGGGTCTGCCTGGCTAAAGAAGAGTAGAGAAGAGATGGATGTCCTGCTCTTGCGTTTGTTTTTCGTGCTTATTGTGTTCCCCGTGGCCATTGTTGTACCAAGCAAAGCAGCTGATGATTCTCGTGACTGCCCAATTCAAAGGTGTAGGGATGATGGTCCCGATATCAAGTTCCCATTCCGTCTGAAACACTATCCACCTCACTGTGGCCATCCAGAGTTTGAGGTTGTTTGCAGCAGCAGCTTCAACAATTTGACAATGATGAAGCTCTCTTCATCTTCAGGACTGCTTCCCATTCAAAATATTGATTATGAAGCACAATCCTTCAGCATATACGATGCAGATGGTTGCCTTCCCAGACGCCTTCTTAATTTTACTATCTCCACCAACTCACTCTTTCAACAAGCAATATATTATCGCCTAAATTACTACTCTTGCATGTATAGATATCATGGAGATAATTCGAAGATCACGTTATTAAATTGTTCCACTGCACAAAATTTTAGTACGGAGATGAACTATGGTAGCTACTTTCCCGTCAGATGTCTCAGTGTCCCAGGGCATTATCAAGTTATTGCTGCTGTGCCAGAAACTACTAAGGCTGACTTGCCGGTGCCTACTTGCACTAGTTTGAGACAACTCTATCTTCCACTACGAAGAGTGAATGCTAATATGCACCACTGTGAACCGGACAACGTTTTATGGCTGCTATGGGATCTGTGGGATTTTCCAGCGTGTCAAAACTGTAATAGAAGAATGGAAGACTGCTATTTCAATTATAGCAGCAATGAAATGTTGAAGTGCCATCCTTTCATTCCCCCACACAAACCAAGAGGTATGTAGTCTACCTTTAAAATTAGATGCAATATATGCATAACACCACGGGGTAAACTTTTTGAGAAATTTGTTGTGTTCAAGATATGGCTTGCCAGGGACAAAAACAAAATGACTCTCCTATTTTAAGTCCCTTTGTTAATTTTCTCCTCATTTATTCAGGTCATATATCGACTAGGCATTTAATTGTAGGAGTGAGTTTGGCTTGCTGTTTTGTGCTCATATCGATAATGGCGGTAGCAATTTTCTTCTATGTAAAACAACAAAGAAATAGCATAGAGGAAAAGGAGAATCAAATGAAGGTTGAAAAGTTTCTAAATGATCACAAATCTGATGTACCAACAAGATACTCTTATGCTGATATAAAGAAGATTACAAATGGATTTAAGAAGAAGTTAGGGGAAGGTGGTTTTGGAAGCGTTTTCAGGGGAAAGCTTCCCAATGGAGTTCCAGTTGCCGTAAAAGTCCTCAGTGATTCTAAGGGAAATGGGGATGATTTCGTTAACGAAGTGGGAACCATTGGCAGAATTCACCATGTTAACGTGGTTCGTCTATTGGGGTTTTCTGCTGAAGCAGGCAAGCGTGCAGTTATTTATGAGCTCATGCCAAACAGGTCCCTGGAGAAGTTCATCTCGTCTAAAGATCAATCTAATAATGCTTTGTTCGATTGGGAGAAACTTGACAACATTGTCAAAGGTATAGCAAAGGGAATTGAGTATCTTCACCAAGGGTGTGAACAGAGGATCCTCCACTTCGACATCAAGCCTCATAATATCTTGCTAGACCATGACTTCAATCCAAAGATCTCTGATTTTGGTCTGGCTAAACTGTGTTCCAAGGAAGACAGCATCATATCTATGACTGCCGCTAGAGGCACAGTAGGCTACATTGCACCAGAAGTGTTCAATGGGAACTTTGGAAGCGTGTCCCACAAGTCAGATGTGTATAGTTTTGGGATGCTAGTGCTTGAAATTGTTGGAGCTAGGAAGGAAGCTGCTGTTACATCTAGCACCACCAATGAGGGCTACTTTCCCGAATTGATTTATAAATGTCTCATTCAAGGAGAAGCACTGGGTTTGGAGCTAATAAAGACGGATGAGGATGCTGAGATTGCTAAGAAACTAGTGATTGTTGCACTTTGGTGCATCCAGTGGTACCCGGTGAATCGGCCTTCCATGAAAGCAGTTGTTAGAATGCTAGAAGGAGCCTCTGAAAACCTGATCATGCCGCCGAATCCGTTTGCTTCCGCAACAAGTACTCAGAGTCAGACAGAGCCACGCTACTAAGCATAGCATAGAGCAAGTGATCAATGCTAATATCCAAATCAAATCAGCCACTAAAATTAGTATTGTAATTTGTAATTGCTTTTCAATGAAGTTACTGGTTGGCTAGTAGTTAGTAGTAGAAGATAAGTTAAACTTGTTATGCTGCAGTTTGTTTCAGTTTCAAAGTCGCCGTCGGAGACAACACGCCAAGTTTAAAAAATGCCAGTCTTAGCATTCTTTCTGACAAGTCAATCCAGAAATTGCGCCACATTTTCTGCATTCTTAGTTTTGTTGGAAGACTTGACCCGATGATAGGTGCATCATTAGATTAATTAACTCAGACTTAACGCGGTTCGTTCTACTTGGTTTTTCTGCTGAAAGAGGCAACTGTGATGTTATTTACGTGCTCTTGCCAATCACAATTTGCTACGTGTCCAGATATCGAAATAGTACAACGTGACTGTTTGTCTTCTTTTTTTTCATTGGCTGGTCCTTTACTCGGGTCTCATCCGCGTGTCCAATATCAACGCCGCGCTGGAGACGGCCCATTTATGTTTGGACCTTCAAGCAAAAATATAAAAGGTTATGGAAAATGAGCCACAAAACCCGCCCATTCAATTATGGAAGAAAAGGATAATAATGAATGATGACTGGAGATTATATCCCCCCGCCATGAAAAACAAAAAAACAAAAAATCATACTTCCAAACTGCCAAATTTTCAGTGGCTGAAACTGAGCTCAGCAGCAGCGCGCATGATACATCCTCTAAAATGGCTTCTCTTACCTTCCTTCAACCTCTCTCCAATCTCTCTTCCCCTACCACCCTCGTCTCTCTCAAAAATCCCCACCATATCCCTTTTTTTACTTCTCTAAATCCCTCCTTTATCCCCAAAACCCGCCCATTCAAATCTTTCACAGCCTCATTCTCTCTTGCAGAATCAAACTCCCCCAAATCCTTACAGCCCAATCTTCAGCCTTTCCTCCAAGAACTTGCTGTAAGAAACCATTTCCTATTCAAATTTCGAACCTTTGCATCATGATTTCAATGCCAAAACTTCCATAAATTTTATATGCATTCCTTAGTTTTATGTTTTCAATGTCAAAAGTGCCTTAATTTTAGTTTCAGTTTTTAATTTCTTTTTTGTTCTCTTCTGTGCAGGATAGTTTCGATCTTCCACAAGACTACTTTGCGCAGCTTCCGAGCGATCTCCGTCTCGATGTGAGTAGAATTTTTGCAATTCTCAGTGAACCCAGTTTCTTTAATTTGATAAAGAATGTGACTTTGAACTGACACAGTTTTTCAAATTTTGTTTTGGGCATGTTTGAAGCTGAACGATGCAGCTTTTGATCTTTCAAATGGACGGGTCATTGATGAGGTTAGTTATTTTCAATGCTCTGCATCTGCATTCTGATTGAAATCTGATTAATACTTTCCCCTCATCCTGGGTCTCTTGTCTAGCTGTAAAAAAAATTCTGCTTTTGAGTGGATACAGTTTACTATCAAAATTACCGTCTTTGGATTTTCTTATTTGCAGTGTGGTCGAGAGTTGGGAGAGACATTGTTAAATCTCTCTCGTGCATGGGAAGCAGCTGACACATCAACTTCCCATGCCTTAGCTAGACAGCTCCCTGGGTTGGAGGAATCTTTGACAGGCAATGCCAAATCAGGCAAGAATGAAATTATATGCAATTGCTGCTTTAGATGTATTCTTCAGATTTTGATTCAAAAGCCTATATCTATTTCATTATAGCATTTGGGAAGCGTTTGGTTTCTGCTGGAAGAAGGTTCCAGTCTATGGGACAGTATGGTCAAGGTGAACTACAAAAGGTATGTTATATATCACTTGGGCAAGACTGAGTGTAATGTGGGGGACTAAATAATCTTTTACTTCCAAAAGCCAAAAGATTTGTTTATTGTTTTAATACAAGCCAAAAGAAACTTATTTCTGTTGTTATTGTGAATGAAGATACTTTGGGAAGATCTATGTGAATCCAAATACTTTTGCCTCAAACCCTCTAGTTATATTTCAGAAGTTTATGGAACAATTCTCTATTCTATTATAATGCAATATAACTAGGTTTCGTGCGCCTCTAAAATAGCAGTATTGTTGGACTCTGTTCAACCATTATAGATTGCAAAAGTAATGATTACAACTGGAAGGGTTCTATCTGAAAGTTCAACATCCACGGTCACTGATGAACAACCAAAGAAGGAAAGCAGGATGCTGAAGGTAGATGATAGCACTGCACTTGATGGAAGTAACAACGCATGCATTTATTCTAAACACTTGATATGATGTATTAATGTCATTGCCAACTGCAGTTTGGAGAACTTCAGCTCGAGCTTACATCAGATAAAGCCATCATTGGGGCTATAATCAGCGTTGGTTTTGGGTAAATATATTGGACTTAGTTCTCTTTTCTACTTTTCTGTTGTAGCAATGAGGTATAAAAGAGATTTCTATTCTTTTTCCTTTAAAATTTCAAATGTAGAATTCTTTCATGGGAGCTAGCTCAGGGCATCCAAAACATCCCAGAGAGTTCGTTGCAGTACGCAAATGAAAACGCTTTGATGCTGGCTAAGGTGCTTGAAGATTATCCGTGTCATAGTTGTAGCCTATGTTTTCTATTATAATCTATTACTGCATGCTAAAATATGAAGGTCAATGAATGCAGTCTTTGAGAGGAGCTCTACTTGCAGTCTGCTATTCATCAGCATTCTTGTCTGCTCTTACTAGTGTTGGACTTGTCTTACTTGGAAGACAACTAAAGTCATCAAAAGAAAAGTGAGCTTGGTATCCTGTTTACCTTTCTCTGTATATGCACAGTCGGTCCATCTCTTTTATGTAAAAGAATTCTCTGATAGAAGTGAAATTAAATAATGCTCAATAATGGTCTGAAGAAGTGCATAAGCTAGTTTTTAACAAAACAATTGTATCATAATGTACCAAGTTGAGAGCTCTTCTGTGTTCATGCTGATAATCGTTTACGTTTACATTTTTTCGGGAACTTTGTACCCCAAAAAAGGGGAATCTATGAACCTACATTACTGTGGGCTGCAAGTTGCAAGATAGTTCTGTACAGTTCTGGCCGCATTTTATTAAGGCAAAGCAAAGGGAACTTGTCCTTGTAATAATTCAGGTTATGGTTGTCAGTCGCTTTCCTGTTACTATCCCTCTTTGTTGTAAATGAATTAAAACTATGTGGCGACTTGAATTGTATGCATGACATATGTAAATGGATTTTTTTGTATAGACTTTATGTGTTTGTTTGTTGAGCAATTCAAAATCTTTGTTTTATAAGAAAGTCGGGCGTGCTTGAGATTGAGACAATAGTCAGCAATGCTGTCACAGGTTCATGAGCCAGACAAGTTTTCTATGTGGCAAGACTTGTCTGTTATTCTGGTTATTGCGACGTCCTAATTACTGCTAACGGAGGATGTTTGAAAGATACAAGTATGATTATTAATTACCAAAAAATAAAAGAAAAATACAACTATCACATGATGTATTGTTGGTTTGAATTGAATATAATTGGGATGGGAGAGTCGAGAGTGTGTAAAAGGGATATAATTGACATTTAACCCTTAAAGAGGATTCTCTTATTAATAATAGTATATATATATATATATATATATAGATGAATAAAATCCAATTTGCCAATTTGAGAGAACCCCAGAGAGATTAGAATCTTCTCGTTGGACGATGCAACTTGGCTTCAAATTGCATCACACTAATAGTAATGGTTCTTTGTTTATATGTTAAACCTTTTTGTAACTCATTTATTTCAACCAACTTGTCATTCTCTCCTCTTAGTCCTCTGGTGGTGATCAAAATTTTTAAGTGTTAAAAACTACGTCATCATGCAAATGATCCATTAGTGTAGTGGTTTGGAGTATTTACTCCCTCAGGCAAAGTCTTAGGTTCGAGTTCTAACATATGTATAGTGTGTATAAATTTAATATATTATCGTCATTTTCAATAAGAAATGTTAAAAAAATAAAAATGTCATCATATTTATATCGGGAAAATTAATTAAACAATATTAATTTTCCTATTATAAAGAAAAGTTGATGCGACTTTCGCATGACATAATTAAGAAATACATAATTATAAGGGACGGACAAGTCTAGGCGCCACATTTTACTTTTTATATGCCTCAAAGGTTCCTTAATTTAAGAGCCTCCAAGTCTAAGGTATATAAATTAAGAAACCCCTCAAGTAAACAATTTTTTTTTTAACCTCTCATTAGTGTTACCTAACAACACGCAAGGATTTGTTTATCAACCGACGACTTTTAAAGATGCAGACAAAAACAAAGAATTACTGTAATTGTCTCTATCATGATGATGCTCTCATGAACGTGACACTGTGCAATTAAATTCACAACTTCCATACTCTAATCTGACAAAGTGTGGGTGGGCAATTACTGTCAACAGCATTAGGACGTGTAACAACCGCAATTAGTTCTAGAGTTGAGATTTTTTTTTTTTTTTTTTTTTTTTTTTTTTTTTTTTTTTTTTTTAAATGATGATGCATATTTATAAGATTAATAGGATAGATAATTCATGACATAACTACGCTCGTATAATGGGCCAGTCACATTTAAATATCGAATTCGTCATGCATATATGTGATTTTCGTGTTTGTGTAAGTCAAGTTTGAGAGTCTTTCTAACCAAACATACGTAACTTTACCGCTAAATCAAAGACTAATTGATACATAATTGGCTAATAAATTGATGTTACACCTAAAAATATTAGTGAACCAAGTGATCAAACTCTATTAGACGATGACCACAGCAAAACCGAACAGAAACAAGTACTATACGTATCAATTAGGTACCAAACATCTTGTTCCCTATTGCCCTTCACATGCACATGCAGAGGAATAATCCAGACATGTTATATTTAGCCTAACTTTCCTATTGCTTAATTTTGTTAGTTTAAACTTATAATAATCCAAAATCAGCTTTAACATCATCTGCTGAATAATTTCCTCCACTCTTTTTTTTTGTTGTATTATAATTTATTAATAAATATAAATTTAAAAAAAAGTATTTTCCATTAATTAATTTCATCTGGTCCACAATGTTTTGATATAGAATATGGACCCCATAATCACACAGTTGCATTAGGGAGGAGTGCATGGCCACAGAGTCCCGGTATTCCTATCCATTTGCTCTATAAAAAATACAGAATTCGTTCTTCACTTCTTCACTTCTTCACTTCTCTCTCTCTCTCTCTCTCTCTCTCTCTCTCTCTCTCTCTCTCTCTCTCTCAGAGACAAACATCATGGGCTCTCTGACCTGCACAGCCTCCGACCTAGCCCCTCTTCTCCTCACAACCACAACCCTCAACGCCACCACCATAGCCGAATTCCTCTGCAGCCGCTTCAACACCATCAACATCAAATTCAACGACACCACCCACGCCATCGACAACACGTACCTCCTCTTCTCCGCCTACCTCGTCTTCGCCATGCAGCTCGGCTTTGCCATGCTCTGCGCGGGCTCCGTCCGCGCAAAAAACACCATGAACATCATGCTCACCAACGTCCTCGACGCCGCCGCCGGCGCTCTCTCCTACTACCTCTTCGGCTTCGCCTTTGCTTTTGGCGCTCCCTCCAACGCCTTCATCGGCCGCCACTTCTTCGGCCTCCATAACATCCCTTCTTTCTTAGGGGGAGATTACAGCTTCTTTCTCTACCAATGGGCTTTCGCCATCGCCGCCGCCGGCATCACTAGCGGCTCAATTGCTGAGCGAACCCAATTCGTCGCTTACCTCATTTACTCTTCTTTTCTAACCGGCTTTGTCTACCCGGTCGTTTCTCATTGGTTTTGGTCTGCTGATGGCTGGGCCAGCCCGACCCGGTCCAATAATCTACTCTTCGGTTCCGGTTCCATTGACTTTGCCGGCTCGGGTGTTGTCCACATGGTTGGGGGAATAGCCGGTTTATGGGGTGCTGTAATTGAAGGACCGAGAATCGGGCGGTTTGATCGAACAGGCCGGTCCGTGGCCTTGCGGGGTCACAGCGCGTCTCTAGTGGTTCTCGGTACGTTCTTGCTTTGGTTCGGGTGGTACGGCTTCAACCCCGGTTCGTTTCTCACGATCGTTAAGAGTTACGGTGAGGGAGGTACTTATTACGGTCAATGGAGTGCTATTGGGAGGACAGCTGTCACGACCACATTGGCTGGGTGCACTGCTGCTCTGACTACCTTGTTCAGCAAGAGATTACTGGCGGGTCACTGGAATGTTCTGGACGTTTGTAACGGTTTGCTAGGGGGTTTTGCTGCGATCACCTCAGGGTGCTCGGTGGTAGAGCCGTGGGCAGCAATCGTGTGCGGGTTTGTGGCGGCGTGGGTTTTGATCGGGTGCAACAAGGTGGCGGAGAAGCTAAAATACGACGACCCATTAGAGGCGGCCCAATTGCACGGCGGGTGCGGTGCTTGGGGGCTAATATTCACAGGGTTATTTGCAACGGAGGCGTATGTGAACGAGGTATACGCTGGCAAGCGAGGAAGGCCCTTTGGGCTGTTGATGGGCGGCGGCGGGAAGCTGTTGGCGGCCCAGATTGTGCAGGTTTTGGTGGTGTTGGTGTGGGTGAGTGCCACAATGGGCCCACTTTTCTACGGGCTCCATAAGCTGAAGTTGTTGAGGATCTCAGAGGAGGATGAGACTCAAGGAATGGATATGACAAGGCATGGTGGGTTTGCTTATGTTTACCATGATGAAGATGATCCATCCATTAAACCTGAGTTTATGATGAGGAGGGTGGGGCCCACTGATGATGCCAGTCCTGCAATAATCACCCCATAATAATTGACAGATAATGTACCCTAATTAAACCTCGTCATCATCAGAAATCAACAAGATTATGCGTGATATCATGGGATGGGATGGGATGGCATGGGATGGCATGATATCATCATTCATATTAGCTATATACATATTTACACTCAAGTCCCCATCAAATCAATGCAATACTTTGTTTTTTTTCTTTTCTTTTCTCTGGCCAAATGAGATAATTAACAAATAGTTAATCCAGTTATATCATAATTATCATGTTATTAATTAAGAATATGGGAATGAATGGTATAGAATTAGATTCTCTGATCCATAAATATTAGGATGCACTTGTGGGATCAGATTCAATGAGACAATGTTTCCCCTCATCTGTATCTGTAAGCTTAACAACTGCAAAGCAGAGACGTTCTTCTCCGTAGATAGGAGGATTGTCGTCGTTGTTAACTCGAAACGACCACACCTGGATTATATCCTCTTTCTGAAGCTTATTCTTTTTGTTCTCTGAAATTTTGGACCAACCACTGTTTAACATATAGGAAGAACTACGCTTTCCCTTGCTCAAGCCTGAACAAGACCTACTTTTGAACTTCCACTCGCTCAACCTTAACTCATTCTCGTTTAAATTTGGATCGATTACTTTCACTCTTATTGATCCCTCAAGCTTCAATGTTTTCTTATCTTGTTCCCCAAGAAAGTCCTGGTTACTCACTTGATTCTTTGGCATTGAGAGACGGTCGTGATGCGGGCTCAAATCGGTAGGGAAAATTTCTTTCTGAATTACCAATTGTACTCTGAAACCGTGCAAGGATTGAATCTTGTTCTTGAATTCCATAGGCATGTCTGGTGGTGGAGAGGGAATTGATGATAAAGCTGATCGCATGCTCACTGCTTTCTTGGCCTTGTTCTTAATCAACTTGCTTACTTTCTCTTCAATACACTTATATTCATCTTCGCCTTTGCTGCTTCCCAAACTCTGCTTTCTAATTTTCATATGGTAATTTCCAGCAGAATTAGAAGCAGCTTTTTCTTGATTATAATTATTCTGCTTGGAGATGGATGCTTCTGCTTTCCTCGCTTGACTTTGAATGAGATCAAACACAATTCTTTCTGTTAGCAATTGATCCTGTTCAACTGGGTCTCTTGAGACTGCCTTAACCTCTTCCACAATTTTGTCAAAAGAATCCGAACTAGAATTATTCTTTTTCAAATCTTCAAAGCTCATGATCCTCGTCGTCAACTCCATGGAATGGAATTACTAAAGATCACCAGTACTTGGATGTATCGACAACAAAGATGGAGAAGGAAGAATGTAGGGGCTGTTGAAGTTATAGGGGGCAGCACATTTATATATTACTACTTTTTACAAGCGAAATCCTTCCCTTGGTGATCAACATCAACTAGTAGTACTAAAGAAGAATTTGAATTAGTAGAGCTTTCAAATTCAATACTCACCTGGATTCAAATCATCTTACGGATTTATATATGGTAAAGATTATCATTCAAAGAACTCTGTATTTGTTTATACTAAGAAATCCCAACTCTTTTCCGATTGGGATTCTCTAAAAATCGACATAGAAAAATTAAAGAACATAACAAGCACGAAAAAGGAGTCAAGCCTCCTCATCTCCATTTCAGGCAAGCCTCATTTCTTATCATGTTTCTTTGATGTGAAGAAAATGGTGGGGAAAGTATTCTAGAGAGCAGATCATGTGGTATTTTAAGTTAACCCCAAACTTTGTTCTTTTTTCCTATTTAGCAAGAGTTCAGACAACTCTTCTGATCCAAACCAAGTCTATAGACAAATGTGATGTGATGATACACAAAAACTATTTTCCTTTTCTCAAATTTTCAGGTATGTTGATCAATGAATCATTATTTTTCTTGATACATACATAATGTTGTTAAGACTAAATGAGAAAGAACAAGAAGAAGAACAGAGAATTATATTTAAGAGAAAAGCTTTCAAATTGAATTGATTATTTCATCATTTACAATGTATAATCTAACAGATTGTAGCTTAACTAGTTAAGCTGACTTGGCCTTCACTATCAATGAATCACATAAAACCATTTTCTACAAAAAAGAAAAAACTCCCTCCGAATGTAACAAGTCTTATACAACAGGAACAGAACAGCAGCCTCAATTTTTTGCAAATGTTACGTCTCTAAACTTGATTGTGATATGTTTCCTGGCTCCAAACTCAGACTGGTTCTTGGCCGTGGATGATTCATTAGCTTCGTCGCCGCGGGCAATGCTACCATTAACATCTTCTTTCTTGCTCATCGACGTTCCAACAGTTTCCATTCTGTCAGTACCACCATTAACATCTTCTTTCCCCTCTTCTTTCTTGCTCATGGACGACGATGATCCAATAGCTTCCTGGGGATCTTTAACATCTTTATGCTTAACAAGTGCGAAGCAGATACGTTCTTGGTCGACAAGATTGGGATCGGAAACTCGAAATGTCCACACCTGAAGCATATCCTTTGCCTTAAGGTTATTAGTCTTATCTGTAAAAATCTTGGACCAGCCACTGTTTAACACATAGGAATAGTTGTTTTTAAAGACCCACCTCTTCATCCTTAATTCGTACTCTGTTAAACACGGATCTATTACTTTCACTTCTAATAATCCACCGCCTTTCAATTTTTGCTTGAGTTCTTTACCCAGAAACTTTTTGTTAGACAGTTGATTCTTTGGCATCGAGAGACGGTCATGGTGCGGATTCAAATCAGTAGGATGAATTATCTTATACATCACAAATTGCAAGTGGTGACCATTCATGGATTCAATCATCTTCTTCAATTCTATAGGAGGCGCGTCAGGCGTTGTAGAGGGTTTTGATGGTAGAGATGATCCCTTGCTCTCTGCTTTCTTGGCCTTCTCCTTATTCTGCTTCTTCTTCTTCGTCAGCATCAACTTGCTAGCTTCATCTTCATCACCATAATCATCCCCATGTTTCCTTTTCCTGCTTTCGAAACCTCGCTTCTTAATTTTCTCAAGATAATTTCTAGCAATATCAACTTTTTCATCAATGTAATTATATTTAGTCTCTGTGCTAACCACCTTCCTCTTCTTGATCACAACTTGGGCTTCCATGCGTTCTCTCTCGTTCGAAATCGAAACATTCGATTGTTGTGCTTCCTTGGATTTTCTTTGCAATTCATGAATGAGATCAAACACAACTCTTTCTGTCAGCAGTTTGGATACTTCTTCTGGGTCTCTTGCCACTGCTTTAACCTCTGCCACAATTTGGTTAAAGGACTCGTTACCCAACTTCTTCTTTCTCAAATCTTCCAATCTTATCTTCATCGTCATCTTCAATTTCTTCACCACTTCTCGAGTGTAGGAACTGAGATTTATGACCTAGTTAATTAATTTCTGAAACAAAGATGGAGAAGATCAATGCTACTTAGAATTAATTTATAAGCACAACAACCCTTTCCTTATTGATCAAGGAAAACCTTCATCTATTCCCAAACCCACAAGGACATATTTGAATTACTTACCGGGCTTTTTAATCCTCATTTCACCTGGGTTTAGCGCATTTACTCTTTCGCCATTATGCTTTGACTGAATTACAGAACCCTATTTCCTATCGAATTTACCCTTTTTGCTATTCTATTAATACACGGGCTTGCCAAAAATTATGACAAAATATGGTTTTCTTTTTCTTTTCTTTTTTCAAAAGGAAAGACAGAAAATTCCAAGTCAAAAAAATAATAAATGAAAAGAAAAGCCGATAATTTTTTTTATTTTTTTTTTCTCGGGAAAAAAGTTTGAGCTATCACTGAATTTCTTAGGGGAAAAAAAGTTTGGTAGTTTAGCCAAAACCACAGGGACAAAGTGAATTGAGAGTATAGGAAACTTGATGCCCAAGTAATTGAGAGTACACTTAGGGTTTGGTGGGTGATGCTACTTACTTTACTAATTAGTTAATTGGTGGTGTTAGGGGTTTCTTATCTCCTCTTATTGCAACTACGAACCCTACTTGTATTTTATCAGACTACTGATCTCACACCTCTATATAACACAAAGATTGTTTTTTGTTTAAGGCAAATTAACCGAATTAATTAGGCGGATGCAAATGAAGGGCAAGGCAAAATATCAAAGGCCTTGTACACAGGCTCAGAAGATATGCTTGTTTGACCTCCAATATCACTGATGAAGCAAACCATGGTCATCATGATCAAACTCAACTGTCTGATCACCTTAGCAGCCATGAGCATATTAGGCAAAGCTACAATGCCAGTTTGAATGAAAATGCACTTAATGAGCCGATTTGCTTATGAGAATTCAATCTAATCTAATCCAATCCAATCTGGTTACTTTTATGCATTTATTTTACTCTTATAGGTATTTGTAGTTGAAAAGGTTATGAATGTTTTAAGTCATTTAATGGAGTTATCTTTAATATATTATATAATCAAAATAAATTTCTCTAGTATTTCATTTATATTTTACATTTACATATGGTTGATTAGATTAAGGTAGCGTTTGGTATTGCTTAAATTTTTTAAAAAAACGACTTTAATAAAAATTTTGCAACACTATGGCGTTTGGTAAACATCAAGAAGCAGCTTTTTAAAAAAATTGCAGTCAATGACCGCTGTTTTTTCAAAGCAGCAACAACCCAGCTTTTAAAAGCTACTTTAAAAAAAATGTAACCGGTGGTTTTAATGAAATTTTGACTTTCCCATAATGCCCTCATTTATTTTTCAAATAGACAGTCCTTATCCCCCCAATACACATTGAGCGACACAAACTCCTCGTCTTCTCCATTCTGCAAACTCCCCTTTTCTTCTTCATTATGTTCATTCACAACCCTCCCTCTTTCTATTCGTTCTAACTCACATCCCTTTTTCTATTCGTCGTCTGCAACAAACCCCACCCAAGCGCCAACCACAACCACAACCTTCGACCATGGGCTGTAGACAACGACAATGACAGACTAGCACCGATGGCAGATGACCACTGAAGGCTGACGACGAGACTTCACAGCATGGATTATAGATGACGATGACGACTGTGCAAGGAGGACGACTTCTTTGGGCATAACCATTTGTCATAAAAAAAATTGAAGTCGAAGGATCACGAGAACGATTTTGAAAATTAAGGGACCAAAATACGAATCAAATCAAAGTTCACGGACCATTAGACCTAAAAACCCATTAAACATGAGATAGTGTTCTCCTAATACAAGTGAAAATAGAGGAGCAACAATAAAATAACTCTATAATAAAATTTGTGAGCTCACTAATATTTACTTACCAAAACCAAATAAGAGAGAAGATTTACAAATCTAATTTGGGTCCGGCAACTGCCTAACTCATTGCATGAATTGACAGAGAATCTTTACTAAATAGTGAGCAGATGATCTCAGCAAAGTTAAGTATGAATCACATTAAGCTCAGAGAAAAATTCCATTTCCAATATAAAGAAATACTGCTATTTCCAAGCCTGTTTGTGCAATGCAATACTTGTCTTATTTAATGATAATAATACACAACGCTAGCTAGCTTTAGCTACTTTGCAAACTCAAAAATGTAACGTGGAATTATAAAAATACAGAAACAAGAATGGAAATAGCATATTCTTATAATTACATAATTAATGAATTTGACAATTTATATATATATTGCAATTAACTAATGTAAATACTTAATTAATATGGATTTAAGGGCATCGTGAATTTTTGCCAGGGCCACCATAGTAGAAGTGCGTGCCCCATTCTTTGTTGTACGAGCTCTCGATGTTGTAGCAATTGGTGTTCTCAGCCAAAGTTGACACACCTGGGACCGAGCTGAGGCTGTTGTCCGAGTCCACGATCTCAAGGTTTCGGAAATAGCTTGCTTTCCCAAACCCGTCTTCAGCGAAATGACCCGAACCCATTTGCGTGGCGGTGTGCTCACCGTTGGCTCTTGTGTTCACCACCTCGCCACCCCATTCTACCATCGTCGCCTTCTCTTTCAAGTGTGTGAATAACTCCGCTGGCCAGTACCCTACAAGTGTATTGTCTCCAAATCCCATCCACCAATTCCCTAGCTTTGGATCCTACACACACATTCACACATATATACGTACATTTACAAAACCGATAATTAATTAAATTTAATTTATAAGGTAATTAATAATGTTCTCTGACTAAACTTACGTCGATGACATAAAAATGTTACGTTACGTACCTTCCATATGAGAATGGTGACATCGTATTGGTTGCTGGCATAGGATGAGACTGGAGAAATGGAAGCTCCAATTGCTATCTTACTGTTTGTTTGGATAAACCCAGAACACAGAAGATTGTAGCACCCAGTCGCCTGATATGAATCAGTCTATATATATACACAATCAAAGAAACAAGTTATGCAAAATATATACACACATTGACATGGATTTAATGATATATATATTGGTCGAGTTCCATGATCTGTTTGTTCGAGTGTTGACTAACATGCATGCATATAATTCTCAAGGCTCAAAAGAAAAGCCCATGCTCTAGGATTTAATTGATATAAAAAAAGATTCCTAGCCAGCTAGCTACTCTCTAGTCTCTAGGGGTTATTGAAGGCAACCGGAAAACTGAAAGTTGAACCAATTTCTTCATTTCCAAATTCCAATGATGTCCTAAATGAAAGACTTTCATGACCACAAGCTATGCATAGCTAGTCTACATAGTTTTCTGTGTACCAATAAATTTCATGGTGATTAAGCTTTGTGGCCCATTCATTATTACTGCTAGGTAATTGTAAGCAAGCCATAACCAAGCGCTCTTTCTGCTCAAATTTGATTTATAGACTAATTTTGTGCAATGTAATTAAGCCTATAAATATACAATCCCATCACAAACAGCGGTACAATAATACTATGTCACATGGAAATGTTATCACACGTATCATAGCATTATTGGCCGAATATACCAAAATAGTATTATCTCCTTTCATAAAAGTTTTTCTTCAAAAACACACACGGGGCAAAATGTTTGCAATTAATCAATAAGCCTATTGTATAGACATGTACAAAGACAACTTAAATTTCAGTTAATATAATTGGGTGAATGCATAAATATTGAGAGAAAAAGAGAGAGATCTGACCGTCCAGTAAGTGAACAATCTGGGCCTGTTGTCACCATAGAGCTCCGGACTGACCTGACTAGTGGAATAATCAAGGCTTCATAAATTCTACTAACAATAATGTACATATTTTATCTATAAACAAAAAAAAAGGAAATTGTAAATTCCATTAAGAGTTTTTTAATAAATTTGAAAGAGAAGTAATTTAGAATTAAGCGCATAAAATAAAGAATAAATTAAATGGAAGAAGTACCTGCCATCCAGCTTCTATGCTGTTGAGATCTGAGCCGTCGAATGATCCGGAAAGAACCCAAATCTGGGAGAGACTGAACTCGTTTACTTGTTCGATCGAGGGGGTCCACACATTGATTGTCGCCCTTGCCCCATACACTTCTTGCAATGATCCGGTGTACGCGATTGCGTGCTATATATCATTTTAATTCATACAACTTTCAGTCAAATAATCATCATTTCATTTACTTGGTCTTGGAAGGGTTTTTCTCTTTCTTTTTTAACAAATCCGAGGAAACGAGAGGCGGACACACTATCTTAGTCAAACAAATCCAACATTTCATTAAAACTGTTTGTTGGCAAATGTGGCCGAATTTGTTGAAATATTACACAAGCTATTATCCTCTGGAGATTGGCTTTTCGAGAAGTTAATAATTTATATTGTCAAAGTCATGGTCCATAAACATTTAAATATTTCAACAACAACATTTATATATCTATGCAATTTAATGTTCTCGGTAGGTATGCAATTTATATATCTAACATATTCCACTTCCTTTTGATTATACAATAGGAAATCAAAATTGTATATCCAAGACTAATCAAGAGACGCATCTTTTTTCTTATTTAATTTGATCCAACTTGCAAAGAAAAAGAAGACGACGACATGACATGTATGTTTCCAAGGAAATGAATGGAGGTTTTTATCCGAAAAGGAAAATGCTCGGCATACCTCATGGCCATTGCCGCTGACTACATCGGGTGCATCGGTGCGCCTAGCAGCAAGATCAGCCGTGAGATTATTATTAGGAGGTTGCTGCTGCTTCTTCTTGCCATAGTGAAACAAAGATTTGGCTCGCAGGACGTCATCTACTGTGCTTCGCCGTATTGGAACCGTTCCTCTGGGACATCTCGTCCCATTTCTGTGCCACATTTGCTGCACAACCCATGCACCCTCCTTACCCTTACCCTCAACTGCCGCTGCTGCTTCATCTCCATTATTATTGTTAATCCCTTCTTCATCTTTATCATTTGTGTGCTTCATCTTCTTTTTCATCGCTTTTGGCCTTTCTGGTGCCTCCTTCTGTTACGTTACGTATAATAATATTAACACAAATATTAATTATATCAAAATTGAAACCCTCATTATTATCAAATTAATACACAAGTAATATAATTGCTTAAGAGGAGAGAGTTATGAGGAGGAAATTTAATTTGCATTTATACGTATGTATTTTTTATTTTGTTGGTCGTACGTATATACGTATGTGTATATATACAACAACAACAAAAGTTATATAAAGAAAAAATATAAAGCCAACAAATCTAATAAATTGTTGGGGAGAGAGAGAGAGAGAGAGAGAGAGAGGGAGGAGGGGCAACTTTGTTAAGCTTTTTGTACCTGGATCTTGTGATTCTTTAAGAGAGGGTGATCCAAAGCTGGCTGTTTTCTTTTATGAACGCAATCTATTATATCTCCATCTGGGCTCTGCAAACATTGAAGAAGAAAAAAACCAAAACAGGAAACTCCACATGAGAAATATCTATATATATGAAGTGGTAAATAAATTCAGATCTTTTAATATTACTAATTGAGAAAATAATTAAGAATTTATACTATATATATACGCAAATACCTGAACGGTGATGACAGCAGGCTTGTTGATCTTGTTGAGGTGCTTCTCAATCCTTTGCAGTCTCAAGCTGCTAACTTGCTTATAATTATGCCTTGTGTATTTGAGGCCCCCCGAATTCGAAGCAGCTTCCACTGAAGGTGAAAACCTTTGGAAAAAGATGGTGCAGATGCATAAGAAGATGATGAGAAACAAGTACTGCTCTCTCTTCTTCCTTCCACCAATATTAATAGTAGAAGTAGCCATCATCATCATCTATTATCTCATTCAGTGCCAAACAAGAAACAAAAAGGAAGAAAGGAACTAGCATCAGCAGCTCCTCATGACCATTACAGGTAAAACAAACAACACAACCAAATCTGACTTTGTTTGCTTGATATTTACTTGCACCAAACACCCCATACATACAATACCACAAAAGAACAAAAGAAAAAGACTTATGGCAATTCCAAGAGGGGGCCTATATTTCTCTCTCTTCTCTCTCTTCTCTCTCTCTCTCTCTCTCTCTCTCCTCTCTCTCTCTCTCTCTCTCTAATGGTTTAATGGTGAGGAAGGGGAGGTGGGTGAAGGATAATTAAACACAGTGCACAGCAGAGAGTTGGCCCCTTGAGATGACCTTCAGCATCAAGATCATCATTGTCTGCTGCAGCATTGGTTTCATAATATATATATATTATATATATATATATATTGTTGCTCTTTCTTTGAAGTTGCACAAGTTGTTGAGTTGAGGCAAAGAATTTAAGGAGAGGAGAGGGGGAAGGGGAGGGCAGTGGCCAGGCTAGAAGAGCATTAAAATTAAAAATAAAAGAGCAGACCTACCCATTACCCATTACCCAACTGAAACAAGGCCCCTTTTATTACACTCCTTCAATGTGTATCTGCCCCAACACACTTTGCCATTAATATTTACTTGAAACCGCACACCTTCCTTCTTCAACTTCTCCTTCCTACCTTTCTTTAGCTTTCTTTCTTTCTTAGCTACACTCTCCGTAAATATTCCTTCATCTTCAATATCCCTTTTTTTTAAATTTGTTTCCATCACCTTTTTATCCCTAAGTAACAATCAATTGCCATGCTTTGCTTTCTATCCTTTGCTTCTACCACATTCCAAGTCAATGCGTTCCCTCACCTTTTCTCACCTAAATGTAAGGTATGTCTGAATGTGAATATGATATGTTACCATCTACAAACGTACGTTCACCATATATTGTACACATACATATATAATATTATATTATACAATCATTTTCTATTAACAGATCCCTTAAAAAACCTTACTCGGAGAGAGAGAGACATATCGTTTAAAGTCTACTGCAAATTTTATTTCAACAATCCAAATCATCTATATATTACTCCCTTTCCTTGTTAAGATAATTAATGAGTGCTTAGGGTTTGGACTTTGAGGTGATAGAATGGAACCCAATGAAGTAAATAGCTGTTGTTCAAATTTCAACGTATGAAGTGTTGCTTTTTTTTTTTTTTTCTTTTTCAAATGGATGGAAGCGAACAGTCCCTTGATCTGTGCTGCAAACGCACCCTTCTCCATGTGGTATACATTTCAGAATAATAACAAATTTTAGTAAATGTAGGAAGGATAATAAAATAATGAATAAATTATTATCTTATATGAAAATTTTAAATGTGTTTACGATATAATAAATGGGCAAGCTTCTATTCTCGAATCTCGAATGATTCTGTGTTCATTTAATAGAGAGAAATTTGGTTGTCAGTCTCCTCCTCAACTCCACAAGCCCGGATTTGACTCGAATTTTTTACTTCAAATTACCTAAATACCCTCCACAACATCTTGTGATATTTTACTGCAATATCTCGTTTTTGGAGTTTGGTAGTTGAAATACAGGAGAAAATAAATATATATCCAATTCCAGACCAGAGGGAAAGAAAGAAAAAAATCATTGTTATAATAATTTTAATTTTGGAAGAATTTACTTGCGAGTATTCTATTTCCATTTATTTTACTACCAAACTCAAAGGCCATAAAGAGTATTTACTACCAAACTCAAACCCCATAGGGAATGCAGTGTTCCATGATTATTCAGATAGTTTCCATAAATATACTTGAATAATAATAAATAAAAACATAAAAGACCTGAAATTAATCTGAGTTGAGGCCATGTTTCATCAAACATAAACATGTTACATGTACATTCAACTAAAATCAATAAACAGAAATCTAGTAATCAATTATAAGGGATTTATTGAATTTGAATGCTTGACCAGTTATTCTCCAAGCCAAGTCAAAATTGTGAAATCGTAGTCCATCAAAATATCATCAATTTAAACAAGAGGTGGCTTAAATTGGAGAATGACCACACAGCGATTGGAGGGCCCCTTTGCCCTTAATGCATGATGTGTCACTAAATAATAACATGTGTGTGCATCACTGTAGTCAGTTCCTACAGTGCTACATGTAAATGTAGAGGCTCGAGATCCCATCCCACGATATATATGAACAATTAATGCAGCTGGCTCATTGAGGGTCATTCTAGTCTTTGCACATTACGCTCGCTTCTAAGGCAAGAAGGCTTTGAATGGAGAGGCCATGACATGACCGTTTTATTATAATGTCCTGCACCTAAGTCTCTGTTGATTTACCATCTATCCTCTCTCTCTCTCTCTCTCTCTCTCTCTCTCTCTCTCTCTCTCTCTCTCTGCTGTGATTTGAACTATTTGAACTTTGCAACTACTCATGAACTTTGACGGCTAAGGAAAGATATAACCTGAACTTGGCAAAACCCTTTGGCTAAGCAATAGACTTCTTATTATTATTATTATTATTATTTCGTCGAAACACTTGCTTTGTTTTTGTTTTGTTTTTGGCTTCAGCTACCAATCCATACCCAACAGGTAAAGCCATAACGTGGAACAGCAAAAGGAGGCTTTGGTTTGTCGCCCAAGTAAGGCTTGGTGTGTAACAAACAAACAAGGTGCAAAGTTGATCAGAGAAGATAAACCAATGCGCGCCTCTAAACTGTCATTATTAAACATACGTACATATATACAGACATGCATGTTCAAATTCTAATGTATGTGGGGTTTTGTGAAAGTGAAGCCACGGAAGTTGGTATGGGGGTTGAGTTTGCGGCCAGGAAATGAAATGATATTTCAACCTTAAAACATTGGTAAATCATTTTCTTATTTTACTCGGATAATCAAACAAGTGAGATTCCAAAGCTACGCTAATGGCATATTATAATTGGAATAGCTCTCTAAAACATGTGATAAGATGAAACATTATATGAAATATTTGATGTAGCTTACAAAAATGGCAAAAGCCAACATGCGCTCTTGTTCTATACATGATCCTTTGATTATATATATATATATGATATCCAATCAACAATTATATTCAACTTATAATACCCAGGTGAGAAAAATTGGGTATGGAGGCCTCTATGATTTGTATATCCGCAATTCTTTGATAAAAATGTTCCATAAAACCTTCTGCTGGCAGCCCAAACATATGGATTTTCTATACCTCCACTTTCGATAAATGAGATATTCGCGGCTAGTCAAACAATACATTTTCAGCCACTTGCCAAGTCCTCACTGTCGCTATCATCACTGCATATTCCCAGAAGCATCAAGCAGTTGAAAATACCAGCAATTACAAAATATTTAAAAACAAAGTCAAATTATCAAAACCACAATGCATATTTTGGAAAACCAGTGTATTTTCTTTTATATATATGTACCGTATATACCTGTTTTCAGGGATCTTTGATATTCGTCTAGCATCCAAGCCTGTGATGAATTTTTGTGCAGCTTGAACATTTTCAGGACCTGGAAAATATGTAACAGAAACTGTAACAGCTGCATTTTTTGCTTCGACAACTGAATCATTGGAAATTTTTCATTTGAACTATTGCAGTAAAACTGTAAGAGCTTGAAAAAAATACCCTTTGTCAATTGGAAAGCATGCAGAGCACATCTTTCCGCTGCAAGTCTCACAGGAGTGCTTCCATCTTTCAAGCATTCAGCAAGTGCGGGTCCAATAATATTCATATGAGCCAAAATAGCCGAGGAATTTTCCTGTAATGCAAACACCAAGCATAAAATCCTTAAGGATTTGCACAGTTGAAGTCCATAATTTCAGCATGCAATTCCAAAAGCCCCAAGCACAAACCTTAGAACCTGCTTTTATAGCAGATAATGCCTTTCTCCTAACTTCACTAGAATCATCGTGCAAAGCTGACACTAAGGACGATATAATATCAGAATGAACTGAGCTATTAGATGGATCACTTCGGAACTTATGAATCAGAAGTCTCCCAAATGCCTTGGCTGAAGTTTCACGAAGAGGGAACTGTTTGAAGGAAGAGTGTCACTAGTTTGCAAAGCATAATAAAAAAAACATAAAAATGCTTACTGTCAGGACTAAATACCTTCTCATCAGTCAAGGCACTTTTAAGCTGGTCCAGAATAGACGGAAACTCTGGAGACGTACAAATAACGGATGGATTGTGCCTGAGCATAGATGAAATTGTGAGTATGGAGCCATGCCTAGCAGACCAGCTAAGAGACAACGGCAAATTTGAGAGTTCCTGAAGCAGCTCAGACAGTTGATCATCTTCTACGTACTGCAAATAATCAGAGAAAAGTCTGGTCAATAATAAAAGAAAACCACTAAGAAGCCAATAATATATTGGAAAGCCAGAGAACAATAAGAGTTACATAGAATCAATTTAAATGAATGTGACGGATCTCATGATGATTTTGATGGTGCTGTTAATTGCAGGTTGCATGTAAGCAAATAGAAATTGGTTTCCATATATCCAATATGAAAGAATTCTAGTGCATCTCGTCAGTACTCTATTACTTTCATATCTTTTTCGCAGAACACAATGGCCGATGAAAGATCATAAAAAGATTGGCAACGGACATATTCGACACTTACATAAAACCTTCTCAAATTATATCCCTTTGATATTGATCATTATTTAAGCTGTTTCGTACTTGCCACCTTCGTCCATTATTTTTATTCAACAAAATCATGCATCCCACTCCTCTCAACTAATTACTCTAGTATCCCGACAGATATATTATTGCATCAACCAACAAATATCAAACTTCCAAATGAAATCTCCAAATTTCTTTTATTGTTACGTCCAATTTTACAGATATCTTCTCCAATCTTCATATGTGCTCTGCATACATACTTTAGTTGCCCAGTCAATATCAACAGTACGAACATTGTCTACAACCATATATCAATAATACAGAATCTTGAACATCATGATTAAGCGACAGCTAAATACATCTAGAAACCTTAATTGCTCACTCACAAAATTAACAACAGATGGCAAGATATAGATATTGGAGAAGTTCCTATATTACCGATGACATACCTGGGATGTGATACCCAAAATGCTTGCCGCAGATATTCGAACCTGGTCATCATCATTACGAATCAAATCCTTAAGGTGCAAGTAGACACGAGTTCTAACAGCACTGCTCAAGCTCTTCCCAGCATGCTTCAGGACACCTTCTAAAGCAGACAAGCTTGCCTCCCGAACCCCACTATCCGAAGCCTGAACAGTGAAATCAAGAACAATTGTAAAATCAAAATTTGAAATTTAAGTGCATCAAAGATCCTAACTAACAATCACCTGCAAACTCGATAGGAGGTCTCCAACTAAAGGGTCAACCCGGGTACTGAGAGCACTAAGCTTCCCAAGTGCAAGGGCAGCACTTGAACGAACAATTCTGCGCTTGAAAAGCATCTAATAAGCAGGATATATGGAGGAAACAAGCTGTACTACTTGTGCGCCACTAATGCTAATATAAGAAAATACACAAGAAGCAATTAAATGTAAATCTGATTCTTTCTCCCGACCTGAAAGCACTAATTTGTATAGGAAGTGATACCTATGTGGACCATATTTGCAGCACACACCATACCCCAATCATATTTTAAATCTATATATGTAAAGGTCTTAAAGGTGAGACATTCAAAATACCAAAAATGCCCTTAGTTAATGAAATTGTAAAAAAAAATTATTATATGAGGAAAATATAGTAAATTAATATAATCTTTTAAATTGGATAAGTTTAAAAAATAGAAAACTAAAATACCCACATTTCCTTGAAAATAGAAACTGTTTTCTTCTTAAACCCCACGTCAGTTACCTCTTCCCCAAAATTACTTTCTTTTCATTTTTTACCCTTCTTTTTTTTTTCTTATTTATGTTTATAGATATATATACAGGGTGAATAATGTTTACGTGGCAGTAAAAAAGGTGCCAAGAGGATATTTATGATTATAGCACCATTTTAAAGGACATAATAATTCCAAATGTGAGGACCTGTGAGCCAAAAAGCATACATGGGAAAAACATTACTAGATGACTGTACTTTAAGCCAACCTGTGTTATCCTGTAGACACTTTACAAATGTTGTTTGAAGCTGAGGAAGAAAAGGTTTCAACGCCATCCCACCCTTTCTTATCATCATTGCCAAAGTAGATAAAAATAGCACTCTTCACCTGCCAAGGGAACCGATCACCTATTATCCGGATAAGAGGCCTGCAGTTGCAATCCAATAATAGCCAGTCAGATTTTGAAAAACAACGCACAAGCATGAGAAACTGGGGTCTTATGGAAAAGTAAGATATACAAAGTTCAGTTACAGTACAAAAGTGGCCTAGAGTCATGAAAGTCAAACAATGATATAAGAACTGAAAAAATAGATAAAACATATGATAACAAACAAAAACTAAAGAGTCATTTTATTTTGGACAGAAATTGAATCTGCAAACTGTGAATTTTGTAATACAATAAAGAACATGAGTATTTTCAAGAGTTTGCCTCCCATAGACCATTTCATCTGGTATGACTCAGTTTTTTTCATACAGAGCAAAAATACAATGAGTTCAGCACAATGAAAGAGATTCACCAATGACCCAAAAAAAAAAAAAAAAAAAAAAAAAAAAAAAAAAAAAAAATATTTTTTATTTAAAAAGAAAAAAAACAAATATTATTAAAGCCTACCGTGACTTCAGTCATAAGCAACAAAACCATTCCATTAATGAAGACATCAATCCAATTCCAAGTGTCGAGTAAAAAAACTAAGGGCACTACTTTATACAATGACATTGATGAGGTCAAATTAGATATCTCAAATTTAGCGAACGTTCCTCTACCATACTTTAATCATACGTACCCTGTTATTGGGATGACAAATTCTTTCAGTGCCTGTTCACTAGTCACCTCAATCAGTTCACCAAGACCCAGTGCCGCTTGCTCTCTCAGTTCAGCAGATCCACTTATTAAGCCCTAAAGGTGCAGTACAGGTACAGTTTAAAATCTAATGCCCAAAAAGCAATGAGGACAAAGTATGAACCATATCAACATCTAGAAATCTATCCTATCATAAAAGTAACAAAATAATATCTTACCCTACAGGCAAGCATGTAAAGAAATCACATGCAACTAAACTTCACATAACCAAGTAGCTGGGTCAACCCAAAATTCCATAGAAATCCACAAGGAAGCACTTCCGGCAATCCAAAAAGTCATCCAAGTAAACAAATCTTCCCCGGATGACAAGGATAAAAATAAATAAAGAGAACATTATATTCAACCATTATTTTCTACTACAAGTTCGAATAGTAAAATTTTGTTCTGGGATAGATAAGAAAACCACTTTATTAGAATAATAGAGCACACTACAAGCACAATGGACGAGAAGTCCGTCACTACTGAAACAACAAAGGACCAAAGCCCATGAATGAGTCAGTACCAAGATTTTTTCTTTCTACAATTGAATCATAAGGTTAAGGAATGGGTGCATTTTAAAACCCCAACTAGCTAGCTATAATGACGTAATATTGCATGTTAACTAAAAAAATTGAACATACAACAAGACTAATTGATTTCCATTTAAGATCAAGGCAAAGAAGAGTTACTATACCTGTAGAAATATTGGAAGCAATGGTTGAAGTGCTTTTGGTAAACAAAATCCAGGTATGAGAATTGGTCCTCCCTGAAAGGTCACAAACATAACTATTAGGATTTAATGGACCATTCACTGGAAAACATTTAGAATAGACAACATATAGAACTTGTTTTGAACTAAAGAATCTGCTATGATTCACAATCTAAACTATTTGCCCACCTTCTTCTTCCTGCGCTCCTTATCCCTGGAAGTAGATACAGCATCTCGTACTAATTAATATATGAAGGAAGTACCTCCTTGGGAACAGAACTTACAACCCTTGACAAAGCTTCCCAAGAAATCTGTTGATTAGAAGATAACAGACAATGTTACATACTTGGAGTCAATAACAGAACATGAAATACTCATAGCACATACCGCCACAGTAGCTGAATCTGAGTCGCTGAGCAAGACAATCAAGGTAGATATCATGTTTGGAGCTTCATCAACCAAATATAATTTACTGTTTTTGAAGAAATAGCCTATAAGATATGAAGAACTTCTTCTAATTGAGGCCTGAAACCATGAGTAAAATATCGAGTGAGAGAGCAAGGGAGAGAGGGAGGGAGGGAGATAAACAGGATGATACCTTGTTAGTGATTATTACCTGACTATCACTGACAGCTCTAACAAGTTCAGATATAAGAGATTCAACACCTTCCTCATCTATGACTAAGACCACTGTTTCAGCAGCCTCCCTGGCCAAAGTTTGAACTTCCTAAAATTTCCAAAGCAACAATATTTCAAATTCAGCCTGATTATATTTCAACAACATCCAGCCAGTCAGTGTCACATATTAAATAATCGTGTACATCCAGTAAGACGTGTTCAACCTACTAACCGAAACCGTGGGGGCAAAAATCAGAAAAAGTTATGTTCTTACATATGCAAGAAGATTGCAAATTGCAACAGCATACCTTTTCATCAGCACCCATTGCAGAAAGTAGAGCAGGAATAACAGTACCAAGATGAGAGTTAAGGCCAGGTCCAGCAACCTCAGCTACAGCTCCAAGAGCATGTGCATTAAACGCACTGGATATATAAACGATTTCAGTAAACAAGTGGTACCCAAGGGGAACTTTGTTATAAGACATTTAATACACAGTAATTTTGAGAACGAAATACATACGTAAGTGGAAGGTGGACCAGCTTGGGTAAGATGTGGGGCAAAACAGCAGTAATCCTCACACTGAAATAGAAAATGCCGCAACTTAGCCCAACAAAAAAAGAAAAGCATACACAAAACAAGGTGTAAGAGAGAGGGAGTGAGAGACATTAAATTGAAGTGGTATTTCACCTTAAGATTTGTTTAAGGCCATCAAGAGCAGTATCAGAAGTTTGATCATCCTCCAATGCACGCAAAAGAGTGGGAACAATTTCATCGATTGCTTGCAGTCCAGCACTCTACATTGTGACTTCAGAATTAAAACATATACGACCATCTTAGAAACGAATATTCAAATTAAACAAAAAACTAGAAACAGAACCTTGTAGAGAGTGCTGAATGCTAAGCCAGCAGACTCACGAACCTCGGGCATGCTGTTGTTGACACATAAACAGTAAGGTAACATTTTTCAAAAAGGAAAAAGAACTCAAGACAAACACTTGTAAAATCAGAAACATCATAAAAGAGAATAAAAACCTATCAGAAAGAGCAGTTCGAATTGTAGGGATGAGCTCATCCATGAAGCTCAACAACTGATTTTTACCAGCACTTGCCATTACTTCACTCAAACCAATGCATACACCCTGTGAATCGTAATAACATAGAAATGTGTTAGCTAGCATAGTTATCAAACAGCTTATATCTTTTAACAAGGTCATAATAAGGCACTCAACTAATGTATTCAAACCGCAATACGTGCACTGGTTAAGCAACAACCCAAATGATACACTAGTTTTAAGTGTTTAGACAACACCAAGGCACCATTCCAAAACAAACCCATTTTAGCTACAAGACTAAATGATAGTAAGAGAATACTCAGTCAAGATGAGGTGGATGCTTAACCTGACACATCACAGTTGCAACATCATAACAAGCAAAAGATAAACAGAGTGCTCACTTGTCTTCTGCTGGTGTCAGAGTCCTTCAGCCCTTGGGATAAAATTGGGATGATCAAAGGAAGCACTCTTTCACCAAGTTTCCTAACAAGCTCACCCAGTGATCGTCCAGCAACCTGCCGCCTTTCAGAGGACGATGATGCAAGAGAGGCAATCAGAGTATTCATTAAAACTGGCATTATTTCCTTTAGAGTCTTTGGAGTATTTGCCACAATAGTTTTCCATACATGCAACGCAGCCTGAAAAAAGGACGGTGAATTTTGATTACAAGTTAGATATGTCCCGAAAATAAAACGAAAGATTGAATTTGTGCCAAACAAAGTACTTCACTACCTGACGAACAGATAAGCTGACATCAGTTCGAACCATATATAACGCAGCAAGAACTTCATCACGCTTTTCCCTTCCCAGAACCTCAATTATAGCCCGCCCGTGTGCCTCAGTACTAGCACCTTCATCATCACTGCCACCCTCAAGTAAAGCTTTTCCAGAAGTCCCAGCAACCTGGATTTATAAAGATTATCTCAGAAACCAAAGACTTAGAAACTCCAAGAGAAGGAAACAGGAAGAGGTTGAGATGAAATACCTTAAATAAGAGATCACCCAATAACTCCACAGAGCTTTGTCGAATCCGCCAACTATCGTTAAAAATACCATCCTCAACAGCAGGAAGGAGCAAAGGTAAAGACCTGAAAATAAAATAAAAACAGCAAAAATAAAATGGAACCCATCAGATGAAAAAACCATTATGACAACATTATATATGCTTGGTAAACATCGCAACTTATTAAAGGCTTCCCACTCATATATGAGTAGGGCAGCCCGAGAATGAACAATATGAATGATCACTCATAATCCAATAATTCCCAAAACGCAAAGATATTCCAAGTTGCAAAACATTTCAGAGAATTAATGAGAACAAATTGTATTTCCTAACAAAAGTTGATTTTTGGTTGCCTTCAGGTTATTAAGACGCGGAGTAGCTTTAATTGATTGTCCAAGGACCACAGATTGAATTCCACCTTCACCAGGATTAGGGGTTTATGGCATGATCGAGGCCTACCCTCCCAGTCTTATAGCACATAGGTCCAATGGGCCTCCAACGGACCAAAATAAAATTGTTATGCAATAAATTCTCTAGACTAGAACCAAAATCCAAGACACAACAAATTCAACTAGAGAGTTATCACACTGATTGAAAAGTGCTTACGTTGTCGCATAATGCTCAACCAGGACATGCCCTGCACCTAGTGCTGCCTCACGTACAGACTCATTTTCATCGGCAAGACCTGTAAAAGTATAAGCGCGCATTAAGTTTAAATGGGGCACCAAAGTACTGTAGTAACATGATAACATATAATTTTACAGCCAACCAAACTCCAGAGAAGGATCTTTACTTACCATCTAAAATAGAAGGCAGCACCTGCTGTAGATAATTCTGGAATTGGACTCCCAATGACCTCGGTAGATACTACATATCAATTCCCAAACGAAGGCAACCATTAACAGAGCCAGAAAAAAAATACTTGCAGTGGTGGTTAACTTGATTTTAACGTACTGTCCTCACCTTAAATAATGTTAAATATCCGTCACGGACAGATGCTTTTTGGTGAGAACAGTTCCGGATAACATCAGGAAGTACATGCTCAAAGTACTCAGTCCCGAGTGCAGCTAATACCTGGATTGGCATCAATTGTCTCTTAGCAAACCAAGGCAATATTAAGAAAAATTAAGACATCCACAGATTCCATAACAGGGGTAGTCCATGCAAAAAGGAAACACTTATCATGAAACACTAAAGGAATAAGTATAACAGGTACAAGGTTAAACTAAATATATGTCTGCATAAAGAAGCATCACTGTCAAATGCCTATCACATTGGCATTGTGGATAACATGTTTTCCGTCCTATAAAATAAAGTACAAGAACACTCTTTCCTTGACCTATTTCTTTGATATCAATTTCAATAAGGATATTTCTGCTAAATACTTAAATCATGCCATCAGAAAAGTTATCACATTATAATTTCAATAAGGATATTTCCGGTAAATACTTATAATGTAAAAGGGGTAGAAAATAATTACATCATGCCATCAGAAAGCATCCTGTGGATAAATATTTGATCGAGGAAGGTTATCACATTATAATTCATCACATATCAATTCAATCACCTTTAAAAAAGGAAAATAATTCTACACATCAACTATCACAGCATAATTTATTGAAATATTATCATTACTATTATCAATGAAAGCGCGATAAAAAAAACTTACTGGGAATTAAGCAATGGAAAAGAGCCAACTTATTTTCCAAGTACAAAAAGGTACAATCAAATGGTAGCACATTTCTGATCTACATATTTTCGGTTGACATTGTCCCCTTCTTTTCATGCATGCAATTACATTTTCTTTCAAAATTAACAAATAAATTTAATCTACAATAGAAGCTTAACCATACTAAGATAAAATACATCCATAATTTTTTATTTTATACAGTAATACTGACCTCACTCAACCCTTGAGCAGCCCCAGAGCGTTCAACATTACTATTATCAGATTTAAGTGTATCAAACAGCCATGGAACAAGATCTGGGAAATGATCTTCACCCATTCCCCGTATAAGGGATCCAAGGGCCCTTGCTGCAACTGACCGAACTTCTGGAATTGGATCCACAAGAACCTAGTTTTGGGGGCACAAATAATTAGAAAATAGTTAAACAGAAGAGTCAAATTACCACTCTTACAAAAGGGTACCTTTTTCACTTCAGGAAGAAGCAACCCAATATATGGAATCATATCCTTAGGTTCCGTAACTAACGAACACATATTGCCAACTATCTGTGCTGCTTTCTTTTTAGTCTCTGCACTCCTTTCCCGCAGCCCTCTATGAACTATTGGCACCAACAGTGCCAGTGAAGGAGCATCAATTGTATTAATAAAAGTTGTCTGCAAAGATTCAGGAGCATTCAAATCAATAAACGAGGGAAACAAACTTATTAGAAAGTAGTAGAGTTCAGTTTGCAAATCCTTACTTGTAAGAGAATATCAAGAGAGTACTTTGTATGGTCATTTGGATCCGTCAGACCCAGTAGAAGAGTGGGGACCAAGGAAGCTATTTCAGGATTCTTTATACACTCCCAACCTAAGAGGGAGTACCACCAAAAAGAAAAAAGAAAAATTAACAATGACTATAAGAGAAACATAGGTAACTTCATTGCACAATCTAAAAACCTGTTGAAGTGCGGTTTGTCCCGCTGACTGGACTTTAGGATGTGTATCTGTTAAGACCTGCAAGAACAAGAAAAGGTAAAGAATAAGCACAAAACTATGCATATTCTATAAGTGCCACAGATACTCATGTCCATATAGAGACAAACCTCGGTCAGTTTTGGTACAATCTTAGGGAGACACTGAGACAGCTGTTGAGGAGCACAATAGGCCATAGCCCCAAGCAGTTGGACACTACTTTGCTTTGTTCGCCAAGCTTTATCTTCAAGACCCTATCAAAATAATGTAATTCATACAGTAAATTCATCACTTAATAACTGGCCATGATTATAGAAATTAAATTATATTGATAGAAATTAAATTGTACAACAAAACAGAGGACAAGGTGTTCACTGACTTCACATCCAACTGACAACATCTAATAACAAGATCAGCAGCAAAATACACCAGTAAACATCATTACACAGCCACTCTAGGTAACAGCAGCACAATAGCTCTGGACACTCGTACATATAGAATACAAAGAGGGCTAAACAAAATGACATGACCACGAAGGAAAGATATGCGCATTAAGACAGGAAAAGTTTGATGCCTACGTGATGTGCTTTAAGATAATAAGTAAGACAATAACACTTTAGTACTTGCATAATTCCCACGCACAAATTTGATGCATAAAAAATTTCTGCCAAAAAGGGAGCACTTACCTCCAACATACTTCAGAAATTAAAATTACAAAAACTTGACAATTAAGCCCTTTTCTTTTCGAACAAGTTCAAAGAAATAGATAAATAAGTAAGATATAAAATACAAGTCCCACTCAGCTGAGAGACAATGAGCGCCACTTTCATGGCATCCGTTGGATTGATCCAGCGGCACAGACAATGAATCTTAGTAACCCATTTTACAACCATATTCCTTACTAACCTGGAGAGATGAACAGCCTCCATTCTACCATCTTGTACGGTGGAATAGTACAAACATCTCTCTGCTCCATCTTCATTTCTCTGTCTTGCTGTCTCTCTACGTCTCGCTCTTTCCACACACATTCATCCTTCACATGTTTGATTCTCAAAGGACAAATCTGTGTGGAAAGAGAGAGAGGTAGAGAGACAGCAAGAGAGGAATGAAGATAGAGGAGAGAGATGTTTGTACTGTTCCACTGTAGGAGATGGTAGAATGGAGGCTGTTGAGGTTTCCGGGTTAGGAAGGAATACGGGCTGTAAACTGGGTTAATAAGACTTTAAAAGTCTGCTGCTGGATCAATCCAATGGATGTCATGAAAGTGGCGCTCACTGTCCCTTAATTTTTGTCCCTCAGGTGAGGGGGACTGATATAAAATACCTTTAAAAGAGATGGGAGGACCAGTTTAACTCCTTGAGCACTAAGTTGAGACATCATTGCACGAGCTGCACACTCAGCACCTTCACGAACTGCAACAACTTGATCAGAGAACGAAACCAACAGTAGTGGCAACATTTGAATTACATACCTGCATCAAAAAGATGATTGGGAAGAGAGAGAGAGAGAGAGAGAGAGAGAGAGAGAGAGAGTTCAGAAGAATAATAAAGCCCATATGGACAATCACTTCTTTGTACATAACTGTTCACTTACGGTTCAAATAGTCGTCCAAGTGATTCACAGAGGCACTCAAATCCAAGCAAAGCTCCTTCACGACATTTTGCAGAACTCCTGTGATTCAAACGATATACAAAGATGAAAGGCTTGACTAGTATTTACACAAAGGAAATATATTATTTTTTTTATAAAGAAAACAACAATAAAATGCAGAAGAAACAGAAGTGTAGAGGGATTGAGCCTTATCACTTGCAACTACCTCGCGATCTTTACTCTTGAAATTTGAAGTTAATCCATTCAGACCAAACCACCAATACAGAATATGTATCATTCATTCAATGACTAATTAGTATACCTGACCTATATTTCTTCTTTTTTTATATAAAGATATTAAATTCGCTATTATTTCTTGGAATACTATGTTTAGCAATACCACTATCTAAATATCACAAAACATAAGTTTCTACAACATATACATAAATACCAGTCAACTTATTAAACCAGGGTTAGAAACCAACCTATCTACAAGACCTTCTTGTAGTAGAGTTACAATCCCATACTTCTTCAAACAAGAAATACCGAATCCCTTGACCACCCCAGCAAGCCCAAAAGCAGCTCCTCGACGTTCCCCATATTTGTCACTCTTCATCAGTTTATCCAAAAGCCTTGAGACAAGAGCTGGTCCATCATCCTTGTACAGGAAAAAGAATAAACTTAGCTTTCATCTTAATGTCAATACAGTATCTGTCAACATAAACAATGTCATAAATCAATTTCTGGATGGGAAAACAAACTTGATTTAACAGGATAACCACTCTCATTTAAAGGTAAATCCAGTTTTACTTAACAGGGTCCCTTTTTTTAATAGTATTTTCATGGATTGCTTGACAACACAAAAAAGCATGGGCAAGAAATGCAGTTCCATGGGCATTTAGTCTAATAACAATATACTTATCTATAAAATTGTCTGTGTATTCAAATGTGTCCAAGGCTTGCATAAACAATTACTGAAATAAAAGCAAAGGAGGGAAAGTGTTAAGACTTTAATTCATACTTGCTTTGATTGCATTAATGGAGATAGGCATGCTGAAACCGCCCGTTGAACAGCTTCTGATGGAGTGTTTAACACATCCAACAACTTCTCTACAACAGTATGAACTTTTGGATCATCCTGTTCCAGAGTACAGATATAAGCTAAACTAAATTCCAGAGGGGAAAAGAAAGAAATAAACAGTAAATACAGCACCTTTGCCAAGTGTTTTGCCAATGCTCCGGTGAAAATAACAACTCCCTCACGAACCAAATCATATTTCTCTTCATCTGATGCCTACGAAAATTCACAAGTTATGTCAGATAAATTATGAAGTTCCTACAATAGCTTGGCATGGAAACAGCAGTTCCAGCATTTACCACCAAAACAGACATGAAACGAAATCAAAGCCCCACAAGTCCTGCCAACACCATCTCTATTTAGAAAAGGAGAATAACCTTTTTGTTTAAGTAGTTCTCAAAGATGGGAAATAGCAAGGAAACGTTATCCCTGCCATGCTTATCAATAATCATAATACCAGCAGTAATCATTCTTCCCCTAACATCAGCATTAGGATCGGCCTGCATATTGAGCAGCATTCACAAAGTGGTTAAAATCAACTACTACTCCTTTTCTGACAAGGATGAAACTGAAGAAAAGAATATCTCTTTCCAATTGAATGCATAGCTCATGCTTCGGAAAGAACAACGATGTAAACTTTACCAGTGCTCTTGAAATCAGAAATGTCATAACAACAGGAAGGTCTTTTGTTCTGAGTACATCAGCAGAAGAATGTAATGCCAAGGCTACACCTTGTCGGCCCAGCCAACCAGCATCAACATTGTCCTCAGTCAAACCAGCATCACGGATATACAGAGAAAATAAAGTAGAAAGAGATTCCTGAATAATAATAACAATACGCTTTTGAGATGGGCGTAACAAAATGCAAGTCAATGTAAGTTGACGGTTCAAAATCAGACAAACCTGTATAGTATCTGGACATTCATCCAAAGCAGCAGCTAATGCCTCCGCAGCAGCAAAACGGACATTATAATTGATATGGGAAAGTGCTTTGAAAAGGCCTGAATAGTCAGTCCCAAAGTCATACCCATAGCGATCCCATAAATCCTCTGCTGCTTCTGCAACTGACTGAATCAAAAGCACAAAGAAAACAAAGTAAATGAGCTATCTATATAAGAAAAATGAGGCCAAGGAGGATGGAGAAAATTTTGCAACTGTAAACTAAACTACAGCTAAATCTCCAAAATTCACACAACAAAGGCATTTCAAAAGTCAAAATTAAGGTCCCATTCCAAGGCTATATCATTTAGCCATGCATTTGCACACAAAACTTCAGCCATCAAATGGGACCTTATCCATCGGTCAAAGATGGATACACTACAAAAATAATTGGTGCACCAAACCTTTTCAGGGTCATGTAAAGCAACCCAAATGCTTGTAGCAACCTCAACGTTCTGAGGAAGAGAACGACTGGCAACAGCAGGAATACATTTGACAGCACTTAGGCAGGCCATTCTAACATGAACATCTTTCGCATAAACCCCATATAGAGCCTGAAGAAAGACATATTCATGAAGGATGAGTACTATGAAAGCACATCAATGAAACAATTGAACTAGAAATAGAAATAGCATACTGGCGCCACTTCATCTGGTCGCAGACCCAAACACAACTCATTCAACGCAGGTCCAACAGAAGCTTGATAAGCAGGAACAACACCGAGAACATGATAAAGAACCTGTGAAAAGACAAAGTAAATAAATGAAAGGCAACAAATAACAATAAATTAAAATTAGTGGAAAATTCATGTGAATTTGTGCCCAAGGAAAATCCAGTAACTGAAATCATTCGAAGCCTCGGAAGGGGTAATAGGGGGTCCATGTGCAAATAAAGAATCCGAAGCACATCATCATGAAGTCCTGTCTTCTTAGAGCATAACAGAATTCGCTCCATTATCTAATAACATAACCATATAAAAGAAAAGATTAGTCTAAGAGAAGCACCATTCAGCTGAATCCGTAATATGGGAAAGCAGGAGAACTTACAGGGAAGACGAAGGTAAAAGAATCTACAGGAAGCGGTCCAGATTTACAAGATACAGAAAGGCCATTAATTATTCGCTCAAATAGACTCAAATATGGTTTTTCATTGGCTTCCGCTTCACCAACTGATGGAATCATATCACCCACAAGACGAACTTCTTCAGTCACAACTAAGCGCAAAGCTGTAGCAATGTCAAGGGCCCAATTACAGAGAGGTGGAGCAGTGCATCTAGCAAGTTTCACCACAGTTTCAAATGCCACATCACTGACTATTGGTGACCTTAGCAATGGATCAACATAGTTAACCTGATATTGGATGAAAGGTTAACAATTAAGCCATTACATCAGATCTTACACATTATCAGAAAATTTGGTCTGAACAAAGTTCGTAACAAAAAGCCAATGAAATAAAGGGATAGAGGCAGTGAATTAATAGCAGCAAAGCAGAAAGTCAATCATCAAAAATAACATTATTAAATTCTTTTGTTCGGTCAACATCAAGGAAGAGCTGGAGATCATATACCACAGAGATGGCAGCAAATCAGCAAGCCCAATTCTACACTATGGAAGATGGTAACTGCAGTACTTCCCCCTAAGACTGACTATAACTAAATACTTTCATTTTGGTAGAAAATTTATCCCCTTCTTTATCATGTGCAGAAATTATATGCAATACAAGTAACAACACTCAAAGCAAACTTGCTTTTGAATGTGTCACTAAAAAAGAAGTTTTGTAGTGATGCACATCTAATTACTTCGGGAACATTTAACAGCAAACATCGTCATAGAAACCTTATAGGAAGAAAAAATATGGTAAAAAGTCTTCATTCTGGATAGTAAACGTAAATTTAAATATTCTGAAAAAAACAAAATCAAAATCCATCTATAAAAAATGGAAGGAAGAGATAACAAGCTGGAGAAAGACAACAATTCAAAAATGGCAAAAAGATATTCAGAACATATATCTTAATCAACTAGTTAAAGACAAATAACAAACATTCCACAAGTTCAGGCTCCTATAACATACCAGGGAAGGAAGCTGACTGTGAGCAAAAATAGGATTAGCAATGGCCATTTCCCCAAGTGCTTTAAGTATGGAAGATAGATTTTTCTGTATTTCTTGGACCTTCTCACGTATGGATGACTCCTCCCTAAGTTGTAACTCACGTGCCTCCTCTTTTGCAGTCCTTCCTTTATCTAGCCAATCAAAATTATTGTAATGCTACTAATAAATTCATAAAGTTAAAAACAAAAATAAATTTCCAGTGGAAAAACAGATGCAATAATAACGCACCAGGTTTCTTTGCAGACTTCCCAGTTTCCCTTTTACCTGTAGAACCGTTGGCTGGCTCTACTTTTGCAGAATGATTAGAACCACCATGGTCCTGGGAACAAAAACAAATGCAACAGCCAAAATAATTGAAGACTAAGCTTCTAAAACAATTGGTCCAAAATGAATAAAAGAGAAACTGATTGATACCGTGGCATCCTCATACATCCGAAAACGGCCCTTCGCTTGTTTCATGTTCTTAGCAGCAACAGACTCTGCAATGTAGACACCTTGCTCACTGGAAAGCAAGCCTTCAGGAGTATGAAAAATCTGAAACATAAGTGGAAATTTTTTTGAAACAAGTTACAGAACAAAAGAAAAACATTTAGTAAACTAATATATCCTAAACAATTTAAAAAACGTAAACGGAGCACAGTTATCAGGAAAATTTAAATCTCCATAGATCCTAAACAAATTACAAAACTAATATATCCTAAACCCCGAAGAACTTACCTGAACATCATTTTCTGAAAGTGTATCATGTGAATAACGGTACGGAAGACTTTTCAAGTGCTGCCACAGAGAATGAGTTCCAGTAAGCATTCATTAATGTGATCTCAGCAGCCTAAATAAATAAACATCCATTGAAACTGAGATATACATAAGCAAATGACCTTTTCAAACTCCGCATAGGTTTCTCCAGGTGCAATGGACATCAAAGTGGATAAGGAGGAAATTGCTGCTTGCTGTTCAAATGAATTAGAGCTGGACAACCACATTGGTCCAAGTAGGGTCTGCACATGATAACCACTAAGGATTTAGTCACAAAATTCAATGCAAAAACACTACTTCAAGATGCCTTGAATTAATAGAATACCTATCTAAACTTACTTGGTTACCTAGACAAAACTAATCTGTATTGAAGAAAAGTTTAACACAGGAAATTCTACAAATCAGACCACCAAATTGAGGGATGATAGTCCTATTTAAGTAAACACAACCTCAACTAACCTATTCCTAGCTTGTATAGGTGCAGTATGTGACTTTTGGGGTTGGGTAGCTTGGTCCAAAAGGAAGAATCCGACCTTTGGGAGTAAAGGAAGGCAGGCAACGGACTACTTGCTGGACCTAAATATCTCTCTGTAAGACAATTTTACAGGCTTTGTTTCCATCAGGACCATGTCAAAATCCCAAACTAGTTCCTCTTAACTGACAATTGCAATTTAAAAAACATTTTGGGTTCAGATATAAACATATGGGTTTCAATTTAACAAAAAAAGATATGGTTCATAAGACTGTTATAATGGTTGGCAACCTCGCATCAATCCTTTTATAGATAAAAATACTTCTTTAGCAGTCTACTGATCTCTCTATGCCTCTATACGGATGGTATTACCATGTACCAACAAAACACATAATATTTTAGCAAATAGTTTAAGTTCATGCATCTGTAGCTTATATTTGTAAAGCATATAAGCTTGACTGCAGTTTGTATGGTGTTTTTATCAAGCATATCAAGAAGTAGATCACCAAACACTAAAGCCGAACTTCATTTTCACCTTCCCTAGGTACCTTTTTCACATTGTGTCAGACCATCAATTACAGATGCTGAGGCAGGATGTATTCAAGCAGCAAATTGATCTTATTTTATGATTCTTAACGAAAGATGATTAAACCCATCCATGAAAATGAACAAAAAAACTCCAGAATAACTAGTTGGTTTACCTTGCACAAATTCTCCACATCAGCCAAAATGTTGCTGATGACGTCAAAACCGCATGTATGCAAACATTTTTGCACCCTCTGAAAACAAAAGGAACCAATCCAATAAGATAAAAATGCTATTGTGATTTAATTGTGCCACAACAGCTTAAAATTAGCACATAGGAAGGCACACAACTCTTTATGAACAGACATCTTTCACCTGTAAAAGATGGAGAGCAAGCATAATTGTCATGACTTGTCGTCAAAAAAAAAAGGCAAGACCCTTAGGAAGCTTACCCAACTCCTCACTTAACTTATACGGACACAGTTACCATATGTGTGTAAAAGATTATGAGGCTGGCATGGAAGAAAAAGATTTACCCTCCAAACTGCATCTCTCTTTGCAGTTCCAACAATGTACGGATGATGTGCGCAGAATAAAACTCGCATTGATGCCCTTGGAGCTGCAGGTAGAGCTGCTGATGATATCACAACTAAAGCCTTTACTGAAACCTCAACCGACGGAAGGAATGGAACTTGAGTGTCCAATGAATTATCTGTTTCACTATATAAATAAAAAAATTAAATCCCGGCCACCAGATCAGAGAGGATGTGAGAAACTATACGCCGATATGGGTGGGTACTTTATATGTACAAACCAATATACTTAAACCACCACAAGCATTTATATTTCATAATGTTATTAGTTAGATGCATATACAACTGAAAGCGGCAACTATCAACATTACCTAAAACTAAAGAAACTTAAGAAGAACAAATTGACCCTCCCCTTCAAATGCAGGTGCATGTGTCTTTTTACTTAAAAGAATGCTTAAGGTCCAAGAATCTCAATGGGGAGAAATTAAAAGGGAAAGTGGTGTCTAGAAGAAATGAGATGTACCTTGAATTTGAAATACGAAGTTTCTCTGCAACTACAGACATGAAATTCGTGAATTCAACTAAAAGATATTCAGTTAATTGTGGAGCAGCAGGAACTATCCTTCTGGTAGCGTCATAAGTCATTCTTCGAACTTCCCAACATGGGTGGCATATGAAAAACATAATCAACTGCAACATACTGATAACTAGTTACTAACAAAACAAAATTCTTTCCTGCGAAAACAAAGTAGCACTTCTTGAATTTTTACCTGTGACAGTAATCTGAGTGAAAAGGAGTCCAGTACCCTGAAAGTTTAACAGAAAAAGTGTCAAATAAAGACCATAACAAATTCTCAACCTAGGAAACCATTGATAGTCATATTTTGCAATGTGAATTAATAATAACCTCTGCAGATGTTCCACCAGCATCACTTCAAGAAGATCAACACATGCCATGCAATCTTCAGTCAACAATTTTGAAGCCTGTAGTGTAATACATATCTTTTGTCAGGGAATACATGATAAAAGTTTTTATTTAAAATATATATATATTTTCTAAAAACCAACGAGCCCTTGAATAACTACCATGGATATTGGTACAAGTGAAGGCTCATTTTGAGATATCAAAGACCAGATCTTGTCCTTCACAACAGTCTCCTCTGAGAGTAAACAGAAAGAAACAAGGGAAAAGGGATGAAAGAGGCATTGTGTTGAAATAAACAACAAATAAATTTTAAATTAGTAGTAAAAACACCACATGATAAATAAAATGTCAACATAATAGCCATACCTGCTTTGATGTCAACAGCCGCAATCTTCACAACTAATAGCAAGGCATATATACCATCCAAACGCTGAGCTGCTTTCGTAAAACCAGTTTTGACAAGTTGGATGAGAGGTTCCAGTAATGATGATATCTGAAGTAAAAAAATTCAAATATCATCAAAGAGATGAAAGAAGTAGCCTGGTCAAGAACAAGTGAACCAAACCACAGCCAAATAAAATTTAATCAACCAGCTAACCCGGAAAACAGCATCTGTATTTTTGCATATGGCTCGTAGACAACGAAGATGCCCTCTTCTTAGAGCTTCCTTCTCCTTAAGACCAGATGAGAAAAACAAAACTACATCCGATTGAATGGCATCAGCAGATCTTGCTGCCCACAAACCCAGAGCGGACAAAATTGCAAGCTTCACCTCCTCATTTCCTGGAAATTAGAACATCGGATAGAAATATAAATAAACAAGGAAGAAACATTAAAAAAAATTTTGAAATACTCCATCACAAAGCTAAGCAAAAATTTAAATCCACAAGGATAAAATGAACAGATTTGAGTACTCATACAAAAATAGGAGAAAGTGTTCAATAAAATAATGTAAAAGGACAAATATATAAGACCACAAGTTCACATGTTACCCTCATCCTTGTAACACGATAAAAGGAAACTGCATAAGGTTTGTGACTGGCTGTTGAGATGTTTCCCGTCTGGAGCATTACACATTTCTTGCAGTGCATTGATCATGCCAATTCTCTGGTAAGGAAATGTAAGTCTTCCCTCTGACCCTGTTCAAATTGAAACCTTGAGTTTAAAACTACCAAAAACAGACTTTAAAAACAACCTTTACTAAAGACTCTGAAAATGCATCATCCTGCAGGCTGCAGAAAACCAGAATGAAGAATATTGGGAACCACTTAAAAGGGGGGACTGGGCTTCCCTTATTTGGATGTTAAAATAAATCGAGAGAGAGAGAGAGAGAGAGAGAGAGAGAGAGAGAGAGAGAGAGAGAGAGAGAGAGAGGAATGAGGAAAGGGAAAGAAACTTTTAGTAAATTTAATAAAATTCATTCCTTACCCATACACCTACAGAAGAAAAAGAAGAAACTAATAGGGATACAATGATAAAATCATTAAAACAGGATTTTGTTCCCTTCCTTTCTCATTCCATTCGCTCTTCATTACTAATTTCCTTTCCATTCCATTCTTTTCAAAACTCCCAAAATAATAAAATAATCAAGAACAAACCTCCAATTACAGATTTGACAGCATTGAACATTGCTTCTAAAGCATCTGGATTACTAGACTTTTGGCTCAAACATCGTATAATTGCCAGCGCCCCAACCCTTCTGCCTTCATCTGCATGCCGAGCCTGTGGCAATGCCACTGAAAGAATTTCGATCGCATACTTACTTAAATCAAGGTTGACTGAATTCAAGAGAATCCCAACAGATTCCAGTACAATCTCAGGGTTACGTTTCAGCATTTTAACAGCAGATGGAAGCACAATGTTTTGGAAATCTTCATGTAACATATGTCTAAAAAGTGGATGAAAAGCTTCACTAAGACCCTTTGCTGGCTTTTCCCTTGCATTTAAAATTGCCTTAAGATATATATCCAGAAATATTGGCTGTGAAAAGCAAAGGATCAGTTAAAAACTTTGGCACATAAAACTACATGAAATCAATTTGAAAAAAATATATATATATATTAACAGAATAAATATCCCCTTTCAGACATGATCATGAAAAAAATAATCTCTCACCTTGCATTGCTCAAACAAAGAAGATAATTTGCTTGAGGTAGTTGAGAACTCCATCAACAACCATATTAACTCAGGACTATCTTTGTATGGGATACGTGCATCTTTAAGTTCCTCTATATACATTTTGTAAATGTCCGGTGACTAGAAAGGAAACAAGAAATATGAAATGCTATCAGAAAATAAGAATGTAAAGTAAAGGTATGCAAATGATACTCATTAGAGAAGGTTCAACGGGCTAAACCTGAGAAAATAAGTGACAAAATGTCTTCTTGCAAGCCCTTTGCTCACGGAAAGATCTTTGCATAACAATATGAATTAATGATGCCTGCACTGTGGCAACTTTACACAATGCATTCTTCGAGACTCTAGCAAAATTACTCTTACTGAAAAGGAGACATGACCACTGGAGAAGTCTGTAGCAGCCAACATGTGATTGCACCCTCACTTGTCTTTCCATGACCTGAACAAGGGCTGCTGCAAAACTTTTCATGAAAGCAACCTCTTGTAAACCTTTTGTAATGATGTCATCAACAGCTTTCCTCGACCCACGATCATCATAAATGTACAATGTTTTAAATATTATATCTACCAACAGCAATGCAGGCTCTGTACCCATTTCTGCAGAATTCAAAATGACAAGTAATTTAAGAACAAGAGCATGTGTAGATGATCTGCCCATATTAAAACTGAAAAATATTATGTAATAAACTCAGTAAGCTCAATCTAATCATGGTATTGAATTATCTAATGCCCATTAGTTTTAAATGTTAAGTGCATAAATATTCACACAAAAAGCAAACGAAACTTTGTGTTTCTCAAAGATATAATTGACATAAAAAGTATTAGTTCCATATAGCATTTCCGGGAAGCAAGAGTAATACGTAATCCTTCCTCTTCGTAATTTATAACAAAATAATCAGATAATGCATGATTCCGTCCTTATTGCTCTAGAAAATTCATCAGCTCTGTGAGTTTGACACATCTGTTTCTTAGAAAATACTATAAAGCAAAGACACATGTGCAGCGACACTGTAAATTTCATTAAGAAACAATTTATAGAACCAGAAAGGTAAAATCAATGAACTTACTCTTTGTACTAATAATTAAAGAATATTACATCACCTTTAACAGTTCAGCAAAAAAAAATTTGCTTCAAATTTCAACTCACTAAATTCAATATGTAATATGCTCATGTTATCTTTTTGCATTATGTGCGCACACAATACATTCACATTTACATTGACATTTCTTAAAACTTAGGTATGCATGCTGGCACGTACGAATGTAGATAAACAGAAAATTCAATTTGGTAATTTATTCAGAAATGAAAATGGAATTAACGTAAAATTGGAACCGAGAACTAAGCTCACGACTAACCTGAGTTGTTGAGAATGGAAGAAATTTCGTCTCGGAAGATGCGAACCCGTTTCCTGGTCGATGGGGTGGAGACTGACCCGGCGATGGTGAGGAGAGACTCTGTTGGAGTCGCCATTGGAAACGGGCGGGTAGATCCGAATGAAGGATCCGGTTGTGAATGAAGAAAGTTTGCTTCAGTTGGTTAGGGTTTTAGGAGCCGGTGATAGTGAAAGTTTGCTTCAGTTGCTTATATTTTCTCGCTGCTTGTCAGAGTCGAGGCTTGGAGAGAGAGTAGCATGAGGTAGAAGATAATGGGCTTTGGGCTTTTGAAGAAAATAACGGCCATTGGAGGAGCAAAAAATAAAAAGAAAAAGAAATAGGCCACTGCTTTGTTTAGAAGCCCACCTCCGTTTGTGGCGAAGCATTCTTAACACAAAATTGGAGATGGAAAATGCTACTTAGAAATTTTGGCAAGCGAAAGTTTGTTGAGATAGACCTGACCCGGAAAAATTTTGACCTATAATAGGTTGACGGTTAGGGTTCGAGGATTGCAAATAATTTTAGAACAAGTTTGGAGAAGTTCGAAAGCTAGAGTATTTGATTCAAGACTTCGATTTAGGGCTTGGATGGTAAAATTCATTTTTGAAATACTAAAATAATTTCTTAGGATTTTTAAATAATTTAAACTACTTTTAAAATAATTTCAGAAATTAAAAATAATTTAAAGTCCACAAAATTATTTAAGATATATAAATATACTTAATTACTATTTATTAAGTAATTTCTACAATTAATTAAATATTTAAATACTAATTATTCACTAAATAAATAATAATTAAAAGCTAATTACTAATTAAAGTAATTAAATAAGGATAAGATATTTCTTAACTACAAACATTAAACTAAACAAACTAATTTTGTACAAACAGTTTTATAAAAAAAGTCCACAAAATAATTTAAACTAATAAATTACTATAATATATTGAGTAATTTATGAAATTAATTAAAATATTTAAATACTAAGTATTCAGTAAAGAACTAATAAAGTAATTACATATAGCCATGCGGCTATACATTTATTGTTTCTATTTATGGTGTATGGCCGTGCGGCTATATGGTTAATATATTGTCTTTAAAGGATATAGCCGCACGGCTGTACTGTTAAAATTTCTATTCATAGCTTATAGCCGCAGGGCTATACTTTTAAAATATGGAATTTAAAAGGTATCGCGGCACGGCTATACTGTCAAAATTTCTATTTATAGGGTGTAGCCGTGCGGCGATACTGTAATAATTTCTATTTATAGAGTACAGCCGGCGGCGATACTCATATTGTATTTAAAGCGTGTAGCCGCACAGCCATACCGTTAAAAATTTTATTTATATAGTATAGCCGCACGGCTAGACATTTAAAAATTGTTTTTATAGCGTATAGCCGACCGACTGTACGCTTAAAATTTCTATTTATTGAGCATAGCCGTTTAGCTATACCGTTAATGTATTGTATTTAAAGTGTATAGCCGGGTGGAAATACTTTTAAAATATAAAAATTTATAAATAAACTTAAACCTAGAGATGTATTTATAAAAAAAACCCAAACACTATTTAAACATAGAAATACACCCAAAATTAACCCCAAAATCAACAATTGTATATTTTTTTGGTGTGTTTATAAATGGGTTTTGAGTGTGTGTAATGATGGGTTTTGGGTGTGTTTATAAAGTGTTTTAGGTGTTGAGTTTTTTTATAATTTCAGCTTTCATTTTTGGTGTTTTAGTGAAACTCCTTTTAAAATATTGTATTTAAGGTTTATAGCCGTGCGGCTATACTATATATATTGTATGTAAAATACTAGAGTCATGCGACTATACTATAATAATTGGTTTCTATTTATAGCGTATAGCCGCGCAGCGTTACTTTTATAATTTCTTGGCAAAATTGTAGCAATGGTCCCTGGACTAAGACCAAACTTTACTTTTCGTCCCTTATATTATTAAATTATTACGGTGATGTTTCAATTAGATCTCATGTTGCATTATTAGTCTTTCTGTCAACTTAGTTAAATTTTCTTTCAAAACTAAGGGCCAATTGGGAAATTCATAATCTCTCTCTCTCCTGTGTGCTCCCCCATCCTCCACCCCAAGGAGAAGGTTGATGGGTATCTGGGTGGGCCGCTTGCATTGTCCGTCTCCTTGGTGGGAGGATGGATCACTTTCCATCACCTTTTGGGTTTTTGGCTGCACTGAAGATCGCTCCTCATACAAGTTTCAATTTCATGTACCTAGCTAAGTCATGCTTGGCTAATCAATAAATAAAGAGGCCATTCGTTTTTGTCAGCAAATAAATTTGGGGCTGGGAAGAAATTTGGGTGACCTTTGTTTTTACGCATCCAACTCCACACCAATAGAAGATTCCATCTTGCCCCTCTTAGAAATGACGTTTGTGATATCTGTACCAAAGGCTCTTTTTCTAGACTCGTTTGGAACCAAATCCTCCTCTTTCCCTCTCAATCCCAACCACTTAAATGCAGGTTTCCTTGTATCTGCTGTGTGGGTCTCTCAATGAGATTCATGGAGGACAAAACATTTGCAATATCATAAATCCGCCTTACTTTAGTTCTCATCGCTGATGCACTCTGTGCATCCCCAAGCAATAACTTGGTAACATCATCAAGGGAGATCATTTCTTTAGTGGAGCAGATAAAGAGCTTCATGAAATTCTGCGTAAGAAGCGCCAGAGACTTTTCCCTCCTATTATCTGTTTTTTGGTCAGCTGGAGGTTGAGGATTGACAATAGGGTTGGACTTGTCGTTCAGCTGACTCCCACATCTCTCTTCATCATCCTCATCATCTGAAACCTTTGTATCGTCATTGGCAACAAAGTTAATGCAATTCTCTCTCAGACCTTCTTCCCTGAGCTCTTGTAACGCATTCTTTGGCTGATAAAGAAATAGAGAGGCCATTTTTAAAAAAATTTGTGTGAAAAATACATGTTTGCCCATGCCAAGTAGGGCTTGTCATTACCATATCATCATTTTTAATGGAAAAGTTTACTGAAATGACGAAAATGACGATTTCTGAAAATGAGGGCATAATTAAAGTACAATCGTAACAATTTAACAATATGAGGGACGAAAAGTAAAGTTTGGTCTTAGTCTAGGGACCATTGCTACAATTTTGCCTAATTTCTATTATGGAGTAGAGTCGTGCGGCTATACCGTTAAAAAATTCTATTTATTGTGTATAGCCACGTGGCTATACTGTTAAAATTTATATTTATTGCGTATTGCCATTCGGCTATACTGTTAATATATTGTATTCAAAGAGTATAGCCGCTCGACTATACTATCAAAAATTTTATCTATACAGTATAGCCGTGCGATTGTACTTTTAAAATATTGTATTTAAGGCATATTGTCGTGCTATACTTTTAAAATTTCTATTTATGAAGTCTAGCCGAGCGGCTATACTTTTAAATTTTCTATTTGTAGAGTGTAGCATGCAGCTATATGTTTAAAATATTCTATTTATAGTACATAGATAAATTTTGTTTTTAGTAATTATATCATATCTTAGCCTTATTTAATTCATTTCATTAGTAATTATATCTTAATTATTACTTCTTTAGTGAATAATTAGTATTAAATATTTTAATTCATTTCATAAATTATATTACTTGATAAATACTAATTATTATTTTTTAAATTTTTTAAATTTTTTAATAAAATATTTAAATAAATCACTATGTAAATAATAATTAAAACATAACAAATTAAAGTAATTAAAAAGAGAAATCCATATTATGCTATTTAAAGGGTATAGCCACATGATTACAAGTTTAAAATATTATATTTAAAGAGTATAGCCGTGTAGCTATATGTTTAAAATTTTCTATTTATAGGGTTAGTCACACGGCCACTTATTAAAATCTATCTCAAGGCATACTCAAGTATAGGGTTAGGTCCAGTTATATCATACTAACTGTATATTTACCCTAATCATAAAACCCAAAGTGCAGTTATGTAAGTATCCAAGCCTAATCTAGTCATAAGTGCCCCATAGTAGGCTTATGGCTAGGGTTCGAGGCTTGAGAAATATTTTGGAACAAGGTCGGAAGCTAGGGTTTTTTATTCGAGATTTGGATTTACCCAAACTAATTTTGTATAAAATAATTAATTATTATTTATTGAGTAATTTATGAAATTAGTAAAATATTTAAATATTCACCAAAGAAACAATAATTAAAATATAATTACTAATTAAAGTAATTAAAAAATACTAAGATATTACTTAATTACATATATTGAATTAAATAAGTTGGCCGAAAAACAAAAGTAAATAAACTAATTTTATATTTGTAAAGCGTATAGCCATGGCTATACTTTTAGAATATTCTATTTAAATAGTCTAGCCGATCGGCTATACTTTTAAAATTTCTATTTATATGGTATCGCCGTGCGGCTGTATTGTTATAACTATTATTTATGGAGTATAGCCATACAGCGATACTGTTAAAATATTGTATTTAACGGGTATAGCCGTGCGGCGGTAGTATTATAATTTCTATTTATGGAGTATATCCATGCGGCTATACGGTTAATATATTGTCTTTAAATAGTACAGCTGATCGGCTATACTGTTAAAATATCTATTTATATAGTATAGCCGTTCGGCCATATTGTAAAATTGTTTTTAATTATCAAAATTATTTTAACAATAGTTTCAATTCGTTAAAAATCCTTAAAAATTATTTTTGCATTCCAAACCCTAAATCCAAGTCTTCAACTTATCCAAACTTATTCCGAAATCGTTTGCAAGTCTCGAATCCTAATTCTAAACCTATTATAGGGCACTTAGGACTCGAAAGTCTCGAATCGTAAAAGAAAAATAAGTTTAATGAAAATGAAATACACCTCAGCTGACGACCAATTTGTCCCGTCGCCACCTCCCGCGCATGCGACTCCTCCTCCACGACTGAGCTTGCTTACTTCAAGGTTGGATTTTATTTTCTTATTTTTTATATATTTTGTTTTATGATATTAATTTATCTTTGTCTAAGGTGGACTTTGGGCTCTAGGATTTGGGATGTGAACTGTTGGCGATCCCAACAAATATGAAGAGCTACCCATGACATGACATGACGTGTAGATGTACGTGTGACTCTTTCCGTACGCAGAAATTAAAAGGGAAATCCAATTCAGATCGTATATCTTCAAGCTTAAGGAGTTGGTGAAACAATTAGAATTAGGCATTAGACGAGACGACAGGTGTTCTTTGACCGTTTGACATGTGTTCATTGAGGGTCGTGTGCAACAGCAACAGGAAAGCTATTGTTTTACACATGTCAACAGCCCACTTCCCCTCCTAACTAAGTAGGATGTGCATCTCATGTGCCTCTCAATTTCCCATCAAACACATGCCACAACACAACACTACACTGGGCAGCAGCCACCTGCGGCTCAAAAAATTTATTATAGGTCACTGTGCCAGCCAAATCTTCTTCTTCATCACTTCACCAAACCAAGGCCTTCTTATTGCCTTAACATGGAAAAGGAAGGGAGAAAGGTAGGGAAGAAAGCCACAGCAAGCATGGGGCGCTCAAGAAAAGGGTGCATGAAAGGGAAAGGAGGGCCAGAGAATGCACTGTGCAACTTCAGGGGAGTGAGGCAGAGGACTTGGGGGAAATGGGTGGCTGAGATTCGAGAGCCCAATCGTGGGGCTCGGCTTTGGCTGGGCACTTTCAACACCTCAACAGAGGCAGCTCTTGCTTATGATGAAGCAGCTCGAAAGCTCTACGGTACCTCTGCCAAGCTCAACTTGCCAGATCACAAACCACCATCATCATCACCTTCAAATTCAAGTTGTTCAAGCACTAAGTCCACCTCTGATCAGTATAATATGAAGGGTGGATTTGGGGAATCTATGGAGGGGGGCTCAAGTGGAGATGGTTGTGGTAAGTTAGGTGGTGAAGCTTGTTCAGATTCATTAATATTTGCAGGTTGGAGTATTGGAGATGATTTATGGGAGAGTACTACTACTGCTGGTGGTGCTAGTGCTAGTACTGGGACTAATAGTCCTGTATTGAGCAGTTGGGCTGGAGTTTGTGGTGAAAAGGATTTCCTAGAGATGAATGACATAGGAGCTGCTGTTATGATGGGGGGAGGAGATGAATTCATAAATTGGGATGCTTTGGGACCTCCATCATCATGGACCTGATAATATTGCTGCTAATAGAGTTTATGAAGGGCCTCATATCATATTGCTGCTAGTAACTTGTACATAGCCTTTAGACCCTTGTAGGAGTGGGAAGCTTTTTTTTTTTATATTTATTTTTCTGGTTGGGCTCTGTTTTCATCTGTGTCATCTTTCATGTTAGTGGATCAAAAAATAATGCAAGTCTCTATTTCTTTTCTTCTTCTTTTTTATTGTCTGCTTGAGGCCCATAGTGTGTGAGCTTTGTATGTAACAGGGGCCGAAAGTTACATATAATTTGTGCCCCAAAAAGGATGAGGAAAGCCTACATGCGCACTCAAACGGAAACCAAAAGCCCAATATTTTAATCACTTTAATTTTTTATTTTCTGTTTGTTGATTGAAGTGCAGCAGAGGCAGGCACATAGAATTATAAAAAGATTCAACTCTCAGATTTCAGAACAGAATTTGGTAGTCTTTTCCATCATTAATGTCACAATCGTTTTCCCTTGTTGTTGTTGTTGTTGTTGTTGTTGTTGTTTGTTATGTGTTAAAAACAACAATCATTTGCGCGTCCATACCATGCTTTTCCTCTGATAATCAAAACCTGAAGACAGGCACATCTTTCACATTCAAAGAAAGAGTTGTGAGCTGACTGAGTACCAGTGAAAACTGTTAATAATCTCTACCTGGCTTCCAAAAGTTTTTAAAAAATTAATAAATATATACAGCAGATTGGGAACTAGAAAGTTATTATTTACAATCAAGGATATAAATTTTATACTCCTTCGTACTTGGTGGGAATTTAAGAGCCTGAAAAGATTGGTATGGTTATACCACTTTGGGAATTTGTGGGAAATGTCAGTTTCTTGGCCAGTTGGTTGCTTTTCTAATTAAGCCAAGCCACGTGAAGGGTTTTGTTGCAGAAGAAGCTGGGGTCATTGCAGCAGATAATAGTATCACATAGAAGCTTCCCAAACTCTTGAGGAAGTTGTTATCATTTACTCGGCTAAGAAAATCGGTTGCAATCTTTGATTCATCAACTGTGACAAGATATTTATTTTGCTGACATATATAATCTCTAGCCTTTGATCTGCTGCTTCTTCTTCTTCATTAAGAAATAAGCAGCTTTTGTAGGAGCTGACAGATAAGTGCTTTGGCAATTGGCAGTTTAACTTGAAAAACAAAATGGGGATGCTGCTTTTAGTCCTGTTGTTATTTGAGAGACACTTGAAAGACAGACTATCAGATTGAAGTTATTGCTAAGAGGCACATAAAAACCCCCATTTATGCTCCATCATCATCAATCAATCACACACAGATTCAGTCCTTAATAATTAATCCTGTCAAATGCTGAAACAAAATATTTCGTATCCATCAAAAATCTTAATCAGATGGGGATGGCTTGAACCCCAAACCCAAATCCCTTTCTTTTTAAAGGAGCCTTCATGTTGTTGGTCACATGAGGAGGATCTGGGGTTAAAAAAAAGCTTATTGCTAATGAAGGGATTTTTCTGTTAGTGAAAAAAGGCATAATATTTTGACGTGCACATAATTTTAATGTGCATTGAGGTAGCATATGAAGTGCCTCTTGGAAGTAGTTAGATCACACCCCACCTTATTTATTTTGGTCACATGGCTTATTAATCTGTTGCCTTTCTGTCCCCCCCCCCCCCCCCCCCCCCCCGCGGCATTCCCTCTTTAAAGACAAGGCTAAACATGCATCACACTTGCCGTATATTGCTGGGATGGGAATTGAGAGGGCTGACTCAATATATCTGTTAAACTAATTATATTTCTGCGCATGGCAAATTGCATGCAATCTATAAAACCTACCAACCAAGCATTGAAGCATTAGATAAATAAATAAGTTTAAAGAGTTTAAACTGTCTCCAAAGAGTTTAGGCATGTAATATATTCCGTGATTTAGGTCAAATGGTTATGATGACCTTTACCAGATGAGAGCTCAGCCTTTAAACCAAGAAAAGAGAAAAATGCAGAACAAGAAAGAGAGAAAATAAAAATGGTCTGACAATATTGTTAGTTCCTCTTAAACTGAAAGCTGAAAGAATTCTACAATCATTATATATGCTTCAAAATTTTATTTTATTTTACATGGATGTAACTGAAAAAAATCTGTATCACCGTCACTCCGCCTGAAAGAAAAAGATGGTTTATTAAAGCTGTAAGAAGTAGGTGGAAACCTAGCAAGCAAGGATTGACTGCAAAGTTGAAAAGTCTAACCCAAAATTCAATTGTTCAATCTTTTTTCCACTGTGTGTAACATCATGGTGTTGAAAAGTAAGTATTATATTTAACCAAATAATGCAGTATTTAACCAAATAAGTATTATATTTGTCAGCTTTACCAAAATAAGCAACACAAGAATGAATGCAGTGCAAAGTAGGTCGGCAATGTCTCACAACTAAAGGTCATATAGTGGATATACAACTTACTGGCTAGTGGCTGCTCAAATAATTCCCCGTTTATTCTACTGGAACTACCAGAGCTACTAGCTTTTGTTAATGGTGGTGGTCCTGTGCTTTATTCTGCTGGTGGTAGAGCACGCCATTAATATGGTGCCAAACAATGAAAGCAGGAGCAATATATAAAGCAAGCAAGCTCTTATTCACTTACCAGTGGAATAAAACTAGAGTACTTAGAGTGAGAACAACAGATAGAGCTAGTTGGTTGTGAGATTTCTTAAAGAGTTAGAGCCATTTCATTTCATCTCATCATGCATAGCATTTTTGCTTCTTGGGTAATTATCCTAGGCCTGCTCGGTGCTTGTGCTAGCCGTCGAGCTGAGGCACGGGCATTCTTCGTTTTCGGAGATTCTCTGGTGGACAATGGCAACAATGACTACTTGGCCACCACTGCCCGGGCAGACTCTTACCCTTATGGCATAGATTATCCAACTCACAGACCCACCGGCCGTTTTTCTAATGGCCTTAACATACCAGACATTATCAGTAAGGCTCTTACTTTTTTGTTTTTTTGGTTTTTTGGTAGTGATTATATGCTGTAACATATTTGCAATATGTATTTTTCAGGTGAGCAACTTGGCTCAGAACCCACATTGCCATACTTGAGCCCTCAACTCACTGGACAAAACCTACTTGTCGGTGCCAACTTTGCTTCTGCTGGGATTGGAATTCTCAACGACACTGGCATCCAGTTTGTAAGTCCTCTTTTTAACCCTCTTATAGCAATGTCCAATTAAAGTATACATTCTAATTAGTTTTAGTTTTTCACATTGCCATAAATAATGAAGAAGAAGAGTATCTAATTAGCAATGTCCAAAATTGGCAGCTCAATATAATCCGAATCTACAAGCAATTGGAATATTTCGAGCAATACCAGACAAGGGTGGCTGCCCTAGTTGGACCTGAACAAACTCAACGACTTGTTAACCAAGCACTTGTTCTTATTACTCTTGGTGGCAATGATTTTGTCAACAACTACTACTTGGTGCCCTTCTCTGCTAGATCTCGCCAATTTTCTCTGCCAGACTATGTTGTGTACCTCATTTCTGAGTATCGCAAAGTTCTAGCGGTAACTATTGTGCTACTTCCTTTTTATGAAAAATTATTTAGTGTCGCATGTTGTGTACACTCTTGAGTTTGTCTCTCACAGTTAACTAAATCATGTGACGAGATTGATAAACTCAAGAGAGTGTATACAATCGGAAATTCTCTCCATTTTTCCCATTTTCATTATTTCTGTTATTGATGCACTCACTATATACGCAAGGTGTTACAGTAACACCAACCATACGCACGCACACATATAGAGAATTGGTGTAGGATAGTCAAGGAGTAATGTTGATGTGACCCAAGGCAACCGGGGAGTTATTGGAAGATATGCTTGGTTGGTGAGACCAGCAAGTATTATGACATTTTCATTAATGCCTTTGCCCAAATGCACTTATGACCACTATCTGCCTACATTAATGTTGTTTGGGAGACAAATTTATTAGCGGAGAATTTTCAACTTTGTTAAGACCTAACAATCTTTATCAATCAAGTTAAAACATTTCCTCATATCATTTGTGGATGATTTGAAGCATGTTATGCATGCCGTTAAAATATTGAATTTCCGCACGTGATTAATTTGAAGCTCAATTAGAACAATGCATGCTTTAGTGTAATGTAATGTAATGTTTTTGTCTTTTCACAATGCAGAGGCTACATGAATTAGGAGCTCGGAGGGTTTTGGTGACAGGAACAGGACCACTAGGGTGTGTTCCTGCAGAGTTGGCTCAGCACAGCAGAGCCGGTGAATGCTCGGTTGAGCTGGAGCGAGCTGCTTCTTTGTTCAACCCACAACTCGTCCAAATGATCAATGGTCTCAACAGCCAGATTGGCTCAGATGTCTTTGTTGCTGCAAATGCATATGAAATGCACATGGATTTTATCTCTAACCCTCAAGCTTATGGTACGTCCAAATAATTAACTGTCAAACTTATAAGCACGAAGTGGGTTGGTTGGGCCAAGACAGTATGCGAGTTCAATATCCATCTCCGTACATTAGACATTAGAATAGTTTAGAATATGATTACGGAAAAAAAAACAAACAAACAAAACTGGGAAAATTACAAAGAAACCTTAAACTGAACATGATCTGGTGTTACTTTTTTGCAGGATTTGTGACTTCAAAGATAGCATGCTGTGGGCAAGGGCCCTACAATGGGATTGGGCTATGCACAATTGTCTCCAACTTGTGCCCAAACAGAGATTTGTACGCGTTTTGGGATGCATTCCATCCTTCTGAGAAGGCCAACAGAATCATTGCGCAGCAAATCCTGACAGGGTCCAACAAGTACATGAACCCAATGAATCTCAGTACTATTTTGGCCTTGGACTCTAGGACCTAGACCTAGAACCTCAAGTCTATAAAGTTACTGGAACAACTACAAGGGGTTTATTATTGAACTCTTATCATCATTTCATCAACCAATCTGCCTTCATAAGTGAAGTGATTTATTATTATTATTATTGTTTTGCCTTGTGTCATTAAAAACTCTAGTGTGTATTATTGTAAGTCGGTTTGCCTATTTAATTCCAAGCTTGAAATTTAGTTTCTTTGTTCTCTATCTCTCTCATTCTCTTCTCATCTTCGTTATTAACCATTGAGGGCCCAAGACATAAGCTTCGTGTCAAGCATTTCAGGCCCAATAATAAAGGGAGCAAGTGAAGTAAAAATGTTTGTGTTGGGCCATGCATAGCAAGTAAAGTAAAGTAAAGCTACGCAAATGCATGAGATGGGGCAGATCTAAATTGGCCCAAGCTTTGATGTGTGAAACATGTTACGGGCTGTGGCAAATCGTCTGCTCAACACACTGAGCCCACTTGTTTTAAAAAATGAAAATAAAAATTAAACTTTTAAAATTGGCAAAGTACAAATTGTTTGTATTTGTTTCCTCTAGTCAAATGACAAACGTAGCCCCACGTAGAACTAGAGTGGCACAAATGCACACATTATTCCTGTCAAGTAATTGTATAGAAATGTACTATTGTTTTTAATGATTATTTTTCCCATCATCACAACAATATGCAAGCAATAATAAATAAGATGGGCCATAATTGTATTGCATAATTCAGAGTTGAGACAGCTGTGCAACTTGAAGGCTTGATGAAGCTCTCAATATAAGAGTGAAATAAGAAAAAGAAAATTAAAGCAAAGCAAAGCTCGGGGAGGGAAGGACGACTTGACCAGATCGATTCAGACAGGTACATATGAACACTTAAGAAGAAATAAATTGCTCTGGTCCAACAAGGGACAGATGTCAGTTTGATGTGAACTCATCGATCTCTTCAATGCCATTAACTTAGCCTCCAAATGGGATGCAGCAAATGCTCCATTGTTCCTTTTCCAAACTAGCTACTCTTAGCATTTGACCTATAAAAAAAATAACCTAATCGTAGCAAAGACGAAGAGAAGACGAAGACAACAATTTGAATTCAAAAATATTGCTGCATTTGCAAATTAATCTCATCTGATTCCCTTGTTGTTGTTAATGTTGGTCTTGGCACAATGGCATTTGAAGACAGTTAGTGCTAGGGTGCTGCTATAGGTAGAGGTATAGGTAGAGGTATAGGTATAGGTAGGTGTGGTGAAGGGCATGAGCTTCACGAAAATGCTAGCCAGGGCATCACTCACTCACTGGTCAGAAATTAAAGAGCCTCAAAAGTAGGTTTTGAGAGAGAGAAAAAAAGAGATGAATACTTCATAAACTTGACAAGCCCTCGGGAAAGCTAAGGCCTTGTTGGTTAGTTGAACCGTTTCTTCAGCCAAAGTTAATTTGTACGAACCATACTGCTGTATGGTAGTTGGTATTATAATAAAGGCTGTCTTTTACTATTATTATGTGTGTTGGTATTATGTGTGTGTTTCATTTCATGTTACTCTCGAGTGCTCCAATAATGCTGAGGAGAAAGTCACATCTCAAGTCAATTAGCAAAGCTTTTGCTTTTAATACTTTTTTTTTCATTCAGAATGATTAGCATTTAGCAGCAGATGATTTAAAAGCTGTGATGTGAGAGTCGGTGGCTTGCAATTAAACCTCTACGAGCTTTATTGGCTTTGGCTGGATAATAATTGCACGTTTTTATGGCAATTAGTTTGTAAGGTGCGTCAAGAAATGAAGTCATTTTTATGTTGAATTGGATCACATGCCTGCTGCTGTTGTCGGTAACTTTTTCCTGAATCACATCCCTAAACTTTATAGCTAATGAGTTAGCTTCATAAATAAATGGCTAACATCTTCAAGCTCATAAGTGATTAGCCAACCAAGGGTCTTCACAATCAATCATTTACTGGCGTCAAATTTTGAACTGTGTCATTAATTTATGATGAAGTTGGTCATTGTCAAAAGCTAAGGTTTGAGAAGGTTTGAGAAGGAAAGTCATTCAAGAGCATGGAAAATCTAGTCACAAACTACTACCTACCCCATTTACTAGTGTGTAAAATTGGCTGTCATATGTTTAATTTGCAATTAGGTGGTCACTACTGGTGTTTCCAAATAAGAACGAATTATCTGCAGGCTAATTTGCTCTCATCCAGCACTGGATCTTTAGGCCAATGTTGAAAAAGTAGTAAGAACGGTAAAACTGGGTTCGATGCAACTTAGTGTTTAACCGATACACCAAATTGCCACATAAACTTTCAAATTTTGACTCTGGTTTTAGAAAATCTGCTCTGCATAAAACAGAGGTTGTACGGATCATAGATCCAAGAGGGCTCCATCCTGACCTAACTGACACCTACACTTGAATTTGGTTCACTTTTGAGTTCTGACATGGCAGTAAACTGGAAAGGCAAATTCGTGACCAAATTTACAAAAGCTTGGTCGAAAAACCACTTTCAATACATGACAAGAACACAAAGTAGATATTTCAAAGGCGCGCATTGGTCATCAAATATCAAGCGTAGCCCGCCACAGCCACTCATGGCATTGCCATAATCGCAACTACCCATACTGGGTTGTTTTTGTACAAAGTGGGCCCTGTTTTGCCCCAATTGACAAGCATCCCGACCTATATAACACCCCATGCTCTATCAAACTTCCACATTACCAAGCTCATTAGCATCATTGTTCAATCATAGACAATATCTAGTCTTTTTGTTCTGTTTTGTTACTTTCAAAACCAACGTCGCCTCCATGGCATCGGCTAGCTCTATGGCTTTGGGTTCATTGGCCATCTTTGGTCTGGCCATGGCATTGGGAACTTTGAGCTCCCAAGCTGAGGGTCGGGCCTTTTTTGTGTTTGGAGACTCACTTGTTGACAATGGCAACAACAATTACTTAGCCACCACAGCTCGCGCTGACTCTCCTCCTTACGGCATTGACTATCCAACTCGTCGACCCACTGGCCGTTTCTCCAATGGCTTCAACATCCCTGATTTTATCAGTTGGGTTTTCTTCCAATCCTGTTTTTCTTTATACACATATCTTTTTTATTTATTTATTAAACTGACTTAAGATGTGTGTATGAATATATTTACAGGCCAGCAACTTGGTGCAGAATCCACATTGCCATATTTGAGTCCAGAGCTCACTGGACAGAAGCTACTAGTTGGTGCCAACTTTGCCTCTGCTGGCATTGGCATCCTCAATGACACTGGAATTCAGTTTGTCAGTTCTAATTACTTTTATGCAGTCTCAGTTTCCGAATGCTAGTTAGCTTTGATTGAGGTACTTAATTAAACTAATCATGTATGTTATGTGAAATTTGGCAGGTAAACATAATAAGAATGTCCAGGCAATTGGAATACTTTCAACAATACCAGCAAAGGGTGAGTGCCCTCATCGGAGCTCAACGCACCAAGCAGCTTGTGAATGGAGCAATTGTCCTCCTCACCGTCGGCGGCAACGACTTTGTGAACAACTACTATCTGGTGCCTTTCTCTGCAAGATCACGCCAGTATGATCTCCCGGATTATGTCAAACTTCTCATTTCCGAGCTCAAAAAACTTCTCTTGGTAGCCAACTCCTAATTTCATCTTGTAACTTGTTGGGCAAGTCACACATCACTTTTAATGTCACCACCAAATTAATTAATTTAATGGTGTTGTGTGGTTTTTCAGAGAATGTATGACCTCGGAACACGAAGAGTTCTGGTGACAGGTACCGGGCCGCTAGGCTGCGTGCCGGCAGAATTGGCGCAGCGAAGCAGGAACGGCGAGTGTTCAGCTGAGCTGCAAAGAGCCGCGTCTTTGTACAACCCTCAACTCGTTCAGTTGCTAAAATCACTCAACAGCCGACTTGGTTCCGACGTCTTCATTGCTGCCAACACACAGCAGACGCGCAACGATTTCATAAGCAACCCTCAAGCATTTGGTAAATATTCATGATCACGGGGGCTAATCTAATAATATTAATTGTTAATAAGAAATAATTTTGATTGAATTATAATTTTGTTTGGACACAGGGTTTTCTACATCAAAGATTGCATGCTGTGGACAGGGACCGTACAATGGGTTAGGATTGTGCACAGTGGCCTCAAACTTGTGCCCAAACAGAGACCGATACGCTTTTTGGGATGCATTTCACCCATCAGAAAAGGCAAACAAACTGATCGTTCAGAACATTTTGACAGGGTCTACCAAGTACATGGACCCCATGAATCTCAGCACCATCTTAGCTTTGGATTCGAGGACCTAAAAGACGTCTTCATTTGTCGTTCCGTGCCATCCATTTGAATTGGAACTATATAATTTATGAGTGTTTCAAGATCATTGATACTAGATCTATATATGTTAAATGCTACCAAATGTTTGTGTGTGCTGGAATTTCAAGTGATTAAAACCGATGGAGCTTTATTTCGAGTTTCCTTGTTTATAGTTTGTAATGGTTGATGGGCATGTACCAATGAGCCTTTATTCATTGGTTTTTTTAACTTGTGTGATCTCATCTTGGTGTTATTTCTAGCTATTTTTTTTCCTCCTAGTTGCGTTTGTTTTAATTTTCACTTGTTTATTTAGCTAACCCGTCCCTCACTATCAATAATATATCAATATATCAATATTATAAAAGAATTTTGGGTTCATATTAGATTATTAATTTAGTTTATCATTTGTATATATATATTTTGAAAAAAATAAAAATCTGGAGGTAACTAAGTAGAAGGTGGTTCTGCTGTCGAATATAAATGCAAGTGTGGTTTAGTCAATGTTAGGAGGTGACAATTCAAATTAGTTTCCGACTTAGCTGGTAAATGAACGTGTCAAAATCCTTGACCTCTCAATTGTTTTATATTTTCTTGTATCCATCCAAGATTTATGAATTGTGCAATAATATAGACAACTTGTATATTTCTAAAATAAAATAAAATATGGCAAACTATGTCAAATTTCAAAGAGACGGGCCAGTAGCCCACTACTAACAACACCGATATTGTTCCAAACTTAACCACCTACAAAGCCTACTAGGTGTATGATTTTATCACAAAAGGCCTCGATGAAGACCATCACATAGTGGGCCATATGTGGAGTCAAGTCCACATCGAAGTCAATCATTTAAGCCCAACACGTGAACAACACGTTGGGTACACCACATACTGGGTAAAGGTAAAGGCCTAATTCAGGTCCAGTCAATCAACTTGCTCTGATACCATGTCAAATTTCAGAGAGACGGGTCAGTGACCCACTACTAACAACACCAATATTGTCCCCCAACTTAACCACCTACAAAGTCCAGTAGGCGTAGGGTTTTATCACAAAAGGCCTCGGTGATATTAGTAGTAGAACAATTCATTATATATTTTATTTTATTTAGTCAAGTTTCCGATGTAGGACTTATATTCTTCAACAAACTATCTATCTCATGAGCGAGTTAGTGATACTTTTTTTCTTTCTTTCTCAATTTCCTATCTTTTTTGGTCGTAAAAGTCCCCTTTCCTATCGGGTAAAAGAATTAAGAAGAAACAAAAATTCAATTAGACGCTGCTTTTATTGGCTTAGACGTGCTTATCCTTGTTAAAAACAAGGAAATATTATTATTATTAACCTGCTATTGGATTGGGAATTTGACTTGCAACTGAACTGGATCACCAAAGGATACAAGTTACAACTACTACAAAGTAGAGGTGAGGAGCGCTTCTTGCTCTTTGCTTTGCAACACCATATACATTTAGTACTAGTATACAAAGGCAAAGCCCCTGCCGCAGTCTTACATGATCAGACAGATTCCCAGATGCAACCAAGGAAACAGTCCAAGACAAGGTACGATATTATTACCTACCTGGTTTTAATTTGCTACATAAATTTCAAAATTAGTTTATACTCACTCATTGCTCTTCCCGTGTTTTGTTTTGTTTTGTTTTAGGGCAAACTCATCTATTATTATAATTATACAGAGGAAGAGGACGCGAAGAGAAGGAAGACTACGACTAACGTTGGGGGGCAAAAACACAACTGGATGATATCTATAGACCGAATTAGTCACTTACCTGATGAAATTCTTGTTAGTATATTGTCTCTATTGTCGCTCAAGGAAGCAGCAATTACTAGGATCCTTTCTAAGCGATGGCAGCAAATATGGGCGTCTACCGACACTCTTGACTTTGATTCCAAGTTGGATGTTGGTAACAATATTCGCTGCTTTAGACTCCTCACATCGGAGTTAAGACACAAGAAAAGCCGTAGATACGTCGATTGGGTGAGTCGTGTAATGGAACAACATAAAGGTCCAAAAATGAAACGATTCAGGGCTTGTTTTTATCTTGATCGTCGTTTCACCACTTCCATTGACAGATGGATTCAAATTGCAATGACAAAGGGAGTTGAAATACTTGAGTTGGAGTTTTTTTTAGGAGACGGGTTCATTGACAAAGGTCACTATGCTTTTCCTTACAAAGTATTAGGTCTTGAAAAAGTACCTAATTGTTTTGGACACAATATTATTGGTTTTAAGTCGCTCAAAGTAGTTAATTTCAAACATGTTGATGTGGCTGGAGAAATTCTCGAGTACTTGTTGTCTAACTGTCCAGGTCTTGAACAGTTAACAGTGTATGCTTCCTCAAATTTTGGCAAATCTAAGAGTTGTTGGTTCATCATCGGCTGCATTGAAGTACGTACCTAGCGATAAAACATTGTTGTTGCCTCGAAAGCATTCAGATTCGTGAAGCAGCAAACCTTGTTTCCTTTATTTACCATGGAGGTTCAGTACGCTTGCTTCTCAGTGATGTACCGTTGCTCACTGAAGTATCCATTGAAGAGGTTGACTGGGGTGTTGATTCCAAAAGGGTTGTGTTGCCTCAACTTTCATGCTGTCTCTCTCAGCTAGAGATTCTCATGTTGAATATCACCCCAATGACACTGGTTAGTATATCTAGCTAGTCATGAACATTTGTTTTTTTTTCTTTCCTTTTCTTAACTACTTTGGGTTTCAGGACGACGATGATTTTGGCCCACTTCAGAATCATGCATTTCCTATATTAGCAAATCTCAAGCATTTGGAATTAATAGTTGCAGCATATTATTGCTGGTCTCTTCATCACTTAAGTTCTTTCATGAAGGTATCTCCTTACTTGCAGAGACTTGTGTTGAAGGTATATATATAAAACAAAATTTGGTATTTGTGTATGTGCATTTTCAGTGGTTTTGTCAAACTTCTATTTCCATTGCCCATTGTGCCAATTGTGAAGGAAGGAAAAAAAAAGTGTAAACAGAAACTCAATTGTTCTTCCCTTGGTGCAGATGAAATTCGTAGCATGGAGGAGAGCAAAAGTAAAGACAGCTGCCAAATGCCCCCATCCTTACCTCAGGGTAGTAGAAAAATAGTAGGGTATCGTGGCCGTGCATGTGCAGCTAAACATGTCATGTACCTAATGAAGAATGCTGTTTCACTAGAGAAAATTGTTATTGATCCTGTTCTCAACCATTCAACAGATAAGAGAGTTGAAGAAGTAAAAGAGGAAGTATTTGCAAAATATCATGCTATGCAACATATTAAAAACAAAGTGCCTTAATTTTTATGTCTTTAGGAGTTGCAGTGGAATAGAGACCAACATGCTTTCTGTGAATTTCAAGCTGTATAGGTATGTTTGCGTTAGGGTTCGTCATCGGGCAGGCCTAAATTTTTGGGCTCGAGTAGGGCTTGGGCCGGGTCTTGTCGGGCCTTTAAAAAAGAAGAAGTAAATGTCTTGTCTTTTTACTTAATTTATTTTTATATTACTCAATTTACTTAAATTTACAATGTAAATAAGAAAGTACCCCCCATTCGGATTCAATTAAAAATACTAGAAAATCAAATTCCCAACAAAGTATAAGATACAATTTATACCAACATTAATACCTCAATAAGTCAATATAAACTTTATACTAATATATATTGTTGTGAATCAAAATTTAACTATATATCGAACTACCCACTTCGGCCCAACGGGCCAAATGATGACCTCTAGTTTGCGTGTATTGGAATGTCTAGTACTTAAAATTGATCTAGTTTTCGTGTTATTTGTAGTTTGTAATGAGTGATGGGCCAGTATTGAGCAAAGGCTCCCTCTAACTCTCAATCCTTGAAACTTATTTTTTTCCATTTTTCAAAAACAAATTCAAAGCTTACTGCTTTAAACATATGCACTTACAAGTTGCGATAATATTTACCATTGAGTCTTTGATCATTGGTTTTAACTTGATCAAATTTGTTGATCTTGGTTTATTTCTAGCTATTTAAACATGTTGATGTAGGTAGCAGCAATTTACGCCACTTTAGAGGCCTCCAGTCAGAAATAAGATACCAAGAAAGCCATAGATACATAAACTGGGTGAAATCGTGTATTGGAACAACATAAAGGCCCTAGCATTGAACGATTCAGGGCTTGTTTTGATATTGATCATCGGTTTCACAAGTTCCATTGATAAATGGATTCAATTTGCAATGACAAAGAGAGTTCAAATACTTGAATTGGAGTTTATTGTGGCATTCAGTGTTATTTACGAGGGTCACTATGCTTTTCCTTACCCTGATTTGAAACACTTGTGTCCGAGTCCTCTACACTCTGTTGGACACAATATTGGTGGTTTTAAGTCGCTCAAAGTACTTTCTTTCCGATATGTTGATGTGACTGGAGAAATTCTTGAGTACTTCTTGTTTCACTGTCCAGTTCTTGAACGCTTAACAGTGCATGCTTCCACAAATTTGGTAAATTTAAGTGTTGTCGGTTCATCGATTGCATTGAAGCACCTAAAGATAGTACTTTGCTTTGGCATCAGCAGCATTCAGATTCGTGATGCAAACCTTGTTTCATTTGTTTACAATGGAGGGTTTGTGAATTTGGACATCAGTAATGTTCCGTTGCTCATTGAGGTATCCATTTTTGAGACTGACGATGATTTTGAGCTGGATACCGATATCATAAAGATTGTCTTGGGCCAACTTTCACGTGTTGTTTCTCAAGTAGAGATTCTTAGGTTGGATATCGATCAACCGGTTAGTATTATATCTAAAACTATCAACATGTGTTGTCTGGTTTTTTTTTTCTTTCTTTGTGTTGGATATTATGTTCTTTCCTTACTCTTCTTTGTTTGGTTTCCAGTGCTACCATATGTTTAAGTCACAGATCTACGATAAGAAGTATGAATTTCCTGTATTTGTAAATCTCAAGCATTTGGAATTAATAGTTGAAGCAGATTATCGTTGGCTTCTTCATCAATTAAATTCTTTCATCAAGGCATCTCCTTACTTGCAGAGACTTGCATTGAAGGTATAGACAGAGATATTTATTAGCAGCACTTAGCAGATTACATAAATACAGAAAAGTATAAACATACTGAATAAAGAAAAGTATAAGCATACAGAAAGCAGAAAGGTTAAACTTTGCCTTTGTGGTTCTTATTAAATTTTTCCCTTGGTGCAGCTGCAATTTCAAACATGGAGGTGCAATGCAAAATTAAAGAAAGCTGCAATTTGCCCCCATCATTACCTCAAGGTAGTCGAAATAGTAGGGTACCGTGGTCGAAGACTTGCCGTTACACAAGTCATGCACTTAATAAAGAGTGCGTTGCACTGGAGAAAATTGTTATTGATCCTGTTCAGCGTTGGTTGTATCCTAAGGGAATGGAAAGGGTACTTGCAGAAGTCAAGAAGGAAGTGAAGGCAAGAGATCATGCTATGCAACATATTAAACACAAAGTGCCTTCAACAATCGAATTTGTATGCCTCTAGCGAGTGCAGTGCTTCAATTATCTAAATATTGTGTTGGTATTATTGGTTGTAGATGATGACGACTCATCAATGAATATTATTATATGTCTGATCAATATTTTGGCATTGGGAACTATCAATATTTTTAGCATTGCTCCTCAGTTTAGCAGAGGGTCAAGCCTTCTTTGTTTTTGGTGACTCTCTTGTTGATGGTGGCAACAACAACTATTTGGTAACGTTTGCTCGTGCTGACACTTACCCTCATGGAATTGATTCTCCAACAAGACGAGCCACGTGCCGTTTTGCTCTGTTTTGCTCTCCTTTCCTCTGTTTGCTCTGCTTTGCCTTCTGCTTGTCAGCCAAAATGGTGACTGCAACTGCTGATCCAAATACGCCACACACATGGATAGACAACTGAGCTACTTCCATGAATACCAGCAAAGAGTGCAAGTTCTAATCGGAAGTGAGGAGACCAAAGGACCCATTAGCCAAGTATTTGTCTTATCATTCTTGGCGGCAATGATTTTGTTAACAACTAAGACTCGAGGTCGAGGTCCTCCTCCCCTGCTCAATCTTGCCACCACCCCCTTCCATATTTATCAAGCTTATCATCTCTGAGTACAGGACGAATGGGATGTGCTCCTGCAGATTTCGATGCAAGAAGCACAAATAGTAGATGCTCAGCCGGACTTGAACATGCGGCTGACTTGTACAACCCATAGCTCAATCAAATGTCGACAAAATAACAAACTTGGCAAAGGTGTCTTCATCTCTGTAAAGAAGAAAAAAATGCAGATGAATTTTATCAGCAACCCCCAAGCATTTGGTATATATAACTGATTACCGCCTTAATTATTATTATTATTTTGGATTTAATTTTTCTAGCTAAACTATGTTGTTTAATGAAAAATAAAACTTTTCTCATTTTACCTAAACATTTTCGCATGTTTACTTTCATGTTAACTTGTTGTATAATGCGCCAAACATAATTCTATCAAAGGATTTAGAACATAGGAAAGTGTTGTATAGTTAGGGGCGGAGCTAGGATTTTATATTTGAGGAGACCAAAATGTTAAACACAAAAAGTTTAGTTGTATATCTTTTTGGCCTATTGAGTAAACTATTGCCTACAAAAGCACTAAATTGAAATGAATGGTTTTCTTTCATAAATGTGGTATGATTTTACTATTATATTCATATTAAAATACAATTGTGGCAAGTATTGATTTGTGGTGAGGGGGCCATAGGCTTAAATATAGCACCCCTAATAGCTAAGTTGTATCTTTCTTTTTAATGTTGGAAGATGTTTCACGTTCGATACCTTTTTTAATTGAATAATTTCAAAGTCATAATGTAAATTATTTGACATTTACATGGCACAATTGCCAACCTTTCTTTATTTAACTGGATTGAGGTTAACAAAGTTACTAAAAAAAAAAAGTTGAAAAAAATAAGACTAAGGGAAAAAAAAATTCAAAAACAGTAAAACCCATTGAAAATAATTTAAAAACAGTTAAACCCCTTTGAAAAATAAGATAAGAAAACAGTTAAACCCTCTCCCGCTCAGCCGCTATTCAATCCCTTGGCCTGTACAGAAAAGCACCCGCCTTAATACCCACCTTATCCACAGTCGCATGCACTCCAATCCAAATGTCCACTCTCCTCCTCCCCTCCATCAATTCATTCCCCACCTTCCCCTGCAAATTCAAATGCCCAAACGACACCGTTTCTGTCGTCGTACGCGCGTCAGCGGTCTCAGCCCCTGAGAAGCGAACCCGAAGGAAGCGGAGGCAGACCAAGGGCGACGATGATTCCTCGTCTCCTTCTTCCTCAGCCGCCGAGAAGAGCCTCCGCTTCACCTTCATGGAGGAGCTCATGGGTCGAGCTCGAAATCGCGACGCCAATGGAGTCTCTGATGTGATTTACGACATGGTTGCTGCTGGCCTCACCCCCGGCCCTCGCTCCTTTCACGGCTTGATCGTCGCTCACGCTCTCAACGGCGACACCGAGGCTGCGGTCTGTACATTTTTTTTTTTCTTGTTCCGCATTGGATTTTCATTTTTATTTTCCTTAATTTCTTAAGATATTGTTATTATTATTTTTTTGTTGCTACATGAACGTTAGATGCAATCATTGAGAAGGGAGTTGAGTTCGGGTCTTCGTCCTCTCCACGAAACATTCATTGCTCTGATTCGGCTGTTCGGTTCCAAGGGTCGTGCTACGAGGGGCCTAGAAATTCTTGCGGCCATGGAGAAATTACACTATGACATTCGCCGAGCTTGGCTTCTTCTTGTTGGTACAAAAATATCATGATAATAAGTTGCACATTATTTATTATCTGTTCCTTAAAATGTGAAGATTTCTTATCTGAGTTTGTGTGAGCAGAGGAGCTCGTTCGGACCCGCCATTTGGAAGATGCCAACAAAGTGTTCTTGAAGGGAGCCAAAGGTGGCCTCAGAGCTACTGATGAGGTCTATGATCTTCTTATAGTTGAAGATTGTAAAGTTGGGGATCATTCTAATGCCTTAGATATTGCCTATGAAATGGAGGCCGCTGGCCGGATGGCAACAACTTTTCATTTCAATTGTCTTCTTAGCGTGCAGGTGGCCTTTCCTGAAATTTTTTTGTGAACTTGTTTTGTTGCTTACTTTATCTGAACATAATATCGATTTAGGGGTTGTTATTGGATTAATATCATCTTTAAAACTTTTCAAATAAAAAAGGAAGACAAAGGGCAGGGTAACACGAGTGATTCGAAAGTAGACAAATCTCTGATGTTGTAGTTCTACATTCGAAAGTTATACGCAGAATTTGAGATTAGAATAGGGTTGAAATCTGCATGTTGTAGCAGTTGGCTAAAATTTCCACATTTTGCTAGTGAGTTACTGCAAGCATCTTTAGCCAGTCTGATGAAATTTTTTTCCCCTTTAAATGCTATAGGCTACTTGCGGAATTCCTGAAATAGCGTTTTCTACGTTTGAGAACATGGAGTACGGAGGAGAAGGTTCGTATATATTTGTTTGAAATTTGTTGTTGGTGCTTGTATAAGTCTTACTTATGATTAAGCTTTCATAAGAACTTGTGCTAAAATTATTCAAATTTAACTTTATGCCTGCTTAATGGTATTCGTAGCCTTATCGAAGTTCCTTTCCTGGCTGGCTTGCGACAATATTTGTTTGTATTGAAGTACTAATTTAACTTTTGGACCATGGTAACATATATGTATTTTGGTTATTCTGGTTTCAGCATGACATGCGGTTTATTATACTTTTGTATTATGAAATTGAGTTGTATATTGCTGGCTGCAGAGTTATTTATGTTTGTTCAAGTTTAATACTTCTCAGAAGCCTTTGTTTTCTGTTCTTCAGGGTTTATACTTATAGTTTTCTTGACAAAACAGAATACATGAAACCTGATACTGAGACATATAATTGGGTGATCCAAGCATATACCAGAGCTGAATCATATGACAGGTAGTTTATATAGCCATAAGTAATTCCTGCTATGTTTCTTTATGAGGTATGAATCCTTATAACCTTTAGCAACCTGTAGGAGGCAATCTTAGTTCTCAAGTTTTGTGTTTTCAATTTTCTGGGTCGTCAGCTTTGCATGATAATTATATTTATGGAATTTTGACAACTTCTTAAGTTGTTTTGAGTTCAAGATTATGACATTGCCATGAGGCGCTTTATGGACCCTTTTAATCTTATGAACCCTCCTTGGGGTTTCAATTTGACATGTAGAGTGCAAGATGTTGCTGAGTTACTTGGCATGATGGTTGAAGACCACAAGCGTTTGCAGCCTAATATGAAAACCCATGCGTAAGCATCTTTTTGTTTTGCTTATTTAATTATGTAAAAGTTAGTAGTCCATGCAGACCATCAACTTTATCAAATGTTGAGCTTCGGCTGCCAACATTGTAGCTTTTTTATAGTTCTTTTTCCCCTCGATTGTCTCTTTTTCAATGTGGCTTGGGGCAGAGACAATCTTGAGTTCAACCAACATCTTGTGTTACATTGTATCATACTTCTTTCATTTTTGCTTTTCTTTTCTTTTGAAATATGTTGTTGTGCCTTGATGTTCAGATTGTTAGTTGAGTGCTTTACCAAGTATTGTGTAGTTCGAGAGGCAATACGGCATTTTCGTGCCCTCAAAACTTTTGAAGGGGGAACAAAAGCTTTACATAATGACGGAAACTTTGGGGACCCTCTGTCTTTGTATCTGCGAGCTTTATGTCGAGAAGGTATACAGTATAATATGTTTCATTGATTCTTCTTAACAAGAGTAATCTCATTTCTTCACACTCTGAATAGTGGTTAGGGATTTCAGCAGCAGTTTTATTGCTATATGTTGTCTGCACTTAGTAATATGCAACCAAGGTTTTCGTAAAATTGTACCTTGAAAGTTTTGAATTTCAGGGAGTAGAAGTTGGTAGGCAATCTACATGCTTAAGCTGAGGTATCACAGGAACTAAACTATCTTATATAATAACTCCTTCATAGATGTATGCTTTATGCCTTTCTTGGACTAGGAAGTCATTGCCTAAACTCTATTCAAGCTGCTAAAGCAGTGCCTTATTAATTCGTATACATGATTTCCTACGTTGTTGTCAATTATTTAATCTCACAGTAGGCGGCTGCGGTTTAAAATTGTTGATGTGTCCAAAGCAATGCTGCTCCGGCATATCTGTTGTTTTGATGTAGCCTATAAACTGTTCAAGAGTAAACAAGCTAACAGACCATATTGGTAGGCCCAGTTGGCTTCTATGATCAATATCAGATCTAATTTCTCTATTTTGTGGCATTGACAAGATGTTGGGCTTAGTTGATTTATATATACAATATTGTAGGTTTTAGGAGTTGGATATAGTCTGTTGTTGTTTCTCATCAATCTTATTTTATCTTCTCAAGATAGTGGGTCCATTTTAATCCCTTCAGAGGTTTTAGCTTGTTTATAGTAGTTTCTTGTTTGGAATTTGATGTCCTACTTGGATTAGTAGTAGAGTTTCTTTGCAACTCTTTCGTTCTTATGCCAAACAATTTTAGGAGAATATAACATAAGCTATTGAGCTTTCTTTATGGATCATGTGATGCATGAGGAATTCAGAAGTATAAGAATAATGAAAAATCTGTGCTCCTGTTGTTGGATCCTAGCTTTTCTGATTCACACTGTTCACTTGCAGTCACAGTAATATATCATATATTGTTGCATGTTAGGTTTATTTAAAATTTGTTAGCTTTTTTGACCTACATTATGGATCTTTCATTCTTAGTCTTGAATAGAACTTATTGACTTGATTAATGTTGTGTTTGTCTTTAGGAAGAATACTTGAGTTGTTAGAAGCTTTAGAAGCTATGGCCGAAGACAACCAAACAATTCCACCACGAGCCATGATTTTGAGCAGAAAGTACCGGACACTGGTGAGCTCATGGATTGAACCTTTGCAAGAGGAAGCTGAGCTTGGACATGAGATTGATTACATGGCCAGGTGGGTGTCTCTGTGTGTGTTAATAGATACAACACCTGATGCAAGCCTTTTCCTTCATCTTGTTCTACACCTTTAGAAAATAATGAGTTAAGGAGCGGACTATAGATCCCACTGCTCCTTCCCTCCCACCTCCTTTTTTTTTAATAATATAAAAATTATTTAATATTTTATAATAAATCTACTATAGTTTCAACTGGTAAAAGTGCTTTTCTTAATTATTATTTTTAATTTCTCTTTCAATTTCATGGTACGTGTAATTAGGACAGAACACATACTCTGCGGGTATTTTTTGTTTACCCGAGTTTAAGCATATGTGAGGCAACCCTACCTCTACTTTAGAAATTAACAAATAAATAAAGAACAGAGATGAGAGATTTCAAATGCGAGACCCTTTTGATAAGAGAATCAGGACCTTCAATAGCTTTGATATATTAGACTACTAACGGACACCCAAAATATTAAATGCAGTGGGTCAACCATGCATATGAAGATAACAAAGACAGCTCAGTATTAACTTCTTGTTGTGTTGTTGACTGATTTGTACATGAATCAGGTACATTGCAGAGGGTGGGCTTACTGGTGAGCGTAAGCGATGGGTGCCTCGAAGAGGGAAAACTCCACTAGATCCTGATGTTGAGGGGTTTATATACTCAAATCCTATGGAAACCTCATTCAAGCAAAGATGTCTTGATGATTGGAAGATACACCATAGAAAGCTTTTGAGAACGTTACAGAATGAAGGAGTTGCAGCTTTAGGGGATGCATCTGAATCGGATTATATTAGAGTGGAGATGAGGTTAAGGAAAATTATAAAGGGCCCTGACCAGAATGTTTTAAAGCCCAAAGCTGCTAGTAAGATGGTAGTATCTGAGTTGAAGGAAGAACTAGAAGCACAAGGTCTGCCAACTGATGGTACCAGAAATGTTCTTTACCAGCGTGTCCAAAAAGCAAGGAGGATAAATCGTTCTCGTGGCCGACCACTCTGGGTTCCTCCTGTGGAGGAGGAGGAAGAAGAGGTTATTTATTTATCTAATTTATTTTTTCTTGCTTGGGTTTCTTCTGTAGGGCACTTGAATCTTCACTTTATACTGATAAAATCAAATCTGAATGCGTTTCTGTTACAGGTTGATGAAGAGATCGATGAACTAATCTCACGTATCAAGCTCGAAGAAGGAAATACGGAGTTTTGGAAGCGGCGTTTCCTTGGAGAAGGCGTCAGTAGTGATCAAGAAAAGGCTGTAGATGTTTCGGATAGTGCGACTGTTGTAGATGTTGCAAAAGAGGTTGAAAACGGTGAGGCTGAAGCTGATGATGACGACGATGGTGATAATGATGATGATGACGACAATGACGACGATGATGATGATGATGAGGAGGAGGAGGAGGAGGAGGAGGTAGAGGTGGAGGTAGAGGTAGAACAAGCTGAGAGACAAGATGTAGAAAGGGTTAAGGAAAAGGAAATTGAAGCTAAGAAGCCTCTTCAAATGATTGGAGTACAACTGTTGAAAGATTCTGACCAAACAAGTACGACATCTAAAAAGTCAAGGAGAAGAAGGTCTCGAGTATCAGCTGAGGTATGACATTATAGTTACTTTTGTTTTACATTATTTTTCCAGGAGGTATGAAGGATATGGCCAAATCCATCAACTTAAAGTTTCAATGTTTGTTTATGGATGCAGGATGACAATGATGATGACTGGTTTCCTTTAGATATATTTGAGGCATTTAAGGAGCTGAGGAATAGGAAAGTTTTTGATGTATCTGACATGTATACACTAGCTGATGCTTGGGGTTGGACATGGGAGAGAGAATTGAAGAACAGACCTCCTCGAAGATGGTCACAGGACTGGGAAGTTGAGTTGGCAATTAAAGTTATGCTGAAGGCAAGTTCTTATCTTTATAGTCCATTCTTCACTTGCAATGCTATTTTTCTCCACAAATGCTGATCCTTAAAACATAAACTTTAGATTCCTAGACGTTAATGAAATATATGTTTTTCGGGACTGCTTTTCATGTGAAGACCATTTGGAGAACTAAGGGGCTGTCATAACTCGTTAATGACTAAAGCAATGGCCAAAGGAATGATGACCATTTCATTTTTATTTTGGTTGCATGATGACCATTTCGTTATGCTTGGTCAAAAGCATATACATCTATATTTACTTTTCCTATTTGAAAGAGACACTGGACTTCATTTCAGGTAATAGAATTGGGTGGAACACCCACGATTGGGGATTGTGCCGTGATATTGCGTGCAGCCATAAGGGCTCCTCTGCCGTCAGCTTTCTTGAAGATCTTACAGACTACACATACTCTTGGTTATGTATTTGGCAGGTAAGACCATGTTTCGTAATTTGATTAAGATAAAAGCGAAAACATGCCTGCTTAAATATGACTCATTAGATAGGCCAACAAACAAGAGAAGCATGCATAGTTTGATCCATAAATCCATGTGATGTACCAGCTGCCCCCTCCTTATAAACACATCCATGATCCATCCACACAAATAATGCTTGCCAGAGCTGATGGAGGTCTTATTTGTTCACATCTCATTTTGTTGTGATTTATTGCAGTCCCCTTTACGATGAAATCATCTCGTTGTGTCTTGATCTCGGGGAGGTAGATGCAGCCGTTGCAATTGTTGCAGACATGGAGACTACTGGAATCACAGTCCCAGACGAGACCTTGGACAGGGTGATATCTGCTAGGCGGATCACCTGATACCGCTCTTAATGCTAGTGCCTTGCATGGGTTCAAATTCACAGTTTTGCCCTGCTGTGTAATTAGGAATCACAACTAAATTTTGCCCACTTAGTGGTAGTGTCCTCATTTACTATTAGCTTCAAAGACAGATTTAATTTTCTTAGTGCAAGCAAAGGACATATATGATTAACGCTTGACCCTAAAGCAAACTAAAGAAAATGGACTTGAGAGGAAAAAAGGCAAATCGTCTCATCATGTTACGATGTATCACCATCTGAAGCAATCAATAAATTGATGTATCACGAGCTGCGTTATCATTCCGTTAGCTTTTCGAATGGACGGTGATCCATTCATTTATTATTCGAATTTAAAAGTTCTTCCAATATCATAAAGAAGAAAATTAAGCAAGTTAATATGTTTCTTTTTCTCCAAAACAAAAACGGAAATGTGGGTTTACTTAATTGCACCAATGTGACATGATTATGTACTCAAAAAATTCAGGGAATAAATTACAAAAAACAACAGAAATTATATAAGGTTGTTTTAGCCGTTGATTAAAAAAAAGAAAAGAAGAAAAAGCAGAGAAAAACAGAAAACGGAAGAAGAAAGAGAATTATACAATTAAGTCAGAGACGCATCGTTTTAATGTATAGTTGTACCCACTCCACTGACGAGTATTAGACAGCAGCAGCACTACTAACCGCCTTCAGACATACCGCAAACTGCTCGCTCGCGGTCCTTCCTTCCTTCGCACCAAAAAATTCAGGAGGCAAAGCGCAAACTCATTCGCTCCTTCAGAAGCTTTCTATTTTGGGTCTCGGCTAAAATTAAAGCAGAATGTGACGATTCTGTTCCCTATGATCTAAAGCTTCTTCTATTGCACTGCTTCAATTTCGGTCAGATCTTATCGTAGACTCATTATCTACTGCATTTTACGGCTTCACTCATGGCTGTTCCTGTGGAAGAGGCCATTGCCGCCCTATCTACATTCTCACTCGAGGTACTCTCTCAAATGTTGTTGTTGGTTTTTTTTTTCCTTCATATTTGGAAAAATGAGTTTATTTCATTTGTAAGTACATGAAATAAATTGTGCTCTTTCTGTATTTTTTTGGGGATTTATGTAGGATGAGCAAGCAGAGATACAAGGACCGGGAATTTGGGTTTCAACTGATAGCGGCGCAACTGATAGCCCAGTTGGTGTGTATTTCTTTTTCTTTCTTTTACGCATTTGGATCGCCAACTGCGATACGGGAGCAACCAGTTTTGGTGTTTATTTGGAAGTATTTTAAGTGAAGTGGTTGATAGAATGAACTGCGCTTAACTATTTTTCCAAATAAATCAAGTATCCTCAAATTTACATTTGGCATTTGAATCCCAACTTGGTAAGACCAATTAGGTCTGTTTCATCTTTGTATGGATTTATTACTGGTGCAGCCTTGGAGGTCTGATTTGCTAAAATGCACTGATATGACGTTGCTTACTACATGACTTTTTGGATATTTCCATTTTGTAGAGTATAGCGATGTTTCTGCATATCGCCTATCTCTGTCAGAAGACACAAAAGCTCTCAATCAGCTGGTATGCAGCTCTTTGTGCACATTTTGCTTTTTTATTTATTTTTATCATATAAACTTACTTCTTCTGTTAAGATAAACTGGTTATTTAAAATATTAATTCTGATGGATACACCATTGGAAACACTTTTCCTTTCCTTTGCCATTGTTGTTATTTTTGTCCTCGATTCTTTTTTTGCTGTAGTTTTTCATTTTCAATTTTAAACTTTTATTTTTCTGTTTGGATAATTTGGTTATTGACCGTGTAGATGTATTATGGCTAGATTTTCTTATTCATTTTTGAATGTATCTAAATGTTTTCTTTGATTGTGTTTTTGATAAACACTGCAACATATGTAGAATGCTCTTATCCAAGAGGGGAAGGAGATGGGATCAGTGCTTTATACATATCGCAGTTGTGTCAAGGCACTTCCTCAGGTAACTCTTTCTTCAAGTCATCATCCTTACCAACTAGCATTGCATGGGAAAACATTATAAATGGTTGTGCTGACTTGTCTCTAATATGTGTATATATGCACCTTGTGGCAGCTTCCTGATTCTATGAAACAGAGTCAAGCTGACTTGTATCTAGAAACATATCAAGTTCTGGACTTGGAAATGAGTCGTCTACGTGAAATACAGCGATGGCAAGCATCAGCTGCCGCAAAGGTATGCAGTTGCCCAAACCTCAATACTACACTCTTTCTTTGTCATCCTTTAGTTGAATTTTCACTGTATCATGGATTTTTTCTCTGGTATAGCTAGCTGCAGATATGCAACGCTTTTCTAGGCCTGAACGACGTATTAATGGCCCTACAGTAACTCATCTCTGGTCTGTCATAACATTTTTCTGAAACATTTTCTTTTTGTTCACTTTTGTTCTTGTCCTGTATCACAACTTTACTCACTGGTCTCTTCCATATTAATGGCTATATCATTGTAAAAGTCATTTGATCTTGTGATGAGGGTCAATATGGGTCCCACATGTTTTGTTACTATTCCAGGTCCATGCTGAAGCTACTTGACACTCTGGTGCAACTTGATCATCTCAAAAATGCAAAAGCTAGCATACCTAATGATTTCTCTTGGTATAAAAGGTAAGACAATTATTACCACTCTAAATCGTATTGTTATACCTATGTGACATGTTATGTGATCCTTGACTCGTTCCCTTGACCTATTCTGGGGTTTTCAGGACATTCACACAAGTAAGTGTACAGTGGCATGATACTGATTCGATGAGGGAGGAGTTAGATGACTTACAGGTGTGATTGTCGTCTCCTTCACTATCTTCCTGATATTCAGCTTTAGGTGGATACATAGTAGTCCAATAATGAAATTACTTTTTAATTATCTTCTGCAGATTTTCCTTAGCACAAGGTGGGCTATCCTATTGAATTTGCATGTTGAGATGTTCCGCGTGAACAAGTATCCTTTGTACCACAGTCATAATAAATGACATATTTTCAGATGCTACACTTCTGTATGACATGAGCAGAATAAATTAAGACTTCTTATGATACTTCTATGTCAACTTGTTTCGCTTATAAAGCCTTTTGTTGTTATTGTTAATTTATTACATTTGATATTGGTGATACATTCTGCTAGTCCTGTTTGAGTTCCTTGACCCGAATATAGCGTAGAAGACATCCTTCAAGTTCTTATAGTCTTTGCTGTTGAGTCATTAGAGCTGGATTTTGCACTTCTGTTCCCTGAGCGGCACATTCTTCTTCGTGTTTTGCCAATTCTTGTTGTCTTAGCAACATCATCTGAAAAAGATAGTGAGTCTTTGTACAAGAGAGTGAAAATCACCAGGCTGATCAATATATTTAAGGTAATAAATAGTTATAGAGATTTTCAAAATTCAAAAGGATTGAGAAAGTTTACAATGATTTAAATCTGCTAAAACTTTTTTTTTTTTTTTTTTTTTTTTTCTCAGAATGATCCAGTAATACCTGCATTTCCAGATCTCCATCTTTCTCCTGCTGCAATCATGAAAGAATTGTCAATATACTTCCAGAAGTTTTCCACCCAAACTCGTCTTCTCAGTCTTCCATCACCTCATGAGCTTCCATCTCGCGAGGCACAAGAATATCCTTTGTTATATTTATTTATTTTTATAAGTAAATTTGTTATTATTTTTTTAAAAAACCTTTAGCATCACTTAGATGTATAAGACAAACATTCTGTTTATTAGTGCAATTGAAATCCATGTTTCTAAAACTTGTGTTATTTGCCACAGTTGGTTGGAACAACGTAAGACCTGTGGCTCAATTCTTGCATTGTTATAGAAGCCTAATAGTACCCTGATTATTAGTAGCACTTTCTTTTATCTTCGCCAGAACCTTTTTTTTCTTATTAGAAACGTGGGTTTCTTTTTTACGTAGTTACAGAATCTGACTGTAACTTTAAAATTTTGTCTTGTTAAGTGTCTTTCAGCTTTTGGACAAAAGCTCTTAGTTGTTGCATATATCCAGTAAGGCCTTGACATGACATACTTATCAGAGACATTATCTAATTATCAATCACATTGGATCCATCCGTGCGGAGCATGATGACTTTGCAATTCGTTTTTCTTCCTCCATGAATCAGGTCTCTTCCTCCTCCTCAGTCCTTCCTCTCCACAACATAAAATGTAAAACTATATTACGGATATGATTTCTTGCCGGCCCTCTTATGTAAGTTTCTGAAGCCTATTACTTTGTTCCTTCTGCTTTTCGCAGTTATTATTGCTGAAGTCAACAGACAGTGCCGATATTGACTGGTGCAAAGAAGTGAAGGGAAATATATATGATATGGTTGTTGAAGGTTTTCAGCTTCTAAGTAGATGGACTGCACGCATTTGGGAACAATGCGCATGGAAGTTTTCTCGCCCCTGCAAAGATATAGTTCCTTCCGAATCACAAGAGGCTTCAGCATCATTTTCAGACTATGAAAAGGTATTGTCTCCCAGATCTGAAATGTTGTAATTGCTTCTGTTGATCACAGACAATGTACTCAATATGTAGTGAAATTGTTGTATGGTTTCTGTGTAAGATTTGTTATCATGAACAAGAAATTAAAAAAAATTGTGAAAAATGAAGCTGAGTACAAAACTAACGAGAGGATTGGTAGTCCATCCTATGGCAACAGTACAATATTAAAGAACTTGGTCGATATTTAAAACTTTTTGCTAGGTCACAAATTAGCTGAGCAACATTGACCAAGTTATTCAGCTGTTTGAGCTTGGCTTATTCTGAGCTTGAGGCAGATTGTGTTTAAGCCTGGATCTCCATCTACATAATAACTTACAAATTATTGCTCGGCTCTGTTTGCTCTATTTTGAAGATTGCCTTTTAAGTTATACATGGAAGAAACCTTAATGACCTAAAAGGCTAAAACCAACTTGAATATTTGACTTATATGTCTATGTACTTAAGTATATTAGTTCAATTCTTGTCTGCCTATATGTTGATCATATCCATCCTATTACCTGATGGTGACATGAGTGTGAAATATCTCTTAGGTGGTACGATATAATTATAGTGCAGAGGAAAGGAAAGCACTGGTTGAACTTGTTAGCTACATAAAGAGCATTGGATCAATGATGCAGTGCAGCGACACATTGGTAGCGGATGCTTTATGGGAGACAATTCATGCTGAGGTCCAGGATTTTGTTCAGAATACATTGGCCACTATGTTGCGAACTACCTTCCGAAAGAAAAAGGACCTTTCTAGGTGGGACTTTTGAGTTTGTTCAGTATGATTGGAACTTTCTAGTTGGAATTCCTATATATTTTATAGTCTGAGTTACAGTTGTACATCTATTCATTCAAATAATTGAATACTATCTTTTTAATGAAGATTATCATTTCAAATTGCTTATAAGTTCTATTCAATTCAGGATCCTTTCTGATATGCGGACTCTTTCGGCAGACTGGATGGCAAATACAAGCAAGTCTGAGTCTGGATCCCTACAACAAGGGGGTGAAGAAAGCAAAGCAAACTTTTTCTACCCAAGGCCGGTTGCACCAACAGCTGCTCAGGTTCCCTGCATCGTCAAATTCTTTCATGCAATTTAAGATGTCTTTTTACTATTGGTTAACCGGGTATTTTTGCCTCACCTAGTATTGTTCGTTCTATTTTGTTTTTCCTTCCATTTGTTCTTTTAGAAAGGAAATTAATCATAACATGTTTGATTACATTGTACTTCCATAATAGTCTTGCATCCACGAGGAAGCACACACATTAGTAAATTATTAGTACCTTTAAATTTTAAGTGTTATTTAACTCGAGATACTTTTTCTCTATGATGTGGATCACATGGGTTGCATGGATCTCAAATTTCTTGAAAATCCCTCTTTTCACCGAAATACATGGTTGCTCAATTTTATGCTATTAAAGAGAAAGAGCTTAAATTGAATTTGATGTTGTGTACTATATTTTTGTCAATTATCACATAATCCTGTCGCCCTGAGATTGAACTAACTGATTAATTCAATTTCTATTTTCAGGTCCACTGCTTGCAGTTCCTTATATATGAACTGGTGTCTGGCGGTAATCTTAGGAAGCCTGGAGGGCTCTTTGGGAATAGTGGATCGGAGATTCCTGTTAATGATCTAAAACAGTTGGAAACATTTTTTTACAAGCTTAGCTTCTTCCTGCATATGTTGGACTACTCAGGTATTCCTTCAAACTCTCCTTAGGTCTTAATTCATGTTGCAGTCTTAAACTTTTGCACTTTACATAGTCCCAGAAGGACCAAATTCTCAAAAGTAACTTTTGAGTGGAAGCTCTTTTCAAAATGGTTCCTTCTTCAGAATGGATGCATTGTGATTAATAATTTTAAATCCTGGCTCGTTAAAACATTGGGTCCTTTGAGAATGTGCATGTTCGGCATAACCATGCTTAGCTTGTAGTTAGTGCAGCCTTTTAGGAGCATTCATGTAGTAATCTTGAAGCTCCTATCAGAAAAAAAAAGTTTGTTGGAATTATGTTGCTCTTATTTTATCGCAATGGCCAATAGTGCCACTCAATTTTGGTTATCTTGGAACATGAATATACATGCCCCTTGTCATCATGAGACTGATAACAGGTTGATTTGCTCCTTTCTTAAAACTAGAATTCTTTACCACTTCTACAAAATTCAATTTTTTCCTGTGATCCCATTGCAGTGACAGTGGCCACGTTGACAGATCTTGGTTTCTTATGGTTTAGAGAATTTTATTTGGAGTCTTCTCGTGTTATTCAGGTATTACATTATTCCACATGATAACTGGATCTCGTTTGAATTATACTAGCATGTTGAACTCATCTTAAAAAAACCTAAAATGTATTTCCCATTCACTGGAACCTTCTTATCACCCTGCCCACTGGTACTTTTAGAGTGGCCTAGATTATCGGAATTATTCTTCAATAGTTTAGTGGTGCCCATACTCCAGTTTATCATATGTTTATAGAGGTGAAAGTGTTCCAGTTCAAAAAGATTTTCTAAAGTTGCACTTGTAAGTTGTACCCGTAAATAGTTTAGTCCATAGTTTCTTCACTTTGTTCGTTCTTAAATTTGATGAAACTTGTTTGTTCTTATTGAGCAGTTTCCCATTGAATGCTCTCTACCCTGGATGTTGGTGGATTACGTGCTTGAGTCACACAATGCAGGTATTCTAGAGAGTGTTTTGATGCCATTTGACATCTATAATGATTCAGCTCAGCAAGCACTGGTTTTGCTCAAGCAACGATTCCTTTATGATGAAATTGAGGCTGAGGTACCTGAATTTCAGAACACACAGCTGTGCCTGCTCTCTCTTTAATAAATTTTGTTTACTTATAGCCAGCACAATTGTATTCATGATTACCTTAGTTGCTTTCTGCGTTGAACTAATGCTTAAATCTCACTGGTGTTCTTGTGGCTCCTTTGGGATGGAAAATTAGTTGCAGGCTGAATTTGTATATTTCTTTGAAAAAAATATTCTAACTGTATTCTATTAGAAGGATTTACATCAATTCTGAGGCCATGTTGAAATGGTACAATAAATTTTGAAGAAAGCTAAGGAATTAGTGCCCCTTATACAATTATTTATTCATACAAATGTATGTTCGAGAATAGATTGTTTCTTGTACCTTAGTTATTTTATTATTTTCTTTTCCTTTATAGGTGGACCATTGTTTTGATATATTTGTTTCAAAGCTTTGTGATAGTATTTTCACATACTACAAGAGCTGGGCAGCAAGGTATGCCGATTTCCTTTGGCTAATAAACTATGCCACCAATAGATAACCTCTTACATGTGTTAGTTGTCATATCTTGCAGTGAGCTACTTGATACGTCATTCCTCTTTGCATTGGACAACGGAGAAAAATATTCTGTTGAGCCTATGAGGTTCACCGCACTACTAAAGATGACCAGAGTGAAGGTGATTTCTAATTTGAGATGTGATTTTCATTAGTTTCCTATTCTATACTTATATTTGGTTATTTATGTATATATTGTTGTTGCATACAGTTGCTTGGGAGGATGATTGATTTGAGAAGTTTACTTGCTGAGCGGATGAACAAAGTTTTCAGAGATAATATCGAGTTTCTATTTGATCGTTTTGAGTCTCAGGATTTATGTGCTATTGTGGTTAGTAGTTTCACAGTTTCACTTTTGTCTCTTAGTTTATGAAAACAATGACATTGTTAACAAATATACCTTTGTGGTTGGTAGGAATTAGAAAATCTGCTGGATATCTTGAAGCATGCCCATGGATTGCTGTCCAGAGATCTCTCAATAGACTCGTTCAGTCTCATGTTGAATGAGATGCAAGAAAACATATCTCTTGTGTCATATTGTAGTCGACTTGCTTCCCAGGTTTTGCTAATTTTTCTTCATCATTGTTATTAAGCTAATTTCGAGTCATCTATTTACTGTTTCACTTACTCATTTTGTTTTTCTGTTAGATTTGGTCAGAGATGCAAAATGATTTCTTGCCAAATTTCATCCTTTGCAATACTACCCAGCGTTTCATCCGATCATCAAAGGTTCCTCTTGTTCCTATTCAAAAGCCATCAGTTCCCTATGCCAAGCCTAATTTCTATTGTGGTACTCAAGTAAGAACTCTCCCTTAACCACCTTATCTGTTTGGAGTTTTCGATGATAAATGTTCTTATTTGTTATTGTAAATGCAATTTTTTTGATTTAGTATTGAATATCATCCTTTTTCTTCACTTTTTATAAGATTCAGCTTACACCTTTATTACCTTTTTTATTCCCTTAAATAAGCTTATTTGAGGGACACCCTTGTAGGGCCCAGTCCGTATTGTATTTCACTAATCCAAACCGTTTATTTGTAGATACTCATTCAAAGATCATCTCTACAAAAAATCACTTGAATATGATATCATTTGACCACTCAATTGAATTATTGAAATTTTAGTATTTTCTTGAAGCACTGTGTTCATTGATTTTGTAGGATACAATTAGATATCGAAACGGTTTCTGATTTGTCTAATTTTTTGCAAGGATGATCTATGAATGTAGACTTAATAAATTAGATGGTTTGGATCGTTGAAAGAAAATTTGTAGGGGACCCTAAAGGGTGTCCCTCAATTTATATATATTTTGTTATGATGTTTTTTTTAACTCTATTGAATATTGACTGTTTTCATGATAGGACTTAAATGCAGCTCATCAGAGTTTTGCACGGTTGCACAGTGGATTTTTTGGGATGCCCCACATTTTTTCAATTGTTAGGCTTCTAGGGTCTAGATCATTGCCCTGGCTAATTCGAGCACTTCTAGATCATATATCAAACAAGGTACGTCTGTTATGCAGAAATCAGTTGTTCAGAGACAAATTGCAAATGTAAATTAATAAATGGCCATTTGAAGTTGCACATGTTTCGTCTGTTTAATTATCTTCATTGTTTTGGAAAGTTTTCTTTGTTTAATACAGGTCAAATGTTGATAACACTAAAGTGCTATTAAGGTTCACCCTTGTGCTTCATGTGTGCTTGTTTCAGATAGCTACACTGGAACCAATGATAACAGGACTGCAGGAAGCATTGCCAAAGTCTATTGGATTGCTTCCCTTTGATGGAGGCGTGACAGGTACATGGAGCTTTTTTAACATTTACATGTGTGCATATTGTTTCTTATGGAACAGAGTCTTATTTCTCTTTTATGTAGTTTTGAAATGTAAAATTCATTAGGCTGAGTAGTACATCAGCAAGCATGGAAAAACCCATCAACACAAGTAATTTGCGGGGGTGTTTGTGGTATACCCTGATTTGTGTTTATATTTCTCTATGCACAGGTTGTATGAGGCTTGTTAAAGAACAACTTAATTGGGGAACTAAATCACAGCTCAAAGCAGAAGTTCTTCGGGGGATAAAGGAGATTGGAAGTGTATTGTATTGGCTGGGGCTTCTTGATATCGTGCTGGTTAGTGTTCTAATTTCATCATTTTTAATATATTTAGGAATGCTTCTGGGGTGATTATAGACCTAGGTACTTATAACAATTTATTATTTTGGGGAAAGAAAAAACTACATTGTTGACAAGGGTTTAAATAAGGAAACAAAAGAGGAAAGAAATTTGAGGTGTCTATCCTAAAAAGGAATTCAATTAAATGTTCTCCAATCATATATGTTTGAAAGTGAACCTATGTTCTGAAATAAGTTATGAAATAAAAACTTTTTATTTTCTATACTGGAACTTCCTTTTCCAGATCTTCACATATTTTAATGCGGCAAGGCATAGTGTTATGAGGCATGTATTGTATTGATAACATTAGTTTTGCCACTGCTATGTGATTTTGGGCAGGCGAATCCTGATTTTTTTCCCCATCATATTGATTACTATTTTAATTGAAAATTATTCTTTATGGCTGCTTGATCCTTACTATCGCTATCTCCCATGCTTGACAGAGAGAAACAGATACCACACACTTCATGCAAACAGCCCCTTGGTTGGGGTTGCTTCCTGGTGCAGATGGACAAATATTGCATTCTCAAGATGGTGGAGAAAGCCCAATCGTCAACCTCTTTAAATCAGCTACTTTTGTAATTGTGTCAAACCCTGGGTGCCCAAACCCACCTTCCTTCCACACCTTATCAAAACAGGCAGAAGCTGCAGGTGTGCAGTTGCATGTTTTTCCTTCCTAAACGTTTCCTGCTTACACTATATAATTATGAAGTTCGTGTTCCCTGGAAAAATTTAGATTCACTTGCTCTGATTGAAATTGAAATGCAGAAAACTGAGGTACTATCGTGCATAATCCTTTCCATGCTTTTGTCAGAAAGCTGTCCTTAGTATGGTTTCAAAAGCTCAGTTTCTAGGGTCATGGAAGATTGAAAAAAAAAAACTACTGTAAGATGGTAAAATGAAAATGCTGAAACTTGGAAGTAAATATGCTTAATGAACTACACTTCACACACACAAGAATGAAAAGAAAATTGCACATGGAATTGCTGTAGTCTGATGACACAACAGTATATATAGCGTGTTCTAAGTGATTATAGTTCTGTAACTTCTTAGGTAAACAGATAGAAATTATACCCAAATTGTAAGTTAACTTTCAAGGTACAAAAAAGCTCATTGAAGTAAGAATGAGTAAAAACATCTCTAGTTTCCAAGGAAAATCACAGCAACCACACTCTGGAAAGGACAAGTCTTATGTTATAGTGTCATCCTGAAAATAGACCTTTTCACCTTTAATTTGAAGTGACGAGATTCTTTGCTTCCTGTAATCCTATTAAAAATTCCTGTTTTATTGATGTTCTGGATTGAAGGTTTCAGATGTCTATCTTTCACTGCAGATCTTTTGTACAAGGCTAACATGAATACTGGAAGTGTGCTGGAATATGCCTTAGCTTTTACTAGTGCGGCTCTGGACAAATATTGTAGTAAATGGAGCGCTGTTCCCAAAACAGGGTTCATTGACATCACAACTTCGAAGGATTTCTATCGTATATACAGTGGTCTTCAAATTGTAAGGAATAACCTTGCACATTTTGTTTCTCTAAGATCAGCTTGCTCATCTTAATTGTGGAAGAACGTGAAAATTTGCTCATCTTGTGTTACTGCTAACATGTTGTAATTCTTAAATTGTAGTGGTATCTAGAGGATTCTGTTCGGGTACCACCAAGCAGTCATGAAGTGCTGGGTGATTCTGTAGCTTGGGGTGGCTGCACCATAATATACTTACTCGGGCAACAGCTGCATTTTGAGCTCTTGGATTTTTCATACCAGGTCCTCAATGTTGCCGAAGTGGAGATTGCATCAATTACCCAAACCCATAAGAGCCCTCATTTTTTCCAGGTACAGAAGTTGTTTGTGTCGTAAATTTGTAGGAAACTAATTGCAGAACCAATTTCCAACTCTCCTAAGTAGAACAAGTCCTGATGTATGTTGGCATGCAAAAATGGTTTTGTAATTTGTTGATTAAGTGGATTGTTTGTATATGTGGTGAAGGGATGGGACGGCCTGTTAGAAGTAATGAAGAAAGCAAGGAGGCTAAACAATCACGTGTTCTCCATGTTAAAGGCACGGTGCCCGCTTGAAGACAGGACAGCTTGTGCCATCAAGCAAAGTGGTGCCCCTCTGCATCGGATCAAGTTCGAGAACACCGTCTCAGCATTTGAAACACTTCCACAGAAAGAGGCCTGAATGAACTTTGAGGTCAAATTACTTCTTAATATGTTGCTTTCATCCATTCGGTTTCTGTTCTTAATCAGGATTCGAATCAACATTCTGTGCATAATTACAGAGAGAGAGAGAGAGAGCATTTTGTTTGAAGAAATTATTAATTAGTTGCATATTCTAAGGTTTTAGTTGGATTATTAAAAGTTAGTTAGCAGAACAACAAAAATTGAAAATTATGACAAAAGTTCTTTGGTGACATTATGACCGCCACTAGATAGGGGGACCCTCACCTACCACGCCAACCATTAATAGCTGTGGCTATATTGACATGTGAAACGGTCGATAGTGGTGCCAAACTGTATAAATAATCAAATAAAAAAGTTGGGAAAATATTATATGCCAAAATAATATAAAACTCAAAAAGAATTTCTATCATGATGTGTGAGAGGTTATCGTCAGCAATGACATATAAATGGTTAAACGTACCCAGAAATTTGATTAATACACACACTGGGCACCATTTTATTTTATTTTTTTTTGGCTACGAAATTTTCAAACTTATTTGTTCCTGAGCATTTATTTCGTGGCAAAAAGGGGCCAACCCAAAATGGAAGCCACTCACATCGTGTTGGATTATTATTCTTCTTCCTCCACGCTCATTTCATTTGTTTATTTTGAATTTTTGCGAAATCTTAGTCAACCCTAAAGTCCAGTCCATTCATGTTATTATATAGAAAATAATTTGCTTATTCAGCATTCGATCGATACCAAGAAAGAATGTCTAACCTAATTTTAACATCCCTTTGTATAACTTGCGAAACATATTCATCCACAGTCATGGCTCCACGTTGCAAAAGAAAACAAACGGACTGTTAAATTATGTTCCAGACTAGGACCCTTTTGAAATTTAGAACCAATACTTAAATCAGTTAATTTCAATATCCACCAAAAAGTAAGGCAATCCAAAACAACTATGGAAAAACTACGTGTTAGCCAGAGAAAAACAAAACCCAAAACTATGGTGGGAAGCCGTACGAAGGCCGAAGTGGGATAGTGCTGTGGTGACTCAATGATAGATATTTAATCAAACGGAGAGAGAGAGAGAGAGAGAGAGAGAGAGAGAGAGAGAGAGAGCAAAGCAAAGCAAAACATACTTATCTTAAGCAAATGCGATAATGGAGATGAAGTCAAGTTTGACTTGCTCAAAACCAGATGCCAATTTAACTAATTATTATTATTATTATTATTATTATTTACTAAACCTTCAAAGGTTTGACTTGGTTGGGTTGGGTTCAGTTGGTTCCCATCTCTCCACTCCAAGCCAGCAGACCTTGAAGTTTTGAAATGGCTTGTTTTGTTTTTTAGGTGAGTGAGTTAAAAAGCAGAGCAATGCAAAACTGAAACAAAGAAACAAAGAAAGAGATGGAGAAGACATTTGAGTTGGGTTTGTGAAGCACTAAAATATTATGGAAGAGGAGTAAGAGAGGAGAAAGCGCGTGCATGCTTTGTCGGCCATTCCTGCATCACACTCTCTCTCTCTCTCTCTCTCTCTCATTCCTATTTCACATCCTTTTCATTCACACAAAGTGGGATCTTCCAAATCATTCTGTGGGGGGACAAAATGAATGAACACTTGGCTTTTTTCATGTTCTTTAAGATTATCATTACAAGCTTTTTTCATGTTCTTTAAGATTATCATTACAAAGGTGGCAAGTCATTGCACCTAATTAGTTATTATTCAAAAAATTAAGAGGAAGTCAAGCTCAACCTATCAATAATGCACCACTCTTTTCGACCCTAATCTAAACGTCCAATTATTTTTCCCAGTAATCTTTCTTTTTCTGGGCAAGCAAAGTATATTTCTTGCTGGTTCCTAGAGAATTGGTTGGTTCTCTTTGATGGGTTAGCTTTTCTTTATTTTCCATTACCGGTCATCAACTCAAGGTATGTAAAATAATAGCTCCCTATGTAGTTCTGTACAAGTTATGGAATGCTTGTATCTTTCTGAATCTTTGTTTTGGTCCCTCTCTAAAGCGTGAAATCTTTGCTCCAGCTAGTGATGTTGTGAGTGCTGCAAGCCTACAGCCAGGCTTATTGTTTTCAATTCCATTTCATGGTTATGGAGAAAACATCATATGATTTGTTAATTACCATAAATATTGTTCTTGTTACTGCACTTATGGCTTATGGATCTGAGGGGCTTAATGATGAGGGTCAATACCTTCTAGAAATAAAGAGTAGATTAGTTGACAGATTTGATCATCTTAGTAGTTGGAATTCCAATGATTTCACGCCTTGCGGATGGAGGGGGGTGAATTGCAGCAACGGATACAATCCGGTGGTTTTGTCTCTTAAGTTGAGTTCAATGAATCTTTCTGGTTCTTTGTCTCCGAGCATTGGTGGATTGGTTCACCTGAATCATCTTGACCTTTCTTTCAATGAATTGTCTCGGAATATACCTAAAGACATTGGAAGCTGTTCAAGTTTGGAGGTTCTACTTTTAAACAACAATAAGTTTGAAGCTCAAATTCCCAAAGCATTTGGTAGACTTTCTTCTTTACAAGTATTGAATGTCTGTAATAATAGAATATCAGGGCCCTTCCCTGAAGAGATTGGAAATCTTTCTTCCATGTCCCAGTTGGTTGCATACACTAATAATATTAGTGGACCACTGCCGCGTTCTATTGGCAATCTCAAAAGCTTGAGGACTTTCCGGGCAGGGGAGAACTTGATATCAGGAAGCTTACCTACAGAAATAGGTGAATGTGAGGGCTTGGAGTATCTTGGTCTAGCTCAAAATCAGTTAAGCGGAGAAATACCTAAAGAGATTGGATTGCTTGAGAATTTGACGGCTTTGATTCTTTGGAATAATCAGCTTTCTGGGGTTATTCCAAAGGAGCTTGGCAACTGTACAAATTTGGGAACTCTGGCTCTGTATGAGAACAAACTTGTGGGAGAGATACCAAAGGAGCTTGGAAGCATTGTGTTTCTAGAGGAGTTATATCTTTACAGAAATATGTTGAATGGGACCATTCCAAGAGAGATTGGTAATCTCTCTCTAGCAAAAGAGATTGATTTTTCTGAGAACTTCTTGTCAGGAGACATACCATTTGAGCTCAGTAAGATAGCGGGGTTGCAGCTGCTTTATCTTTTTGAGAACCAACTCACAGGTGTTATTCCAGATGAGCTCACAACCTTGACAAACCTGACTAGGCTCGACCTCTCTATCAATTTTCTCACTGGTTCAATTCCTACTGGATTCCAATACATGACTGAATTGATGATGCTACAATTGTTCCACAATTTTCTGAGTGGCATAATTCCTCAAGGACTTGGAGTGTATAGTCCACTCTGGGTGGTTGACTTATCCGAAAACCTCCTAACAGGAAGAATTCCTCGTCATCTCTGCAGAAATTCTATTATGATCCTGTTAAATTTGGAGTCTAACAGGCTCACTGGGAACATACCAACTGATATCACAGGCTGTAAGTCATTGGTACAGCTTCGTCTAGTTGGAAACAACCTTACAGGGACTTTTCCATCTGAAATGTGCAAACTCCCTAACCTTTCTACAGTTGAGTTGGGTCAGAACAAGTTCAGCGGTGCCATTCCTCCAGAAATTGGTAACTGCAGAACTTTGCAAAGGCTACACCTTTCAGGCAACTACTTTGCATTTGAGTTGCCAAGAGAGATTGGTAACCTCTCACAGTTGGTGACCTTTAATGTCTCATCAAATTTACTCTCTGGAAGGGTACCACCTGAAATTTTCAATTGCAGAATGCTTCAGCGACTTGATCTTAGTAATAACAACTTTTCGGATGCCTTACCAAGTGAGATAGGAACACTTTCTCAGTTGGAGCTTCTCAAGCTTTCTGAAAACAATCTTTCTGGGAATATACCAGGTGCGGTGGGAAACCTCTTGCGTTTGACAGAGCTACAAATGGGTGGCAACTCATTTTCTGGCGTTATCCCACCTGAGTTGGGTGCCCTTTCAAGCTTGCAGATTGCATTAAATCTCAGTTATAATAACCTTTCTGGGGAGATACCTCCTCAACTTGGAAACCTCATTTTACTGGAATTCCTTCTGCTTAATAACAACAATTTGACTGGTGATATTCCAGGTTCTTTTGAGAGTCTCAAAAGTCTACTTGGCTGCAACTTCTCATTCAATGGCTTGACGGGGCCAATTCCTCGTTTAGCACTCTTTCAGAACATGCCTGCTAACAGCTTTTTTGGGAACAAAGGTCTCTGTGGTGGACCTCTAGGTGACTGCGGAACACCACCATCTTCACTCTCTTTTCCTCAAGATATGGTGAAGAAAAGTAGCCTCTTAGGTAAAATTGTTGCTATTATTTCGGCAGCTATTGGTGGTGTTTCTCTCATTTTAATTGTAGTCCTTATATATGTCATGAGACGTCCTGTAGACGTTGCTTCTTTGCAAGAAAAACCATGCTCTTCTCCAGTTCTGGACACCTACTTTTCATCAAAGGCAGGGTTCACTTTCCAAGACTTGGTTATGGTGACTGAAAATTTTGACGAAAGCTTTGAAATTGGAAGAGGAGCTTGTGGAACCGTGTACAAAGCAGTCTTGCCAACTGGTCATACAATCGCTGTTAAGAAGGTTATATCCAACAGGGAGGGGAACAATGTGGATAATAGTTTCCATGCTGAAATTCTTACTTTAGGAAAAATCAGGCATCGGAATATTGTAAAGCTGTATGGTTTCTGCTACCACCAGGGTTCCAATCTTCTGCTCTATGAGTACATGGAAAGGGGCAGCTTGGGTGAATTGCTTCATGGAACATCTTGTAGTCTTGATTGGATAACCAGGTTCATGATTGCTCTTGGGGCTGCTCAGGGTCTCGCTTATTTGCATCATGATTGCAAACCTATGATCTTTCACCGTGACATAAAGTCCAATAACATTCTTCTTGATGATAAGTTTGAAGCTCATGTTGGAGATTTTGGCCTGGCAAAGGTGATTGACATGCCACAATCTAAGTCTATGTCTGCAGTTGCAGGTTCTTATGGATATATAGCCCCTGGTAATTAATTAAGCTATCTTTTGTTTTGAGCCCTTTTATTCAATAATGATTTTCATCAAATTTACCATCTGCATTGATTCACCAAGTTCTAAATGTTCTTAATTCCAGAGTATGCATACACTTTGAAAGTCACAGAAAAATGTGACATCTACAGCTATGGAGTGGTCCTTCTGGAGTTGCTGACTGGCAGAACACCTGTACAATCAATAGATCAAGGGGGTGACCTGGTAACATGGGTAAGAAATTATTTTCTGCACCATTCATTGTCGTCAGGAGTGTTCGATGCTCGATTAAATTTAGAAGATGAAGCCACTGTCTCTCACATGATCACTGTCTTGAAAATTGCTTTGCTGTGCACAAGTATGTCCCCCTCGGACCGCCCAACCATGAGAGAAGTTGTTTCCATGCTCATTGGCTCCAATGAGAGGGAAGCACACTTTGATAATGATACCAATTCCAGTGATATTGAATCTCATTTTGATTAATCAGGATTCCTCTTTAATTAGTTTGCCAATTATATATTTATATACATATTCATCCTTGTATTATTTAAACAAGTATATAATTAATAAACTCCCCTGTACATAGTGTGTGATTTTTCCTTTTTTATGTGGAAAGTAGTCAATATGCTCTGCAAAGCATATCCACTTTTATTTTGAGTGCATATATACTGCTGCAATGTTCAATTAATAAAGAAACAGAACATGAATATACAAAGCAGGAGTTAGAGGAGCTCAACAGGAAGAAGAAGATAAACATAATTAAAGGGCCAATTGGCAATTATTTTTCAGATACCACTACAAACACTCCTGGGGTCAATCTAGCTTTTATTATAGCCATTAAATAATAAAGGCAAATGACAATAGATGGCTTCTAGAAAGGGGGGGTTATGGTAGCATCTGGTTTCCATGATGTAGGAGACAACATCTCTGTTTGCAGTTTCCCACTCCAGGAATTGGGGTTCGCATTTAGGCCGTCGTATTCTCATGTTAAGAGACAACATTGTCCCAAGCACATAGATGGCCAGTGGTAACCCAACACAACTTTCAACCAGTTCCCTGCCCAGCTCCTCCTCGTACGTGTTTGCCTTGGTGCTGGAACCTGCATTAATTAATTCATGTCAAATTTTAAGAAGAAAATCAATAAGTTAGCTACAGAAACACAAAAGAAAAATTAGTTAGGTTAATACCTGGATTGTCTCCTTCAAATACCGTTTTTAGAAATAACTGCCAACCCTCTTCTTCAGTTAAAAGCTTTGGCTCATGAATAAGAGCTTTTGGGTCTGCATGAGAAGCTACTTCTCGATTACGAGTTGTGAGCAATATTCTGCTGCCGCTGCTGCACCCCTTGACATTATTTCCACCAGGAGATGGAGATGGAAAGGCGTGGCATAGATGATCCCAGTCCTCAGTGGACCAAATGTCATCAACAACTATCAAACACCTCTTCTTTTTCTGAATTTGATAAACCCTTCTGGCAAGCTCAGCATATGGCAGAGCTCTAATATTAGCAACCCTTTCCTCATCAGATGATACATAGTTACTACTATAACTATTACTTGTAGTTAGGTCAATCAAAATAGATTCCCAAACATCCCTTGGTTGGCAATTTTCAGAGACATAAACCCACGCTAAGCAATCGAAACGACACCTAATTTGACTATGATTGTAAACTTTTCTGGCAAGAGTGGTCTTGCCAAGACCAGCCATGCCACAGATTGCCACAATTCTAGAGGGTGGTCTCGATGATCTAATTGTAGTAGCGGCTGGAGCAAGCTCTGCCACTAATGCCTTGATATCTTGTTCCAGCCCAACAGTGTCCTCCCAAAACCTATGGCAATAGCCCCACCTCGGGTCATTGAGTTCCTTTTCATTCAAACTGGCATTGTAGCTTTGCCTAATATGCTCATGGCCGCTAAGGTGATTAGACGACGGAGTTTGATCATGATGACCAAGGTTTGCTTCATCAATGACATTGGATGTCAAACAAGCATACCTTCTGAGCCTATTTACAAGGCCTTTGATCTTTGCCTTGCCTTTCGTCTGCATCCGCCTAATTAATTCGGTTTGCATTATGTACATATTGATAGATTTAGGGTTAATTTGTCTGAAGCAGAAACAATCCTTGTGTTATATAGAGGTGTGGGATCAGTACTCTCAATTACTTGGGCATCAAGTTTCCTATATTAGTAGTGAAGAATAAGGAGAACGACTATGTCGTGTTTAATCCATCTGGCTCCTTTAATTGTCCCGCATGTCCAAATCCAATAAGGATTTCGGCCAAAAAAAAGAATCCAATAAGGATTCCGATATTTATATATATATATATATATATATTTTTGGATTCGTTGAGATTTTCTACCGTAATTTGATTGTGTGACTTTTCTACTAGCCGTTGCTCATTAATGAGTAGGTTTACAAGCTTTGGCGCCAGAATTTTTGTCAATTTACTATTTGCCCGTCTTTTTATCTAAACTACCAAACTTTTTGACATAGAATTTTCTGGCTTTCCTTCTGAAAAAAGAAAAACAGGAAAACAGATTTTGTCTTTTTGGCAAGCCCGTGTATTGTAGATTAGCTAAAAGGGTAAATTCGCTAGGAAATAAGGTCTGTAATTCAGTGAAAGCACAATGTTAAAAGGTAAATGCGATAAATCCAGGTGAAAGAAGGATTATAAATCCCGGTGAGTAATTCAAATTTGTCCTTGTGGGTTTGGGATGAAGTTTTTCCTTGATCAATAAGGAAAGGGTTGCGATTATAAATTAATTCTTAGCATTGTTGTTCCAACTGCATCTCATCTCCATCTTTGTTTCAGAAATTGAAGATGGCGATGATGATGAGATTGGAAGATCATTTGAGAAAGAAGAAGTTGGTTGACGATTCCTTTAACCAAATTGTGGCAGAGGTTAAAGCACTGGCAAGAGACCCAGCAGACCCAGAAGAAGTATCCAAACTGCTGACAGAAAGAGTTGTGTTTGATCTCATTCATGAATTGCAAAGAAAATCCAAGGAAGGACAACAATCGAATGTTTCGATTTCGAACGAGAGAGAACGCATGGAAGCCCAAGTTGTGATCAAGAAGAGGAAGGTGGTTAGCACAGAGACTAAATATAATTACATTGATGAAAAAGTTGATATTGCTAGAAATTATCTTGAGAAAATTAAGAAGCGAGGTTTCGAAAGCAGGAAAAGGAAACATGGGGATGATTATGGTGATGAAGATGAAGCTAGCAAGTTGATACTGACGAAGAAGAAGAAGCAGAATAAGGAGAAGGCCAAGAAAGCAGAGAGCAAGGGATCATCTCTACCATCAAAACCCTCTACAACGCCTGACGCGCCTCCTATAGAATTGAAGAAGATGATTGAATCCATGAATGGTCACCACTTGCAATTTGTGATGTATAAGATAATTCATCCTACTGATTTGAATCCGCACCATGACCGTCTCTCGATGCCAAAGAATCAACTGTCTAACAAAAAGTTTCTGGGTAAAGAACTCAAGCAAAAATTGAAAGGCGGTGGATTATTAGAAGTGAAAGTAATAGATCCGTGTTTAACAGAGTACGAATTAAGGATGAAGAGGTGGGTCTTTAAAAACAACTATTCCTATGTGTTAAACAGTGGCTGGTCCAAGATTTTTACAGATAAGACTAATAACCTCAAGGCAAAGGATATGCTTCAGGTGTGGACATTTCGAGTTTCCGATCCCAATCTTGTCGACCAAGAACGCATCTGCTTCGCACTTGTTAAGCATAAAGATGTTAAAGATCCCCAGGAAGCTATTGGATCATCGTCGTCCATGAGCAAGAAAGAAGAAGGGAAAGAAGATGTTAATGGTGGTACTGACAGAATGGAAACTGTTGGAACGTCGATGAGCAAGAAAGAAGATGTTAATGGTAGCATTGCCCGCGGCGATGAAGCTAATGAATCATCCACGGCCAAGAACCAATCTGAGTTTGGAGCCAGGAAACATATCACAATCAAGTTTAGAAACATAACATTTGCAAAAATTGAGGCTGCTGTTCCTGTTGTATGAGGCTTGTTAAATTTGAAGGAGGGAGTTTTCTGTTCATGTTTTTTCTTTTTTGTAGAATTGTTTTCTGTGATTCATTGACAACGAAGGCAAAGTCATCTTTAACTAGTTAAGGTGCGATCTGTTAGATGAACTGAATTACACATTGTAAATGAATACAATTGAAACTTTCTCTCAAATATGATTGTGTATCATGAAAAATAATGATTCCTTAATCAGCATACTTCAAAATTTGAGGAAAAATGAATTAGTTCTCTTCTCATTTGTGCTGTCTGTAGACTTGGTTTTGATCAGAAGAGTTGTCTGAAGTACTCTTGCTAAAATATCCTTATCTCTCTGTCTGGCATTACGCTTCATATATCTTCGCAGTATAGTATCTTAGAACTCAAATGCTTGTGTTTTGATAGAGAAGAAGATCATTTCCTCCCACCCCCCCCCCCCCCCCCCCCCCCCGCTATTTAAGATTAGACTTCTTTCAAGGTTTCTCTTTGGTAAATATTAGATAAGCTTACACAAGTCACAATATTTTTGTGTTTTTTTTCTTTTCTAGAATTATATTGGAAAAAAAATGTACATTTTGCCAACAAATAAAAAGATAAAATAGATAAAAGCTCTACAAAGTTAAATACTAATACAAACTAAAAGAGCACGTGTGGGTGAACGCCTAAGTTAAAAGAGTAATGCTACACTTACCACATTTTTATCCCTCATTTCTATACCATATGATGTGGCATATCCATATTATATGCCACATTAATTAAATCAATTAAGTGTATTTTAATTAAGACAATTAGAAAAAACAAATATTGGAATAAATCATAAAAGAAAAAAAAATTGAAGTGATGTGGCTGTCCACCTCAATTGCCACATAAGATGGTATAAGGATGTGGTATACAAATGTGATAAGAGTAACATTATTCAAGTTAAAATCCCATTCCTTCTCGTAGATTAGATTAATTTAGATTATTATTTGTATAGAAAAATTAAAAGAAAAAATTATGTGTAATCGAGAAATGAAAAAGGAAGAAAAGAGAACTACTATGGGCCTAAGCCCAACTAGGTGATTGCTACTTCGCTTACGGTTGGCTTGCATACGGCAGGTGGGCTCTGCTCCAGTTATTGGCCTAATGGGTACAGTTGGAATGTAAAAGATTTTTTTGAGAAAAGAATTAAATATACGCGCTTTTGTATAGATGACGCGTCCAAATAAGTCAAGTTCTTTTTACTTTTTAGGTGGAACTCCTAATAAATTAACCCATACGACATCATTCTCGAATCTCAATCAGAGCTCCGCATCCCACGGCCCAGATCACTCCTCGTCCTCAACCCCACTTCTCCTCTCTGCTTTTATTTAAACCCCTCTTTGTGTCGCGTTGTCTCCTCTTCGCACCAGGACGACACAGCAACACAAATCAAACCAAAACCCGTTTCCAATTGTACAACGCACGCAAACTCCACAACCCAAGAACAAAAAAAAAAGGCACAAAGGCCAAGGGGCAGACCCGGACAGCTCGGGAAAGAGTGGGCCGTCCGATCGCAGTTGGATGGTAGTGATCGGGGGTGAGAAGGAGGTATCACGATGATCACGGTGCAGGGCGAGGCTCGCCAGCCCCAGGTGGTGGTTGGGGCGTCTAGGGCTCACTTCGGTGTCTCTCGCGATGACTCTTATGCGCCCAAGCCTGAGCCCTCGCCGCTCAGCTTGGTCCCCTTCAAATCTCATCACGATGCTCATGAAGGTTCCTGTTGTTGATCCCTTTTTTTTTTTGCTTGGAATATGAACCGTTGATTTTTCTTAATCAAACTTTCAAACTTCAATTTCCGTCTTTTTTGGGCGTTGCAATGAATGATGATTCTGGCGGTCGTAAATTTTTAGCTATGGATTTTTAGGGAAAAGCTATATATATCCAGATTTTAGGGTTAGGGTTTTCACATATTTTTCCCTATCTGGTTTGTTTGGGTTTTATTCCATCAGAGGCCAAACGTTGTGGGCTTTATGGTTTCGTGTTTGTTATACTTATACGTGAACGAAACTTATGGATGAAGGGATTTTCTGAAGCCATATGACGTGTTTTGTAGAATTATTTGAATTTCTTATGTTTGAGGCTAAATGATGATATTTTTTATTATGTAGTTGATGAAGATGCGCATTTGTCTCTGGCTCATCAAATGTACAAGGCTGGCAACTATAAAGAGGCACTAGAGCATAGCAAAATTGTATATGAGAGAAACCCGATTCGCACTGATAATCTCCTTCTATTGGGTGCAATTTATTATCAGGTTGAATTTTAATTCATTAACTGTAATTTTTTTAGTCCACTAGTTGGTTGCCATTCAATTGGTATTGGGACCCTAAAATCAATTAATATCTTGTTTGTGCTCCATTCCATTCAGTTGCATGAATTTGATATGTGTATTGCCAAAAATGAAGAAGCCCTTCGAATTGAGCCACACTTTGCTGAGTGTTATGGTAACATGGCTAATGCTTGGAAGGTAAGGTCATGAACACACAATTGCCTACTTTGACTCCTTCTATCTTTGTGGTTGAATAACTTTCCAGAATTTTTGAGTTGGTTTGGTCTTAATACAGGAAAAAGGCAACAATGACCTTGCAATTCGGTACTATTTGGTTGCCATTGAGGTTCGTATATGCTTGTATACCTGTTTTCTGATAAGTTATTCATGCTTTCCCTCAATTATTACAAAGGGATTAAATTGGATGCCAAATTTTCTTTTAATTTATAATTTTTTAGAGTTCAAGTTATTCTGTTTGGTTCTTGAATGCTTTCTATCTAGATGCCTTTTGTTTTTAAGTTCAAGTTATTCTGGTTCAGTTATTGAATAGTTTAGATGTCCTTGTTTTCTCATACTCTTCTGTAGTTTCTTGATCTCTTTTCTACCTGGCTGCAGCTTCGACCGAATTTCTGTGATGCTTGGTCAAACTTAGCTAGTGCATACATGCGGAAAGGAAGGCTTGACGAGGCAGCACAGTGCTGTCGTCAGGCACTTGCTTTGAATCCCCGTTTGGTAGGCTTTTATCTGGTTTGGCTTGACTATCTAAATGATGTTCTTGCTGTTCTTTCCTCTTATCCAAGGTTCCGTGCTATTCTGGATTCAATGATATCTGCAATCTGACTTGAATTGTAAATTGGCATACAGGTGGATGCCCATAGTAATCTTGGGAATCTAATGAAGGCAAGAGGATTGGTGCAAGAAGTAAGTCTTAGAAACAAATGCTTTTATTTTTTGGATTAAGTTTTAGTCTCTTTATGCACAATAGAAGCTAAGATCTAGATTATGATTTATAGGATATAGGTACCGTGTTGTGCTAGCACTGTGCTTTCTTTCCTTAGCTGCCATGCTGATTGGCTAGAACTGTGATAGTAGTGTGTCATTTTCTGTTATGATGACAGTGGGAATGATTCATTACAGACTTTTGTACTTAAGCCTGAGCTAGTACTCTAGTTAAATTCACCAGGCCCAAACTCTTCCCCTGCCCAGCCTGTGTCGGCTTAATAATATTGGTTTCCTCAACAGTCTACTGGAAGGACTAATTCCACTCCGCATTTAAATTTTAGTAATGTTTCTCCAGTAAAGTTACTGATGGAAATAATTCATGTGTGGAACTGTGTGTGAATTCACAGTTCAAACAGATATCAAGTTGTTATCCTCAAGCCAGGGCCCAGGGCTCAGATGATGGTCTTGTTGTAACTACCATCTCCAAGACTGCAAATAGTCAGAATCTAACCTTTTGTGCAGGCATACAGTTGCTACCTCGAGGCTTTACGTTTACAACCAAACTTTGCTATTGCATGGTCAAATCTCGCTGGTCTTTTCATGGAGTCTGGTGATCTTAATAGAGCCCTTCAGTACTATAAGGTATCATCATCTTGTGTTCACTCACTATTTCATTTTTCATACTGTTCGGATGCTGTTTTTGTTTTTAATCTTGTTTATATACATGCTATATTATACCTGCTCTGTTTCTGTTGCCTTAGAAGTCCATAGCTTATTGATGTTTTTCCATCATCATACTGGAGTGATATGGAATTTGGGTGTTAATGGGATGTGACTTATTTATGCTATTATGCTATTTACCCAGAAAGGTTCTTAAATTGTTTTTTTTTCCTTGGATAATTTCCAATCTCAGGAGGCTGTGAAACTCAAACCTGCTTTTCCGGATGCGTATCTCAACCTGGGTAATGTTTATAAGGTAAGCTGTCATGCGTAATGCCAGTAAGGTTGGATAGGTGCAAGTGGCTGGACTTGTATTGGAGAAAAACAAGAAATTTCTTTTGCCTTTTCCAGGCTTTGGGAATGCCTCAGGAGGCTATCGTGTGTTATCAGCGTGCTCTCCAGACAAGACCTAACTATGCAATGGCTTTTGGTGAGTAATATCTTGTCATGTCCTAGCCTTTTCATTTATTTATTATTCTTGACTTATCAGACTACTTTGTTATTGGCCCTTTCAAAAGAAATAAGATGAATTTTCTTTGACTGCAAATGGCGCAGGTAATTTGGCTAGTACGTATTATGAGCAAGGTCAACTGGAGTTGGCAATCCTACATTATAAGCAAGCCATTTCTTGTGATACAAGATTTTTGGAGGCTTACAATAATTTGGTCTGTTATCATATCCAGAATGTTGTTTTTTGGATTTGCAACTGCAACTTCCACTGACTTTGAATATTTTTTTTCCTTTTCCCATCATTTGAAGGGCAATGCTCTGAAAGACATTGGCAGAGTGGATGAAGCAATTCAGTGCTACAATGTAGGCTCAACTTGCTGTGTTAGGTTTTGTTTGAATTGCTTGCATATAATCTTCCATTTTACTTAACACTTTATGTGCCTGCATGCAGCAATGCCTTACTTTACAACCTAACCATCCACAAGCACTTACCAACTTGGGGAATATTTATATGGAGTGGTATGTGAACTTGAAGTACTTAAGAATCTTTATTTATGTTTAGACAATTAGTTTTGGATGATGATGCTTTTTTATATGCAGGAACATGGTGGCAGCTGCTGCTTCATATTATAAGGCCACGTTGACTGTAACAACTGGATTGTCTGCTCCTTTTAATAATCTTGCCATCATCTATAAACAACAGGTATTGGTTGCTTAATTATAGTTTTCCACTTTTATATGGATGCAAGAAGTGACCAACCCAATTGAGTGCGTGAGTTGTGACTCCAGAACAAGAGGCCCGATTTCTAGGATTAAGATAGAAATAAAATCCAAAAAGAGAAGAATAAGAATTGTATGAGCACAGTAGTCCAGTTTTTCCTAGTTGAATTGCTAAGTTGTTTCTCTATCACCTTCTTCCAGTTCTAATCCGTATTATGCATGCTTCCATCACAGGGGAATTATGCAGATGCAATATCTTGCTACAATGAGGTTCTTCGCATTGATCCATTGGCAGCTGACGGGCTTGTCAATAGGGGGAACACATACAAAGAGATTGGTAGAGTCAGTGAAGCTATTCAGGACTACATACATGCTATATCTATCCGGCCAACTATGGCTGAAGCTCATGCAAACTTGGCTTCAGCTTACAAGGATAGGTATGGCTACTCCAGTTTTTACTGTCAGTAATCTTATTTGTTTATACTGTTTGGTATCCCATATGAAGAATAAATCCTGTACTGAAGCTCTTTAGGATTTCGATGATCTTGGGCGGATGGAAAGAATAGGATCTTCCAGGTTTCTGGGGACAGCCAGTTTAGCCCAACACAAAGTGGAATTTCCTTGGGCATTCTCTTTCTTATTTTGACCCTCTTAATTCAATTCCTTTTATTCTGTTATGGATGGTATTGAAAATATGCAATCCATAGTAAGCATTGCCCTTTGGGAAGAAACATTTTCTTTCATTCTAGATGAAGGGCATTTCATCTTTGGAGACCTAACAAACTCCAACTTGGTAAATTTTAGTTCAGTAGAGAAAGCAAGATGCCTTTGATGGATGAGGAAAACCATCACAGCCATATTTGTGGAACTAAAATTTCGTGAACTCATATATCTTGCAGTGGACATGTGGATGCTGCTATTAAGAGCTATAAACAGGCATTGCTCCTTCGACCCGACTTTCCAGAGGCAACTTGTAATCTTTTACATACATTACAGGTACTATCTGAACTCAATGTCAGTGGTGAAGAGATTTGACAAAAGTTCTTAGTGTTTTTAGTTTGGATGTAAAATTTGAATAAATATAAATTGTGCTTATTAAAATATGTATTTGGTGCATTAACAGCTCTGTCCATGTTGATATGTGTTCAAAACTCAACAGAAATGTGCACGGATAAACATGCCTATACTGTTTGAAATTCTTGGTGTTACGTATCCACGATTATAGAGTTGCCCTTATATTGGTTGATTTAGACTACATAGGGATGAATACTTCATGCATGGATCATATGGACTATATGAATGTCTTGTGTTGGTTGCAATGCTGTTGAAATATTTTTTCTTTACATATAAACTAATTGAATATGAATGTATATTCTAGTGTGTATGCAGTTGGGAGGACCGTGACAAAATGTTTTCTGAAGTTGAAGGCATTATCAGGAGGCAGATTAATGTTAGTTTTCATATGTCATAAGTATAGTCTTATTTCTATTCAAAAAAATAAGTATAGTCTTATTTCAATCTGTCTCATTATCACTATACCCTGCTTAGAGTTACTTGAATGCTACTTTCTTCTCATTTCAGATGTCTCTTCTGCCTAGCGTGCAACCTTTCCACGCAATAGCGTATCCTATTGAACCAATTTTGGCACTTGAAATCAGGTATAGTTCGTATGGTCAGTATTTTTGCAACAGCAGGTAACCAGCAGGACTGAATTATTAAATCTCATTCACCATTTTGTCTTCTATATTGCAGCCGTAAATATGCTGCACACTGCTCCATAATTGCATCCCGATTTGGACTTTCTTCCTTCAACCATCCTGCTCCGATTTCCATAAAGCGCAATGGTGGACCTGAGAGACTAAGGGTTGGGTATGTTTTGACTGGATGTGCTTGAGGTTAATCTCTTTATTTGTTGTGTCTCTACTTTTGGTTAACTGTATGAGCATCTTTTTTTATTTGCAGATATGTAAGTAGTGACTTTGGTAATCACCCTTTGTCACATCTTATGGGATCTATTTTTGGCATGCACAATAAGGACAATGTTGAGGTTTGTAATTTTGTACTCTTTTGGTTTTAGGTTCCATCTGTGTCATTACTTTTTTTTTTTTTTTTTTTTTTTTTGGTCACATACTACCTGTTTGATTTTTTTGGGTCAAATACTACCTGTTTGAACTAAGCGTACTCTTATATAGGTTTTCTGTTATGCCTTGAGTGCAAATGATGGAACGGAATGGAGACAACGTATCCAGTCTGAAGCAGAGCACTTTGTGGATGTGTCATCTTTGTCATCAGATATGATTGCCAAAATGATTAATGAAGATAAGATACAGATCTTAATTAACCTTAATGGTTATACAAAGGTATACCTCGTCAGTTGATATTTTGTTTCTCAACCTTAAAATCTTCTTTGGGGAGGTGTATTGTAAGCATTACTTGGACCTAGAAAATTTGCATATTCATTTTTCGAGTTATTTGGTTATAATTATTGTTGGGGAGTTAATACTACTTCAATTAGTTTTTTCTTTTTCTTTTTATATTTTATTCGGTTTCTAATGATCTACTTTGTTACCTATGTCTGTTGTTACTTGTTGGAATGACTTGATGGTACTTTAATCATGCAGGGGGCAAGAAATGAAATATTTGCTATGCAGCCAGCACCTATTCAGGTTTCATATATGGGTTTCCCTGGTACAACGGGGGCAAATTACATCGATTACTTGGTCACTGATGAGGTTTGAATTGGGCCACCTTATGTCTTGAATGGCTTAATGTTGTTGTCCGTACTTGTCTGACGTGCTGTGTCTTTGCTTTCAGTTTGTTTCACCTTTACGCTTCTCGCATATTTACTCTGAGAAGCTTGTTCATCTCCCGCATTGCTACTTTGTGAATGATTATAAACAGGTCAGTATTCTTTTAAATAAGCAGATTATAGAAAACCTCTCTAGTGTTTTGTTATTATATTTAATTTGAGGGAAGGTACATGACACCTGAATGACCTATTAATTTTGTGTTCAGAAAAATCAAGATGTATTGGATCCAAGCTGTGGGCACAAGCGATCAGATTATGGTCTGCCCGAAGATAAATTTATATTTGCATGCTTCAATCAGTTGTACAAAATGGATCCTGAAATCTTTAATACTTGGTAATATCAAGATGTTCCTCCCTTCATATCCATAGGTGCAATTCCTAAAGAAAGAATTCTACGAGTGCACATTGTACCTAATTTGGCACCTCACAAGTTTTTTTGTGTTTTAGGTGCAACATTCTTAAACGTGTGCCCAACAGTGCACTCTGGCTCCTCAGATTCCCAGCTGCAGGCGAAATGAGACTTCGTGCATGTAGGTGGAATGGTTTACTAATTGATAATGAATTGATCCCGTTCCTTTAAACCTCTACTAGTTTATAATGACATTTTACCTTTCAGTCTGAAGTAAAAACCATTATTTTTATTCGTGATATTTGTTTACTTATTGGACTTTGTTCAGATGCTGTTGCTCAAGGGGTGCAGGCAGACCAAATCATCTTCACAGATGTTGCCATGAAAGGCGAACATATCAGGCGCAGTGCATTAGCAGATTTATTTCTTGACACGTAATCTTTTGACCTTGATTCATTTAAAATCATAAGGCTCTCTTTTATTCTTTCTATGCAATAACCTAAGAATTTTCGTTTTTGGGATTTTTTGTTTTAGGCCTTTGTGCAATGCACATACAACAGGCACGGATATTCTATGGGCAGGCTTGCCCATGGTGACCCTTCCCCTTGAAAAGATGGCAACCAGGGTTGCTGGGTCACTGTGTCTTGCCACTGGACTGGGAGAGGAGATGATTGTCAGCAAGTATTTGCTCTGCCCTTTTAACTTTATGAAATGCTTATTTCTGCAGGCTTTGTTTTTATGTCTTCCATCAGACGCTTCTTTCTTCAATATAATGGTGCATGAGTTAACAATTTTATTTTCATGTTTTGACTTTCTATAGTATGAAAGAGTATGAAGAGAAGGCAGTATCTCTGGCATTGAATCCCCTGAAGCTCCATGCTCTTGCCAACAAGCTGAAGGCAGCCCGACTGACTTGTCCTTTGTTTGACACAGCACGCTGGGTGAGTAGTTTATGTTGTACCTTCAAAATTGTTTGTATCTTCAAACTGTTGTCTCATATGCCTTCCTAAATGGAAAAGAAAAGAGCAGCTTAGTAATCTTTTGTAACAACACTTGTTGCAGGTGAGGAATCTGGAAAGGGCTTATTTTAAAATGTGGAATCTGCATTGCTCAGGCCAGAAGCCCCAGCATTTCAAAGTTGCCGAGAATGATTTAGAGTTCCCCTATGATAGATAGAAGAGAGAAATTAGACGGGATTGTAGATAATTTAGGAGAGAAACAAGATAGGGAAGTTACTTCTATGGATTAGGAAATTCATAATTATCCAGATGATGATCCTTGACGTGTTTCTAGTTGATGGAGATCTTGCTTAACGAAGCATTATTCTCTCTCTCTCTCTCCCCCCTTCTTTCTGTTCCCCTCCTTGTATCATCCCCCACCTAATCATGTGATTTGTACTCCTGTTAAATAATGGAGATAATGGTCATTTGTGCAGATTATCCGCTGGGGTCTTGATCTGTTCATTGTGGTCTTTGTGCCGTGCGTTTGCTAATAGAGATAAGGCTTCAGCTGTGTATGTTAATACTTGTGTGTTGATTGTATCATTGACATCGACTGTTGTATCATTAATGGTAAGGTATTGGTCCCATCTGCTTTTACCCCTCTTTTCGGTTATAAATATGCTCTTATGCCTCTGATAACATTAAATTGGACGAGGGTTAGTTAAGCTGTGGTACATCTTAGAGGGAGATGAATGGTATACATGAACAAATTATCAATTTATGAACAGAAAAAAACATTAGGGGATAAATAGCAAGGGACTCGTCTCAATTATACGAATAAAATCAAAAGGCTAGGTCAAGCCCCTAAGCATGCATCAGCAGCACATGCGCTGCGCCCATGTGCCATGAGAGGGGCATTTTCATCTAATTCACCAAAAGATAATAAAATGATCAATGGCGGACAGTTCTGATAGTTGGAACTTACTTGGTCCCGTTGAATTCACTAACCTTCTTGCTGTCGTGTTCTCAAAGCAGTCACACTGTTGTTGAGCATCCAAATTGACTGAAACGCGATGTTTGCTAATCAAATGCCTGTTGTGTACTAATGCTTGGCCTCATTGAGCATATAAAGCAGTTATCAAAGTTTGCATATTGAACAGAGAAATGCAATCTTTTCAATATCATTTCTTCCTCGATCAAATACACCTGCTCCATGGTTTCTACCTCCCCGCTTTTTTATCATACTCGGGAAGCAGTGCATATTGCAACGCCATCATTGTCATATGCTTCAAACAGCAATAAACTGTCATCACTTAACATCGATCAAGTTGAAACATCATGTGCCCCGGAGAGAAACTTCCAATTGTTCAATCCTCTTAGCCATATCATGCTTCCCACAATTCTTCAACCCATCAGTAACCAAATCAAAGCACCGCGAAATCGGCATCAACCCCATCTCAGTCATTTCCACCAAGTAATTAGCAGCCTCAACAAACCTCCCTCCGCGCCCAGACATGGTGATCAGCATGGTATATACAGGCCTGTTTGGGCGATGCCCCTTAACTTTCATCTCACTAAAAAAGCAGAATGCATCATCAAACTGACCCCTCCTGCACATCCCCTTGATTATAGGCGCATACAAGCTTGGAAATGGCCTATGCCCGTCCTCGATCGAATTATGCAAAAGCCTAAATGCATCATCTATCCTACCCACCTTTGAAACCGCAGGTATCAACACCTTGTAAGTATTGATATCAGGACAAAGCCCCAAACCATTTGCTTCCCAATACAGATCAATGCAAAACTCAACCTCCCCAAATTTACAGATAGCCTCCATCAACGAATTGAAAGTAGAAACATCAGGAACAAACCCTTCCTTAACCATTTTCCTTACCATTTCTTTAGCAGCCTCAATGTAACCGGCATTCAGCAACCCTTCGACGAGAAGATCACGCCCTCGAACCGGCGGATTAAATCCTTTACTGCTCATCTCCTCCAAGAACAATTGGGCCTCCCTCATTTTCCCATTGGAGCACCAAGCATTCACCAAAATCGAATAAGTCCTCTTATCCGGGACAAGCCCTTTTCGTATCATCCTTCTCACCAAAGCATAAGCAGCATGAAAGAGCTTAGCTTGGCAAAGCGAGAAGAGCAGAGCATTGTATACCTCCACGGTCTGCAAGCAATTAAAGGTTTTGGGGGCTCGGTTGAAAAGCTCAACGGCCTGGTCAACAAGGCCGTGGTTGCCATATTCTTCGATAACGAAGCAAAGGGTTTCTTGAGAGAGGGTTAAGCCGTGATGGGTTTGCATAGATTGGAGGAGTTTCCACATTGACTCGTACTTCTTGGTGCGAGCCAGCGTCTTCACCAGCTCTTCGAGCTCTAATGTCGTGGGGTGATAGGTGGGGTGGTGGGTCCGGGCCCAGTTGAAGAATCGGAGTGACTCGGTGCCTGCAGCTGAGCAGGAGCGAAGGACTCGGTAGACGAGTTCGGAATCGACGGTAATGCGAAGCTTGTTGAGTGTGCGCTCCATGAAGTGGTCGCGCCGTACGATGTTGGTAATGTGTTGAATGGCTGAGAAGTAGTCGTCCTTGGTGGGGACGACGCGGTTTTGTGGAGCGGCATTGACGGTGGCGAGGCGGCGGAGGAGGACGCAGTGCGTTTGGGGTTTGGAGCGGTGGAGAAAGAAGAGCAACGAGTTCTTGGTGGAAGCCAACATACGTTTTGTCATTCGATTCGAGTTATTTGCGAAAATTGAGTGATTTAGAACAGAAATGAAGTGAGAATAGTCAATAATGCCCTTTTGTAATCTAGTAGGGTAAAAACGGCATTTTATATTTAGCCTAATTCTCGAACTGACCCAAGCTCTGTTGTCAAATTCGAAAGTATTACTATTGGCAAATTGCCAAGGGATCCTTTTGCAGTTAAGGACATAATTTAGATGGTGCCACGTTGTAAATGAATGAACGATGGTATACGACGTCGTCGACTGGTGTTCTTCAACCTCCCAACGTCCAAATAAAAAAGAAAACGGAAGGCCCTGCAATCTGCCTCATTCCATTACCGCGGTCTCAGCTCTCGCTTCTTTCAAGCTGAAACGAAGCAAACGACGTAACAGTAGATTCAGCATCGGGTAACTCTCTCTCTGTCTCAGTTGAACTTGTAAAGCTAAAAGACACTGTCGTTAGCTTTCTAGGGTCGTAAAACAAGCTAAGATTTGTTTTGGCGGTTTGAAAATGGTTGGTGAAATATTTACTGAGATTGTGGTTTAATTCATGAAATCAATAGCAACGTAACAAAAAGAAATTAATGAAATTACTGAGATCTTGTTAGGAACTTCTGACCCCTGTTTTTGTATTGCATCAGATAATATTTCAGACGGAAATTTTGTCAATTTTGAAGGTGGAGCTTTGTTAGAATCTGCCATGAACCGTCCTCCTGCTCAATTTGCCCACCCATCCTTCACTCTCATTCCCTCAAATCCTAATCCTAACCCCAACTTCTTCCACTCTCAGCCACAAAACACACAACCTGCAATCCCCACTCCTCCTTTGCCTCCTCCTGACCTTTCTATCACAATCTCATCTCTCGACAGTCTCGTTCGCGACTCTTACCAGACCCTTGACTCACTTTCTGCTCTCCTCCCTCTCGAAAACCCAAATTATAACAACCCTCAGAGTTCCCTCATCCCCTGCCCTTTCAACCCCCACCACCGTGTGCAACCTCACTCCCTTTTCTCCCACTCCCTCCACTGCCCATCTCATCCTCACCCTCTCCCGCACCTCAATTACCCCGAAACTCTCAAATCCTCTGACCAATCTCAAACTGAAAAAAGTTTTCTCCAAACTCTTCATGGCTCAGAGGCTGACCTGTGCTTGTCTTTGGAGCATTATTATGCAGATTTTGGTTCAAATTTCTTCTACAGTGACTGCCCTGGTGTTGTTAACTTTTCTGGTCTGGATGGTGTCAACAGAATGTTTACACTTCCATTGATTTTGTCTGTTGAGTGTGCAAATTTTATTGGTAGAGGAGAGAGAGAAATTATGGATTTTGAGAAAGAGTGGGGTAGAATTCTTCCATCTGAGTTGTGGGCTATTAAAACCGAAGTTGAGGGCTGGAATGAGTTTCCTTTTACATACTCGTACCGCGTTCTTTGTGCCATTTTGGGGTTGGGTGTGGTTAAAGAGTATGATGTAGGCACATGGATAATTGCAAATTCACCACAATATGGCATTGTGATTGATGTGGCCATGAGGGATCATATATTTTTGCTTTCCAGGCTGTGCTTGAAGGCTATTTTAAGGGAGGCTTTAAGTAAGGTAAAGGAGGGAGATCCAGAAAGTACACATTTTGAGTGTCCCACTTTGGTTCAAGCTTTGATGTGGCTAGCCTCTCAGCTTTCCATACTGTATGGTGCACAGAATGGGAAATTATTTGTCTTAAACGTCCTTAAGAAATGCTTATTAGATGCTGCACTGGGCTCCTTAACTTTCCCATTGGAGCAACAGGTGACAGAGTATCCTGCTTTAGAAGAGGGTTCGTTGAATTTGGATGCCAATGGCAGTGGTGTTAGGGATGCTGAAGTTATGAAACCACTAACTACAGATGGTGGAGGGAATAGCATGGTGAAGGAAAACATTATCAGTAGGGTGGTATTTGTGTCCCAGGTTGCAGCAGCCGTTGCAGCATTGCATGAGAGGTTCTTGCTAGAAGAAAAACTTAAGGCACAACGGGTTTCACAAACCTTTACTAGATATCAACGGTATACCACTTTGCTCAATTTCTTTTTATATTCAGCTTGCTTTCAGGTTTGCTTTTAGCCTGTTGAATATCTAGTTGAAGCGTATAACTTTTATAAAAGAAAAGGGAAAGAAAAAAGGAAATGCAGTAATTGAAAATGCTCCCTTAATTAAACTTTGTCAAGGTTTATGCTTGTCAATCTAAAAGTAAATATATCACTGCTCATGCACCCTAAATTCATAAATGGGTTAACATGTTGACTGTTGGTATTGGTGGCCCTCATCTTATTGCTTCTCCACTTATGATCGCAGATCTGTCTTGTCTTTAATTTTTTCTCCAAATCCTTCTGAATGGTGTCCTTAGGCACTCCAACGTTTGTTTCTGCTGCATGTAAACAAGATTTCTGGATGTCTCGAAGGGTATATGGCAATAACGGGAAGAACATACACTTAGCCAACACCCACCAAAAACTACAGGAGATCAATAGAAACAGATATTAAACAAAGGGCTTTATAAGAAGCATTAGTAATTGAAAAGGGCAGGGATCTGCCACTGTTACAAATCACCATATAAAGCTTTTGTAAACCAGCCGATACTTTGTTGTTTGGAGCAAACTGTCTCTTTGTCAACATTTGTTCCAACTAAGTTCTTATGTCACTTACATTGTTTGACAGATATACTGATTTTTGTGTTGCTTAATAAATGCTAAGTTTCTCATGTTTCCCTCTTTACTTGCAGGATGGTTGATCATGATTATGTGTCACAGAGAGCTGATGAGGAGCGGAAAAACCGAAGTCAGTATAGACCTATTATTGACCATGATGGGCTCCCTTGGCAGCAATCATGTAACCAGGTACCAGATAATAGCATTATTCCTAGACAAATTAACAGGGACATGATACTTGTATTCTTCTCTAGTGGGAACTTGTAGGGTAATTAATTACATATTTTCAAGTTTGCAGAAATTGGTTTCTAACCGGAAACTACTACATTATAGTCAATTTCTTTTTGAACTTGATTTAATCTCTACTTCATAGTGGTTTCCTACCTTAACTCTCACTCTGTCTCAGTAAATATATAAGTTTTTCAGAAAGTGCCGAGAGGTGCAATTCATGTTTGTAAAGATAGCAAAACATACAAATTTAAGACTAAGAACACTTCGAATGTAAAGGAAGGGAACTCACAACTTGCCAATATACATGTGAAATAGATGCGGATACTTGACTAACCCTGCTGGGGGTTTAGGACTTTTTCTTGCCATTATTATTAAGTAAATGGTTCTCAGAGAGATCTGAAATAATTGAAGCGGTAGAGAGATTTATCTCATCATGATTGAAGATCTTGTCTCTTGTAGTGGTAAGTGCATTTACAGTATGGCTGTAATTAGCTGAAGAATAAACCTAGTGATAGCCTGAAATTCCTGTAATTTGGTTCTTCATGCTTGATTATATGATGCTGTAATCAGATCGTTATCTTGAATCTAACTTCTTAGAAATAAATTTGGTTATAAAGTACAGGTTGTTTTCATTCTTAAATCTCACAAATTCTTTCTTCTTTGTTGGTTTTACACAAGGAAACAAACAAGACTAAGACTAGAGAGGAGTTATTGGCAGAAGAAAGAGACTACAAAAGACGAAGAATGTCATATCGTGGAAAAAAGGTGAAGCGAACAACTTTGCAGGTAAGGCTTAGGTTTATAATTTTACTTTTGCAACTAAAGAAAAATCACACCAACATATTTTCCCCGTTGAAGCATGGATGCCAACAGTTTTCCCCCCTTTTTTATTTTATCAACAGTTGACATTTACTTTTATATTTTCCAAAGGTTATGAGGGATATTATAGAGGAGTACATGGAGGAAATCAAGCAAGCTGGAGGGATTGGGTGCTTTGAGAAAGGAACTGAAGGGGAAGGGAGCTTTCCATTTGAACTACCATCAGCTCCTGAAATCACCACCGATGCTGAAAAGCCAACAAAAAGCAATTATGACTCAGCGGGATGTAGCCCAAGTCATAGCAGGAAACAGTCCCATTCTAGTTATTATGCTATTGATTCTGCAACATCCAGGGATGCTTCTGCCAAAGGTAGCGAAAAACCAAGACGGAGTCTTCAGGGACACCATCACTATCTAGAAGATCATAGAAGTGACAGTAGGGACAGACATGATATGGTGAAACATTCCAGAAGTCCAGAGAGTCGCAGAAATCCTGGATGGGCACATGGACAGATTCGTCATCACAGGGAACGAGATGATCTGGAGGTGAGAAAGACCAAGCACCGTGAAATCAGTCAGTCATCTTCTAGCATATCCAAGTATCGTGATAATAGATCATCTTCTCAGTCGAATTTGGGTGAGAATTCAAAAGTTAGAAGGGATAGGTACACATATGAGAATCATAGTTCAAACTCTGTGGTACAAAATACTTTTGAGGATAGATATGATCCTTTAATATCTCGTGACATATATGAAGAGGATCTTTCTACTAACAGAAAATATGCTAGAGCGGGCAGATATTCTGAAAAAGAGAAAAGTGCTGACTACCATTAGAAATCTGAGTGTGATGTGGGTAAGTTATTCTTGGATTTTTTCTATGTACTTGTATTATGCTCATACCTGAATTCGAAAGTGACCTTTTCTTTGTGACATGGTTTATTGAAAAATTTTTGCAGCACGAAGTCATCAGGCTTCAACAATTTTAACTTCATCTGTATCCTCCTTTTGTATCCTTGAATTTTTTATTATTATTTAAATTTCTTCCCTCATTCTCGTTCTGAATATATCAAAACATTGCTCGTACTGGTTATTCCCGTAGTCATCATGATTTTTTACCCTCGTCAATTAGCATCATGGTATCAGTTGAGACTGATATCCTGTTCTCTGTTTCTTTGCATTAAAGCTTAATGTGTCTAAAATAATATAAATCCTTACGGAAGGAGAGCAAGGTCATTGGCTTAGAGAGGCCGCAGTACAAGATCCCAATATGCAAATAAGGGTAAACAGGTTTGTTGTTGGATTGCAGAGCATAGCATCATTATATAGATTTTACAATCTCTGTAATTTTCATTTGGGAAGCTTTCATCTCCGTCGCTCTCTCCCCTGGTTCCTCTTTTTGTTAGTTGAATAACTTGCTTTCTACTCTGGTTTTATGGTATACAGCAATACCTGTCATGGTTGAAATTTCTTATAGGCTTGTCCCTTTGCTTGTAGATACGAGAATTCCCACAGCTTCTGGTAGAATGCTAAAGAAGTTCATGAAGGATTGCGGATGAAGCATGGTACCAGCACTTTGACCGTTATTTCGATGCAACAGTTTTTGCTCATATAATGCCGTTCTGTTATGATTCCCATGAGTTTATACAAATCTGAGGAAGTGCATATGTAACTCCTAGGTTCTTTTTACCCCATTGCAATATGCTGATGGAAGAAGAATGTTTGTCATGTAAACATCCAGATAAACAACAATAAAGATGGTTGATACTTACTAACACCCACCCGGTTCTCCTAAAAAGTTGTTTTATGGTTGTTACTAAGGTTAGGTTTAGTTTATCAGTTTAACCACAAGTTTCACATTTTTTTTTTTAATGGAAACCTTTAAATGAGGCGCAAAGAACAGTGGTTTGACTTTGTATTTCCAAAAGAACTGAATAGTTGTAACCTGTTCGTCTTTTTCAAATTTTTTTTTTTTAGTGGGTATGACTAAAGCGTGTTTTCAATAAAGTATTTAATTAATTAATTAATTTAATGGATACAGATACGTTGCAGAATATGGAGATGAATTTCCAAAACTATGAACGATTTTACATCATGGGTGGCAAGCAGTGGACACAAAAGGGTTATTTATTCAAACTTTCATATATTTGGTGAGAGTAAAATTAGTTTCCATTAAGTAAGTAATTTATACATCTTAGTTCATCATCCAAACAAAAGTTACATGAAAAAATAAAATAAATAAATAAAAGATACAGAAGTTATGTAAAGTTACCAACTGGGCCCTTATAAAGTTGTATAATTTCCTTTTGGCAAACAGTTGATGGTAGATACCAACCACACCTGGAACTGACAAAGTACATATTGTTAGGAGGACTACTCTTACAACATGTGCCCGTTGAAACGGAATTTTGCGTGTCATAATATTTCTTCAAAGTCACACACACAGAAAACAAAAAATTCTCAAGAAAGAAAGAGAAAAAGAAACAGAGTATAGGCAGAGACACACTCTGCTGCTCTCTCTCAGTGCTCTGGCTCTGGGTCTCTCTCTCTCTCTCTGACAGATGATGAAGCAGCCCACAATTCTCCACGTTTGTTTCTCTTTGACAAACCCATTCATCTGAACCCAAAATAATCAGCAATCCTGATCTCCATTTTTCTTCTTGTTTTGTCTTTCGCAAATGGCCAGGACAGGTGTCTTGGAGGAGACTGAGACTGAGACTGAGACTGAGACTGAGACTGACTCGTCTATGGTGGCAGCAAAGGCCATGGAGGTAAAGAAGCAGTTGGAGAGACTGGTCAAGGCCATTGTTGATGAAGATGACTACAGGGTTGAGACTGCTGATGAGGCTATCAGAGCCTTGTCTTCTTTGAAGGGCTTGAAGCTAAAAAAGTCTCTGTCGTTCAAAATTGATGGCCATGGCAATCTTCTTGATGTTCCTGAAGACTTCAGATGTCCCATCTCTGGAGAACTCATGAAGGACCCTGTTGTCTTGGCCACTGGACAGGTTACAATTTCTTATCTTTTATCTCCCTTTGATTTCTTTTAGTGTATATTTCTTTCATTTCGATTTGTCTTGAATTTTCTTTGCCGCTATTTGGATTTTGATGAGTTCCTGGGCAATTTGAATATGCATGCAAGAATTTCATGGGTTGGAGATTTTGATTATTGTTAATCTTGGGCTTTGCGTCTTTTTTCCGCTTTCTTTGGTATCAATATCATCAATTCTGAATACTTTTGGAGTTGGGTTTTGAAGAATTTTTTGGTTCTTGTATTTCTGCTTAATCTCTCAAGGCCAGACTTGAATTGTGTTTCCAGGCTTCAGAACCCCAATTCCACACTAACAAATGGACAGTCGGGTTAACTTTAATAATTTGTTCTGTGGTTTTTCTTTCTCATCGTGTTCTGTGATTCCTTTTGCCCTTCGTTTCATTGCAGAGGACCTGTTTGGAGAATATGTTTGATCTCAAGAGTTTTCTAAGTTTAAAAGAATCTTGTCAGTAATTCACATGCTGTCATCCTCCATTATAATGAGAGAAGAAGAAAGTTGTTTGATAGCGACTACATCGGGAAAAAAAACCTGTAGTCATTCTTTGAATTGCTTTCATTGATTAAATAGGGATTATTGCCTGAACTGAACTTCTAAGGTGAACTGTGATCATAAAATCTAGATGTATGTCTCAAACCCCAGTATGACAGCTGGGTTTCCTATGTCCTACCAACCCTTAATGAGTTATTTGTTCATGAAAAAGGAAACTTCATAAAGAGCGAGAGGAATCGATGAGGTTTTTACTATCTTTCACGGCACAGCCCAATTTTGGCAGGTGCTGACACTGCAAAGTCGATATAGAACAACTAACTACGCATCACATTTTGTTGCATTTATGAATTATTTAGGATCAAATCACCGCTGCCTTTGTGCTACAATTATGGTAGTATCATTTGAAATCTCACCTTGAGTTCATGCAGTTTCTTATAATTTCTACTTCTCTAAATGAACTGCAGACTCACTGTATTACATATTTTTATTGGATTACAGACTTATGACCGGCCATTCATCCAGAGGTGGTTGAATGAAGGCAACCGAACATGCCCTCAAACAAAACAAGTCCTCTCTCATACTGTCCTTACCCCTAATCATCTGGTTCAAGAAATGATTTCACAATGGTGCAGGGAGCATGGAATGGAGCTTCCAAAACCTGTTCAGGATATTGATGAGGAAGTTGTCACCAATGCAGACCGGGGATATCTAAATTCATTGCTTCAGAAGATGTCATCATCCATATCTGATCAGAAAGAAGCAGCAAAAGAGCTTCGATTGCTAACAAAGCGAAGTTCACCATTTCGGGCACTTTTTGGTGAGTCTATTGAGACCATTCCACAATTGCTCAGTCCACTTTCACCGGGCCAGGCTGATGCTGATCCTGATCTTCAAGAAGATTTGATCACTACACTATTAAACCTTTCAATTCATGATAATAATAAAAGATTGGTTGCAGAGCATCCCTTGGTCATCCCTCTGCTTATTGAATCCTTAATATCTGGAACCATTCAAACGAAAAGCAATGCGGCTGCAACTTTCTTCACATTAGCAGCCATTGATTCCAACAAGATTATTATAGGAACGTCTGGTGCTCTCAATCCTTTGATTGACCTTTTAGATGAGGGGCATCCACTGGCCATGAAAGATGTTGCTTCAGCCATATTCAGCTTGTGTAGTGTTCTTGAAAATAAAGGAAGGGCCATCAATGCTGGAGCAGTCAGGGTAATTCTGCAGAAGATAATGGATCGCGTGTTAGTTGCGGAGTTGTTGGCTATACTTGCTATGCTTTCTAGCCATCAGAAGGCTGTTCAGGAAATGTGCGAGCTTGGCACTGTATCTTGCTTGTTTGGCATCATAAGGGAGAGCGATTGTGAGCACAACAAGGAGAATTGTATTGCAATCCTTTACACCATCTGCTTTGCTGATCGGACCAAATTGAAGGAAATTAAGGAAGAGGAAATGGCCAATGGTACAGTTTCCAGACTTGCAAGGACCGGGACTTCGAGGGCCAAGAGAAAGGCCAGTGGAATTCTTGAGAGGCTGAATAAGACTGGCTCAATAACGCACACTGCTTGATGGAAATGAAACTTTTCGTCTTGTTTTTTGCTCTCTTCCCCAAAAAGGTATCATCCCATCACCCATGTAAATGTCCTTTCTATATCTGGTCGCTATACAGACTCCATTACCTGTACAAAAAAAGAAAAGAAAAAAAAAGGGGTTTCACAGATTTGTACACATTACTTGAGTTGATCTCCTAGGCAAGTTTTAGTCCATTTCAGGTATATAGACACATGTAAAGGTCGTTGGAACTTCACCTCTCTTTGGTCACAAAAGAATTCATAACTGGTATATTTTTCTATTTTCTGACTTGTCCAGTTTGAAATGCCAACATGTGTAGTTTGATTTGGATTATTTGATTGAATTAATGATGATCATACTTGGCTTTGCTGAATTACAGGACCTGTGGCCTGTAGGGTCTCCAGTCCATTGTTTTGTTTAAGAGTGTCGGCAAGGCTGACCACCAAATTGCTTAACCCCCCTTTATTTAATACACCAGTTAAGCAGTGGATAAAGTACTAAACCAGAATTATAAAGCTTGATAATGACATATTTGGACGGCGCCATGAGATTTACAACTTTAATTATAAAAGAAGGGGAAAAAGCAAATTAAGCGCAGACTGATGCTGAAATCTAGTATTTCATGCTGCCTCTGACTCGTCATTCCAATAACGTACCTTTCTCAACATTTTTAATAATATTTCCTTGAGCGAAAAAGAAGAATTCATAAAATCTGCAATGGACTTTTTACTTGACGGTAGGTGAACTACTATTTAAAATAATTTAATTTAATGATGTTAACACCGAGTGAAAGGAAGCGGCTGTATCTATGTATACGAAATAGACGATTTGAATCAGTGAAATACAAAATACAATGCGGCTGTATAAGTTCATTTGTCTTTATTTATTTATTTATTTATTATTATTAGAAACTTACAACCACTGCGTTACTTGCGAGGCCTAATTTTCCAACTACCTCTGTTTACATGCTTAGAAACACTCTGGTTGGGCACAGTAGTGTACAAATATTAATTTGTTTTTATTTGTTAGGCATAAGTTTGTTGGAAATTAAACTATCCGCATGATTTTTTATTAATGGATCATTAACAAATATCAACTTTTCCAACAACTTGTTGTCCCTTCCTATCGTCAATGGGTAGGCTAGATATGTATAGTTATTCACTCAATAGCATTACTTTGAGGAGCCATGAATTTGAAAGACAGTACACGGTCCACAATGCACAACGTTCATGACATGACAGTGGGTGAACATCAGAATCCAATTCTGATGGCAGATTGGCTTTCAATGGTCGATAAAGTTTAGGTTTCTTATTAGTTGTTTTGTTGTACAAATAAAAAGAAAATATAAAATCTTACACATCGGACGATGCATACAAAGAACACTTCACTAGAAGACATAATAAAACCCAAAGACACTTTGGATACATAAACAGGACAACTCATGTGCAGCCTATCATCTTGTGTCGTTTGCTATTGCTGGTCCCATCCCATCTTTGCTGAAAATAATTTATTATAAATAAATAAAAACAAGCATGCATGAAGAATCTGAATATTTTCGTACCAAAAAGAGAGGACGGAGGAATATAATTTCACCATGGTATTTGGAAACCCGAATGGCTGGCCCTGGGCTGGCTCGTTGGCTTCATTTTCATTTCAATAGATGGATATATGTTTGGCATGTAGTGCGTTTGTTTTTTGGTCTGTCTCTTCTGAACCTTGTACAAATTAGTTTGAAAGTTTCTTCATTTCTAGTTTCCATTATTACTTGCTTTCGGTTGAGTGGTCCAAAGATACAAGGAGTGTTGTGGTGGGAGAGAGAGAGAGAGAGAGAGAGAGAGAGAGAGAGAGAGAGAGAGAGAGAGAGAAGCACTTTTTGAGTTTGACAAGTAATGTAATGGCAATGCCATAAAGAAGAAGATCATGAAAATGTTTAATACAACTTTATTCTCTGCTTAAAGAATGTTTATGATAATGAAAGTCCAAAATCAGCGGGCATCGAAATTTTAGATCCCTTGTTTTGTGCAGTCTTCTTCTTCTCCTTCTCCTTTTCCCGGCCCAAAACATGGACTTTTGAAAAAAGAAACAAACTGGGGACTGGTCCGACTGCTGCTGCTGCATGCAAAAACCAGAGATACAACCAAAACAGTGGCTCAACTCAACCAAAGAATATTCTCATTTTTGAGCTTTTTCAAGTGCTTTCTTATCAGCAAGTTGAGCACCCATCAGAGGGAGACATGACATACTACTAACTTGTTTATATCTATAAATTATAATTGGTGGACCAACACAAACAACTATAAATTATAATTGGTGGACCAACAAAAACATTGTTTCAGTTCAGTAACTAACAATAATAATTGAATATGGGCAGAAAGTCAAGATGTTTGGAAGCAGAAGCAAACGCAAGATAAAGGAAAAGAAGCCCAACTATTTTTTGGGGTCTGGAGATCTCCTCAAAGGCGCAAAGCTTAAAAAGAAGCCCAACGTACAAGTCCAAACAACACTAGAATAATTATAGCTAAACCAAATGACTTGACTCGACTCTGCAGAGCAGATTGGATTGGAGGGGTGGGTGGGAAGGCAAGAGGGTCCATTCCGGGACTAATAATTAAATGAAACAGTCTGGCTTTCAATTATTTCCAACTTGTTTCTCTCAATTTCCATATCTTGTTCAATTATTTATTGGCATTAGGTAACAAAATTGTGTAGAAAAGGGAAACTGAGATAAAGAAAATCACAAAAGCTGGCATTAACATATCTAATTTTGATATCATTTCATAGCTTGGTTCCATCTCATCTCATACAATACAAGTACAAGACACACATGTTGAGGAAAAACAACACACAGATAGGCACTGATGAGAATGAGATCAGCTTTCCTTTGTAGTAATAGTAGGATTTGTACGAGCTAGAGCAGTGATGAGAGAGAGAGAGAGAGAGAGAGAGAGAGAGAGAGAGAGAGAGAGAGATGGATATCCCAGATTCATGAAGCACATGCTGGCACCAAGCAACAAAGCAATCCCAGCATTTTCTTCTACAAAAACAAAACAAAACACATTAAAGTCAAGTGTTGAAAAACATCAAATGACAGAGTTAGTATGATGTCACATCATAGATAAGAGTCCATAATGTAATGGGTTTGAAATTAAGAGCTGCTCTGGAGGCCATCATGATATCAAACTCAGTGCATGCATCAAACTTACATCTTCTGTTCTTCTTTTCTTTCTTTTCCTCTTTTTTGGTGAGAACACATCACACTTTTTTGACTTATTAAATTTGAGGAAAAATAAAAAATAATATATACACGACAGTGACACACACCCGTTTGGTCTTATGGAGAAGCTCAGGTGGGATTTTGTAGAGATCTTCGTCCACAGGCTTTGGAGGCCTGGTGGGGAAACGAGGGGTTACTCTCGGAACGGCGTCGTTCGAGCGAGTGCGATTTGATTGTTGAACATGATATTCGTAGTGTTTAGTTGGAGGTTGCGTCACGTCACAGACCTTAGCTTGCTGCTTCTTTTGCTCCATGACATGCGCACGCGGGCCTCGCTTTTCCCTCGTCCCTATTCTTGTTGCTGCCTGCTGCTGCAATATTTCCAAAAACAGCATTGTCATAAATTCACACTTGTCCATCTCGTTATTCTAATTTATATATCACCAACCACTTTCTCTCAATCACATTAATGTGGTGCATACTTGTTTCTTTGTTTGGTCACCAAGAAAATCAATATATTTTCGAACAAAATGTGTCAACTAAAATCCTAGTCTCATAACCACCATCACCAGCAGTTACTTTTTGGTGAGATTCTAAACTACGGGAATGTGTTCGAATAATTTATGTGCAATAGGATGAGACATTAGTACCTTGGCTGGCCTAACTTGAAACTGGGTAATTTTGGGTAGAGGAATCAGTTGCCACTTAAATCAGTCAATCTTCACATTAATTCAAAGAATAAAAGAGGCCTACCTCCCTAGAGATAGAGAAGCTAGCTCAGTTTGGGTCATAGGTGAAATTAATTAGCCCCCAAATGAAATGACAATGGACCAAAATAAAGTCCTAGGCAATATTGTTCTCTAATTTTGAAATGAATGAACTCATTTTGTACGGAAATGCAAATATCCCCAGCAGGAGCAGCACACTGAACATGCAAATGCAATGGGAATGAAAACAAGACAAATTTAAAAAAGCAGACAATAAAAAAGAAAGTTGAATGGAGATTAAAGGCAGAACCTTTCGAGAGGGTTTAGGCTTGTTGAGATGATTAACAGCATACAAGTCAGCAGGACGAACGTAGGCATCAGCACTTTCACCAGAGGAAGAGCTGAATCTGATCAAACCGGCCTGTCTTGCGCACTCGAAATACTGGGTGATTGGCAGCTCGTTTGCATAATCCCAGTTTCCAAATGCCGGTATTTGACCACTCCTTTTATAGTAGTCCTGCTGATCACCATACATTCACAACCCAATAAATAAAACCATGAAACAAACATTAAAACCAAATTGAAAAAGAGGAAAGCCATTGATGGTATGGAGAAGAACTTACATCCATTGTTTTGTTTGTGGGTTGTGTTGTTGTGAACACTGGTTTTGGCAGAAAATGCCAATAAATAAAGGTGGGATATTTTTGAATCGCAAAGTAGGGAGAAAGGTGGAGGAAATTAAAGGGGAGGAAGGGGAATGGAGCAAAAAGGTAAAAGAGGGGTCTGGGTCTGGGGTGATTCCTGAGAGGGGCCTCAGGCTCAGAGAGGATATAAATTCTGGTCAGAGTTAAAGAGAGAGAATCTAGGAAAAAGAGAGAGAGAGATGATCTTCAAATCTTGGTCCTTGCTGCTACTAGTTTTGTAGCATATACATACATACATACACAGTAATAGTAGCAGCACAGGCTCTGAGTCTGAACAAAGAAAGACAGCTTAGAATTAGATGTCCTAGTCATCGGCAAGGGGCAGAAAAAAGGTAGTAATGGAGGAGCCTTGTTTTAGGGAGATGGGCACTGTTGCCTCTGCAATATATGTTTGCAGTTTGCAGCTTGTAGCAGCAGCAGCAACTACACCATAGTAAGTAAGTATACTGTATAGGGAGAGAGAGAGAGAGAGAGAGTTAAAAGCTACTTTTGGATTGCTTTGTGGTGGTTGACGATGTTTACCCAACTCCTCAATCTGGAAATGCCACATTGCCACCATGCCTGTGATTAAAAGATGGGTTTTCCTCGGTCCACGCAGTAGACTGGTAGGTGGACCCCACATTCCTAGGGGTTCCCCCCCCCCAAAGATGAGAAATGTGAATTTTTTCTTTCTTTCAACTCTTCTCTTCTCTTGCAGAAAAAGAAAACTGAGAAAGGTAACGGGTGGGTGGGTGCGACTGTGCGTGTGTGACCAAGGTGAAAAAGGATTTGAATATTTATTTTATTTATAATGCCAGGCTGCCAGCCAAGTATAATTATTAATTAATATATATGTATATGTAGTGTAGGTCTGCTGCCAAACTTGCTTTGCTTTTACTGTTTGTGTTTGGACTCGGATTTTGGAGGTGGTTCTATTCTAGCTACTAAAAAGTCACTTTCGGGAAGAAGCGCTTTTCGAGAAGTTCACCCCCACCATTTTGGGATCTTGTCCGTTTCCCAGCCCGAATCCAGCAAACAGTATTTGCCATTTGCAACAGCAGATATCATGTGGATTGTGAACAGCGATATAACATGAGCAACAATACTAGCTAAAAAGACCACAACCCAAATACCCAGACCTATTTGTAATTGGGCTTCAACCGACCCATAAACTGATATTCAATTAGGGTTAACTCTGCCCTGCCCTGCTCAGCAGCAAGCAACAGTGCTAGTGGAAATTGGATAGTCAAATCCCAGAAGTTGGAATCAAGTGAATAAAATAAAAAAGACCAAAACAGGAACAGCAGCACCCACCAATGCCACAAGTTCATGTGAATATATGCCTTCTGTGAATCTGGGATTGCAAAAACAAACATTATTAATACATTACAGTCAAAATTAAGTGTTGAAAAACATCCTCAAATGACATTGCACCATTTTGCCAGAGATTATTTTTTTCATAAAAAAAACCCCTTATTTTATAGGACAAAAGAAAGAAAAACAAAAGTTCGTCAACCGCGGCAGAACGCAAGGGGAGCAAAGTCATGGAGGAAATCGAGGAGTGTAAAAGTTTTGACTCTTTCCTTCTTCTTTCTTTGGTTGTGCCTTAAATTTATTATAGCAGCAGTATGATTATAGTTTCAATGCTGAAGTTGGTTTCGGTGGAGAAATTGTTAAATAACTTTGACTCCAAGGCACCGCTTTGGGGATCGTGCAAATGTCTTGTATATATATATTGTTGACCAATCTCATGTCATGCACAAGGAAATGCTGCCACGAGTAACACACCGGACGCAGACGTGTTTTGCTAAGAGTCTTAGCCCGTGGCCGGGGGGCGGGACTCGGGGAGGGTGGGTGCGGGCCCCACAACATAGAAGACGAAGAAGGAGGGAGGAGTGAGTGTGTGTGTAGAAGTCAACAATGTCATTGTATTGATAATTCCACAGCACAGCGTAAGCTGAGCTGACAGAGACGACAAATGTCTCATTGCTAAACGATGTTAGCAACCGACCAATGAGTTAATAAAAAGGACGCCACAATTCACCCATTTATTCACATTTCACAACCACAAAGGCTTCTCACGTGGGATGACCACTAAAATAAAAGCCCCCTTCTTTCTTCTCCTCATCATCTTATTTCTCTCTCTATGGTCACCTAACGCGTTAATGCCTCGTACATATAGTGGTGTGGTTTATAAAGTGTATTCACTTTTATTAAAACTCTACTCTATAATATAGTCACTTTCTGTTCCGGCGCAGTCAGGCCGGAAAGAGGGAAACATTTTCGTACTATTATTAGCACTCTAAAAAAGAGTCTTCGTGTTTTTTTCGTATAAAAACATAAGAGAGAAATTATACGTAAATGAGAGTATTAATAACATTTGTGTTAAAATGATGTAGTCTAAAAAACGACCCAGTAAGGAAAAGGTTTGGGCTGGATGTTTCTTCATTTGGGTTTTTATTGGGCTTAGATCTATCAAAAAACTATGGAACGGGGTAGCCCATAAAAATCTTTACTTTGATGCTTTTTGTTTTGGTCAATCACTTTGATATTAATTTCTTTGATCTGTTGGGATGATTGTGAGGTATATATGTTATGTTTGGTGACCATCAGCCTCCGAGTTATTGCTTGAACAAATATTTGGATGCATGTTGGTACTAGTGACAAGTGAGGGTCACTTTCAGTCTTTAATAGATTTATGTTATTCTAGCTTTGTTAGTTATGTTATAATAATTGCCTAAAAACCTAATTAATGGGGCAATCAGGAGTTGCATTGCAGGGGTTGAAGGTTGGAAAACATCAATCTGCACTGCGTGCCAGAATATCTCAATGTTTGCATGTGGGCTTGTAATTTTCAGAGGACAATATTGCATATGATTGTCATGGTCGTTTTCAATGTCACCAGCCAAGCTTCCCAGATTTAAAGACCGGTGAGGAAGTATTATATCATCAAGCTAGGCTAGGCCAGGCCAGGCTAGGCTAGGCTAGCTACACGACAGAGCTCACACAATAATATACGATAAACCGTTCAAACACTGAATCAAATTGCTGCCTGCGCCTCAAAATCGGGCCACTTTTGTTTTGTGAATAGCCAAGATTTCAGATAAAATATGTGGTCCAGTCCAGTTTTATACGCATGCATGCAATGCAAATTCAATGCAAATGCATGGTCCTTGCACCTTTGCTTCTTTCATATTCATATGGACTGCATGATATAACATTATTAATTGACACGGCGGTCCCTCCCTTTTGGCTCTCTGATCTGTCACCTGTGCGCATGTCTGATCGAGTGGATCGATCCATATTTAAGTGCTCTCCTCCCCTCCTATATAGGTTGCAGAAATTTGAATTTAAAGGTCAACTAGCAGCTAGAAAATAACAAGCAATGCAGCAGCAACAGACTTTAATTTGAGGATATTTATATATATATATATATATATATATATAGCGCTGTTATTAATTTGGCCAAATTTTGAAAAAGATGTATCGCAAAAGACATAATAATGCTGCCTCATTATAAACATACATAGAGCCATACTGTCGTAGAAAGAAGATGGACCATTGGCCATGTTCTAAATTTCTAATTCATGTGGATATGCGTATGCTGCAGGCTTTCATTTTGGTGTGTTAGGCACTAGAAAAGAACAAGGACAAAATAGTAGAATATATATGGTGTATATGTATAAGTCGTTGGCTGCAGCGACATTAGATATATTCAACTTTGCATTCTGCATCAGATGAGACATGAGAGAGTAGAGATTTAGGATCAGGATTCAGGAGGGGAGATCAAGAGATGGGTGGCATTCCATGGACAAAGGAAGAAGATCAATTGCTCAGGAAATGCATAGAGCAGTATGGAGAAGGCAAATGGCATCGTGTCCCTCTCTTGGCTGGTATGCTATTAACTTCATTCTATTGCTTTTATTATTTCACAACTTTTTCCATCATTATTACTCTAATTGGATTTTTCAATGAGTACCGATCAATTTCTTCTTTTGACATGAAACTTATGACTTAATTATTTAACTTGTTCAATTAATGCCATCCGACAATTACAGACTATATATAAGTTTAAATTTACAAGCAGGTCGGAGTTCTGGATATAATTTTGCCAAGATGGTTTATACTCAAATATAAAAATGAAAACTTTCTCGAATTAAACTTAACTCAAGTGACATGAAATGAGCGAGGCGAAAAGAAGTTGCATCTTATCAATATGCATAGAAAAGGGTGGGTCATACCACTTCTATATGCATGCTACAGGGAAATTCTTCCTGATAGCTTTAAGTTAGGTGTAATATTGTGCAAAGTCAAATGTACATTTCAACTTCCCTATGCAAGAATGCAACACACCCTTTTATAAGAGGCATTTTGCTTGGGTTCTTTGTGAATTTATCTGCATTGAAGTGTGCCCTTTTAGAAGATATGTTTATTATAAACATTGGATATGGATTGTGTTTTAACTTTTAACGATGATCAAATTAAGTTGATGAGGACTAAACAGGGTAAGCTTTTGTTAAGTGTCTCACTGTTAATCCATCAAATTCAAATGTATGTATGGTGGTGATATATATTGGATTGTGGTGTGTTAAGGTCTAAACAGGTGCCGTAAGAGCTGTAGGCTGAGGTGGTTAAACTATCTCCGCCCAAACATCAAGAGAGGGAGCTTTGAAGAAGAGGAAATTGATCTCATCATCAAGCTCCAAAAGCTCCTAGGGAATAGGCAAGTGAATAGCATTCCTCTATTACATATATAATGTCATAATCACTCGTAAACCGCACGCATCTAGAAACCGGAGAAATTTATTTTTCAGGTGGTCATTAGTTGCAGCTAGACTTCCTGGAAGGACCGGTAACGATGTGAAGAACTACTGGAATTGTCACTTGAGCAAGAAGCTAAATGCTCAAGAAGCTGAAGACAAGAACAAGCATTGTGCAAGGAATGGGCAAGTCACGAGACCCCGAGCCTCAAACTATGCCAGCACAAACTCAAAGAGGCCATATTCAACAGCTCTAGACCAAGCTCCAAGTAACAATTTTTGTCAACCAGTTAATCTACTAGCACAAGAAGGGGGCAGCAGCAGCCGCACACAAATTCCAACGCCAATGCCAATGCTGTGCAATATTGGAGATGGCCAGAATCAGATGTTTCAGGCAGAGCATGATGAGAGCAACAAGAATGTTCCAAGTGTGGAAGAAGAAGATATTAATGATGGGATTAATATGGGTGATTTTCCAATGGAGGGCCTTCCATTTAAGGGAGTTGGAGAATATGATCAAGATGATGATGCTGCTGATGATGATGGGGTCCACAAGCACAACAAATGGGAATGGGACGACTCCATCTTGGGTGACGTGGACCTCTGGACTCATCGTTAAGTAGTTAATTAGAGAGTGATTGCTCTGCTTAATTAGGTGTTCGTGATTAGTATATGTGTACGTGAGATGATGATGATTTATTTATGATATCAGAATAATTTATGTACGTGAGTGATGGTAATGTTTCTGAAGAAAGAGGTGACCTGAATAATTGTGTAAAATACATGCCAATTGCTTCTTCTGCGCTCTTTATTAAATTAGCACAAAAATTTCCTCATTATAAAAACCTCTGAGAAAATTTAGAAAAAAAAAGGTAAAGAAAAGTTTTTTTTGTTTTTTGTTTTTTAATAGAGAAACTTAAAAGGCAAGGCATACCAAAGAGTAAAGCGTTGGTAAAGAAGAAGAAGTGGCGATTGAGCACATCTGTTTTCATCTTCATCATTTCCCGGCGTGCTTGTATAAGTTTGGTCTGTCTTTCAACTTTTCACATCTATCTGCTATGAATCAATAATCTGCTCTGTTTTGTGTGAATATGAATTCGACTCTGTATTTGGCTCCAAAAACGCGATCAAAATGATAACCCAGTGAAAGTCTGGTGTGATAGTTGCTGCTGAATGATCAATTTCATAGGAACGAAACCGAGTATAATCAGACTCTCACTTTACGATTATACGAAGAAAAGGTTTCAATTTACTTCAATTTCCCACTTGTTCTCAGCTAGAAAATGGATCAGGGGCTGAGATTAGTGTGATTTTCTTCACTAAACATGGGAAAGGATACTTCTTGCTGTATAAATTTAACTACTCTCTTCCAACTTCTAACCTTGTCCAATATAAACATGAGCAACCATTGCAATTTTTTCATCAACTTATTTTTTTGGCCTCACTTTGATCTTTTCTTTCAGGCGTAAGTGCTAGATTTATAATGGCTTACATCCCACCGCACAAGCGGCATTCAAAGGAAACGGAGAGGCCGTTGCCAACTCCGGAGCTACTTGCTCCTCAATTCAAGAAAAATTTGAATTTGCGATCATCTATATCTAATGCGGATTTGGATGGAAAGGTAATTTATGCAAACCATGCTAGATCGAGATGGTGCATCATTGGTTTGGATGATGAGAACCAGTTTCCATCCTCTGTTAATCTTGAGCCCATTTCCTGGGAAACCACTGAGAGGAGAACTGGAGAAAAGCCTCTAGCTTTAATCAATACTAGTCTAGATAAGGGTTAGTGCTCTAATATTTCTTTTAGTGCATTTATCTTGTAATTTTGTTTTGCTTACTTGGTCTGTTTGTTTTGGTTTTTCTTTGTTGATACTTGATAGAAGGTAGTGAGGTGAAATGGTACTTGCCAAAGAACCCTTGGGTATCGTTAGCAGAAAATGTGCTGGAAGACCTACTTTCTTCTTTTGAAAATGTGAAGAATGATATGAAGTGCCCAAAGCTTGAACAAGTAAAGCCATCGTTGGTTGCTAGAGTGGGAAAAGTACTTTTTCAGAGGTTAGATTTCCTTCTTATATACTTGCTGCTATTCAGCCTATTGTGCCATTCATTCACTTGATTCATGCGTTTATCCTTCTTTTGAGCCTAAGAATATTGGTTGGCTAGATTTTGGCATTTTTATCTTGGGAGATAGGATACCAAGTTGGACAGTGAAGCAGGATTCTGAAACCCTGCCTTTGTTTTTCTGTGTAGAGTAGATACTAAACCGTACTTACTACAACATTAATTTACGCCTTACTTAATACAATAATTTGTTGATTTTGATGCTTGGTTACTGTCAATCATCTCATATTATGTACTAGTTCTGTAGCAATGGAAAACCATGTTATATTCCTTAGTTGTACATGACCAGATCTAAACCAAATGTTATTCGAATCTTTGTACTTCAGGAGCCCTTCAGTTAACATGGAATCTATCAGAAATAATTTGGATACTGAAATCTTGAAACAGTGGAAGAGGTCATTTTACACGAATCTTCCTGTTTCATATAAGGAAAACATTCTAAAGGAAGTTGTCCCAAACATTGGAGTTGATTTTGAAGAGGAGAAGGATGTATACCAAGTAAAGGTATTTCTTTTTGCATGCACATCAACTTACTGAATTCATGCTTTCCATATTTCGGATTTTCTCTATTGAATCCCTCATTTATTTCCTTCTTGTCTAGTTATCCGATTCAACAAGACCAGATTCAATTCTCTCCTGCAAATGTAGTGTAATGAAAGAACATGGAAAGCTACAACTTTACAAGGTAAGTTTTCTAATTCATGTAAACTAAATTGGATGAAACAAATCATGATTTTGTTGCCAAGTTATTGACTAAATATAGTTTATTGTACTGCAAAATACAAGTGTCGTATAAGAAAATTAAATGGTCATCAGGTGAATGTGATTAAACTCTCCAGTTTTTTGAATAAAGTATGATGGGATTTGAGAATCCCTTGAATCTCTCCTCCCTTGTTTTTCCCTATTGCTTCTTGTAGAGTCTGTTTATTGAGACTTACATCAAAATGTCAGCTTTCTTACAGATTGAACTAAATCAACTTCGTGACATGGTCATAGACATATCATGCCCTAATAAGTATCTGGACCTGAGAGTGATGCTAAGCACGAAGAGACCTGTAACAGCTCTGAGTGTAAGTTTCTTAACTGAATACCTTTTAAACTTTTCAGTTCTGTTCTTTGTTGTTTTGGGGGAAGAAGTTCAAGGAATTAATTATAATCTATTTAGTATAGATCCACAATTGAAACAGATGAGAGAAATTGTTGAAATGCTAATAATGTGGTGGGACAATGAGGGTTAACCACATTGGATCCCTGGATGAACTCTTGCATCTTGGATTGAGGTTCTGTGATCAGATTAATCCATTTCTATTTCAGGATGATGAGATGCAAAGCATTAGGGATCTGATTAATTCTGCGGTTCTAGATCCAGATGTGAAGGGTGGGTTGAGATGGCCGCTGGGGAAGGAGTCTTCTGGAGATAGATACAAAGTTGTTGGGATTTGGCACGTAATAGCTAATATGTATACAAATCCATCATTAAGACTGAAGGTAAGACATGCTGATCGATTTGATTTTAGGACCTCAACTGGGGAAGCTACCTGGGAGGTTAGTCTGATGTTGAAAAAGGTCTTGTCAAAGTTACAGGTAATTGCCTGCCTTTTCTCTGGGATATTTCCTCTTCCCACTGTATATACTAAATTCGTCTAGGCATTGGAGAGACCTCATTTTTGTCTGACTTCAATGTGCTACTAGAATTCAATAGTTCTGAATTTTTAAGCTCAACCAGCATTTTAAATCATGCTTGCAAAACTGTCCTCTTCTTCCTCCTCATCTTCTTTAAATAAATAACATGTAGTGCTAGTACTGTGCTATTCATAAGGATGATGTCTCATGGAACAAATATCCATTCAGCATCAACTGAATAAAATTGTAGTTCAGACCTCTTCTGAAAATTGGATAGTTTCCCCCTTTAGTTACTAGGGTGATGCTTATTTAGCTTTGCCTTAATGACATTGAACTTGATTATTCGTACAATCATCAAAGATTTAGCTTTGGCTCCTTTTCTTTCAATTTTCAGGAAGAGAAGGTTGAAGTCAGCTCGATTTCTGAAATTCTCGAGGAAAATATGAGGATGATATGGGACAACTTCTTGTGCTCTGAACATTTTCTAGTATGAAATTGCATGTTGTGAATCACTGTATTCTAAGTCTTCCCTTTTCCACTTAAACTAATGGCATCACCTTCGCTGGAAGGCTTTATTCGCCAAATTATTGCCATGGTGACAGACACAATTATATATTTGTATTATACACTATAGATATTCATATATATGCAACGAAAATATCAAATTACGTATGGCTAGAATTATAGGTTATGATCAATCTTCAATGTTTATTGAGCTTATGTAGTAGGAACTATATGTGGTTGTCGTTTGATTCCTGCTGCTGCTGCTGATTGAAGACATACGTAGTCTGCATCAATTTATCTGCTCTGGGAAAATCACTAACACTGCGCATCAGCTTCGGGCGGTTGCGGCTCATGAACTTCCTTCATATTTTGACTGCCTTTATTTTCTGCATCATTTTTCCCTGAATTCTTGTATGTGAGGTATAGGATCATTTGAACGACGCCTAATAAGAATCCCAACACATTTGGTAACTGGCCAACCAATGACCGTGTCAAATTAATATAGCACAGCAATGAATTAATTTGCCTCAAGTCAAACCCAAGAAATGAAATTAGAAATTGGTACTAGTTTACTTACTGCAATGTAATAATCCTTTGTGAAGAGGCCGTAGAAGAACCACATGGTTGCACAAAGTGTGAGGAAAAATGACAAAGAAAATGGCATGTATTCTACACTGTTGGTTCTTATTACTTGCCTCTGCAATAATATAAAATACATGTCAGCTGATTAATTTACCATAATGCTAGGTTTAAAGAAATAAGTGGAAACTAATTAAGAGAAAACTTACCATGATGCTTAAAGGAGCAGCAAAGACAGCAATGTTAAACACAGCACACATCCATCCAACGGCGCTAATACGCTTGGCTTCTCCTAGAAGAAAGACTGTGACCGCCGTCACCAACCCAAAGGCCGCTACGTTCACCAGCAGTATCAAACTCATTGTAGTAATCTACAAGGTGTAGAAGCAGGACATCTCCATCAAAAATAGCCCTCAAATGTTTTTTTTTGTCTTTCTAAAAAACATATTATTATCGATAACATGTCAGTAACAAAATATATAGACGGAAAATCGTCATTTAAAGGCAGTGACCTTGTCCTTCTTGGATGCATATACAATGTAGAATATGAGGTAAATAATTTCTATAACGCATCCGACGCCATTGATGCTGATGATCAAAAAGGCACTGGTCTTGAGGACACCATAATACAATAGCAGCATTGCACTAAGAAGGGCAACCACATAAGGTATGGATTGGAAGCCTTTGGATGATTTCTTCTTGTATATTGTGTAAAACGTTGGTCTGAGAGAACGATAGAGATAGAGAAATGGAGGAAACAGTTAGCCTAATGCAATTTATTCATAGAGATGTGATGTGAAGGGCAAACATTTTCAAAAGTAGAAGGGTCTTACATTGGCGCCAAGAATACCATGAATGACACAATGTTACCTATGAATACTCAGGTTGTGTCAGAATCAGATAACAGGAATCTAAAGTAAACCAACTTATAAGTATGAAATATAAATTTAGGACTATTAAGAAAAATTAAAGATGTTCCATATAAATATTTTCGCAACATTTTGATGATGTTTTCAGTGGTGTTTTTGCTTTTCAATAAAGCAAAAGCATTCTTTATACTTTCAATTACTGAAAAAACAACTAAAAACACAGAAACGGTTTAGAGAAAATTGAGATATATATACCTAAGAGACCGAATACGAAAGCCAGTTGTTCATTACTGAAGAACTTCATTCTTTCTGCTGGTGATGATGACTAGTGAAGATGTTTTTGTATAGTTTCTTGTACTGTTTTGTTTTTCTCTTTTGGTGAAGCTCTTTTCAGTGCATATGTAGTAATTTACAAACTGAAAAAAGCTTAAGCACATTTCATCTTTCAGATAACTTCATTTTATAAACAAGATGGATAAGAATTAGGTTAGGCCAACTGATTACGAAATACGTGTGACAAATTAAACCTGATTTTATTAATTATATGTGACTGAAGAAATACCTAAAGTCCTAAACCATGCAAGAGGTGGCTTGGTTATTTTGCACGCATCATGGCTTGCCCAGATATTATTATGCTACGTAGATTACTGCGACGGCTAACTTATCAGATATCGTCATGTCACATCGTGTCCACCTGCCAAGAGAAATTATTGCCGTCAAATAACACCTCAAATTAATGCCTTGATGCTCTTTCACAGAAGCAACATCAAATACACTTTTGAATCCATTTTCCATTTGAAGACTGAGACGGCTTTTACAACACTGTTTCCATAAGTGGCCTGTTTGCCCTTAATCTTTGTATAATTTTGCTAACATTTTAGCATGGGATTTTAAGCACCACACATGCATGGATCTCATCTACTAATTAACTTACTTTCACCTCAATGACGATTATTTTTTGCTGCCATATATGCTAGCGGATCGACCTGATCGGGGAAAACTTTGCAAGATATCTAAAGTTCAATGTCGTTAGATTCTCAATCTCGACCACACATTCAAACAAAAATAATGGTCGTGCTAAAAGTGGCTAGCAGGTGATGCTGCTTTGCTTTGTTTTTTGAGTGTGACTGGCTACGAGGTCCCTGTGGATCCAATTAGATTTTATTCTCTACGTTGCTTTCTCTTTGGCTGCATGATTAAAGAAAAGTTAGCCTAATTCCTCTCATAAGTTGTCAAGTTTAAGCAATTTTCTTTAATCAGCTTGGAATCTTTCTTCTTTATCTGTTTGTGATTTGGGAGCTTCACTTTTTCTCATGCCAATGGAAAAGGCATTCTATATATTTTCTTGTTTATAACAAGGAAAATGTAAATTATATGTACATGACAAGGATTTCTAGGATTAATGCGACAACTACTATGCAGTATCAACCTTGATTACATCGTTATTTCCTAATAATTAAACACCAATCTTACACTTGAACAATAAATATCTAAACAGCGCCAGCCAACAACCCAAAACCTTGTTGATCATGAACCTTTGCACGTCAAACTGAAAACACATCCGAAGATATAGACAGTGGTGTTGCTGATGAACTCATCCCTTTCTTTGCCTTCTTCTGCACTCAAACAAAAGTAGAAAATACTTATCAGCATGGTTAGTACAACAATAACCTATAGCATCAATGGCTGCAAGTTTTGAGTGGCTGGTGCCTAACCATGTCAGCAAGAGTGTTCTTCCAAGCCTTGTCCATCTCTTCGTACACGAGATCGATTGTTGGGCGACCTTTGCTTGATTTGGCAACACAAAGTACTGCAACTTGTAGGATTGATTCAAAGTCCACCTTGTTGACATTTCCATTTAGTCTTGGGTCCTCAAGATCCTCAGGTGGGCGCTTGTTCATACTTATATCCTTTGCCTGCAAAGAAGAACCAAAAAAAAACAAAACAGAATTCATTAATCTCTCTCTTTCTCTCTCTCTCTAGCTCTAGGCACAAATGAAGTTGGGTGTACCTTTCTTGTCAGTTGGTCTCTAGCATCAAGATCCAGCTCAAATACTTTTTGCCCTGATAGCAGTTGCAGAGAAACAATACCAAAACTATAGACATCACTGGCGCAGGTTAACTTGGCATTGGTCATATATTCTGGATCCATATAGCCTATGGTTCCTCTGACATCTGTAAATACTTTGCTCTCCTCCATCCCCAACATCTTTGCCAACCCAAAATCAGAAAGCTTGGGATCCAAGTTCTCAGTCAAAAGGATGTTGGTAAGCTATAAAGAAAGAAATGCATCAACAACATCAATATAATATGGATCAAGAGGAATTAACTGTAGTGTAGACCAAAGAAGCATATCATATTCAATTATTACCTTAATATCTCTGTGAACAATGCATCCATCTATATAGTGGTGGAGATACCTCAAAGCAAGCGCACAATCTCTTAGAATCTTAACTCTTCTTTCCCATGTTAAGACAGGATCATTTCCTGATCAATGTAGAGAGAGGAGAGAGAGAGAGAGAAACACACACGCACACACACACATACACATATGATTATTCTCACCTAGTCATGCTCCTTAAAGAATATTAATTTCAAACATGCTAACGAATTAAATGTGTTTTATCTAGCAATTCATAAAGATCAAAGAAATTACTTAGGAGGTGTTGAGCTAGATTCCCTGCTGCACAATACTCGTACACGAGAAATTGCTCGCCATCTTCAACGCAGCAACCAAAGAGGCAAACCAAATTTGGATGTCGAATCCTTGAAAGACCTTCAACTTCTCGTGTAAAAGAATCAGAAGTACTGCTCTTGTTTATGTGCTTAATGGCCACGACTTGTCCACTAGGAAGAACACCTTTATAAACTTGACCAGCACTTCCTCTTCCGAGGTCCTTTCTCTCAAAATTTATGGCATTCTCAATCTCAGCCTTGGAGAATCTATACAGGCCAGACCATGTAGTAATTGGTCCTGATTGAACCGGTTTTTTAGGCTTCTTCTTGCCCACATATTTAATCAGCAGGATGATCAGCATCACTGCAGCGATGGCTATTAAGATTGAAACTATCGCTTCTACCAAAGAATCTGATAGGTTAAATGATTAACTTCTATGAGTATACATGAAGTTTGTAAGTGAATTTGCAAGAAATAAAGTCGATTGAAATAGTACTAGTTTTACTTACACTTGAGTTTGATGTAACCTGGTTCTGCATATGGAACAAAAACAAAAACACAAATTGAACAGATAAATTCAAGCTCATAGAATAGAAATAAAGATCAAGTCAATTAGAAGTTGAAAATTTTGATTGAGCAGCATGAAGTAGTTTCATACCAAACGTGTCTAACATAGACAAACACCGAATGTAGTCAATATCGACCGAAAAGGAACCATTCATATTTGCTGCTGCAATAGAAATCATAGCTGCTACACCACATATGGCTGTTTCAGTTTTGTTCACGTCCTTCACGTCATACTTTCTCAATAAATGCTCCCTCAGAGCTGAGAATGCGCCGGTGCATTTTCTGCAAACATTATCAAATGCATTGCCAAATTGAGAGCAGTTGCTTAGTGCGTCTAGGAAGCGCTGGTCTTGCCTAAGGCCTGAAAGAGTTGTGCGGGAGCAGCGGCTACTTCCACTGTTAAGGTCATCAAAGCCACACTGTTGCGAAGACAAATTCTGCCGCATATGTAAAGAGCCGTTGCAGTTCTGCCATTCCTCTTGTGCAAGAAAGACACTGCCCTGCCCCTGTGTCTTAATTGCATGAATGGCTAAGGCTTGGGACATGACGGGGAGGACATTTCGACAGCACAGGTTTGTAGGGTAGCTGCCCCACATGTTGATTCTCTGTCCCACATGACTGATGCACTCCCCAGTCGGTTGGAACGGGTAGGATGTGAAATTTAACACACAGCTTCCTGCAGCAAGTCATGCATATATGGAACGTTATAAGCATATACACACACACACACACACACATATATATATATATAACAGATAAAACAAACTAAACTTTAATCACCAAAAAAATAAAAGATAAAAATAGACCTGAGGGACCATCAGGTGAAGGTGGTGGAGTCTGGGAAAAAGTTCGGATAAAAAAAGTGGCAATGAATAAGATGGTAGGCTTGGAAGAATAAGAAAAGTTTCTTTCTGTCATATCCCCCTGAGGCATTTGTAAGCTACTAGCTATAATATATGTAGCTGCTATATCAGTCACATGGGAAAAAAATTGAAGCAAAGCAAAGCTCTTGTGTGAATTGTGAATTTGTGAGTGAGAAAAATAATGCAAGCGAAAGTTTTCAAAGGCAATAGTGGAGCTGAATACTTATAAAATCTTAGAATCATTGCAAACATCGGAAAAAGAAGAGGCATATTCTTTGTTTCTGCTAAATTGGTTCTGATGACAGCCTAGAAATGCCCGGTGGGTTCTATTTGATCAATGGGAGATGCAATATGGCCTTTGATAATTGAGTGGTCATTAAAAAAACATCCACTTGGGAAATAGCTCCAAAAGCATTTGCTTATCTTAATAGTTGAGCCAATCATGCTAATCTTCAAACACATCGCCGCATACCTGTATAAAACTACAACACAACTATATCTTATCTGTTTATTTTGGCCTTTTGTCTTTTTATGCCTTGTAAAGCCCCTACAATGACATGCCTTAATTCTTCTGCCCTTTAACTTAATTATCTACTTTTCTCTCTTCATAATCCAGTTTCTTAAGTTATAACAACAATTTATGAAAAGGGATATATATATATATATATACATATATATAGTGAGCTTCAATTGAGGGATCCCTCAAATAATATTTGAGGGACACCCTTGTAGGACCCACCACACATTATTTTTCAATGATCCGAACAGTATACTTTTTAGATATTCTCTCAATGATCATCTCTGCAAAAAATCACTTGAATCCGAAATGATTTAACTACTCAATTAGATGATGATTATTTTAGTAAGTACCGTGTTTGTTTATTTTGTTGCTTGCAATTAGATGCCTTAATGATTTTCAATTTGCTTGAATTTTTGCGAGGATGATCTATGAATGAAGATGTGAAAAATATATGGTTTGGATCATTGAAAAAAGATTCGTTGAGTACCCTAAAAGGTGTTCCTCAAATAAAATTATTTGACTTCTCCCTCAATTGAAGGAGATTATATATATATATATATGCGCGCGTGTGTGTGGATCAAGGATTAAAATATCGGCTGCAGATAATATCGAGCCTCCAATTTACGGATATTTCGGGGGATATATCGTTATCGTTTTAGGTATTGGGAAAAAATCAACAAAAATGACAGATATAGGCATTGAAACACATAATTTTGGTGTAAAACATTCATAGATGTTATGTACAGTATCAAAGAATGTATTGAACAAACAAAACTCAAAATTTACTAATAATAAGATATACATATGATGAAATATAAGTTGTATGCAATGCGCGTTAATGAAAAGTTTGAAAATAAAATGTTAATTAGAATGAATAAACCATGCATAAATCCATAGTTTGTTTAAACATGCAATTTAGATAAGTGTCCATCTACATAAATGAAGAGTTCCTATGAAGTTCAAATTATGAGGAACAACCATCTAGATTCATACAATAATCATACCAAGTCATGTAACCCGAGCAATTTGTAAGCCATGTTTGAACATGGGTCTCTCTTGAGGCCCCTATTGTCCTCCCATATATGAGATAATTAGGATTAACTCATTAGTAGGTCCATAATCTGTTTTATCATCTTGAGCTCCATAACTATTTGCACTATAATCAGACATGACATAACCATAGCCATTATAAGATTCATTTGAGTTAGTACTAGGTCTAGTTCCTATGCTCATAGATCCAAAACTGATCGCCATGTCCTCTTCAGATGGATTGGAGGTATGTGGGCAATGGACTATGCATAGATTTTTCATATTAATAAATTATAGGGTTTTGGGCAAGGATTAGTTATTTTTGGGTTTCAATTTGCTTCAATTGCCTTCAAAACTTCTGAATTTTTTTTGGGTTCTGTTATGGATATCGGGAAATATCAGGGATATTGGCAAAATATCAGAGATATCGCACTTATCGGGGATATATCATCGATACATGGGAAGATATGACTTTACCCCCCAGTATCGGTGTCGATGGTTGAAAATACCGATATATCGGTGTATCGACCGATATTTCAATCCTTGGTGTGGATGATTATGACACATAATTAAATTACTTACTTAGACCACAAGCTTCTGTACTTTTCTCTCCATATATAATCCGCTTCTTCCTTGATCGCCAACTCATTTTCAATTAAAAACCTAATTAAAGTAGACGAAGGCCTCACCCTCAAACTATGACAACCGTGGGCCTTAGCATTCTCATGGTCCATGGACTCAAGGTCATCCAATCAAAGTCTCCAAAGTCCATAAGGCTTGTCTATGCCATTGCAAATTGCGCTAAATAGTCTCATTGTATAAAGATAAATAAAAAATAAATAAAATGCTAAAAACAATTGGAATACGTTCCAGGCCTGGTTTCCACACGATGGATGACCGCTCTTATCCGGCCAACTAACTGAAATTTGGCGCCCTCTTCTCTTCTCTCATAACTATGCTCTCATCTTTTGCTCTTTTGCGTCATGTTGTCTACTTGTCTACCGTCTGTTCTTCCTTCATTTACTAGCAAACTAGATAAGCTAGCTACCTAGGCTAGCTCTTGCCATGCCCAGCATCTCCTCCTGCAATAAACCCCAAGGTACTCCCTCTCTCTCTCTCTCTCTCTCTCTCTCTCTCTCTGTGTTAATTTTTTCCAAGTTTAATTCAGTAATGTTAATCAGTCATTGCACATTGCATGTGCCCATAACACTTGCTAAGTTCTAGTTCTACCCAACTTTTTGTTTCTAAGATTTTTCCTTTGGGTAGTGAAAATTTCAGCAATTGGGTATCTCTGCAATCTTCATGTAGTTTCAATGGCTCCCACTGGGCAGCCAAGTTCTTATCTTTCTTGCTTTTGTTTTTTCTGGTTACTCCAAGTTCTTATTTTGATTGCAATCTTTTATAGTATAAGGGGAAATGTTAACGATATTTGAACTGTATTTAGAGTCTTGACAAAAATAAGCAAAGTTTTCTTTATTTGACTTTGATTCTACTCCCATATCAAGATTTATTAGGTTTTTATATACTTTCTGGTCTTCATAAGTTGTTAGAGAAACAGGGTATTTATAACTCTTTGTATTCAAAATTGGAACATTTGGGTCATTGGGTTCATTAGTAATTTTTTTTTAAGAGAGCAAATACTACCGTGGTGAATCTTTCTTTTTGTTTTTAGTCAGGGGTTGAATCAATTATAAAAAAGTAAACACAGTTAGGCCAACAAAAAAAAAAAAGAAGAAGGCAATAAAACTTCTGTCAAGAAAAGCAAAGTCAAGGCTCTCAGAACATTTTGAAGGGAATGAATTTCTCATGATGTACATTCCAGGGAAACAGAACCAATGTAATCAATCTTTTTCATTCCTACCAGGTTTATAGAAAATTAAAAAAAATGAATACCACTGATACAATGAACTGTATTCAGGTCAGAATTTGAGGTGAAAACGCTGGAAGTATGGCACTGGCTGGACGTTCAATTTTCCTGTACCATAATGATAGTATTGGCAATACATGTATCAGGTTGGGACTTACAAGTGACGAAAGGTTTCAGAAGAGAAGGATGGTTGGTTTTCATGTGGTTGTGAAATTTCCCTCCAATAGAAGAAAATCAAGACACTCCCAATTCATTAGGTCTAAAAGAAACTTTTGTGCTTTGGGGTCAAAATGCTCTTCACTGCTCTCTAGCAAGACAGAGGAGGCTTTCTCAAAATGTAGCACGAGAACTAGTGAACCTGAGGTAGCTTGCAAGAAGTATCTGCACTTGGTTTCTTGATAGATTAAGGTGATGATTGACCTTTATCTCTCTCTAATTTGCTTTTGCAGATGAAACGAGTAATCAGTTTTCTGCTTGAAGAAGCATCAAGTTGCATTAAAGAGTGGAGCCAGTTACATTTCATGAAAGTAGCTGGTTTGCTGGCATGCACTTTCATGATCATGCCATCAGCCAATGCCACCGATGCTCTCAAAACTTGTGCCTGCTTACTTAAGGAATGCAGGTAATTCATTAAAACGAGTCTGATACTTATAGTTGGTATCTTTATCATGATTGCTAATAGAACCATACTGCTTTCTATCTGCCTTTTTTTTTTGGTAAACTCTATCTGCGCCTTTTGTTTTCTTTAATATGTCCCAATTTTCTGCATTTGAGTACTTCACGCAGAAACACCAATCCAGTTATTTAGTTTGTAAGAGAACTCATTACTACATACATTTTTTTTAAATTCTTTATGGTAAGAATTTAATTTGGCTTGTTAAAAATGTTGGTTTAGGTTTTGGCTTATAATAGGGTAAGGGAATGGTTATCTTAGTCTACAAGTGATTTTACTCGAATTCCATACGAAAGGTTCCGGACGAAGTGTTGGTCACTATATATGTGTAATAGTTTTGCTCTTTAATTTTTCGTTTTTTTTTGTTTTTTTTTAACTTAAAACTTAGTCTTGGTCTTTAATTTGATTACTGGAGTACCTATTCATGTCAGGGTAGAACTTGCAAAGTGTATTGGAAACCCATCATGTGCTGCCAATATTGCTTGTCTGCAAACTTGCAATAATCGACCTGATGAGACTGAATGCCAGGCTAGTTCTCTCTCTATCTCGATCACATTCACCAGTTCTAAAGTTTATACAGGGGGGAATTCTGGTGTCATTTATGCGTTTGTCTTATTCCTTTTCGCAGATTAAATGTGGGGACCTGTTTGAAAACAGTGTCGTAGATGAATTTAATGAATGTGCAGTGTCGCGAAAGAAGTGTGTACCCAAGAAATCTGATGTGGGAGAATTTCCCATCCCAGATCCGGCTGTTCTTGTTAAAAGCTTTGATATTGAAAAATTTAATGGAAAGTGGTTCATTACAAGTGGCTTGAATCCTACCTTTGATGTATTTGATTGCCAGTTGCATGAATTCCATACAGAATCCAGCAAACTTGTGGGGAATTTGTCTTGGAGAATACGAACCCCGGATGGTGGCTTTTTCACTAGATCAGCTGTGCAGAAATTCGTGCAAGACCCAAATCAGCCTGGAATACTTTACAATCATGACAATGACTATCTTCACTATCAAGATGACTGGTAATTCATGTCACATGAATACCTCCTTATCTTGTTCCTCTTGATGTTTGATTATGCATGCTTCCTTCCATTTATGTGGTGGTTTCCACCATTTTGTCTTTATTTTGGCTTTTCTGTGAACTCTAAACCTTACCATAAGTCATACATGATGTATGCAGGTATATTCTATCGTCCAAGATGGAGAATAAACCGGATGACTACATATTTGTGTACTACCGTGGAAGGAATGATGCATGGGATGGCTACGGCGGTGCTGTGATATACACAAGGAGTTCAGTTTTGCCAGCAAGCATTGTTCCTGACCTTGAAAAAGCAGCTGCAAGTGTGGGAAGGGACTTTAGCAAGTTTATCAGAACAGATAATACTTGTGGCCCTGAGCCTCCTCTTGTAGAGAGGTTGGAGAAGACACTTGAAGAAGGGGAAAAGAACATTATAGAGGAAGTTAAACAGATAGAAGGGGAAGTTGAGAAGGTTGAACAGACTGAGTTGACATTGTTGCAAAAGTTAGCTGAAGGGTTTAACGTGCTTAAACAAGATGAGGAGAATTTCTTGAGAGGGCTTAGCAAAGAAGAGATGGATATATTGAGCGAGCTAAAAATGGAAGCAGGTGAAGTAGAAAAGCTTTTTGGACAAACACTTCCACTTAGGAAGCTAAGATAGTTGAGTACTATGAAAGGGTATGTCTTCTTGTTTATAGTTATACCATATCGTTATTTATGTATTACTTCTCTTTCAGAATGCAAGCTGATATTACATACTGTCTTTCTTGGAAGCAAGCTATTTTGCTTTCAATGATTTCATTGTTGGCAGTGAAAAGGGTTAATACAGTGTTCTATTTCTCAAAAGCAAATTTACAAGAAAAAAACAAAACTAGGGAGTCTGAATCCACCGTTTGCTTTAGCCGATGTGATTCCAACAATTGAATGACTGTTGATTCCTATATTCAACTTGACAACTTTATACATAAAACTCTTGAATGTAAGAATGCTGAGGTAAATTATAACAATAAGTACACTCCCTTTTAATGTCAGCACCCTGTGCAATTTACCATTGATCCCATTGCCTTCTCTTAATAGTTTGGCTCAGTACCAAGGGAAAAATACATTAAGTTATTATCTGAAGCCACCCATAATTCAATAAAACTTCTTTCTTTTGTTTGTTTCTTTAAGTTTAAGGATATGTCGTTGAAGAAAAACTATACCAGAAGTCCCGAAATTGAAGTATAATTGAAATCTTAAAAAAGAAAAAAGAAAAAAAAGAGAACCTCATCATTAAATTCTTGGCCCAGTGCAGTTTTCTCCCTCTGCCAAAGTACTACTTATGCAGCTCGATTGGGTTCCTCAGTACCAGTGCTTCTTGTTTGCTATCTCTGAAGGACAAAAGCCTTGCATGGCTCCTCCATGCAAAAAGAAAAAAAATCCCATGTTGAAGTTTATGTGCAAGGTAGAGACATTCTAGTAGTGACTGGACACGCATTTTTTTGGTGTTAGAGCCTCCCGTGATTCCATCCTGGAGTGGTTCGGGTCAAAATGAACATTTCCATCCTTTAGTACCGGTAATGGTGCCCTGTTTCTGTTTTGCTGCTCATCTGGTCTGCTGCTTATGTTGTGCCGATCATCTGGTCCCCTGCTTCCGTTTTGCTGATCATCGGTGCAAACACTTCCACCTTCGTTTGAATGTTCCCCAGTACTGCTAATGCCGCCCAATGTAACAGTTGCACTCTCTTTTTCTGATTTTCTACTGCTGTTCTTTTGGCTATTAGAAACACTTTCTTCTGTTGATCCTCTGCTGCTGCTTCTAGAAGAAACACTTGCATATTTAGATTGATTACTGCTCACTTGGCTTGTATTGCCATCCAGATTATGATGACCTTTGTTGCTCTTCTGGCTTGACACACTTGATTCTTTGCTACCTCTTTGACTTGAATAAACACTTTCGTCCTGAAATCTCATGCTGCCTTTGGGGCTTGAAAATGAATGCCATTCTTTTGATTCTGTACCAGTTTCTTGGGGTTCATCTTCACTACCGTCACCATCTGAAATGTCAGTGCCACGGAGGTTATTACTTGAAATTCTGATACTCTCCTCCTGATCAGAAACCTCCCCATCTTCAACTTCTGAACATTCAGAAGCGCATTCTGAACCATCAAGGTTCTCATCATGATTTTCGGTTGGTTTTGTATCAGCTGGAAGAGGAGCAGGGATAGCCTCAGGAGGAGGAGGGGTTGTAGAAAGAAAACTTAGAGTTGTCACAACGTCACTCATGAAGGGACGGACTCCTGCCTCCTCTTGCAGGCACATGGCTGCAATTGCAACAGCTTGATTTAGATCTTTTTCTGGGAATTCCCTGTTAAGAAGAGGATCTGCCAAATCAGGAAACTTTTTCGGGTCCCTGAATAAGGGTTGTGCCTGCTCACACATCCAAAATAGAACAAAGTTACGCATGATAATATCACATTAAGAGTGAATTAAAAGACTGGTTAGGCATAATCTTCTTCTAGAGAGAGAGAGAGAGAGAGAGAGAGAGAGTATATATATATATATTTTAGATAGGTGGAAATGATAAGGTATTTACCCAAGATACTAGATTTTGCTCATCATTTGGTCTTGTAGTGTCAATAGCTCTTCTTCCAGTAATGAGCTCCAGTAGAACAACTCCAAAACTGTACACATCTGACTTCATTGTGACTTCACCTGATTTTGAATACTCAGGAGCACAGAAACCATACGTACCCATCAGCCTTGATGGTCCATGCATCTTATCTCCATCAGGGCCAAGCTTGGCAAGTCCAACATCTGAGAGCTTTGGATTGAATTCTTCATCTAACAAGATATTTGAAGATTTTAAATCACGATATATAACCGGGGGATTGGCCTTTTCATGCAAGTACTCCAGTCCCAGAGCAGCACCATAAGCTATTTTAACTCGGGCATACCAATCTAATGGCTTATGACCTGATCCATCAACTGCAGCAGATGAGTATATTGATCAGGGTAAATTACTAATTAAATTGAATTTGCAATGTACAGTATGGGATTAAGTACCAAGAACACTTATAGAGCTAATAATGGGGTCCTAGATCAAGAAAACAGTAGAGGAAAAAAGGAGGGTAATTACCAAGAACACGATCATCTAGAGAATTGCCCGATATGTATTCATACACCAAAAGTCTTTGATCTCCATCAGCACAATATCCAATTAGATTAACCAGATTTGGATGGTGTAGGAGGCTTAGCGTCAAAACGTCCCCAAGGAACTCCTTGTTTCCTTGCATTCCATTTCTGTCCAGTTGCTTCACTGCCACCACCTATAAACAAGATGGGAAAACTCACTTACTCATTGAAAAATCTTCATTAAAAACCAAAAAGCAAATGCAAAGTCAGAGTATAAATAGACTCTTCATACAGTCATACATCTAAAAGATCAAGCAAACGTTCTTAGTTATTACCTGCCCGCTGGACTGAAAAGTCCCCTTATAGACTCTTCCAAAACCACCTTCTCCCAAAAGACATTCCTGACGGAAATTCTTTGTTGCTGTGGCTAGCTCACGGAAAGTGAAAGTCTTTGCATTAATATCTGCTGGGTTAACTCCCTCTGCAGGTTTTTGTTTTTTCAATTCTGCTGAAATAACGATAAGAGGTTTTAGCCCACATGCCTTAGCTATATAGCATTGTTTCGCCTAAATTACAATCATGCGTATTTGTATTTATATGTATATGTATGCCCTAGCATGCTTTATGGTTTTCTTCCTATAGCTTCTATATATATATATATATATATATATATATATATGTATATAAATTTATGAGCTAAGTGCAACTCTGATTAACAAATATATGTTGCTACATTATAATTAATGCAGTCAGGACATTGCACTAGAAGTACAACCAAGCCTTGCCTTGTCTTGTCTAAATTTGATTATTAATTAAAACCAAGGTTTCTGAAATCACAATTAGCTTACCTTGTCCGATAGGTGGAGAGGCATTCTCTAATCTCTTGCTATTTGATCTCTTACTTCTCTGTGATCCAAACACGGGAAGCAGCTCATGTCTTCTTAACTCTTGGCAAATGAATGAATGCTTGCTAACTCGAAATGAAGTTAATATTACAATGCAAAATGAAAATATGAAAAAGGAAAGAAAAAAGAAGAAGTTTGTCAACAAAACTGTTTGTTTGACAAGAAATGCAGAAGAGGAGGACAAGGGAGGAGGAGGAGGAGGAGGAAGAGGAGGAGAGGGGATCAGGGTCCTCCAAGAATATTGAAAGAGGAGGACCCCGCAGGTGGGGAGAGGGCAGGTAATTGCTGTTTGGAATGGGGGGCAAAAAAACAAGAACAACTAGAGAATGCTAGGCATTGGGGGTTGCCATGTTTTGGGGTGTTAGAAAAATGAGAGACTTTTCCTTAGACTTCTCGCAGAAAAAGGTGGAGATGTGAGTGGATACTTCGTAAGGTGTCCGGCCCTTTAAAACTGAGGAGAGCAAAATGTGGGAAGATTATTGAATTTCAGTTACCATTACAGGCTATACCTGGAGGGTGTCCAGCCCACCCATTTTTGCCAGCAGTTATTTTAAGGGGCAGCATTTGGCTTTGCTTGCATGCCATTTTAATTATTTCTTCTGTTTTATTAGTTTCCCACACCTCAGAATGAGCAAGATTATTATTGGATTAATGAGATCTCTGTCAACTTACATGTTATTATTTTGCTGTTGTTGTTAATTGTACATATATATCCAAATTGAAATCCCAATGAACAAGAGGAGTGATGGAGTGATGGGTGTCCACATACAGGTCAAGGGTTACAACTTACATTACATCAAATTAGATTGGTTGTGTTCTGGGCCTGGTCCAACCCTCAATATATTAATTAACATAATTTTTTATTATGTTAATATGTATTATTAGTTTTGATTTCTATTCTGTCAAACAGAATATCTTCTCAAATCAGACAGTATAATTTTTCTCTTCTAAGATGAAGATGGCTTGTCAAGTTTTCACCAAATTAATTAAGCCGCCGCCAGCCAAGTCTTTTTCATACTTTATTTTTAGTATAAATGATAATTTAAACTACATAGGAGGAAGATTTTTCACACACAACTATGATACCGTGGTGATCAATGGCGGAGCCACTCCTAAACCCAAAGTGGACTTGGCCTTCACCAGATTCTGATCACTCCAATATTATATTATATTATATTATATATATAGAATTTGTATTAAACAACTTATAATTTAAGTTAAAATTTCTTCTAAAACAAATTAGATATGACTAAATTAAAAATATTTAGCTCTAAACATGTCACTATAGAATACGTAGGTGTTTTATATACTCATATTTTTTTATTTCGGCCCCTCCAACTTTACAATTCTATCTTCGCTCCTAGTGGTGATTTGAACTTGAGACCTTTAATTTGCAAATCAACGTCATTTTCCTCTAGATTAGACTTCGTTGATGTCTTTTATACACTTTTGAATCCTAGCAAAAGGGTCCTTAATCCGACTGGACCAACTACTTTGCTTAATTATAAAAATACAAGGAAAATACAAAACAAAACCTTTGGTTACTTTTACTGTTGAGCAAACAATAAACATGTGGGGGTGAAGTGGAAATGGAAAGTAAAAAAGAAAAATAAATTAAAATTGTGAGTGCGTTTCTGAGTCCAGAAAGGAAAGATGAAAAGATTGCTAGTATAAGATTACAAGTGAAGGGTGTTAGAGAAATGATAGAATACTACGTATAGTTATGTGATATATTTTATATGTGTTATAATATGAATGAATAACAGTTTATTTTTCCTCTTCTTATATTATAATATATGTACAAAATATATCATATAATCGTAGTACATAGTATTTTATAATCACTTGGTCTCAAAGGGAGGGAGTGATTTTGTGAGTTGTGTGGCGGCAATTGGAGAGCACATCACATGCAGCAGCAAAGCAGGCAAGCAGTTGACACATAGAAAGTCGGTCTTTGACACGTCAAAAAGAGCACATCACATGCTCCCATGCATCATGGCCTAACCCTAATGATCTAATTTTGTTGTGTGAACGTACGTTTTGAGTCTTGGACATTTAATGTAGAGTAGGATGAGCAGCAGAGTGAGGTGGCCTTTTTATGCAAGGAACATCACTTAAATATTTAACTTATTCACCATGCGTATGTGTTACTACTAGAGTTATTGTTTTCTTCTTCCACCAAACATTTGTATTATCAATTTTGTTGCGTTAATTCTCACCTAATTATACACCGAACTTATTAATTTTCCTTCTTGCGTAAGTTTATGACAATTGTTAGCAACTTAAGCATTTGACCCTTTCTTCGATTTTAAAATTATTATTAAATAAAAACCCCAGCATTTTTATGGAGTTTTTTTTTTGGGCTGAACATTCTACATGCAAGGTTGTCATGTCATCCAAAAAACATTGTACGTGGAATGTTCTTCTTCCCCCCCCAAACAAAAAAAAAAAAAAAAAAAAAAAAAAAAAAAAAAAAAAAAAAAAAAAAAGGTGAATAAATAAATAAATAAAGATTCGGATGGGAAAAAAAGAAATGAGCTTTTATTTAGCTTTAACCAATTATTATTTTGTGGTTGATATATCCAGGATCTGACAGCTTTTCACAGAGACAGACAGAGAGAGAGAGAACCCAAAAACTTAGTAGCTAAGATTTCCTCTCTTCCTATCTCTTTAGTCGCGCTCTCTCCTCTCTATAAATAGGTTTATAACACAACATACTTTTAACATGCGAGTGACAATACACACAGTACATTTCACTCTCATTGAAAACAGAGACAAAAAAGAAACGCAGAACAAAATACCCAAGTGAAACACGAAGGCGATGTTCAAGTTCATCTTAGGCGGTGGAAGCCAAAAGAAAACAGACGTCGGTGTCGGTGTCAGTGGCGGAGAAGAACAAGAAGAAGGTAGAATCAGCTGCGGAACGGTCATGGTGGATCGCATAGATCTGCAGAACTTGCCCGAAGGATGCATAGCGAACGTTGTCTCGCTCACCACGCCTCGAGATGCGTGCAGGCTGTCTTCGGTTTCGAGGAGTTTCAAGTCGGCCTCTGAATCTGACGCCGTTTGGGACAGATTCATTCCGCCCGAGACCCACACGATCTTGTCCCTACAGTCTCCCTCCTCTTCCTCCCCTTCCTCCACTTCCAATTCCAAATCCAAATCCAAGAAGGAGCTTTACCTCACTCTCTGCGACAACCCAGTCCTCATCGATCAGGGCAAGATGGTAACTTTCACTATTATGCCCCATATTTTGAGTCACAAAAACAAAAATTCTTACTTTTCAGAATATGAACAGGATTTATTTATTCACTTTTTTTTTGGGGTGGATGATTTGTTTATTTAATTTTTGCTTTATTGCAAAAAAGTTAAAAAACAGATGCCTCTGTTTTTATTAATATCATCATAGATTGATTCGTGTGGGCCGGCAAAATCGTAACTTTTGCTGTTTTGCGGTGGGACCTTTGGGTTGGGGAGCATTAAGATTTGGTTGCATTGTTGATAATGATATGAATGTTTTAAGATGTGACCAAAAAGTGATACAGTAGATTTTGACCAAATTGTAATGGAACAGACTCTTATGAGTCAAAAACAAAATGCTACAACTAATCCTATACGAAAAAAGATAAGGAAATTAGAGGGCTTTTAGCTTTTTCCTTGGTCACTGAGAGTGTTTTTGTTATTGACATGAATATTATGATTGTGCAGAGCTTTTCACTGGAAAAAAGCAGTGGGAAAAAATGCTATATGATCTCTGCAAGGGCGCTTTCGATTGTCTGGGCTGACACTCCTCACTACTGGAAATGGATTTCTCTGCCCGACTCCAGGTCTGTCAAATTTCTCTATTTTCTTTTTCTTTTTCTTTTTCTTTCTTTTAAGGATTTATTTCATAAACAATAGATTTAATAATCATAAGCAAACAGGTTTGAGGAGGTGGCAGAGCTTGTGAGTGTGTGTTGGCTTGAAATCCGTGGCAAAATTGGTAGACGGATGCTGTCCCCATCCACCCTATATAAAGCTTATCTTGTATTCAAGTCGACCGCAGGCGCTTATGGATTTGATCACCAACCTGTGGAGGTCTCGGTTGGGATGCTTGGAGGAGAAGAGCCCACCATGGGCAGAGTCTTTCTGGACGCAGAAAGAGGGCAGAATACAGCGAACCACATTGCGCCAGGGCCCAGGCGTATTGGGCTAATCAACAGGAGACACTTTTTGGGCTATCAGTCATCCCAGCCCAGAGAGATCAACGAGGCCCAATATCCGAAAGAGAGAGACGACGGCTGGCTGGAGATCGAGCTGGGTGAGTTCTTCTGCCAAGGAGGAGGAGACGGAGGAGATGGGGAGTTGGAGATGGCTTGTTTGGAGGTTACCGGTGGTCATTGGAAGGGTGGCCTCATTGTTCAAGGGATTGAGATCAGGCCCAAAGTCAAGGACTAGTAGATAGATCCATCTCATCGCATCTATAAAGACTTTTTTCTTTTATCAGTTATTAGTGTAATTTGGAATAAAAAGCTGTTGCCTTTGTTCTCTACATTGTAATTTGTCGCAATCGACATTTATGAATCTTGGCCAAGTCGATAGTCAATTGCTTCATTGTTGTGGTATTTGTCTTAAAGAATTCATAAAAAATTAATTAAAAATCAGAAAAATATACATAAATTGCTACAAACTTCCCACAACATTATCTTTGATTATGGAGTTCTAAAGTCATGATTCCAAGTATGTGAATTTATGATAATGATTGGATCATAGAAACAAGAGTGTTAGTTCATAGAACACTAACTAGTGCTTTGGTTTGTTTAGAAACAAACAAGAGTTTTTATTTGATTTTCTTTTTTGAAGTGTCAAAATTATATTTTGTTGGCAAGTCCTTACTTAGTTAGGATTTTGGTTACTTACCCAATTATTTAGTCTTATTATAATTGAAATTTATTTCCTATTTTATTTAGGGTTGTACTTCCTTATAAATACATTTATATTGGAGATAAACTGATATGAGCATATACAAACATATCTGAATATTTGCCCTTACTTTGTTTGACATGTATCAGAGCCTAGGTTTTCTTATGACATGTGCTTGCGTTATCCTTGCAATTTAAGTGCTCTCCTCCCCTCATCTTCAAGGAGGAAGAGGGAGTGAAAATGATATGTTTATTGATGTATCCCTATTACCTTGACGAACTCCTATGAATATATTGCATATTTCTTAACTCCAACGACCCCTTCTCTTTATGGTGATAGGTGGAGGGAAGAGAAGTTCTGTCTGCTTGAATTAGCTACAGTTGATATGGAAGAATTTGTAATTTCCGTTTTTCTGATGCCGTTGACGTGGCCATTGCTGTCGTCGTTGATGTTGCCTTTGTTTGCTTCGCTTTTCGTTGCTATGGTCATTGCCGATGATGTTGCTGTGTTTTGATCATCAACCAACCTACTATTGGGATTCAAATTGAATGGATCCAACCATGCGATTTGGGCTTCGATGATTGAACTTTATGCTACTTCACAAAGAAAATTGGGTTATCTAACTCATGACTTTGATGCCCCATATTCCAAAGATCCACAATTTGAAAAGTGGAAAATTTATGATACTACCGTGAAAAGTTGGATGATGCGCACTATGGAATCTAGTTTGTTGAATATGTTTCATACTTACCTACTAATGTCCTCACATGGTTTATGTGTTCTGCCTTATCTATTGTTGTGTTTGCATGATTTCTGTGTTATGCTTTTATGTGTTCTTCTATGTGCCCTATTTGTTAGGGTTTGTCAATTGTTTCACTCGTGGTTTATGACAAAGTCTTCTCTATAGTTGTTTGATTGATCAATGTCGAGTATGGTGTTCTATGACTCACTTGTCAAGTTGGGCGTGCAAAATATCTTTACCCCAAATTAAGGGGGAATGTTAGCAAGTCCTTACTTAGTTAGGATTTTGGTTACTTATCCATTTATCTAGTCCTATTATAATTGAGATTGATTTCCTATTTTATTTAGGGTTGTACTTCTTATAAATACCTCTATATTAGAGATAAACTGATATGAGCATATACGAGCATATCTAAATATTTGCCATACTTTGTTTGACTTATTTTTGGAGCATGAGAAATTATATAATGTCATAAGGAGTTCGTACGAATTTTTGTGTGTATTTTTAATTTATTTATTATGATTTACATGAGGTTTTACAAGATTAAGGACCAATATTACAATATTTTGGATACGAAGGTGCCACAACGTTGTAAAGAGAATCCAAAAACATGTAAGTTACAAGATTTTGGTATCAATTTATGAGTTTTTGCACTTGAATTACAACATTTGGGTTCACCGAATCCATAATGTTGTAAATTCCCTTTTTACTAGGATATGGATGCACTTTACGCAATTTTGCATCGTGATTAAAACGTTAAGTAAAAACTGCTCCTTATTCTTGTAAAAACAATGGTTTACAACATTACGGACCCATCTTACAACATTTGAGACATGAACGTTCCCAAACCTTGTAATACCATGGGTTTCGTAATTGCCAATCAAGCAGTCGGTTTTTGCAAATTGTAATGCCAATTATGTATTGTCTATTTATCGATTGTCAACTTGATGGGGTTGAGGGAGAGCAAAATAGGCAATTGATGGGTATCAATTTGATAGTTGATGAGTATCAGTTCAGTAATTGATGGTAAAACATGCTTCTTTTTTTAAATTTTATTTATTTATTTATTTATATCAATGGCAATTGCCAAACAAGAGACAAATTTTCCGTTGTTATTTAAAAGTGAGATATGACTTAACAAAAAAGAGCTTAACAATAAAAGTTAATATGTAAAAATCTAATGCTTTGTACCTTTATTTATGTGGATTTGTATGACCTAATACTTTCTATTAACTTGTATTTATTTTACCCTTAATCAATTCAAATGTTTATTTTAGAAAATAAACTTGTCCAACTGCATAGTTCAATTTTCTTTTGTATTTTCATAATAAACATATAAAGCATGGGACTACTATGATTGTCAATTGCACGACTGGAATGCAAATATGACTACTTTGATTGTCAATTGCACGACTGGAATGCAAATGACACTACCTGTTTGTCAATTGCATTGACAAATCACATATTGTATTCATATTTTCAATTAATTGTTCACAGATAATGGCAATTGCGCGATTGGAATGCAAATGAGACTGCTTTGTTTGTCAATAGCACAACTGGAATGCAAATGACATTACCTGTTTGTCAATTGCATTGACAAACCACATATTGTATTTACATTCTCAAAATTGAAAAGGCTACCAATAACATGAGAATATGCATACACTAATTGTAAAAACGGACTAACCAATTGCTAATTGGATTCAAAAATGACATATCGAAGCACCTATTGCATTTTCATTACAAAAATGCAAGGCAACAATTATAATGTCATATACTCTAATTGCAATAACAGACTAGTCAGTTGGTAATTGCATTATGAAAATGCAAGAAGGTTGCCAATTGTATGCTAAGTTACGTACACCAACTGCAAAAAACTCCTTACAATTTGGTAATTACATGCCTAAATATTATATCAAACTTCAATATAATACAACAATTCCGATGAAGATGAGTTGAAGATGAAATCAATGTCAGAGCTCATAATATCATTACAATTAAGAAATTCTACCTAATGCTTTTCAAATGAGTCAACAAAAATTTCAACATCAACAATATGCCAAAACAAAAAAAAAAAAAAAAAAAATATTGGGTTAAAAAAAAAAAAAATCAAACACAATGGGTTTCTTTTCAGCAAAAAAAAACTCACATCCACATCTCGACCACAATGCCAAGCTAAATAAAAAAACAAATAGTACAAAAAGAATAGTATGACTGAAAAAGAAAATTAAAGCTTCGTAAACAAAAGGTGCAAAGAAATAATTAAATTTCTAAATAATTATATAAAGCAACAAACTGAAATCTCACATCCAATATAAATAAATATTTAACACTACAAAAATGTTAATAACATGTCAACCATCTAGGAAAATGATATTAAAAACATATAAACATAGGGAAATAAACTAAATGATCTAATATCCACTAAGTGTACGTCTCAAACTATATACAACTTGTCACTTGGAAGCTTGACTTTCCTTGATGAGCCTAAGATTGCCTTTTTGGTATGAGCCACACTAATCACATCAAGTTGCTAAAATGTAAATGTATGAATTAAAGAGTTAATTAATGCACATGGAACTAAGACTAAGCAAAATTCAGATAATAGATGATGCCTTAAATAATCTCTAATGTTTAATAACATATATAATGATGAATATTTAAAACTCGCATACATGAAGGGTTGACAATCCTAGGATAGTAAGCATGAGAGAGGAGGTAATAAGCAGAGCTTCCTATGTAGATGTACACATGATGAATGAAAATCAAGCAATTCATAGAAAATTACAGCACTCTTTCTGCAGTACAACACCAAGTGAACATCCAATTGTCAGTTAGTAAGAGAAAGCACAAGGTCATCAAAAAATTAGAGAGCCTAAAAGGAAACTAAAGAAACTAACAGAGGCTTTTATTGTTTGGTTGTTAGGTAGCTTTCATTAAATCCCAAAAAAGAGGCAACCTTCACACACATTTAGTAGAATACTGACAAGAAGAAAAAAAGAAAAAAAATCATAACAAGCTTCCAAAGATTATATTCATAAATCAATGGGGCTACAAGAGGATGAGAAATCCTCACACCCCCCATCCCACATGACCAAGACTACGAACAAAAGCAAAAAAACCACATGAAAAAGAAGAATTCGGGCTAAACAAAGGCAAACAGAGCAACACTTCAGAGCCCAGAAAAAAAAGGAAAATAGAGACTTAAGACTGACATCATAGCACAATTAGGAATCCGAATATGAAAACAAGATGCAACTTGTAGACACAAGAACCAACTCATAAAAAAAAAATCAATTGGAAAAAAAAATCCAAAAATTGATGAATGCAGCAGTAAACTCAAAATTAAACTAACATTACCAAATCTACATCTAGTTCAACACTAATATGAAATCCTCACCTTGTCTCCAAATTAATGGTCCAAATACAAATTAAAAAGTTGAAAACCTGCACAAACCATAGCCCAATATTAAAACCTAAAACTTACAATATAAATTAGAAAACTCAAACCTTGAATAATTAAAATTATCATTTGGCATAGGGAGAGTGATGCCCATAAGGATGCCCATTACTAAACTTTCTGGCTAAGATGGTTTCAGGTTAACAAAATTGAGAGAGAGAGAGAGAGAGAGAGAGAGAGAGAGAGAGAGAGAGAGAGAGAGAGAGAGAGAGAGAGAGAGAGAGAGAGAGAAAGAGAATCGAGTAAGGCCCCGTTTGAAATTGATTTTTTTACTAAAAACCTGTTTCACTTTAAAGTTAAGCAGTTTAAAGTGTTTGGTAAAAATAAAATATCCTGATTATTTTAAAAGCAGTGGTATTTTGACAGCAGCTTTTAAAAGCAGGCTCTGAGTTGCTCTTAAAAGAAGCTGAGATGAACCTTTAATGAATTTTTTTAATTAATAAAATACCGTCATTCATTTTTAAAAATGACACCACCTTCACTTCTACTTCCAACTCCAACACTTGCACCACCACATTCACTACCTCCACAACCACTGCCAGCACCACCACATCCTCCTCCTCCTCATCCTCCGCCACCACCACCACAACCACCACCTCATCCACCACCTCCACAACCACCTCATCCTCCACCACCACTACAACCACCACCATCACCACCATCACCACCACTACAACCACCACCATCACCATCTCCTCCAAAATCTCCACATCCATCACCACCTCCACAACCAACACCACCACCACCACCACAACCACCACCATGCTGCCATTGTTACCACCACCTCCACAACAGCCATCCCCACCACCACCACTACAACAACCACCAACTTCACCTTCATCACCACCACCACCACCACCTCCACTCCATCACCACCACTACCACCACATGATTAGTACATAACACTTTCAATATCATGTCTATTTTAGTCATTATTCACAGTTACAACAATTTTATATTAAAATTTACCAAACGGTTTTGACACTGCTTTTTTTTTACTAACAACACTTTAAAAATATTGTTTACCAAACATGAAGCTGCTTTACTTTACAGCTAATTATTTTTAAAGCACTGCAGAAGCAACTTTTTTCAAAAGTGACAGCAATCCCAAACTGAGCCTAAGGGAGGGAGAGTGAAGGCTGAAACGATTAAGAGAGAGAGAGAGAGAGCAGGGATCGAGCTAAATGAGGGTTTCAATTGGGGCGGAGATTTTTTGTATGGGTTTGGTTTTGAAATGAAGCTTGGGAAGGAGTTTGATAGACCATTAGATATAGAGATGAGAGAGACAGTCAGGGAGAAGAAAGAGAGATATTTTGGAAGGAGTCGAACTGGAAGAGAGAGAAAAGAGAAACCCAACGCTATTGAAGGAGAGTTTTTGTTTTTGTTTTCTTTTTACCTACAACAACCGATTTATCCTATAACTAACTCAACGCTGTGGATAACTCCACATCACCAACACTCATCCAAAGGTCTATAACAATGGGCACATCCATACGCCAAGCCCACCGTAGAGTTTTCGAGAGAGGCCCCAAAAGATTTCCTCTCTACCTATATCTTTAGTCTCGCTCTCTCCTCCCTATAAATAGCTTTATAACATAACATACTTTTAACATGAGAGTCACAATACACACAGTACATTTCACTCTCATTGAAAAAAGAGACAAAAAAGAAACGCAGAACAAAATACCCAAGTGAAACACGAAGACGATGTTCAAGTTCACATAGATCAGCTGCGGAACGGTCATGGTGGATCGCATAGATCTGCAGAACTTGCCCGAAGGATGCATAGCGAACGTTTTCTCGCTCACCACGCCTCGAGATGCGTGCAGGCTGTCTTCGGTTTCGAGGAGTTTCAAGTCGGCCTCTGAATCTGACGCCGTTTGGGACAGATTCATTCCGCCCGAGAACCACACGATCTTGTCCCTACAGTCTCCCTCCTCTTCCGTCTCTTCCTCCCCTTCCTCCCCTTCCTCCACTTCCAATTCCAAATCCAAGAAGGAGCTTTACCTCACTCTCTGCGACAACCCAGTCCTCATCGAGCAGGGCAAGATGGTAACTTTCACTATTATGCCCCATATTTTGAGTCACGAAAACAAAAATTCTTACTTTTCAGAATATGAACAGGATTTATTTATTCACTTTTTTTTTGGGTTGGATGATTTGTTTATTTAATTTTTGCTTTATTGCAAAAAAGTTAAAAACAGATGCCTCTGTTTTTATTAATATCATCATAGATTGATTCGTGTTGGGGAGCATTAAGATTTAGTTGCATTGTTGATAATGATATGAATGTTTTATAGGAGATTTTGACCAAATTGTAATGAAACAGACACAGGATTATGAGTCAAAAACAAAGTGCTACAAACAACTAATCCTATATGAAAAGAGATAAGGAAATTAGAGGGCTTTTAGCTTTTTGCTTGGTCATCTGAGAGTGTTATTGTTATTCACATGAATATTATGGTTGTGCAGAGCTTTTCACTGGACAAAAGCAGTGGGAAAAAATGCTATATGATCTCTGCAAGGGCGCTTTCGATTGTCTGGGCTGAGACTCCTCGCTACTGGAAATGGATATCTCTGCCCGACTCCAGGTCTGTCAAATTTCTCTATTTTCCTTTTCTTTTCCTTTCTTTTAAGGATTTATTTCATAAACAATAGATTTAATAATTATAAGCAAACAGGTTTGAGGAGGTGGCAGAGCTTGTGAGGGTGTGTTGGCTTGAAATCCGTGGCAAAATTGGTAGACGGATGCTGTCCCCATCCACCCTATATAAAGCTTATCTTGTATTCAAGTCGACTGCAGACGCTTATGGATTTGATCGCCACCCTGCGGAGGTCTGGGTTGGGATGCTTGGAGGAGAAGAGCCCACCAGGGGCAGAGTCTTTCTGGATGCAGAAAGAGGGCAGAATACCGGAAAGGCTATAATGAGGGCTTAAAGTGAGGAGGTTATTTGAGGAGGTCAAATCTCACCATCAACAAATGTAAAGAAATCATGGGACTTAAATATTTTAAATGTTTTGACGGTCGGATCGGTCTCCTCAAATAACCTTCTCACTTTAACTCCTCATTGTAGAAGCTCCCGCAGAATACAGCGTACCACATTGCGCCAGGGCCCAGGCGTATTGGGCTAATCAACAGGAGACACTTTTTGGGCTATCAGTCGTCCCAGCCCAGAGAGATCAACGAGGCCCAATATCCGAAAGAGAGAGACGACGGCTGGCTGGAGATCGAGCTGGGTGAGTTCTTCTGCCAAGGAGGAGGAGACGGAGGAGATGGGGAGTTGGAGATGGCTTGTTTGGGGAATCAAGGTGGTCATTGGAAGGGTGGCCTCATTTTTCAAGGGATTGAGATCAGGCCCAAAATCAAGGACTAGTAGTATAGATCCATCTCATCGCATCTATAAAGACTTTTTTCTCTTTTCAGTTATTAGTGTAATTTAGAATGAAAAGCTGTTGCCTTTGTTCTCTACATTGTAATTGTCGCAATCGACATTTATGAATCTTGGCCATGTCGATAGTCAATTGGTTCATTGTTGTGGTATTTGTCATTTGTGTTCATGATATAAAAAGCCAAACACTTGTGACCAATCGAGTTTGAACTTGTATGTGTTCCCTATTTCCTACTCTTGTCTAGGGTCTAGGTTCAGCTACGGTATGACCTCGTACTATACTAAGTACAAACATTTGAAAATATAATATAATCTCTTGTATTTACTACGAACACTTAAAAAATATAACAACTCATTACGAACACATGAATATATCAGTCGTATAATTAAACCTTTATTTACTCATCTCAACATTAAATTGAATTCATGTCGAGTTTGTTTTAGCCCTCTAATATGCATACTCGTATCTCAATTTTTATGTTAATTTATTTTTTCATATATGTCAAACTGTGATTTGTACAGAGTAAAAATGCCAAATCTTTGGAGTAGGAGTAGCAGCATACAAATCAACTTTATGTTTTCCAACTCCAATCATTATGGTAAATTTTAATTTTTCAACAACTTGTCACCATTGTTGGAAATTGGAAAAGCCCTCACCTGGCCCCAGCTGTGATGAAGAGAAATAAAAAGCAAGGAGGAAAGAGGAAGAGGTGATTAACATCAAAAAGGGTTTTTTTTATTTTTTTATTTCCCTTATAATTTTTTATTGGAAATGATAAAAATGAAATTATATTAAAATATACGAAACGAATTTTTAAGGTCACATAGAATTTTCTTTGTCAAGAAAAAAAACCGTCTTTATAAAGTCAGGATTTAAAAAATATTTTTTCAAACAAAATAAGGTAGTTTATTTTTCTTTATTTTATATTTTTATTTTAATGAGAGAGAACACAAGTAAGGACAGTTTTGTTGATGATGAAATGAAAATGTGTCATTGGGTCGTAAAACCCAAACGAAAAAACAAGAAAAAAAGGTTTTGTCAAGTTTGGTCTATCCCCTCGAATTGCCAGACTCCGAGAGCTTAGAAAGAAGACGACCCGAAACCGGAAAGCACCATCAGCTCAGCAGAAGCAGCGTCCCACTTTCACCCACCAGGTCCGCCATTTCTTTCTTCTTTGCTTCTCTAGTTTTCTATTTTAATCTTACATAATTATTTTCTACCGCATCCCACAAATAAACCACTTACTTAAAATGAAAAAGAAGAAGCAGAAGCTGTCGATTTCCCTTTTGACGTAATTGTGAGTAAATCATTTTGTTCAATGATTATTCAAAAGGAGAAGAACCCACTTAGTGAAAGTCCTAATTTTTAAAGCCTTTTGGGGTATTGGGATCTGTGGCTTAGTCTGTGGATGCGTTCTGAGAATCCCAATTTTCGTTTCAAAGGGATTTTGGGAATCTCTGGTTTATAATTTCCGTTTTATAAAATTCTCGTTTTGGGTTTGAGTTGGGAATCATTTTGGGGCAGAATGTTTCCGTTATGATATAATGGGTTATCCGTGATTTCTCAGTTTATTGTCTACTAGGTAATCACCAGTGTCTCAAATGGTCACATTGACTGCTTTGGTGAGCGTTACCATTTTTTGCAGTCGAGTCTGGTCTTATGGTGATTCTCATTCGACCTGCGTTGTGTTGGATGGCTAATGAATTGGAACTCGTGTAGTTCCTATAAGACTGTTAAGCCATGCTTTAAGGCTTGTGTGTTTGCCGTCAGCCTGGGTATGAGGAAATTGATGTCATGGGTGAAGAAGGAACGAGGTGTTATGTAGCGTGACTATGTTATCCGTAGATTATGTGGCAGATGCAAATTGACTCTGCTGTCAGAGCAAGAGTGATAGGGAGTTTTAGTGCAGTTAATTGCATTAAAAATGGTGTAATCCTCATTTGAATCGCTTGTTGCATGTGGGTCCAACACAAGTAAGTTCAATACATGTTAGAGTCAAAATTTCAAATTTCGGTCAAGAAGTGAGTTTTGCTGTCATTTCACATTTGCTTAAACATTGATACCAGTTATTAAGAAAAATTTGCTCATGGGGTTTTCTTTTGTCTCACAGGTGAGTTAATAGTTTTTCTTTTCCTGTAAAGGATATATAGTTCATCAACACCAAAGAGCCAAAGGATATACCTTGAATTACTATTCTATATCAGAAGCACCCCTCGCTTATAACTATTTATTAGTTAGTACTGGTATGATTCTTCCCATTTGTGTCTCCTGTTTTTTCAAGTTATGCATGGGTGTGGTCACGTGCACACACACACATACACACAAATGCTGCTTCCGTGTTCTTTTGTCCTTCCACTGCTGTATCCTTGTATGACAGGAGGTTTCATGTGGTGCAGGTGCTTACAATATACCTTTCTGCCGAATTTTCAATCTCTTTCAGGATGCGGAGAACCCTTAGAATCATGTGACACGTCTGGTACTGCTCGTGGATACATGGAAGATCATTCTTTACCTGCACCAGACACTTCTCTTAGCTTGACAGAATATGTATTAGATTTAGCTATTGGACAAGAATTTCCTGATGTTGAAACTTGCCGAAGAAGATTGAAGAATATTGCCCTAGTACAGCATTTTGATCTTCGTATAGTGAAATCAGATCGTAGCCGTTTTATAGCCAAGTGCTCCAAAGAAGGTTGTCCATGGCGTGTTCATGTAGCAAAATGTCCCGGAGTTCCAACCTTCACAGTAAGAACCCTGCATGGTGAGCATACTTGTGAAGGAGTTCTCAACCTTCATCATCAGCAAGCATCAGTAGGTTGGGTTGCTAGGTCTGTAGAAGCACGGGTTCGGGATAATCCACGATATAAGCCAAAAGAGATCCTGCAAGATATCCGTGATCAGCATGGAGTTGCTGTTTCTTACATGCAAGCTTGGCGTGGTAAGGAGCGTAGCATGGCAGCACTTCATGGAACTTTTGAAGAAGGGTATCGCCTTCTTCCTGCATACTGTGAGCAAATAAGGAAAACCAACCCAGGAAGCATTGCTTCAGTTTTTGCCATCGGACAAGAAAACTGCTTCCACCGTCTCTTTATTTCTTACCGTGCATCAATTTATGGTTTTATACATGCTTGTAGGCCACTTTTAGAACTTGATAGAGCACACCTCAAAGGCAAATACTTGGGTTCCTTACTTTGTGCCGCAGCTGTTGATGCTGATGATGCATTATTTCCATTGGCAATAGCTATCGTTGATGTAGAAAGTGACGAAAATTGGATGTGGTTTATGTCAGAATTGAGAAAACTACTTGGAGTAAGCACTGACAACATGCCTAGACTAACAATACTCTCTGAAAGACAAAGGGGTGTTGTAGAGGCTGTGGAAACTCATTTTCCAAGTGCCTTCCATGGTTTTTGTCTGCGTTATGTCAGTGAAAATTTTCGTGATACATTTAAGAATGCGAAGTTGGTGAATATCTTTTGGAATGCTGTTTATGCTCTCACTGCAGTTGAATTTGACAGCAAGATTGCAGAGATGGCAGAGATCTCGCAAGATGTGATACCATGGTTTCAACATTTCCCTCCCCAACTTTGGGCTGTCGCATATTTTGAAGGAGTGAGATATGGCCATTTTACTCTGGGTGTTACAGAGTTGTTGTATAATTGGGCCCTTGAATGCCATGAGCTCCCTATTGTGCAAATGATGGAGCACATTCGTCATCAGTTATCATCTTGGTATAATGATCGTCGGGATATGGGAATGAGGTGGGCATCAATATTAGTACCATCTGCTGAGAAGCGGGTTTTGGAGGCAATGGCTGATGCTCGATGCTATCAAGTACTTCGTGCAAATGAAGTTGAATTTGAGATTGTGTCGACTGAGCGGACAAATATTGTAGATATACAAACTCGTGTGTGCTCATGTCGCCGTTGGCATATATATGGTTTACCTTGTGCACATGCTGCTGCTGCACTTATGTCTTGTGGACACAATGTCCATTTATTTGCTGAGCCTTGGTTCACTGTAGCAAGTTACCGAGAGTCCTATTCACAGATGATTAATCCTATTCCAGATAAGAGCCTATGGAAGGAGTCAGGCGAGGGAACAGAGGGTGGAAGTGCCAATGTTGATATCACAATACGCCCACCCAAGACTCGGCGGCCACCTGGAAGACCCAAAAAGAAGGTCCTTCGTGTAGAGAACTTCAAGCGCCCAAAGAGAGTTGTTCAATGTGGTCGCTGCCATATGTTAGGACATTCTCAAAAGAAATGTACCTTGCCAAGTTGACCTGAATTAGCGTTTGTTAAAATCTTTCTTCCCCCTTTGTTCTGGTTCGTTTATCTTTTCTTTGTTCTAAAAATGCAGTAGGATCAGTGGTGTGTTTGTAATGTTAATGTAATGTTTTAATTAACTATTTTAGTTGCGAAATAAGGATTTAGTCCTTTTTTTGGCACAATTCCTTTCACTTATCATGTGCATACAGTGGCAGTATGTGTTTTCTGGATTTACACCAAAGCATGACTAAGTTGTAATGGACATTTGAACATGTTCTTGAGCATTTGTTTCTCTTGTTAGATTGTATTATAATTGTCCAGGCCTAAACATCTTTAGGTTCCATCGGTGATTGATCGATCGTATAGACATCTTTTGCATTTTGGGTTTGATGAATGAATTTTTGTATTTTAGGGGTTTCACTAATGAATTTTCACATTGCAGAATTTTGCTGATGAATTTTTGCATTTTGGAGTTTCAGGAATGAATTTTCTCATTTTGGGGTGTCGATAATGAATTTTCAATTGCCAAATCCATTCCAAAATGTGCAATTGATCATCTCCTAAATTACCATTACCAAAGATATAGAAAAATAGGCAATGATTTTGGCATTTAAGGGTTTCAATGATGAATGTATTTTGAGGTTTCATGATTGAATTATAGTATTTCAAGGTTTTGTTGATGAATTTCCCATTTTGGGGTTTTATGAATGAATTTTTGCATTTTAAGGTTTCAATAATTATTTTTGCCCATTACTGTTTCCTCCCTTACATTAACCTTACAATAGATGTGAAAAATACAGCTATCATTCAAAAATATCTGCAGATACAGCACTTTAGGGCACAATATCATACAAAACCAAACTTAAAACCATTGCGCTCAGCTCAAATTGGGTTTCAAATAATGACTGTTAACAAAATATTGTCGCAGACACCGTCACAACTTTTGTGTCTAAATCTAAATTTGGAGAGTACTATCCAGACTAACAGATGACAGTTAACACAAAATTTGTAAGATAAATATTCATAGATGCGTGTGTAAATTTCTTTCTGCCTCAACTCTAGCTGAATATATTGGGTAGGGGCCTCACTGCCATAAATGCATCCACCATCTGAAAAATATGCAAAAACGTTCCATCAATCCTTCTAAGTCATAACTGAGATTTCATATAATTCAAAATGTTTGCTTTCAATGCCATGTGCCAACAAGCATCTTTCAAACTCTATATGGGAGGCCAGAATCAGCAGAGCGACAAATAACAATCTATAGAATAGAACGATCAATCCTTAGCCCCAGAAGCTTATCTCATCAGTCACAGCAGCCCTAGCCCTACGATGCCTTTCAACTAGTTCAGTCAAAACTTGAATAAGCAGTTGCTTAACTTCACCTGTTAGCACGCGTCCTGTACACTGTACTACCCAATGAGTTAATCCGAAAGTGAATTAGCCAAAAAAGGAGGCTAATAAAAAAAAAAAAAAAAAAAAAAAAAAAAAATTTTTTTAAAAAAAATTAAAAAAAAAAAAAAAAAAAAAAAAAAGAAAGCTCATTAGGATACCAGTCTCACCTTCCTTATCGGTTCGAGTTTATCATCATCATCCATGAAAAACTGAGATATTTGAATGGTAAATCTACCTGAATAATGTCCAGAAGATAAAATCATTCCTCAATAAGTTACAACGCACCAAGTACTGACAGACAAATCTTATAAGACATGAATCAAATTGGCATGTAAGTGCAGACAGACGAGCAGAATTGTTTTTCTTGCTTGGACAATCTATAATGAGAAGAGAAGGTAGTAGATCCAGCAACAAATAACACTCTCAAACCAAATGGGGAGGACAAATTTCTATTACTAACATGTGAGACAATTCAAACACCTCGAGATTTACTCCATGCTCTCTATGTCCCTCTATTGAATCTTGTCCACCAGAAAATGCATGCCTGTTTATCTGCACACGTACACAAAATTCTTTATTTTGTTAATCCTGAAGAATTTTCGGACCATTTGGAGTGTGTGATTTCAGGTAGAAACATTTGGCACTGTGAAACTACGGTTTGGTGGTGTTGGAAAGCTAAGACAAAAGGAGATGCGGGTTTTGGAAAAGGAAGACAGCTATTTGAAGAAATAGAGAAGCATGTTTTTCACAGAGAATTTAAAAGGTTACACTTTGCAACCTTGCATCAATTAAAGACTTTGGTCCTAGCATAAAAGAACATCGATAATGAGTGTGTAAGATTCTTAGTAAATACAAAGGTTGTACAAATAAACCCACAGCAACAGCAAACGCAAACCTTGTTCTTAGTTTCCTTTACAGAATCAGTTACATAAATGGCAGAATTTGGATCACCTGCCGACATTTTACCGGTCTCACCCTGCAAGTATCCACATTCCAGGAAATATGTCAGCAATCACATGCATACCACATCATCCAATTCTGGCATGACCAGTTTCACCGGCAATTATTTGTATAATTTTAAAGCTGAATATTTATGTTACAATAATCAACGTTTTTTTATATTAATTATGGTCCTTGTGAACAATTATATATTCATGTTTATGTGTGAGTGCATGCATACAGGTAGGTGTCTTCAAAATCCACATTAGGGCCTAAACATATCTGCAAACATCAAAATTTAGCACCCCCACTGGAAAACATTGGTCAAATGAAACAGAACAGTCTCTAGTGCAAAATCATTGGTCCAATTAAAGACAAAAATCAGAAAAATAAGCAGCCAAACAAGTACAGAAAGCCAGATTCTGCATAAAAAACATCAACTAAATTATATCGTATCTTTCTTATCCCTTTTTAAAAACTTAGGAACCACTTTAAGTAGCACACATGTGTTCTGCGCCGAAACCATAAAGTACCTGCAGGGCAGGAAGAAAGAAGACTCAATCAATGCAGATTTCTGATATCCAATCCGTAGAGCGACATCTCGTGTCATTCTAAAATAAGGATCTTGGACAAATCAAGAACCAATATAGCATGGTATTAGTAAATAAAAGAAAATAAGAAAAAAAGAATTCATTAAAACAAATGAGCAAGCAAAGTTACTAAAACTACAATCATCCCAGTCTCCATGTTTTATCCTCTCAAAAGGTGTTATGTTTAAAGGTGAGGTGGTTCCCTACAAATTTTACCAGGAAAAAGAAAAACACTAACCCTCATATTTCATAGCATGTAAAAAAGGAAAAAGTCTCCCAGAAAGTAACCAATATATGTTCTCCTGAGTAGTAACAGAACTTGCACAATAATACTAATATAAATTTACTGTACACTGCTATCAAGGGCACATAAACTATACAAATCTATAAAAACTAAAAATACTTGACCACTTTCAAGCATTAGTTAACATTTCATGTTCTGAGAATTATTCATACCATTTATACCTGGTCAATTGTGCAGGGAATTATGCAACGAAGATTGTCTTGGCCACCGACAGATGTGGAAAGGAACTTGGAAATGATGGAACTGCCTGCATTAACACATAACCACATTGGATCTCCTTAACATGTTTTCAGCATACTCTCACATCCATATGCTATCTTACAGAGTCACATCAAAGAAACAGAAAAAATGGAGATTTCAGAAAAGAAAAGAAATTTTTTGATGGAGCTCAGACTTGGACTAAGCAATGTTTTGTTTCTTTGCCAGTTACAGTTGACTGGCAGAGTGTCAACCATAAGAGCTCAAAGGAAAGAATAAGCACTTATGAGCTTAATCAAACTTACAAGAGGTGATGTTTCATGAAAGTATAAAAAACAGAATAAATATTAGCTTCACTATTTTTTTTGGAACTAATCAGAAACAACAAACAAAAATTACATGATTCACTATCATAAGCAGCATAGCCAAGGAAAATACCTGCACAGGTGGAAAACTTTTCCTACATGATCTTCACGGGTGAAACCAAAAATTCCAACAACCTGGATAGATGATTACAGAAAGTCAAATAAAGAGGTACACAAAATATCTATAAAAGGAAGGAAAATCAGTGCAGAAAATAATGCTCCATAGGGAAAAGATTGTAAATCACCTTATTATATGTGACACACTTTCCAACCTTCACCATGTTCTTGTAGAAGGACAGCATAGAAAATTAAACATAAAATCAGCCAGCAAAAGTTATAACACAAACTTACACACAATATTCATGAATGATAGAATCACGCTCCTATCAAAGTTTAAAAACAGAAGGTTCCCCATCGAAGCTTGTCAAGTAGTTTGCATCTCATACGGTGATCACTTGGTGGAACATCCAACATGAACTTTAAATTCATGAGGCCGTTTTACTTAAATTCATTAAGAAACTCAGGATTTTAAAGCCAACAATATTTTCCTATTAAAAAAAAGAGGCTTGCATAGAAGCCCGAAATCTCAAACCCCTTCAACTTGGGCAGAAAAGTAAATAAAGGCTTGAATAGCACACTCTAGGCCATTGATAAAAAATTGAAACACAAACTTAACAACATGTCGACATGCAGAAGTATTAAATTAGTAATGGAATTAAACGTATATATGTGTTATTTACCCACCAACATAATCAAAATCCGAGAAGATGAAGGTTCTTGTTACATCAAAACCACAGGCAATAATGTCTTTGGCATTCTCCCTGGTGAGTCTCTGGCTCTCTTCCACGGTCAGATTTTTCCACATGCATTTCTCATCATCAGTAAGTTGAATAACAAGAGGAACCTTAAGGCCTCTTGCAAATATCTGCAAAAAGCATTCGGCGATAACTATTTACAAATTTACTATACAAAGACACTGATTATATATACATATATACATATGAGTGTGTACATAGCAGTCTCATCATCTGCCTCTTAAATCATAGCCACAAAAAGATAAGCAGAAAGCAAGGTAATAACTGAACACGAAGGGGATAAGATGAACCAAATGCAATGCCTCAGAGGAAGGCCCTCTTCCAGTGTACAAATAGAACTTCTCTCCTCGCTCATATGCACCAAGAATTTCATTCAAGTCCCTGCACTCGCATACAGTCCACTATCAACTTCACTTCTGTATTTTTTTTGTTTAAAAATGTCAAATTTATAATGATTGAAAACCAAAGACAACGAGAGATAGAGAGACCTGTGGGCGAAGAAGACGCCGCGGCGGGGGAACAAGTGGGAAGCACGTGAGGTGAGGCGGTGGATAGGGTCGACGAGCGACTGGTCGATTTTCTGACAGCCGAACTGGTCAATGAGCTTGTCGTAGTTCATTTTCCCCGCCACCTTTGGCCCGACACCGTCCATGGATTCACTACCTGCTCTTCTCCTCCCTCCTCTCTCGGCGGCTATTTTCTTTCTTTCTCTTCTGAGGGCATTTTGGTGTTTTTAATGACTTCCACATTTTATTATTCATTTCATTTCCCCTTTGACGACGTCGTTTCGCACTAACTACAGTAAATAGAAGGGGCCCTATTTCCAGAATTGAACCTTAACGCTAAGAATAAACACCCCAAATGCTTCAAAGCGGTGTCGCTGCCAATGATTCAATGAAGAGCAATGAAGAAGCCCAAGCAGCGAAGAAAACGAGAGAGTTGCCCAAGCTCTCAGAGTGCCATTCGTGCCACTTGAGAGTCGACGTTGCCAACGCCAATGCCAAGAGCAAGCTTCACGTCCTGTATAGCGAGTGGCGCATCGTCCTTCTCTGCAAGAAATGCTTCTCTCGCGTCGAGTCCTCGGAGCTCTGCTCCTGTTGCTTCTCCACTTCCTTGTCCCAAGAATCTTTCTCTTGCCGCCAGTGTAACCGGAGAGTCCACAGGCATTGCGATTCCGAGTACCAAAGCGTTGCGCTCTTGTCCGATTCTTCTTCGGCCATGGAGTTTTCGGTCTGCGCCGATTGCCGGATTCCGGAGTCGCTGGTCAAGTGGAGAGGGGTTGTGAGCAATAGGAAGGCTCGGAGGACTGGAAAGAGAAGAGTTGGTTTGGGATTGGGTAAATCTAGGGTTTCGGCCATGGTGGATGACGGGGAAATTGATGATGCCTTTGGTGGCGAAGAGGGCTCAAACAGTAGGAGGGATGAGGATGCTGCTGTTGATGATGATGGGCCCTCGAAGGAAGGAGAAGTGAACTGCTCCAATGGTGTTGAGTTGGGGTCTCCAACTTTCTGTAAACAAGAGGAATGTATCTGTATTTCCAAGCCAAAGGAGCGAAGGTGCAATGCAAAGGTTGATCCCTTTTATTTCAAGCATAGGAAAAGGAGCACTTTTGATCGCTATGTGTTAACATACAAGAAGAGAAGGCCCAAAAACCTCAACCCAAGAGCGCTTGACATTGAAGAAGAGAGTGAAGATGATGATGGGCCGTTGAAGGAAGGAGAAGTGAGCTGCTCCAATGGTGTTGACTTGGAGTCTCCAACTTTCTGTAAACAAGAGCAAGAGGAATGTATCTGTATTACCACGCCAAAGGAGCGAAGGTGCAATGCAAAGCTTGATCCTTTTTTTTTCAAGTATAGGAAAAGGAGCACTCTTGATCGCTATGTGTTAACATATAAGAGAAGGAAACCCAAAAGCCTCTATGCTTGTTATACATTTACGTATAAGAGGAGGAGACCCAGAATCCTGTATGCTCGTTCAACTGGTTCATCTTGAGACCTGTACTGAATCTTGATAGCTACAGGTAGGAGAAAACATCTTCCTCTTGAATCTTAAGTGCATTTGGTTCTTGCTGTTTGAGTTCTGAGTTTCATATGCTTCCGTTATGATTTTTAGTATGCTTAGTATTAATTTAGGGACACCATATGATTCTTCATCTTGTATTAATTTCAGCTCAGATATCATTTTGCCTTCTCAGGCAAGAATTCACGATTATTTTCTTCCAATTTGGGTTAAGATCGCTCAGGAGTCTGTAGATTTAGAAGTTCCCCATAAGTAGTGTATCTTTAAGAAATTACCCCGTTTGATTCACGTAATGGATTTGAGGGGAAATCACTTCCTATGTCATTTCCCCAGGGATGGAAAATGGAAGATTCCTTTCCCATGTTTGGCAATGTCGGGAAAGTAATTGAGAGATATCACTTTATTTCTTTTCCCATGTTTGTTTCGAGTAGGAATGGAAAACAATGTTTGTATAATTTTTCAGTTATACCCATATTAAATCAAATAAAAAAAGAAAGCATTTAATAATATATTGTAATTCTAAATTGTTAATGGGGACACAATGGTCATGAAAAATGTGCATTTAATATTAGCTCATTTTTCCAAACTTTCTTATGAGGAGGGAACAAAAAACCCAAGTTGGGAGGAGAGTTTCACTTTCTCCCGTACTTTCCCATGTGCAAGGCAACCATTTTCCATGCCTGGACTTACCAAACATGGGAAAGCAATTGATTTCCCATCCCAAGCCTCTTTTCCCATAAACCAAACGGGGCCAAAATATTCTCACTAAAGAACTCCAGTACTTATAAGGGAATTAATTGGTGTGGTTAATGCCAATTAGCAAAAGATAAGTGTGCGAGGTAGGAAGACAATCTCTTGTCGATTGGAGGTAAACTTATACTTTAATCAATTAAAACTAAGGGGGTGTATTCAATCCATACTTATAAAGACTTTTTTTAAGTGAGTGACTTTTATAGAGTTGACAAATTCTTAAATACTTTCATAGAGTTGTTATAAGTCACCAGTAAATTGGCAAGACTTTTGTTCTTAACAATTAATCTTAAAAGTATGGAGAAGTCATTCATTTAATAAGCTTTTTAAAAGTCGTTAGCTTTTTGGATATCACCAAACTTTTAAAGACTTTTTAAAAGTCACAACTGGATACCAATACTTTTAACTACTTTTTAAAAGTCACAATTGAATACCACTAGACTTTTATTAACTCTTTACCTCCACTTTAAACTCTATAAAAGTCATTAAAAGTTTGAATTTGATACATGAGACAATCTAGTCATATGATCTCCTGCTTCAAGTGTAATAATACAAGTTAACAATCTTAGTATAAGGAAGGCCATTGTTCTCCTCAAGTATACTTTTGTGGCCTATATTCTTGTTATGTCGTCTTGAGGGCAAATTTATTTGGAGCCCTGCTCCAGATGGTTCATTTGCAGTTAAGTCAGTTACTTGGACTGATGCCTTTCTTCCTTGCTGAAAAAAAATTGTGGAATTTTTGCCTGTGGTTAAAGTTTTTGGATACTTACGTTTCAAGGTAAGCTCCAGACAAGGATTGTACTTTGCGTCATAATGTCAATATTCATTAATCCTTTAATGTGTTCTTCTACCAATCTGAAGAGGAGAAATCCATTAATCGTCGTCTGTTTCAAGATTTGTGCTTTTACTATTTCTATTTAGATACCATTCTATTTACAACTATTTGAATGTTCTGGTTTGGTCTTTTGAGTGTTAGTAGTCTCTTTGGTGAAACAAATTTTGGTTCTTTGCTGGCAATTGTGGGAAACATTGTGATGCAATTGTATTTAAATGATGGAAGGCCAATGTTGTGCCTGTAATTTCCATTGTGACGAAGTGTTTGGTATGGATGGCTTATTGTGGAAACTTCAAATTGAAACCTCCTAGCTAACGAACAATTTATCAAGCTAAATTTTGATGCTTTTTGTTCAGAGCTTTAAGAGAGCTTCATGTTTAATCTATGGACATGGAGACACTATCTATCTTTGTGTCTGCATGGTCTTTTACTCTGCGTGATTCATATTCTCAAACAGAGAATCCAATGGTTGGTTGATAAATGCATCACGGTAGTAAAAACTTCAGTTAAATCCGTAGAGTTAATATTCATTAAATCCTTCATTGGCAGCATTTGGTTGTCAATGGCATTTTGCAGAATCGAGATGGTGGGTATGAATGATCATCAGATCAGCTGTTTGGTTTTGAGTGGGAAATATGGATCATCATCACATTCACACACCAGCTGCAACCTTGGACAAAGATGATGATGTTGAGGAAACAGCAACACTCAGCCACACTAAAAATTCGGCGGCCAGCAGCTGCAGCAGCAGGCTCTCTCATCTTCCGACAGGAGGAGAAGATGAAGAAGATCCAACGACTCTGATCAGGGTAAGGGCCCAACAACATCCTCCGGTCACCTACTTGATGGGCCCCAACTCGCTGCTCCAACATATCTTGCGAAACTATCGTACACGTAACTCTATTCTCTATGAATCAGAGCGTTTCATTTACAATGGGAATAGGGTTCGCCAAAACCACACTCCGGCCGATTTGGGAATGGAGGACGGTGATGCCATTGATGCAATGTCCCACATGTTGGGTGGTGGGGCTGCTGTTACTTAATTAAACCCATATCTTTGTGTAACGTACTATTTAGTATTTACTTTGTGTCGTCAAAGAGATGCTTCATTGAAATAAAGAGAAACCAGTATAAAGTCTCCAGGAAGGATGGTACAACACCTTCACTCAACCAGATAACAATAAGGCAAAGAGAAACAGAACTAGCAAAGAAAACATAGTTAGAAGGCCATCCACTAAGACATCACCATCGGGTGCATGTCAGCCTCTAACCCATCCGAACTAGGAACTAGGAGGGCAGGGAAGCCCCTCTGCCCGCAGAACAAAAACCAAGGAAGATGGGGGTCTGTGTCGCCAGACAGCCTTGCTCATCCTCCGTCTCGCACTCGCCGCAATTGAATCGGCTACACCATTACACCTTACTTTGTGTTGCTTTGCTCGCTAATTTTATTTTAATCGGCAGCTAATTTGATTTGATGTGTGTGAATTTTGTAGAGTTCGTAGAAAAAAGAAAAAGAGAAAGTGGATAGCTGGGTTTTCATCTTCTTTTTTTTCTTTTTGTCTTTTTTACGCAAGGGGGGGATTCTTGGAGTGTAGAGCATTTGTCTTTTTTGTAGGTAAAAAAATAAAAATAAAATAAAGCTAGCTTCTTGAAAATCTGAGATATTAAATTAGGAATTTCTTAAACACGTAACAGGGTCATGTGCTCTTTGCCATTGTTATCTCTCCTCTTAATTTAAAGATGAAATACATTCACCGAAAATATATGGGAAGCTGCTTTTTAGCAGATACTGGTTATGCTAGTTGATCACAGCAGAGAGTCCGTCCTTTAAAAAAGTATAGATGTGCTTGCAATTAATTGACAAAAAGACAAAAAGTTTGATCTCCCTTTCTGTCTCCCTCTTCTCTCTCATGTCATGACGACTAAAATGGAACTCTGAGCAATATTTGAATAAGTTGTACCATCAAGCTTACACCAAAATATACCATCAGTCACATGACTAAAGGTTTTTAAGTTTTTTCCCTCTCTCTTTTGTTTTGGGTTGTGGAAAATCTATGTGTGTGTGTTTTTTGTTTTAAAGAAAAAAAAAAATTGGTTTTGTGTTTAAATTGTTGTCCTTTTGATTGCAGGTCTCTCATTTGGGCACTCACAGACTTGACTCATCATCTCTGCAAAAAAAGGTAATTCTTTTTTGAAAATCTCGTTTTTGTTTGAGAAAATTTCTGAATGTGTTGGGTTATATCAACTTGTTTTTGTATGAGAAAGTTTCTGAATGTGTTGGTTTATCTCAACATACAAGGTGAAATTTTGTCTACATTTCGGTTGTTTTAGGCGCTTCTTCTCATCACATCACTTTTGGTTTTTCTTATTTTTTGGTTTATTTTGCTGTTTTGTTTTGTTTTGTTTTTGTCTTTCTTCACTTTTGTTGGATGGATGGACTTGTTGTTGGTTTGTTTGGGGTTTGATTTCTGTGATTTGGAGGGGGTTTACTTTTCATACTAGGGGAGCTGATTAGGCTCGCAAAGAGTCAGATTCAGAACGTGTTTTTCAATGTCTTCGATTGAGCATTTTGTATCTAAAATAGTCTACATTGTGATTTTTCTTCTGTATTGATCAATTTATCAGATGTATATTGGTTTATGGGTTTCCCTTGTTTGTTTTAAAAATCTTTGTATGCATTGGTTCTTACAACTTATAAGCACAATAATATTCTAATTCTAAATGTGGATTTTCATTTGGGGTTTACAGAACACTGATTGATCACTGTGGGAATGGATGATCACGTACCGACAATCACCCATGAATTGCTCATCAGGCTCTCTCTTCCGAAAGAAGAAGATGATGCGATTCTTCTCAAGATTCAGTCTCAACAGCATCCTGACATCTCCTACATGACCAGCCCCAGTCTGCCTCTTGGACATGTACTTCGAGATTACTGTAGACGTTTTTACCTACACTATGAAGCAGTACGTTTCCTTTATGATGGAAAAAGGGTCAGAGAAAAGGATACCCCGGAACAGCACGAGATGGAGAATGAGGATGTTATTGATGCAATGTTGGATCAGATTGCCGGCGGTGGCCATGTTCTTTGATCTATTTTATTTAGCTGCTGCTATGAACTAAGTCATTTTGGAGCCTCCCCTTGTAATTTTCTTCTCAATGATCATCGGCCGCCTTGACTGGAAAGCAGTCATTAGTATGTTCAATTATCGAATTGCTAGCATATTATCATCAGCTTGGGTCCTGATTAGTCATCACTAAGCAACCAAACACCCACTCTCTAAACAACCAGAAGTTCATTTAATAACAATCTTTATGCATTAAATAATGAGATATGCAGGAGTTTGGAGAGGTTTGGAATTTGGAAATAGGGAATTGAATGATATTTGACTAGAATACATGGTCCAACTACATGTGTGGCTGCTTCATTGTCTTCATTTGTTTGTAACGGTTGGTATTACGAGTACATACCCAGCGTTTGAAGTTGAACGCCACAGTCCATAGATATATATATATATATATATATATATACATATAGCTTCTAAGAAGCTGCAGTGCAGGCTGAGGCATTGTTTGTGTTGTGGGAATATGGATATGGACAGACGAACATCCACCCAGGAATCTCATCAGGCTTTCTCTTGTGAAAGAAGAAGATCCTGTAATTCTCAAGCTGCAAAAAGAAGATGAACGCGACATGTTCTACAGGACTGGTCGAAGTGTGCCGCTGAAATATCTGATTCGAGATTATTGTGAACGTAAACATCTTGTGTATGAAGAAATGCGTTTCCTTTTCGATGGAAAAAGGATAAATGAAAGCGAAACTCCAGAACAGTTGGAAATGGAGGACGATGATGTTATTGATGTTATGTCCGATCAGTTTGGTGGCCAGGCCTGCCCATGATCTCTCTTTTGTTCACGTTCGTTTATTTTCTGTTTGGACATATGTTATATTATAGAATTCTCCACTTGCATGGGTTCTTCTTTTTCATTGTTTTCTTTCAGTTTATTTGATTCCTCGTATAAAATAAAATTTTGGCTGAGCTCAGATTAGCTTAAGACATGTTTTTCCTTTGTTGCCTGCACTTATTTTATTCTCAGTTTAAAAATGAATTCATTGACGGAGATTACCACTCTGAATCTGATTATATTTGAAGTAGTGCAATGCAAAACCCGGCCTAAATGAAATAATAATAACCAAGGTGCTTGGTACTATTTGGTGTTTGGTGTTTGGTTTTATGCATTCCCTCTTTTGTTCCTTGTCAGTGCTGCCAAGCCAATGGCAACAATTGAGCTTAATTACGTTGTGAGTTGCTGGAATATCCCAATCCATGTCCTGCTTCAAAATTGGACTCGACTCAATTAGGAGCTAGCAGACGATTAACCTCAATCATTTGACAGCTAGCATGCCGATTAAAGATGTTATTCAAAACCAACTACTTGGTCTTGATAAGCTTTGTTCTCGACTACTCTCAATTTTTACACCTAAATAAAGATCCTATGCCCTGTTGTGAGACTTAGCTAGTTTTTACTAGCACCACCACCACCTAATTTTCTTGTTTAGTGCTAAACGTTGATGGTATCAATTACACAGAAGCCGGCCCCTAATGATCATTTCTTGGCATTTTCTGTATCATTTTGTTTTTCTTCGTTTCATTCACAAAACGGCAACTCACATTCACAGGCACAGCCCTACTATATATATGATGTAAATCCATTGCAACAGAAGCAAAGCTCTCATTGCAATAGAAACAATGGGGCATCATCATAATGGGGTTCCTCTTCCCTTCATTTTCTCCCTTGTTGGATTGTTTCTGTTGGCTCTGCATGTTAACACGTCTTCAGCAGCAGAGCGGTCGACTTATATCGTCCACATGGACAAGTCTCTCATGCCCAAGTCCTACGCTAGTCATCAACATTGGTACTCTTCCATTGTTGATTCTTTCAAAGCTCAAATTCCCACCTCATCGGATGGCCGCAAAATCTCACCATCCCTTCTGTACACCTATGACAATGCCTTTCATGGGTTCAGTGCGGTTCTGTCCACAGAGGAATTGGAGACTCTAAAAAATTCCCCTGGTTTCGTCTCAGCTTACAGTGACAAGTCCATTACACTTGACACCACCCATACCACTAAATTTCTCTCCCTCAATCCTTCCACTGGTCTGTGGCCTGCTTCGAATTATGGGGAAGACATCATCATTGGTGTCATTGATACTGGGGTCTGGCCAGAGAGTAAGAGCTTCAGAGATGATGGTATGACCAAGAAACTTCCAGCTAGGTGGAAAGGAACATGTGAGGTTGGACAAGAGTTCAATTCCTCTCTTTGTAACTTTAAATTGATCGGAGCTAGATACTTCAACAAGGGTGTCATGGCTGCAAATCCTGGTGTCACACTTAGCATGAACTCTGCTAGAGACTCTCTAGGGCATGGGACACATACATCTTCCACAGCTGCAGGAAACTATGTAGATGATGCATCTTATTTTGGTTACGCTAAAGGAACAGCTAGAGGCGTAGCACCACGTTCCAGACTTGCCATATACAAGGTTATCTGGAATGAGGGTCGTTATGCCTCTGATGTCCTAGCTGGTATGGACCAAGCTATAGCCGACGGTGTGGATGTTATTTCGATCTCCTCGGGCTTTGATAGCGTGCCATTGTATGAGGATCCTGTAGCCATAGCTTCTTTTGCAGCCATGGAGAAGGGTGTGGTGGTTTCAACTTCTGCAGGAAACGAAGGCCCCAGCCTTGGGACATTGCACAATGGCATCCCTTGGGTCTTGACTGTTGCAGCAGGCACAGTGGATCGCTCATTTGGTGGAACATTAACCCTCGGCAATGGGTTAACCATTACTGGATTTACCTTGTTCCCAACAAATGCCATAGTAGAAAACTTTCCACTGGTTTACAACAAGACCTTCTCAGCATGCAACTCAACAGAATTGCTATCAAGTGCCCCAGATGCAATCATCATATGCGATGACACTTGGCCTATTCGTAGCCAATTATTTAGTATAATTCAATCACAGGTTGTTGGAGCCATTTTTATCTCCAATGATCCTGAAATACTTGAGTTAGGATATGTTGCATCTCCTAGTGTTGTGGTAAATCCAAAGGATGCACCGCCTGTGATCAAACATGCAAAAAAAAGTGCTAAGCCTACTGTCAGCATCAAATTCCAACAAACGTTGATTGGGACAAAGCCTGCACCGGCTGCTGCTTTTTACACTTCAAGAGGTCCTTCGCCAAGTTATCCGAGCATCTTGAAGCCGGACATAATGGCACCAGGGTCATTAGTTTTGGCTTCTTGGGCTCCCAAGGTTCCAGCCGGCCAAATTGGCTTCAATGTGCAGTTACCTAGTGACTACAATTTGATATCCGGGACATCCATGTCTTGTCCTCATACTTCAGGTGTGGCTGCCCTATTGAAAGGTGCGCACCCGGAATGGAGCGCAGCAGCAATTAGGTCTGCTTTGATGACCACGGCCAACCCCTTGGACAATACCAACAATCCAATTCGTGACGATGGTGATAATTTCAACTTCGCTTCGCCATTAGCTATGGGAGCAGGTCAGATTGATCCTAATAGAGCGCTTGAACCGGGCTTAATATATGATGCAACCCCACAAGACTATGTCAATCTCTTATGCTCCACTAATTTTACCCGGAAGCAGATCTTAGCCATCACCAGATCACATGCCTACGATTGTTCCAACCCATCTTGCGATCTTAACTATCCATCATTTATTGCCTTGTACAACGACCATAACAAAACCAAGACAAAGGTTCAAACATTTCAGAGGACCGTAACTAACGTGGGAGACGGTGCAGCTAGGTACAAGGCTGCTGTGATTGCTCCAAAGGGTTCTAAGGTGACGGTCTCACCAGAGATACTGATCTTTGGGGAGACATATGAGAAGCAAAGCTTTACAGTGACTATAAAATACAAGGCGAAAAAGAAAGGAACTGTTTCATCCGGTGCACTTGTTTGGATAGAACAAAATGGAAAATACACTGTGAGGAGTCCCATTGTAGTGTCACCTCTTGTTTGAGTTAATGCCTTAATGGTCATGCCTCAGAGGCTTGGCAATTTAGATGAGAATAAATTTTTTAAGTAATCCACATTCTATGCATGCTAAGAGGTTGAAGTTGAGAAAATTAAAAGGTCTCTGTCTCTCTTATTTCTAATGGAATGAATGAATTTCTCTTTCAAAAGTAAGCAGATGAATGAATCAAATCCAAATTACTGAGTCTCTTTGCTTTTCACCACCATCATCATCAGTATCAATTATGTGGCAATGGCATGACAATGAGTTGAGGGTATATGATATGACTGCATCCTCCAAGAAGGAAAGCAATAGCTTGCAAATGTTGATGAACACATGACCTATAATGCAGCTTTTTAATTACCAAACAAAGTTTCTCCACTTTAGCTCCTTTAAAATTTTAAAAAAAAATCATGTTGCTTCTGAAATGGTTGAACATTTTAAGGGATATCTATTTCTAAATTCTAATTGCATGTAAAGTTAATTTGACCCTGGCTGGATGGATTATATCATTATTTAGAGATCCATTTCGCATGTACATCTCTCACACCTTTTTTGAGTTTGAGTTCTCTGTCTGCGACTCTTCCTTTCATAATTCATAATGCTCTATTTGGTTTAAAAAAAAAAAAAAAAAAAAAAAAATTCAACTGAGGAAAGAATATAAGAAGAAAACAACTTCGAAAGGCCGAAGGGGCAATAATGTAGCCTCGTTAAAACCTTGCCTCGTTAACTCTTTTTCATTGGTTAACATTAATTTATTGCAGTTTACCTTAATACTTATTTAAGTGAAAAACCAATTACTCTCTAAAACTCTACAGGCCCAGGAAAACATATACTCTTTCTATATATAGTCAGATGGAAACTTAAATCTTGCTAATATTATATTATTTTGACCCAAAAACACCTTGTTTAGCTGTCATTGCCTAATTGTTTAGCTATCAACTCAAGTTTTGACTATTGGATCGGTGGTAATCTTTTATTGTTCCATTCCACCCCAGTAGCATTATTAGACGCAATTTAACTTGGCTTTTCATTTCACAATTTTTAAATCAAAATCTCATTCATACATATACTCTGTCAAAAGTCAGTATCCTTAATAAACTCTTCAAACAAACAATTCTTGATACATCAGATAATAATAGAGGAATAGCTTCACCAAACTCCATAGAAATCAACTGAGAGATTAACAGCTTGATGCGTATCAGCTGTGCTTTCTGTGGACATATCCCCAGTACTACCACTATTTCCCGTGTCAACAGAGGTTTCATTTCCATGCTTGGACTTGTGGCTCTGACTCCTAATACTGTATTTAAAGGGTATAGCCGCGCGGCTATACTTGTAAAATTTTCTATTTATAGCGTATAGCCGGACGGCTCTACTGTTAAAATTTCTATTTATAGACTATAGCCGGAAGGCTATACTTGTAAAATTTCTATTCATAGCGTATCTCTACCGCTAAAATTTATATTTATAGCGTATAGCCGAACGGCTCTACTTTAAATATTCTATTTTTTCACCAAGGAAACAATAATTAAAATATAATTATTAATTAAAGTAATTAAAAAAGACTATCCCGGCGTTCTGAAGCCGGGTCTCTCGTCTTGGCGGCTTGGATCCCGAACGACACTGTTGGTCAAATTGGGAAATGTTTTCTTGTCCAATGAGTACCATATGGTTTCTGGGACATCCATGGCTACCCCTCATGTTTCGTGGAGCGCAGCTGCTATTAGGTCTGCACTGATGACCACAGCTAACCCCGTTGATAATTCCAAACGTCCAATTAGAGACCAAGGTTTCAATTTTACGGTTGCTTCGCCTCTCGCTATGGGGGATGGGCAAGTGGATCCGAATCGAGCACTTGATCCGGGTATGATTTATGATGCAACGCGGCAAGACTACATCAAGAGAATTTTTGCTATTACTAGATCAAACAAGTATACATGTGACAACGCATCGTCGGATCTTATAATGGACAAGCAATAAGTCTGCAGCCACAATAATGGACAATGTCAGAGTAACCAACGTTGGTGATGTGATGGCTCAGCCACTTACAATGTCAAAGTTACAGCACCAAATAATTCTGTTGTTAAGTGTCGCCGGAGAGATTGGTGTTCAGTAACAAGTATGAGAAGCAAAACTACACTTTGAGAATCGAGCACATGAGCTCCGATGAACAAGTCGTCTCATTTGGTGGAGAAATTATAGAATAGTACGGTATTACCACGTCAGCATATGATACTCCCATTCAAAATTTGTCATGTGTCATATTTAAAAGAAAATTAAAACTATTTATACAACTGGAGTTTGACTTCCAATTTTACCCTTTGGAATTAAATTAAAAATGAAGAAAATAAAAAATCCTTCAACTGGGAGTCCTCCTCCACCCCTAATCTCCGTTTATTTCTCCCTTTTCCTTTTCAGCTTCCTTTGCTTTTCTACAATGAAGGAAACGAACCCACATCTCAAACCTCTCCTCCAGCTAATTATACTACATGCAATTCCATCTCTACAAACAACATAAATTTCTCCATCGGCCGAGCTCTTTACAAGTCCAAGATCCCCACCAAGGCACCCAACTCTTTGTATGTGCATCGTTTCTCAACTTCCTTCATCTTCTCCCAATCCTTCAGTTTCTCCATGGACTCATCTTCCTCGCCTCAAAACCTCATGTTCCAATTTCTTATTACTTTGTATTCTAACCATCACACTCTGAGGATTACCATGAGGGAAAAACTCTACAGAAAAGCAAACTGAAGTAAAAACCCTAAGAAGTTCTTTTGGGATGTGAATTTAAAACTAACTATAAAATAAAGTGGTAGCTGATGAGGGAGAGGGAGAGAGAAATGGAGGGTAGACTGTATAAAAGGAAGATGGATTCAATGATACTGTCGAGAAAAAAAAACAAAAAGAAGAAGACTTCAGTTGGTGGAGATAAGGGAAAGAGACGGTGGAGGAGGCAGGGTAGGGTTACTGCAGAGATTGATTGGAGTATTCTTTTATTTTATTTTATTTCTAATGTTATTTTAAAGGGTAAAATTGGAGGTCAAAGTCCAGCTGTACAAGTATTTTTAATTTTATTTTAAATGGGACACATGGCAAATTTTGAATGGGAGTATCATATGCTGACGTGGTAATACCGTACTATTCTATAATTTCTCCATTTGGTGACATTGTTTGGGTTGAAAAAAGTGGAAAGTATGTGAGGAGCCCCATCGTGGTCTCGCCTGTTTTCGCATTCGGCTAAAAGTTTTGCGCTTAGGAATTGGGTGCCAACATTTTTTTTTGGTCTGAAAAAAAAAGAAAAAAAAAAAGGTTGAATTGTTAATTCCCCTTTGGTCACCTTTGCTCAATTTCTAAGATTTAGCTCCTTTCATTTTGTCAACAAAACTATGAAGAAATATATCAATAAATGTTCTATGTTTTATTTTCTTTTTACCAGAAATTTTACTGAGGGCCTCCTCCTGACTTTTGAGCCTGATCTCAATCCCGCCAGACTTAACCTCGAAACCAGTCATCTTGATTAACTCCCCATCCCTCCTCCTTGACAGAAAAACTCACCCAGCTCAGCCTCCAATCAGCCATCGGTTCTTCCCCTTGGAAATTCAGCTTCTTCGAGAACGATAAGGAAATAAGGAAATTATTCTAAATAAGTCAGTTAGGAAATTATTCTAAATAAGCCAGTTAATTAAGGTTCGCATACCTTCAAGTCTGTTAATTGTTCTCCGGCACTCTTTTTCCTTATAATTCTACATATATGAAATGCTCAAAGATGAAACCAGCTGAATAACAAAGCAAGGTACAGGAAAAAATCTCTCTTATTTACCAATTATGAAAAAACATGTATGCATAAACTCAAGTATGTATACAATTAGATGTGATTCAGGCTCCGAAAGTTGACTTAAAAGCTCATATTTCTTGTCCCTTCACTAAATCAAAAACAAATCAATTGGTTTCATCTTTAACCCAAAACTACAATTGGGGGAACAAAACATTGATTGAGTCCTAGTAAATACAAATTGTAATTCAAGTGACTGGTACAGAAAAATTCTGGTTTCAATAACCTTCTTGTCACAATATTTGGATCTGATACAGGACTTTATACATCTCAGAAAAATGCTAAACCTGGAAAAGAAAGTCATCCAGTAAGCAAAATAGAAACAAATTAAATAGTGTGTGTGTGTGTGAGAGATAGAAACAAATTAAATAGTGTGTGTGTGTGTGTGTGAGAGAGAGAGAGAGAGAGCGAGGAAAAAATAAAGCTTGCGCAAACATAATTCATGCAGCATGCACATAACTTGACACAATAAACGGAGACGATTGTCCCTAAAATTACCTCAATAAAATTGTACAAGGGAAATGCATAGACGGAAATTGGTTCTGACATCCTCAAGTCTGATTAGCCATCTCCAAAGAAGCAACTGATTTGATACTTTACAACAACATTTAACCAGCTTCTGCCCCAAATCTCTGAACCACGAATTCATCTAGTTGACCCCCAGTTTGGAATACTAGATTCACTCATTTTATCAGAAGGCAAGGAGCGAATACATCCAAGAATGTGTTTGACATCCCGATACAGCCTGGTAGACAAAGTGAAAAATGATGTTTCACTAAAGAGCTCTGATAATTAACATGCACACAGGGGGGAAATTGAAAAGGTAGTACCTGTCCTTGGCCTGTGGTGTGCTGATCTCTAAGCGTGAAAATGCTTCTGAAATTTGTGAATGGAAGACTATAACCACTTGCCTGCAAAATAGCAAACCACAGTAGTCACTGAGTTGCAAGAAAGCATTTTTTATTATAGCACAGACTGTCCCTTTCATCAAACCAAAGAACACTGATTGATGTGGGGGTGAAAAGCATGCAAACCAATGGAAGGGAAAGATTCAATGACCCTTTGACCAGGTTTCCAAGCAAATTCGCTATATTTCTATATTATCATATTATGGGCACCAGGCTTATGGCACCACAACTTTTTGTTTTGTTTAGTGCTGATATGGCACCACAACTCACTATCAAAATAAAACATATACATCACTCTACTATTGAGCAGTTCATTATACTAATCAAATACTAAAATCTTGGTGTAAATCTGTGCTTGGGAAAAGGGGGGAAACACCCTGGAAGGCCCGCACAACTTTGTTGTTTTCTTTACAAAAGTTGAAATTCATTTCCACATATTTGAGCTAGTTAGAAAAACCTTTCTAGGAAATTCAAAAGCCCAAGGGAAAACACAAATTTTTACTGCAAATAACGAGGCTACAAGATGTAGGTGCACAACAAACATGTCGTAAGTATCCAAAATCTCAGCAATTAATCACATGCTAACGTGGGCCTTACCTGAAAATTGCTTGAACATCGACCTCATGTAAAGTTCGAGTTAGGACACGTTGCAAGTATCCAACTTCCTGGAAATCAGTTGGGTGAGGCCCATAAAGATCAATCAAGATAAAGAAACTGCCAGGAACCACTACTTATTTTGCATTGGAAAAAGGTATAGAAATAGGGCATTTTAATAAGATCCATCCAATATGTTTCTCATTAAAACCAAAAATTAAAAATTTTATTAAAAAAAACCCGAGCAGAGAAGAGAGAGAGAGAGAGATAAAGAGAATAGGGAGGGTTTTAGATAAATAGATACAAAAACCAAATGTTTCAATGAAGACATTTACCTTAGTAAGGGATCGAGCAAACTGGCTGGGCTGTGGGTCAGCTTCTTCAGGTCTATTCCAGCTCTCTACAATTTGAGGTAACCCACGTAGATGAACTAATAACCTTTCTCTCATGATCTGAACCAGCTTCGTATGTATTTCATCTCTGTGAACCTTGTAATCCTGTTTTAAAATGAATGAACAGACATATAAATGGTTCCCAAGAAAGAATGAGCGAATAATGTGTTAAAAGTGCATGTGGGTTCAAAGAATCTAATTGTAAATTTCAAGATAGAGGTGCATTCTGGTTCAATGAACCAAAGAACAAAAATCTGGAAAGTTCAAATGGTACTACAAACCTCTAAATCACTTTCCAGAAGTAGGGAGAAAAAGTAAAGACACAAAACTGAAATAAAAAAGTACATTAGCATTGAAAATGTTAAATATGTTCCCCAGTGTAAAAGACAAACCTGAGCTACTCGATCAATTTCAGATAGCAACAATGCCTTTCTTGTCTCAGGTACTTTTAGAAAAAGAATTTGCCTGATTTCTTGAAGCAAAGAAAATGAATAAAGTCATGACATTACTCAAACACTCCATGCTCAAAGTAGAACTATGTACAAATACATTTCTACATATATATATATCCTGCAAGTGACATTATAATTGAATTGAGAACATAGCTAATGCATTCACAAAAATTGGTACTACAGCAGCACCAACCAAAGAAATAACTTTTAAGTTATAATTACCTACCAGGAATAATAGCATACGTAAAACTGATGACTTGACTTGCCAAGGCCAAGTGTTTAGAAGTGATGGACTTTAAACCAGATACCTACAGCACCACATACGATTTATCAGAAAGCGCAAGAACAACTCTGGAGAGCATGGGTTAATAGTTATAACTGAATAAAGTAACCAAAAACATCAAAAAGCGTTTGAATAAACTTGAAGGAGTTCCGGACTCGAGGAAAAAAAAATTGCACATAAATCCAGTGGAACAAATTTCAGTTTTTTGGCACATTTATATACAACAGTAGATATTTTATGAACTCAATTGGATAACCTTTTTGGGATTTCTAAATAGTATCATCTATTTACTGAGAGAAATTTAGTACCTGCATGGCACCAGCACCAAGAACAAGCTGGCACGTTCTTGTATTGAAAAACTTTAAAATTTCTACAATACGATGAACAACTTCTGAGGACAGTGCTGGAAAAAAATTGTTCATATCAATGTACTCTGACAACATCTTCACCAATATCAAGCCACTGGAGGAAAAAACCAAGAACAAGGGAAAATGTAATTAAAGACTTGTACTAAAAAAATTCTTTTAATTACTGATACATATTAATAATGAGTTCCTCGATCAGTGCAAAACAAAACTCCAAATTGTAAATCAGGATTCGTGTAACAAAAAACACAATATCAGTAAGCATATACATCCTAAGCACCATAATCCAAATTCGAAGTTTCCAAAGAAAAAAATAAAGAATAATGGGGGAAGCAGAAATATAGATACAAGAAAAAAAGACAAGATAACTAACCAGTTTACCATGTGAAAACCAACACCTTTGAAGAAAAGGGTTTGAGAGGTTGATTTTCCCCGCTCCTTCATGTTGCTGTGGTTATTTTGAGCCACAGAATTTGCGACATCAGGCTTATTTTTTTCCACTCCAGCATTTTGTGTACACTTCTCTTTCGCAGTCTCATCCACGGATAAGTCACTCGAATCAGCCCGTTTAATTTGCTGTTCGGCAATTGATGGTGCTGTATTGTCTGTATGTGAATTATTACTGCTTGTGGCCATCTCCCTATAGCTTGTTTCCATATTACCTTCGATAGCATCCAGGTTCTCAGATTCCGATTCAGAACAAAATAGTGAAGTGACAATGACTTGAAATTCATCAGGAACATCTACTTCAACCCATGTTTCTTGGTCAAGAACGGCCTTAATTTTTGCCATCTGTAATCAACCAAAAAAACAATTAGCTCAAAGCCACATATGAGGAACAATAGAACTAAAGTATGCACAATCATAAACTAACTCGAGATTCATGCTGAAATTCGATGAAGGCTTTGGCTTGTGACTGTAGGGTTCCCCTGATGCTAAATCCTGGCCTTCCCCCTATCTGTTTAAAGTGGCACAAAATAGCATCACACACATCAACACTGTTTGGTCACAAAACAAAAAATCTGGAAAAAAAATTACAGGAAAAGAAGACAAAAGGGAAAGATAAATACCTTCTCTGTAGCAGTTATAAACTCTTGGGTGATGCTAAAGATGCTCAAAAACTCCTGCAATCTCAACTTAGGATGAAGAAGAGCACGAACCCCAAGTAGCTTTGCCCATCTTCCATGGGCAGCATCACATGCTGCAACAACAGCTTCTGTGTTTTCTCGTAACACATCAGCTCTGTTTAGAATCACATTGTTTCAGAATATCGTATAGGTTAGGAAAGACGCTAATATTGGGACAAATCGAAGCTAGACCTTAGAAATTAAACCCGATGGTATACAATCAATTCTGAATTTGAAAATTGAAATAACTTCGAAGGAAAAAGAAATTGAGAGAGTATTCTAAACCAATCTTGACACCACCTATGCACACTGCAATGGACATTACTATGATACACAGAAAACCATGGCACATTCACATGTTTTATTTGGAGAGAGCCAAAATTTTGACCTGTAACACTCACAGTGCTACCAAATAATATTGTTCACTGAAGGCCCGGCTACAAGCCAACTAGAGAAAACAAGCAGAGTGAGTGGCCTTCCGTAAATGAAATTAAGGTCTTAATTGTAGATGGCAGAATACAAAATCATCAATAATTAATATAACCACTCCCGAAAAGGTATCGTATATGCAGTTAAATTTATTTCTTTTGGCTATGATGAAAAGAACACTCATACAAAAACTTAAAATATAACTGTAATTGCACTACAATACATCCAAAATGCATCAACAATGAACTTGTAACCTTCACATCCATGGAAATGAATACATAATCAACAAATTGCTGACATTCATAAGGCAAAATTTTATTTACACGACAAGATTAGCACAAAACAAAATCTTAAAATTACATGATATATAAGGTTTTCAAGCATGGGAAAGTTTTAGACGTCAAACTACGAAAACAAGAGTAACATCAAAGAACTAACATGATCAAGAGAAAATAGCTCACCTAAAATTCTTAGACATGTTTGAAGGACTTGCTGCATCATTTGCTTTCCCTTGAAATGGAAGGGCCTTCGCAGCAACTCTCTGAGGTGAAAATGAGGGAAGCAAACCACCTTGACCATCACTTTCTTGAGCTGTTTCTGCAGCTGCAGCACCAACAGCGATTGCAGCAGCAACTGAATCTGCTGCATAATGACCATCAAGGTTGCACATAATCCACTCGATGGCCTTCTTTACTTCAGCAGCCCGCACTAGATGTGCCTGCATTCACTAAAATAAATCATATGACATCACACTCAAATAGTGGTTGATGCTGAAAGAAGCTCACGCAAGTATATGAATGAAACTCAGCACATATGCCATCTAATATATAACTTAACAAGCAACCTAAAAACAGATAATATATGTAATGATTTGTTGATGAGATCACTACCCCTTTTTTATCTTTTTTGGAGAACTGCTACCATTACAGCTGATTGTCCCTAATGCTCCCAAACAAATTCGACTGATAGACTCAAACATTACTCCCAAACATTAAAATGTGTAGATTAGTTTATGTATTGCACCTGGGACTGCAATCAGCAACTCATAAGGAATAAACTTTTAAGTAGGAATAAATAGAAGTTAATGGCCACTTGAACTGGCTGCTAAATTATTTGAGCTCGGGAAGGAGTAGGAGATTGACTATTTTGCATAATAGACAACCCCCAGCCAAATCTATCATAAAAGCTTGCTTTCATCCCTAATCATTGTTATTTATAAGAAACATCTAATTTAACTTTCAGACACAAACCAAATCATAATCAAATGAATGGTGAGTTTACTGGGAATTCAACAATAATATTAAAGAGAATGTGCTTTTTCAGCAACCCAATGCCTATAAAACAAATCGAGCTTAGTCTAGAACACATACCCTTACAATCAGGAAAATAGCACTTAAAAGTTGAACAAAGCTTTCAGATGACAGGCTCCTCAACTTGCTTGCAAGTGATGCACCAATACCTAAAAAACCATGTTTTAATGATCAAAGAAGAAAAATTATCTGTAAAGAACAAGGCACAGAACGTAAACACCAAAATTAAGCATTATACCATCAACCCTTTTTTCTCTCATATTATGTAAACTTCTCAGTCATGAGCATAAAAGACAAACAATATTATGAATTTCTCACCATCTGCATCTACTATTCGCTCTCCAGGTGTAAAGTCTGACTCCATGGGTCGGGAAACAAGAACAGGAAGCAGCTCTGCAACTGCATTTTTAATAGCAGCCTTCATGTCAGCTGTAAGCTGGTCACGATATAACCTCAACACAGAAGGGAGCTTGGCCTGAAAGTAAAAGGACACCATCTAATGTTGTACTCACTGATCACAGAAAGAAAACAATTCCACCCCCAAATGTATAAAAAATATAGGCTGAAATAAAAAATTAGGTTCTACAGAACATAATGACTCACTGTTCTAAGCAATCCAATGATGACAGGAAGAAGACGATCTTGATAATTGGAGGTTTCTTCATCGTCCAACTTAATCTGCCAACATGACAATTGTAGCAATCAGTTCAGATATAGAATCCTGCACTAACTCCTGACATTCACAATAAAGGAAATCAACTTGGAAAAGCAGCCACATGGTATAACAAATGCAAACAACAAACAACAAATTTTGGACAAGGGACTCTACGTGCATAACAATAGTTAATTTCATAAATGATCCTACAAAGAGTTTATAGCTGAAGGAAATGGTCTGCATTAAATCAAATCCTTTCTTGGAGGGTTCAGCAAAACTAGCAAGATGGCTTAGCCCAGGGCACTGGTTTTTGACCCATCTTCACAAACTGTTGTTGTAAATTCAAATTTATGAGCTTACTATTAAATTAGATAAAGTGCCACATAAAATTTGCAAAGAAATTTTTATAGTGCTTCCAATAATGAATTTAACTGTAAGCAATTCAAGCTGGTCTGGAAAATAATAATAATAATAATAATACAAAGACCTTAGTGATAAGCTTTTTTTTTCAATCAGTGCAAAGCAGCCTCTCTCGGGAGAGTATATACTTTTAATAAATAAAAGAAAGTATTATGTGATTCAAGACAAAGACTTGAGTTTTGGGTATCATACTAAAACCAAAGAAGAAAAAACACCTTTCAAAGGCACTAAATAAGCATATGCAATTGAGCTTACTTCACCATCTTCTCCATTCATGAGAATTGATGCCCTTGCCTGCGCTCTGGATATAATTATAACATCTGTATCTCCAGCATCGTGTATTGAAGCACGCATAAACTCTGCAGAAAGAATGCTACAAGAATAAACTTAATAAGTTACTATAAACATGCCTTGTATCATCTTATTTCCATCTGAAAGACAGAAAATGTTTATTTAGGTAGAATTCAAGCAATATTCTGGTCAATATAACTCAGTCAAACTGAATTCAGCAAAGCACATCTATTCCAAAATATCAAATTGCAACACAATTACTGTTTACTTTTCCTTAAGGGAACAACCATCTTGTTAGGGTTCAGATTATCAGAAGAAAGAAATTAAAACCTGCCAACCTCAGTCCCAAGTGTATAGATCCACACATAATTAGGGAGATTATACCTATTTATGTATTCAATTGAAGCTGCTAACCAATGTCATCATAACGTGTCACTCATTTCTTTAAAAGCAATGCAAATAGTGTTACTCATTTCTTTAATAACTAGTGTCATCACAATGGGAGATTATACCTGTTTATGGATTCAATTGAAGCTGCTACGCGATCCCTGAGGTGATGAAAGCAATGTAGACCAGTAAGCTCATCCCCATCCTATTGAACACATAGAACATCAGTAAGGTACATAGAAATTGTAGTCCAATATACTGCATTCCTCTGTTTAAACACACTAGTTAGTGGAATCAGATAAAACAAAAAGTAAATACAAATATACCAGCAAATGCTGCAAATCATCTGTGACATCCAAAGCTCCAGCACAATCTGCAGAGGCAACAAGCTGTATGACAGAAAAAGTAGATCAACTTATATCAAGAAACTTGCTACTTATGGTAATAACCATATAAATTTTTATCAAACTCCTCAGCCGATGAGTCATGAGCATTTCGAATAGAAAAGGAAGAAATGCACAACAATCATGTGAAATAGTTATACACACAGCTAGAGTGTATTTTGCATAATCCTATTCGGGGTTTGAATTTATGTATTCTACTAGACATTTCATCAACAGGTTAAGGGTTAATATTACAACAGAAGATCTTATATGGAGTATAATTTTTAGCATCACATGAACCATTTTAAACAGATAATCTTAGTAGATTTGTTTGAAATATCCCCGATCACATATCAGTGCTTTCAATTGGCTGATACTAGTATTTGCCAGAAATGTAAGGCGTCGCTAAGTTTTATACTATGAACCATCTTGAAATAAAGCGAATCTACTCAGGAGAAAGTTAAAAATCAAAACGTAACCAACTGGCAATTTTGAATGAAGTGATTCTAGACCATACAGCTACCGATTAGCAAAGCATGGACAATTCAATCCACTACTAAACCGAAGTGAACTAAAAAAATGAATGGAAGATTTTAAAGCGCAATGGAATACCAACCAGTTTAAGCGCGGAAAGAGCTTGGTTGACATAAAGAATGAGCCTCAATTTCTGTTGAAGAGCCAACAAATTACTCCTGGTTTCATTCAAATCATGAATCTGCCTGGCGCACTCGACCAAATCGACATCCAAGAGCAGAATGGTCTCCTTGAGCTCGCGAATCCGACTACATCCTTCGACGATCTTCACATTCAAGTCCTGCAACTGCCCCTGAGCCTCGAAGAAGGAGTTGGAACGCAGCGAGATCTCTTTCACCAAGTGAAGCTCCACGACGTCCAAGTAATGCGAGAGCTTCTCCTGGAGCACCAGATTCTCGGAGACGTTCGTGAACGGGCAGGCCGATCGAAATGTGGCACCGTCTTCTAGGGCAAAGTCTTCTTTGAAATAGAGAGCGGGGACTTCTCGGAGGCAGGCGACGAGGGCTTCGCCTTGGCCGCCGATGGAGTCGATGTCCGAGTTCTCCTTCTTGACGTGGTTGATGATGTCCTCGAAGCGGTTGTAGTGATCGGAAATGGAGGCGAGGTAAGGCTGGAAGTCGGATCGGGTCACGGAGTCGGATGCGGATTTGGGTATGAGGGGCGCGAATTCGGGTGGGGCGACGGAGGCGGAGGAGGACCACCAGCCGACCCAAGAGGAGGAGTCGGAGGCATTGGGGTTGTTGAGGATGGAGGCGAGGCTCTGGCTGGTATTCGGGTCGGATATGGAATTGGATCGGCTGTGGGACCTTCCGGGTCGGGAAGGCTGGGCGTCCATGACTACCATTTTCTTATTAGAACCATGGCTGTTGCTGTTGCTGCTGTTGTTGCTTGAGTGGCTCTGGTTCATGTATATTATTATTATGTGATTAAATAAAAAGGAGAGCGAGTTTCAGTTGGCTGAGTTGACTCGGATCGAGTTGGATAAACCCTACGGACGGTGTAGGAGGAGCAAGAGGAATGTATGTGATGTGAGGGTGGATCTGGGAATTGGAAATGACCATATCATATTCATATGGGATCTGGGAAAGAAAGAAAGAAGAAAAGAAAGTGGAGAGAAAATAATAATTAATTAATTAAATTTAATAAATCACAGAGACAGGTCGAGAGGTGCTGTTCGTGATGATGGCCGAACCGAAATACACAGAGAGAACCGGGCTGACCCGGATAGAGAGCGAAGTCTGGATTCAATTTTGGAGCCCAAAGAAGTTTATGGGCGAAAGACCTAAGGTCAAGCCCAACTAGTTTTGGGCGAAAGACCTAAGCCAGCCCGTAAAGATTTTGAAATCAATTCCAAAACCCAACTGGAGAGTTCCGGATTAATTTTTTTTCGGTGGGAAAAGAATTTTGAGTTTTTTCAGATTATGTAATTAGGAAGAAGTCCCAATTCAAATTCCCTCATCTCCCATTGATTAAAAAAGATTGACAAAAATGATGATAGGATTAGGAAAAGGAAAACCCACAATAAAGTAAGGTGAAGGAGGTAAATCAAGAAACTGCCCACAAGAGTACATAGGCAACAAACAGCTTGACTGCTCAGACACCTCTTCCATATCAAAAGGCTACAACTGCAATGAAGGCCCTCTAAACTCATGCAGATCTTCCTATGTCACCTCCAGATCCCAGCCACCCTACGAGGACCCCATTAGCGTCGCCCGTCTCCTCGGTGCTGAAGCTCCCAGCGTAGCCTCATGTAACAACATCTCATCCTGATGATGATCATGGTAAAATTCCCCCTAACAAGTCCATTATCGTTCCGGTCCCCCCATGTTCATGCTCTGGGACGTCTATTTATCAGCATGTAGCGCCTTACACTGTTTTCAACAGTTCCAAAAAATACTTCCATGTAGCCAATGATACATACCAAGGCCTGAATACTTGCCAGGCCTTGAGAGACCAAAACCATTATTCTGAAAATGGAAAGCCGGAGCAGAGCTGAAAGTTGCGTTGAGATGTGCATGTCCTAGTGCAAAGCAAATGGAAAATGGGGTGATCTCCCTGCTGACTTACATGGTGACCTGGAATGACACAGTAACACTGATTGGAGAAAAGTTTGGGGTAGATGTGCACAGCGTACTAGATGCAAATATGTTGTCATGGAGCAGCACCATCTACCCATTTACTCCTATTTTGGTTCCACTAAAACATGAAATTTGCACTGCAAATCCAGCTGGGACTAAATCATTATGCCCGTGAACGACCGTCACCATAGTGGATGGGCAGTCAGGGGATTTCGGTTGCATATGTGGTAGTAAACGGTTCAAAGGCAGTCAGGTTATCTTAGGTATGGCTTGGACAACTCTTCACCAGGTTATCTTTTCATTTAAATGAAAAACCTGCATTGTTTGCTTCATAACCATGTGGAATTATTTCATTTCGATTTGGAACAACAACTAATTTGGTGCACATATTGCTTTATCTGTAAATTAACTTTAGGTGTTTGCCTTGGGACTGTATTCTTATGCTTGTTTCCTTTGGGTTACAAGTTACATCAATCCCTGAAGAGAAGAAGATGCAAAATTCGCAAAGAAAAGTTCTTCAAGCAAAATGGTGGCTACTTGTTGCAACAAAAATTCCATGCTAACAACACTACAGTACTGGCAAAGATCATTACTGCAGAAGAGCTGCCGGAAGCGACAGATAATTTCAACGAGAGCCGGTTTCTTGGTCAGGGAGGCTATGGCACAGTTTACAAAGGAATGTTACTTGATGGCAGCACAGTTGCTGTTAAGAGGTCAAAAGTAATCAATCAAAATAGAATTGAGCAATTCATAAATGAAGTTTACATCTTATCCCAAATAAATCACCGAAACATAGTGAAATTGCTGGTTTTTTGCTTGGAGACTGAGGTTCCATTACTAGTGTATAAGTTCGTCTCCAATGGAACTCTCTCTCATCATCTTCATGCTAAAGACCAGCTTAAACCAGCCCTCTCATGGGATACTCGTCTACGAATTGCATGTGAAGTTGCTGGTGCAGTAGCACATATGCACTCAGCAAGCATCAAGCTCCATTCTTCATCGTGACATCAAATCGTCTAACGTACTCTTGGATGACAAGTTTAGTGCAAAAGTATCTGATTTTGGGACTTCAATATCCATTCCTTATGACCAAACTCACTTAACCTTGACAGTGCAGGGTACTTTTGGGTACATTGATCCAGAGTACTTCCAGTCAAATAGGTTCACAGAGAAATAGTGACGTCTATTTTACCACAAAAAAAAATAGTGACGTCTATAGCTTTGGTGTTATGCTTGTAGAGCTTCTGACAAGCAAGCAGCCAATTTCTTTTACTAGAGAAGAGATGATGGGAGAAATCTTATCATGCACTTCGTTTCTTTGGCGAAGGAGAATCAAGTTCATCAGATTTTGGATCCTCGATTGGCTGGAGAAGCAGAGCCAAAGGATATTGATGCCATTGCAAGGCTTGCAACCAGATGCTTAAGATCAAATGGAAAAAAGAGTCCAACAATGAGAGAGGTGTCAATGGAGCTAGACGGATTGAGAAAGACTGAAAGATGCTTAGAGATGCACCAAACGCCTCAACCATTAATGATGTAACCGTACAAGAATCTTTTGAGGATAGCATTGTCTCCACCTATGAACTGGGTTTTACTTCAACCTTGGAATCAGCGCGATTTGGAAGAGTATCCATGTAAAGAGGGTTCGGCGTAATCTTTAATGGTCATATATCATTTTTCTTTATTTTTGTGTCATGTTTCGGCGTAATCTGAAATTTGTTTAGTTAAACTTGCTAGATGTTAAGTCCAAAACAGACAAAAAGAAAACTTGCCAGATTGTGGAAATTTTTTGTAATTTATATGGGACTTTCCTTATTAGTTGGTGCTATTTTTGTTGATGTATCATGTTGATTTGCAGGGAGATAAAAGAACAATAAGGTAGTCTGGAGATTCTCTGATCTTGTATGTCTGCACGAATTCCGGTTCGAAGCAAGCATGATGTTGTAGCTGGGGAATTTGGGAAGGAATGTTTATAGCCGCGCGGCTGTACTCTATAAGTAGAAAAATTTTACAGTCGGGCCGCGCGGCTATACTCTATAAATAGAAATGATAAAGGTATAGCCGACCGGCTATACGCTTTAAATACAATATTTTAATAACAACATAGCCGCACGGCTCTACGCTATACATAGAAATTTTACAAGTACAGCCTCGGGCTATAATATTTAAAAAGTATCGCCGAGCGGCTATACTCGTTAAATTAGTTTCTTAACTTTTTTTTGGGCCAACTTCTTTAATTTAATATATGTAATTAAGTAATATCTTAGTTTTTTTTAATTACTTTAATTACTAATTATATTTTAATTATTGTTTCTTTGGTGAAAAATAGAATATTTTAAATTGAAATTTCAGAACAAGGGTACATCTTCTGCAATGTAAAATTAAGTACAGTTACATTACAAAGAAGGATTCTTACTCAAGCCCATCATCATGTGACAGAGTTGGGAAAAGAGTTGCATTGTACAAAACCAGAAACTACAATGCTAGAAAAGACAGACAGAGAGACAAGATTAAAATGATTGTTGGAAAAAATAAAACTATGCCACACTAATAATGCAACCTTATCATCTTGTACTTTTTAAATGAGCTTCGATTTCTTCGAATGTATAATAAAATCTTCATATTTCAAAATGAGCATTTCTGTGATTTTAGGGGTGACTGCATGTTATCTTAGTTTTCCTAAGTGCATATACCGTTTTCTTTTTGAAGTGATTCGTGAAGGTTCTGTAAATATATATACTATTTCAGAACAAGGAAACTGGATACTTCAGCAATGTAAAAATAATTACAAAATATTCATGTTCTTCTTAGCTAATGGTAAATCAAAGAAAACACATCAGAAACAAGACTGCTTTACTCAGGCCTATCATTTTGTTCCTGCTCAAAAACAAAAAGCGAAGGAGGGGTTCAGAAAATTGTGCCGTTTAGCAATTAAGTTAGTTGCATGTTTTGGAAAATTGAATGCTTTATTGTTTAAGTGTTGTTAATTCTAAACGGCTGTACCTTTTACAGGATTATATAGACACCGTGGAAGGGGCAACTATATTTGACAGGCAAGCTACTGCCCATATATGTGATGCTGGGGAAGAGTCGGTGGGATTGCAAAAGAAGCTTGCAGCCCAAGATTCTGGGGAATAAACAAAAGGTGCTAATACAGTTTAAATATTTTCGAAATAAAATAAAATAATAAAATAAATATTCAAATATTTAACGGTATCGCCGGGCGGCTATACGCACCGAATGCATTTGAATATGTTAATAGTACAGCCGCGGGGTTATACGCTTTCAATATATTCGAATATTTTAATTGTATAGCCGAAGGGTATACTCTTTAAATATATTCGAATATTTAATAGTATAGCCGAGCGGCTATACGGTTTGAATGGATTCAAATATTCGATAGTATAGCCCCGCGGCTATACGTCCTGAATATATTCTAATATTTTAATTGTATAGCCGTGCGGCTATACGCTTTAAATATATTCGAAATCTTTCAATATATATGAAGTGTTAGAGAGAGAGGGAGAGAGAGCTCAGAGCTCAATTTAAGTTGTTGATTCTTAGAAGCTTCAATCTATGGCTTCAGTGTATTTTATTTGATGAGATTTTTGTTTTGTTTGTAAGAGTAAAAGAAAAAGAAACAAATCCAACCATCGGGAGACTAGATTTGTTACTAAAATTTGTAGAAACTTGAAAGATATAATTGGTATGAGTTTGAAAATTGGATCCCATTCATTCATGCATTAGAAATAATTACAGAACAAGGAAACTGGATACTTCTGCAATGTAAAAATAATTACAACAAGGAAACATCATTTTCTTCTTAGCTAATGGTAAATCAAAGAAAATTTATCAGAACAAGACTGCTGTGCTGGACATCCCCAAAAAGAATGATAAGACAAGTCTGTTCCTGCTCAAAGTTTTCCAGAAAATTGTGCAGTTTAGCAATTAAGTTTGCTACATGTTTTGGAAAATTGAAAACATTGCAATCTGCTATATATCTTGATATAATACATGATCTTAAGTAGAAATTAAGTATGCAACTATACGCAGGACCACAATCATCTCCAGTGTACATGCATCTGCTTTGGTGGGAAATTTCTTTCTTTGTAAAATTTATAGGAAAATGTTCATGACTCCTGAAAGATATAGTTGTTATAAGTTTAAAACGTGGATCTCAGTCATGCATTAGATACAAATATCTTATCTGTCACACGTCAATTAAGTATGCAACTATTCAGGACTACGATCATCTTCAGTGTATTTGCTTTGGTGGGATTTTTTTCTTCTTCTAAAATTATTATAAAAATTACAGAATTATTTCCATATATGACACCGGAAGATATATGTAGTTGGTTTAAGTTTAAAAGTTGGATCTCATTCATGCATTAGATACAAAAGGTAAAGGAAGTGTGATTCTCATTATTGAATAAACTGTTACAAAGGCCTTTATACACAGCAACTATGCTGAGCTGTCATAACTAATTACAGATGAGAATATATTAGTAAACAGAAAATATAACTAATCTAACAGATTAATAACTAGTTACTGCCTTTAGCCTCCCTCAAGCTGAAAGGGGGAGAGCACACTGTAAGCTTGTCACGAAGAAAGACATGTCTGGCAGTAGATAAAGGTTTCGTGAAATGTCTGCAAGCTGATTTGCAGAGGAAACAAACTGAATTTGTGAAAGCACGTAAACTAAGAGAACCCTTGGTAAACCAAACACCCATATCAAGAGTGCCCTTGAGATAACGAAGAATTCATTTGACAGCACCCAAATGATTAGAGCGAGGCTGATGTAAATGTTGGCAGACTAGATTAACTGCATAGGAGAGGTCTGGCCTTGTCCAAGTGAGATACTGAAGGGCTCCAACAGTAGAGCGATAAAAGGTAGCATCAGCAAGAATGTCACCAGAGTTATCCAACTTGTAAGAGCCAAGAGGAGTAGAACAGGGGCTGGCGCCAATAAAATCTGTTATCTTGAGGAGATCACAGGCATATTTGGTTTGAGAAAGAAAAATACCCTTGCCAGATCGATGAACTTCTAACCCAAGAAAGTAATGTAAAGTACAAGATCTTTAACAGGAAACTTGGCACTAAGAAGAGAAATAAGAGATCTGCAGGCAGTGTTGCAATTCCCAGTAACTAGGATATCATCGACATAGACCATATTGTGTATCTTTTTATCATCAACCAATGCTCCAGCATTAGCATTTGAAGATGAGCCTACTTTCTTGCCACTAGACTTATTCCCATATGCATCCCTTTGGGAAGGAACCTCATCAAGACTTGTCGGATTGGTATTTGTCTTGTGCCAGATACTTCAATGTGTTTCTTTTCCTTATGGGGCTTATCTAGGCATTGGAGATTATAGGACTGAAGGCATTTTCCACGGTGCTTCAGGTTACCCCCAACACAGCAGACAAAACATACATGGCATACCTGCAAGAAAAAGAGGCAGGCGAGACAGAATATAGCAATGACCTTAAAAATAAATTATAGGTCTAAGACAACTAAGAGAAGATCTTCATAGAAACCTAAATTAAGGAATCAAATCTAAATGTTCATCTCAACTAGATACGCTTTCAAGGGTCGGTTGAATAGGGCACATTCTGGTGGTATCTGGTAATCCCTTAAAAACCTTTTTCTTTTCAGTATTTTTTTCAAGAACAAAATTATTAGAGGAAAAATAGGGAAGGATGCATTATTAAATTATCTACATAAAGATGATTGACATTCAACATATCTCCCTATGAAACAAACTAAAAAAAGAGAACAGGTTCCAACTTTCTAAAATCTCACCGCAGAATTTATGTTGTAATGTTCTGATGAACGCTTATCAATCAAATGAACTTGCAAGTCTGGTTTGCGTAAAGAAGTATCATCGGCAGCAACAAAAAGTGAATTACGGCACTCATGTCCCTGTACAGGATCTGTTCTTGATAGCCGTTTTCGCTTATACGTTAGCAACACTTTTGCTTCCTGACATTTAAGCTTTCAAAAAGAAATCTTGCTGCAATTCCAAACACTTGGACCGCATTTTTCACATGAAATTTGTATTTGTTCCACTATGTTCAGTCTCATTTCAACACAGAAAAACCTGCATATGTTAAGGAAGAATATCCAATTAACTAAACAGCCAGTCATGACTCATATAGTTAATACAGTTATGAGTAGCAACACAATGATAGCTGAAGGGCAAGAGACGGATTTCGACTACTCTGAAATAGTGAATCACTATCACAAGGAATGCGGCAAACAAAAATTGTACTAACATTCTCCACCTAAAACACAGGCAGTGAGGTACAAGCATAAATGCCATTTGCATATTAAGGAATAAGCAAAGCAAGAGAAGCTAAACGCATGCCATTCACAGAAATGTTTAAACTTCAGAATCAATTTGAATTCAAGTAGCCTAACGCATGCCATTCACAGAACCTTGTTATTGGCAAGACCATAGAAACTCCTTGATAGGACAACTTCATCATTTCCTTCCACAGAAGACAGACACCAAGTCAGCAAATTTTGTATTTTTTTTTCTTCTGCGCCATGTCGTCAGTGCGAAGAGAGAAGAATATAAGGCACGAAACAGGGAGAGGAATGGAATTAGATGAATTAAGAGTCTCATGATCTCTTCTTCTATGGACCTGACTTGTGCTTCACTGCTTCGGCTTCCCAATCTCAAATTTGCAGCTAAATTTTTTCAATTTCGGGTTTCAGACTTTCAGTCCATCGCAGTGTTCGAAAAGTCGGCCTAGGCGGGCGGCTAGGCAGCTAGTCTAGCGCTAGGCTGCTAGGCGGTGGCTAGGCGGCTAGGCGGGCGCTAGGCGGCTAGGCCGTGGTTAGGCGGCTAGGCGGTCGCTAGGCGGCTAGGTAGTAGCTAGGCGGGTTGGGTCTTTTTTCGGTGCTGAACCCGGAGGACGAAGCAGTGACTGCGAGAGAAAGTTCCGTCCTCTGCGAGTGCAAGCTTCGTGTTCGTTCGAATATATTTCAAGAGTATAGCTGCTCGGCTGTACTTTTAAAATATTCGAATGTAATTAGAAAGTATAGCCGTGCGGCTGTACGTTTATAATTTCTATTTATGGAAACGTATCATACAAAAGAAGATGGAATATAAACGTATACCAATTTCTGAGCTGTTGTTGTTGTGTCCTTTTGAGAATGAACGAATACCATTGCATGCTAACCTTGCCTGAGTGAGTCAACAACCTAGCAGAAAAAATATCAATAAGTTAAATAATCATTCGAATGCATACAGTCTAGCCGCTTGGCTCTACTCTATGAATAGAAATTTTATAAACGTAGGGCCGCCTGGCTATACTCTATAAATACAATATTTTAACAGTATAGCCGCCCGGCTCTACTCTATGAATAGAAATTTTAGAGTACAGCAGCCCGGCGCTACCCTTTACATACAATATTTTCAAGGTATGGCCGGTCGGCTATACGCGTTAAAAGTATAAAATTAGTTTCTTTACTTTTTTTTTGTGGCCAACTTCTTTAATTTAATATATGTAATTAAGTAATATTTAGTATTTTTGTAGTTACTTTAATTAATAATTATATTTTAATTATTGTTTCTTTGGTTAAAAAATAGAATATTTTAACGTATAGCCGCACGGCTATACGCTTTAAATAAAATATTTACCTGTATAGCCGGTCGGCTCTACGCTATAAATATAAATTTTAAGGGTAGAGCCGAACGGCTATACTAGTTAAATACAATATTTTAACATTATAGCCGACCGGCTGTACTGTATGTTAAAAGTAGAGCCGAATTTTACAAGTATAGCCGCCCGGCCATATAGCCGCTCGGCTATACGCCTTGGATACCATAATTTCACTGTATAGCCGTATGGCGCTACGCTATAAATAGAAATTATGAACGTACAGGTTTACACGTTATTTGGAAATTCTCACGCTCGAAACCCCAACGCCGACGAGCCAAGACCATCGCTGACGAGCGCCGACGAAGCACGAATGAACCAGGAACGACGCCAACGACGGTACAAATTCTTATCCCTTCCCTTTTTTCTCTGTGATTATTGGATTCAATGTTTGACTCCAACTTGTTTTCTTTGTGTTTTGTTCAATGTGTGATTCAATGTCCATCATGCTCATCTACAAAACGCAGTAATTCCCAGTGTGCATTTACTTTTGAGTATTTAAGTAAGAATATGTTTCTTAATCCTTAAATTAAATATGGATTGTTGAAATCCACCCTCACCGCTTCAGTTGTTCATATATCTCCCAGTTAATAACTTTTGTTTGTGCCAGATCTCATAAAAAATCTTGAACAAGTGATTTTTTATTCCATCGTCTTAACTCTTAACTAACCAGTTTGGTAAGCAGATGTTGGGTTAGGTTAGGTCAGTATGCTAAAGCTGTTTATTTTACCCTTGCACCCGAATTCAAACATCCTTGCTGTACATTAGATTAGAGAGAATTAGAATATCAAACCAGTCTGATAAAGATTTCTAATATAAATTGGTGTATTCGACCATGTTGGGCTAGCCCATCAAAACAAAGCTATTGGTGAACTTGGGCTTGACTTTGCAGGCTGTTGACCAGTCAGCATGGCAGGTTGGGTTGGGTTGAGCGCAATAACTTCTGTAGAAATAAATAGTTTAAAGTGCTTTCGAGTGTTATAGAAACACCTTTTTGGGAAGCCTACCAAGTATGCTGACTTAGGTAAGCCTGGCCTTCCTTCCTCTTCTTTCTTTTTCATTTCTTAACATATAACTCAGTTTTCCCACCCAAAACAAACATGAACCTCCAATCATTATAATTGAACTCAATTTCATACATTTTTCATAATGGGTAGTTTGCAGTTTGCTTAGCTGGGTTCATATACTTCATCGAATGGTTGCTGTATTCTTTTGAAAAGCTATAAAAACAAATGCGGCAACTGTTTGATGAAATGCTTCACTGAGAAATCAAATGGTCGAACTTTTTCAAAGTTCTTATTTTGCTTGTTTATTTATTGTGTTTGGGTGCTTTACGATAGGTTTGAGATCTTGAGGCCGATATAGAACAATGGGAAGCGAAGAGGACCCGGTGAAGAAGACTCAGGTGGTGAATGCCCGGGCTCGAAACATTAGTCACAATGTTCGGTGCACTGAGTGTGGAAGCCAGTCCATTGAAGATTCACAAGCAGATATTGCCATCTTGCTTAGAAAGGTATTGCATTTATCATTATGTTGCATAAAGAAGATGGAGATATTTGCTATTCTTGTTTCATAAATGACTTTTGTTTTTTTTTAAGGACCTACTGTAACATAATGGTCATTTGCTACCCATCAATACCAATTTCAACTGATGCTATTTGCTTTTCTCTAATCACTCTGATTGCTTTCTAGTAGTGGTAATGCATATGTTATTTGTGCAGTTAATTCGTGATGAGATTCATGCTGGGAAGAGTGACAAAGAGATTTATAAGAAGCTTGAAGAGGATTTTGGGGAGACAGTACTTTATGCCCCAAAGTTTGATATGCAGACTGCAGCCTTGTGGCTATCACCGGTCAGTTGAAGAACCTTCAATAAAAGAAGTTAAACTTTTATATTTGTATTTTAAATCTTAATTTGTACATCTTACTGTTGCATTTGGGAAACAGCTTCTGGTTGCCGGTGCTGCTGCAGGAATTTGGGCTTATAAAAAGCACAGACAAAAGACTAATGTCCACATCATGGCGCTGAACCTTGTTAGAGGTGTTCCATTAACCCCAAACGAGAAGCAAACCATGTTAGACCTCCTCACACCGCCGCCTTCACGAGGAAATATTCCTTCCTCGTGGTGGAGGAGGTGGAGAGAACAATGATGTGCCTTCAGGCCTTCTTTTCAATCTTATGCTTTGAACTATAGGGTTGAAACTATGGAACTACGGCTGAATAGCAGTCTACGGAGATGTAAATCAACTTGTTAATTGGTCTATTTTATAAGTAAACTCATTCATGATAAAGAATTCAGACTTTTGTACAATTTCGTACTGTAGCAAGAGATCACGTTGATTGCTTTGTTTAATAAATGATGTCTTGTTATTTGACTCTTATCATTTAAAAATCTTATCCATGTTTTGGTTGGAATTTGCTAGCCTTGAGTTTTTTTGTCTGAATTGAAAACCTCCCAGTTGCTTCCACTTATTTGTCTAATCTCTCAACTATCAACTAATTGCAACTAAGACCCCTTGTTATTTTTATTTCTGCAGTTAAACCCCTATTACACTATGTTGTTCTAGCAAATATCACCCTTTCTATCCATGTCCTAGTAGGTCCTTCAACATACTTTTCTTGAACACATATCACTGATAAAATTCTCACAAATAAACTCTACGTCCAATAATCACGAAACTTTGCCGCATTCAAGAAGACACGTATATGCTTAACATACCAAGATCTTTAGGTGAGTCATTCAACACTCTTCATACATAATGCAGTCAGGAAAATTCCTATGCATCTGTTTCAACTTTATAAATTCACCAAAAATTCAATTCTCATATTTGCATGAAATCAGAGCCTACAGTGTGGCTAGTCACGGGGTGCCGAAGGCGACACAAGATGTGGCTAAGCACGGGGGTGCCGAAGGCAACACAAAGCTCGCATGTCGCAGAGCAATGTGGCTAGGCACGATGGTGCCAAAAGCGATACAAAGCTTGCGTGTCACAAGGCACGATGGTGCCGAAGGCGACACAAGATGTGGCTAGGCACAGGAGTGCCGAAGACAACACAAAGCTCGCGTGTCGCAGAGCGATATGACTAGGCACGATGGTGCTGAAGGCGACACAAAGCTTGCGTGTCGCAAGGCAATGTGGCTAAGCACGATGGTGCCGAAGGCGACACAAGATGTGGCTGGGCACGAAGGTGTCGAATGCGACACAATATGTGGCTAGGCACAGGGGTGCCGAAGGCAACACAAGACTTGCATGAGATGAAAATTGCCGATGGGCATGAAACTTTGGCAAGGTGCTGAAGGGAAGAAATGCAAGTGTGCTAAATGGTAAGTTACAAGGTGATTATTGAAAGGGTGCCGAAGGGCACTAAAAGAATGGAGAACGACAAAGGCTTCTTGTGTCGATTCCCACAGACGACGCCAAACTGTTGATGCTCTTTTTGAGAGGTCAACTTAGAGAGGAGGTGATAGTGAATGATGGGTGAATGTGAGGACCTTCAGCATGTGTATAAAGATTTGGGCAAGCGATAAATGTAAAGAAGACAAGATATACGTGGTTCACCCTTAATGAATGGGCTACGTCCACGGAGAAGTATGTTCTCATTCTAATAGTGTATAATTACATTTGTACATGGAATTGGACCCGAATATAAAGATGACAAGGGAGATGCCCAGGTCAGGGAGCTAGAAGAGAGTCCCCGGCCCTAGGGTCTAGCTTTGAGACCCGGATCCTCCTCTAAGTGGAGAGAAGAAGTCTCTCTTTCACATGGATACTATTCCCTCTTTATAGGGAGGTGAAAGTGGGAGGTTTGTGTAGATTTCCAATGTGGGACTTTGCGCAAGTTACTGTGGTGGTGACACGTGTCTTGTAGAGTAGGTTTGGCAATTTGGGAGCTTCGGCAGTCGGGAGCTTGTCTTCCTTCGGCATGGAAGAAGGCGTGTGTGCCTTTGGTGCTAGTCGCTTTGAGGCTAGATATGCTCGGTTGATTATGGTGTAAACATACTCCAATCCATTTACCTATTACTAATAATATATAGTAATCAGACTGTAAAACTTAGAAACCCATTGTGCTTTTCATATTCAAATTCTAATAAGAATCCAAGTCCTTTTCTTTCATATTCAAATTCTAATGAGATGAGCCTTTGTATTGTTTTTTGCATAAATGGATTTGCAGCTAGTCCGTTGGAGCCGCGATCCAGACATAACCCCAAGGCATCGCTTTCTCTAGGCACTTCCCTAATTGCTCTAATTGCTATGGTACCCCCTTCTCTTGCTTTTATTCGTATTTTTATTATTTGTTGTTAGGGAAAACAACATTTAGGCATTTAAAAACAAGTTTAACTGTACTTGTTTGTTGGTGTGATTAGCCCACTAAGTTGGGGTGATGGGTGAAAACAACCAAGTCTGAGAATAGAAATAAAAGGATTTCGACAACTTTATGAAATTTAGAATGAGGGTATTACCACCTTACAAGTGAAACTTACCACCTTACAAGTGAAACTAGTAAACTATTTCATCTTTATGTCTTTTTTTGGTTTTGTTTGGTGGTTTAATTTTCCGTCAGAACTTATCCCATATGTTTTTAAATCATTACTATTAATAGTGTAGTTATATAAAACAGCAAATAATTTATCAATATGAGCCGTTGCATTGTTTCGTGCAGAGACATATTTGCAAGAAGCTTGGCCGACGGTGGAATCTGCTTTAGCAGAGTATGGTATCATATGCAAATTGGATCTGGTATGTCATGATAAATGTTGAATTTGTAAATATTGATCTATGTGAAATCTACTCTTGATCGATCGGTGGTCAATTCAAATCATGTATGATTGGATGCAGCTACTAACTTCTTGTATTTTTAATACGAGGGACCCTTTGGGTGCTCTGGTCTGGTGTGTATCGCTGACTGGCTGTGATGCAGGAAATATATATAGAAATGCAAGCTCAGTTAGTTTCTTTTTTATTATGTGCAGGGGCAATATTCGGTGAGGCTGGGACGCCTCATGCATTACTTACATGTAGGTGCATAAAATATTCTTCTAAATCATGCTTTACATACTGGTCTGTGACTTGATTAGCTAGGTACATAGTTTAGTTCTTTCTGTTTGTCGTTTGTCTGATCTTTGAAAATAAATATAATTGAGATGCAGATGCTTGAAGGAGAGATCTTTTTTCGCTTTCCTGTTACAGGCTATTCCGAATATGATTATCAGAAAGAGATGATTGTTGTTATAGGTTCTCCGCTCAGATTACAAGCAATCAGGAAGATCATGGTAGATGCCATTGTTCATGACGTGGATCCTTCTCCCCGTGTGAATCCGATTTTAACGAGTTCTCAAGTGATGATGGATCTTAAGGATTTGCATTTATGAAGAATCTCGAGGATTTTGGAGTTATTTATTATTTTGATGCTTTCAATTCAAGTGACAAAGAATGTCAAGGACCTTTGAGTTATAGTCTCGTTTTAAATTAATGGAACAATTTTAGCATTGTGTTGCAAATATTAGCCAGCCTACAGTATAGTCAAAACTGTACAGCAAACAAGGATTAATCGTTTTATTAGTCCTTGAATTTTGACCCGATTTGTATTTGAGTATCTCAATTTCCAAAATGGTTCCCGAGGTCTTTTAACTTTAGTTTCGTTAGGACAAATGGTCATACCGTCAATTTTGTTAACTTTTTCTGTTAAATGTAGGGGCAAAAATGGTATTTTTATATTCAAACTGAAAAAATGAATAAAAAAACATATCTTTAAAATAACAATCAAATAAAAAACCAAAAAATATATATATCAAGTTTGGGGGAAGTAGAAATCGGGATAAAGGGGGAGAGAGATTTAATTTTAATTTTTTATTCATATTTTAATCAATTTTAATACAAAAATATCATTTTGCCCCTGTATTTAACAGAAAAGTTTTAATTCACATATGTTGTCTTTTGCATCACTCCACCATGAATATACATGGATGAACCGTCTCCAAAATTTTTACTTAAATACGTTAATTTATACTTGTAGGTGTAAATTACTATATTCCAAAATCCCAAACAATAAACGGCATAAACTTCTTGTGTAAGAATATATGGATGTAGAGAAGACTTGCTAGTTTTTGTAGTCTGCTATCCAGATTGTTCCATCATATTGTTATCAATATGTACAATTTCCATATGTGGATAGAGAATGATACAGAAAGCTACTAATATAGATGCAATTATTGACCAAACTGTCGAGTTTAAAACCTTCTCATACAAATTGAGCAGCTGTGGCTCACTTAGTTTGCATAACATATTCCAAATCATTGATCAAAAGTCCTTTACAGCATGATGGAGCAGTAATAACCTTATGCCCTTGATCATCCCTTATCAAATAAGATATGCAAATCCCTTTTGTTTAACACTACATGCTTCTATGACTAATGATCAAATACATGCGAGCATGATATTATGAAACAAACAAATAGCCTTATAAGCCAATTCTTGAACATGGAATTATTCTAGTTTTAATATATATTATGTTGCGACATTTTATTCTCTGTCATGCTTGGAGAAGATAATTGTCTTAAGCTTTGAATACGTACACATGTATTTTTTATGCTGTTGGAAAACTATCCGCACGCAAAGCATGATGATATTCAATTAACAATAACTTCAGTCATGGCTAAAGGCAAAGTACCAAATTAATAAGAGAAAAAGTCACGGCTTTGGATTGAAACATGACACAGGTCTTTGTAGTTTGCCCATTGTTTCAGAAAACTATAGTTAATTCAACGTAGCCATTAAAACTGAAATATAAAACTTGAAAGCATATCATGGTTTATAGTTCAGTCAAAAGCAGCGAAAATTTATGCAACTAACTCACATTCAATAAAAAACTATCATACCCCAAAATCAAATATGGAGACTTAGTCAAGAAGCAGCGGAAGAGAATTGATATACTACTTAGTTTAACTGGTGGGGGTGTAGCAAGATGAAAAACCACTCAAGTAACTTGGAGCACATAAACATGTGTTTCATTGTTAAAGGTGCACGTTTCAGAATTCAGACTGAGCAAGTAAAAGGTTGCCGTGCTCAAGACCAATTTGACCATGTGATAGTTAAATAAGATAAAGTCGTGAGTCTCTAGAATTCTCTTATGAGGTGGTAACTGAAGATTAAAATTAAAAAATAAAACAAACAAAAAACTGATTTGATAGGAGACAGACACATACCATCCCAAGAAAAAGACATGACAACGAAAACCAAGATTTCAAGCTGACAATTCTGACTAGCTCATTTTCCTTGATGCTATTGTTCATGCCAAACCATGCTTTGTTATATCTAATCTCCATTAGAAAAATATCCCAACTCAACCCTGGTTTGGCATCAAACTCCAACCCATACATATATGGAGCTATTTTCATTCTCCATCCTTTATGCATACTCGTGTTTGTCCCTATTTTTATCAACCAGCACGCACTCAGCAGGCATACATCAACGGCAGCACACTGTGGAACTGCTCTGGTAACCCTGCCACATCAAAAGGGTACCTCTGTGATGCTAGTGTGAAGTCATGTGAAGCCTTTGTCACCTTCCGATCGCGAGCACCTCATGACACCGCCATCAGCATAGCCTATCTGCTTGGCTCTGAAGCCTCTAAGATTGCCTCAATTAACAAAGTTTCAGCAAGTGACAAGATTCCAAGCAACAAGTTGATTGTAGTTCCAGTTTCTTGTTCATGTTCGGGCAATATCTTCCAGCACTACTCTCCTTACACCGTCATAAAAAACGATACATATTTCAAGACAGCCAATGACACCTACCAAGGCCTGACTACATGCCAGGCTATGATAGGTCAGAACTATTACGACCCTGAAAATATTCCGGTGGGAGCAGTGTTAACGGTTCCTGTGAGATGTGCTTGTCCGAGTGAAAACCAAGCTGCAGATGGGATTACCTCCCTGCTGACATACATAGTAGCCAAGAATGATACAATTGCATCAATTGGAGGGATGTTTGGGGTCAACACACAAAGTATAACGGTGGCAAATATGCTGTCACAGGACATCATTATCGACCTTAATACGCCTGTTCTTGTTCCACTCAAAAGCAAGAGATGCCCCACTTCTGATGGTTCCCTTGCAGACAGGATATACCTAGAATATGTCGATTGCATTCGTGGTGGCAAAAAGTTTCCGGTGAAATTGGTTACACTGCTAGGTGCATATCTCTATCTTCTATGTCTTCTTGTTAAATATAAGTTCAAGGGAAAAAGGCTTTAACGAAAACCATGTACAAGTACAATCTGGTAATTCAATTTTCAACTTGACATAAATAATCTAATTGGTATTCTTTCTTTACTCATTTACATAACAGGTATTGGCATAGGCCTTGCATTCATATGCATGTTCCTTTCAGGCTACAAGTTATATCAATGCCTAAAGAGAAGGAGAATCAAAACCCAACAGGAGAAATTTTTCAAGCAAAATGGGGGATTCTTGTTGCAAGAAAAAATATCATCTTTTGGGAGTAGCAGCAAAGCAAAACTTTTTACTGCAGAGGAGCTGGAAAGAGCAACAGATAACTACAACCAGAGCCGCTTTCTTGGGCAAGGAGGCTATGGCACAGTTTATAAAGGGATGCTACTTGATGGTACCATAGTAGCTGTTAAAAGGTCAAGAGCAATAGACAAACATCAGATTGAGCAATTCATCAATGAAGTTGTCATTCTAACTCAAATTAATCATCGAAACATAGTGAAGTTGTTGGGTTGTTGCTTGGAGACTGAGGTTCCAGTTCTAGTTTATGAATATATTCAGAACGGAACACTCTCCCATCATATCCAGCTGAAGCACATTGAAACACCATCACTTTCATGGGAACATCGCTTCAGGATCGCTTGTGAAGTTGCCGGAGCAGTATCATATATGCACTCTGCAGCTTCAATCCCCATCTTCCATAGAGACATCAAGTCTTCTAACATTCTTCTAGACCATAACTACAGTGCTAAAGTTTCTGACTTTGGGACTTCAAAATCAATTCCCCTTGACAAAACTCACTTAACCACAGAAGTACAGGGAACTTTTGGGTACATGGATCCAGAGTACTTCCAATCTAGTAAATTTACAGATAAAAGTGATACCTACAGCTTTGGAGTCACACTCGTAGAAATATTAACTGGGAAAACCCCGTTTTCTTTCGCTAAAGAGGACGGGGAAAATCTGGTTGCTTCTTTCATTTCATTGACGAGGGAAAACCAACTTGTTCAGATTTTGGATCCTCAAGTGGTTCGAGAAGCAGAGATGGAGCATGTTGGAGCAATTGCTGAGCTCGCAACAAGGTGTTTGAGGTTGAATGGGAAAAAGAGGCCTAGTATGAAAGAGGTATCAACAGAGTTGGAAGGATTGAGGAACACTCAAAGATGCCTAGAAAAGTTCCAAGAGCCTCAGTCATTCAAAGATGAAACAACATTCATGCACTCTACCAGTGAAACCATGGAAGATCATACAGAGGAAAGCATTGATTTCTCTACGGAAATTGAATCTGCATCATTTTAAATACCGGTTTTCTTCGATACCCCAAACTTTTAATTTGCTTCCCCAGTTTTGTCTTAGATCTCAGTTCATTATGGCATGTTTGGTTTGTATTCACAAAATCTCCAACCACGATAAGATTGGTTTTCAAAAAGGTATAAGTATTATTAAAATTAAATTGCTGTTATAAAATCCAGCCATCGGTAAACTGATACACAATATTCCAGCTTCTATTGCATTCCTATCTCCTAGTTAACTAATTAAGCCAACACAAAAAAAAAAAAAAAAAAAAAAAAAAAAAAAAAAAAACAACAACACCAAGAAAACTCATAAGAAAATTTTGAAATCGGAATCACACTTGGTAGTGATGTTGGAGGCTTGACCATCAATGTAATTGACCAACGGGACCTGCAAGTGACATGTAAACTCCGACCGCGATTGCTGAGAACCCAAAAACCAAGTAGTCGCAGGTGACAAGAAGTAGTCGTTTTGAAGATAGAGCTTGACAGCAATTTGGTAATGAGTTCCGGCAGTAAATGTAACATTGGAAAGATTCACCAAGCCATGTTGGTGCCCCTTGAACGAGAGTGTCAAAACAGTAGTATTTTTAACACCTTGGTAGAAGGAGCTCAAATTCACCGTACCGAATGCCTGGTTCTTGTAAGAAGCCGTGAGTTCAATATTATCGTAATAGGTGCGGTAATGTTTGTTAGGGTTTCGCAGGGAAATATTGAGAGCAAGATTATAGTGGAGGGTGGTGTTGTTGGTGACGCTGAACTCAGTGAGCAAGGCACGAGTTACAGCAGAGTTAGGGATAAGGGGATGATTGTATAAAGAAATAACGATACACAATGCATAGGCAGTAAAGGTAACAAGGGTGATGGTGGCCCATAGATTCATGGTTGATATGACAAAAAATATGATGAAGTATTAGGGCTAGGGTTAGTGCGTGCAATGTGAGATGGGTGTATCTTTGACGTGGTATATATATGCAGTTTGAGCACGAGGAGCCCTGCTTTCTTGTTTTTCAATCTTTTCCTAATCATGCACGGTGCACCCCCAAAAAGAAAGACAAAAACTTTCCCAAAAATCAGAGTAAATAGTTTCCCGATGTTGATACACCAAAAGATTGAGAGTAGCTGTTGGATCATCAGTGCTTTTAATCCAACGGCTATTGAATACTCACTTAACAAGCATTCCCGATTCTTGTTCATGTTCCAGGAAAGATTTATAATACAGAGGGCCTTTAAACTACAAGAAATTGTTCTTGTTCCAGGAAAGATTATAATACAGAGAGCCTTGAACTACAAGAAAACCAACAAAGTGGATCCGCCACAAAACAAAATATTTGTGGCCGGGTTTTAGCCCAGACAGTACGTATCTGAGAAAGATTCTCTTATAATAAGCATAGAACATTCAATGACAAGTTCCATACATTCCTTGCATTTACAAATTGCCTGACTAACAAACTCTGCACACCACCTTTCTATACTTCCCTTATAAACAAACAGAGTTTCACCCCCCAGCCAAGCTACCTTGAAGCTACACCCTAGCACTACGATCATCAGATATAGTCTCTTCAGAAGAAGCATCGCTGTCTATAACAATCAAGTCTTCTTGCTTACCCCCATGACGAGAATAATCCCTTCTCAGATTAGCCATCCTGAGTCCTCCAAGTCCTATTCCTGATGGGTAATTGGAAAGAGGACTAGTACTTAATGGCTGTAGGTTGTTTTCTCTGAAAACACCCATTGTAAACTGCGTTTCATTCCTAGGTACAAAATGTGATTCCTGACGATCAAAATCAGGATAGGTGACATTCAAAATGTCTGGATGAGCAATCAATGAAACAGTTGACGGTGGAGTTGGCTCTGTCAGGCTCACTGGGGAAGCAACAACAGCTTCTCTGAGCCAGTGGGGCAAGTTTCCCTTTGCTCCAACGCAAGTTGTGGGGCCATTAGTTGATAGTAAATTGCCCTTTGCCATACTCCTACTTCTACTTAAAATACTAAATTCATCCTCGTCATACTTCTCCCTTCGGAAACCAAAATGAGATGTCCTCTTTGTGTAACTAATAGGCCTCTGGAGGTGTTCATTGCCATTATTGCAAGTATAAGCCGGCTGGAATAGTGGCCTCCTCCAGGCATTACCTCCTCTACAAGCATCAACATTGCCAAATGAAAGTCCGGGTTCATCCGCTGTATTTTCTTTCCAGATTCCTGTTTTTGGACCCAAGAAGTAGTGGTAGTCCAAAGAACTGCCTTGTGCTATCGAGTACTTGAATTGAGGGACACATATGCCACTCAAAAGTTTTGACTGTTCCTCTTCCCACCGCTCAGCTAAGTCCCTTGCTACCCTTCTTGATGAGAAGTGCAATCTTGGATCCCTTAACATAGCATCCCAATTGTCCCTTCCATGTCTCCTCACACCTATCCATAGAAAATCCAACTCCTCTTCAGACCACATGGTACTATATGGCTTATATTTGTCATGAAAACTACTCCATTCATTGAAAGCTCTTGCTCGGCTTGCGATGCTATCATGCATAAGCTTGTGTCTCAATACTGATGATAAATGGCTCGAGGAAGATTGGAGTGCTGCATCTCGGATAAATTCTCTGGTTTCAATGACAGAGTTCAAGAAGGGAAATGCACTGAAGCAGGTATTGGTTGCACATCCTGCAGTTAAAGGGTTTTCTGGTAAGGATAGACCTAGTAACAGAGGAGATTCTTGTTCTGGTTGATTATTTTTGCCTCCCAACTGAATAATTTTTCTTTGTTCTGAAGCTATAGAAGACGCCACCACAGGCTGTGTTGTCACTGGGCGAAAAATGTCACTGGTTTTTTCTTCTGAAAATAGCTGGAATCAATTCCAAACATGAAAAGTAAAATAAAATTAGTTGACAGCAAAATCATCCCCAAAACTTCAAACAACAAGACTTACAACACTCACCTGAAGACATTGGTTTTTTGGTGTAATTTCCTTGGGAAATAGAGGACTAACTTTATCATCATCTTTGCAGCTGTCACCAACTTCTAAAAATTCAAATGCATCTTTGTGTAACCGTGAAGCATGAGTTTCTACTCTTTCAATTCTCGCAGCTGACATTTCTGGAGGAGACAGTTCATGCAATACAGTGGCATTATTTCTGCTAGTAGAATCCAAGGAGTCCCACATAGTTTTTGGCGCAGCCAGGTCAGGTTGCTTCTGAGAACTCAAGTTTAAGTCAACATTGCATTCCACAGTGCCACATGAATCTGCTAGTAAGAATTCTTTTAGATAAAGTATTGTAAGTTAAACACAACGTGAATTGATAATGTTACTGGTTCAAATGCATTCCTAGTAATTAATGAAGTCCTACCAGTGGGGATAACAGACAAGTCCAAATAAGGAAGTGATCTGCCAAAATGAGGGGTTTCTGTTGCTTTAAAATCATCACTTGATAAATCTTGAGCTTCAGAAGAGGAGTCTCTAGTATCACTACTTTTTCTTAAATGATCCGTGCAAAGAACTTCAACATCCATTGCACTTGGAGCATTCTGGCCAACTTTTCCAGCCTGTTGTAAGGCGTCACTGCCTGTTTTTTCCTCATCATGCAGTTGTTCTTCTTCATGCATCAAACTGTCCCGATGAATGAAGTAAGCAATTAAAATATAAGAAACCAATAAGTTATGAAGTTAATGTGAACCTACATTTTAGTTCCAGCGGCAGCAGATCCAGCATGAGCATATGTAAAATCAAAGATCTGTAGCAAAGAAATTAGATCGGTGATTACAAATTACATACAGAAATGAAGTATCAGGTTAAGAATGCACATAATAGTGGAGTCAGTCAACCACTCGAGGACAACTAAGCACTAACAATGATGCACCTTTTATTCTGACCTTGTTTTTATACATATGTATTATTATAGAATACATGTAAACGAGAATGTATTTTCCATGTCGCATCTTATTTTCTATTTCTCATTTCACATGATTGTGTTTGTGCTCAGAGGCAGATACATTATTTCCAAATTGACAAATGATAGGCTTCATATTACATACCTCTCTGGAGTGCTTCAAATCTGCTTCACGATCTACTGAGCAGTTTTCAGGGGAAGTTTCTTCATAAGAACTGGTATTAGTACAAACAGAATTATTCAATTTGGTTATCAATGAGCAGCTATTTTCCACAGGCAGTGATTTCCTTTGTATATTAGACTCATCCATATCCTTTTTTCTTTTATTCCTTCGGCAGAAAGTAACCAATGGGGTGGTCAACTTGTTTTGCGCAGCTGAATCACCACCTAATTTATCTAACTTATTTCTAGAGAATGAATCAGTGTCTTCTAAGTTTGATGTATTCAATCTTGGCGAGCTACCATCACATTCAGAGCTGCTTTTTCTTTCAAATGCTGCTGCGGCTGATGATGATTTTTGTCTGACAAAATCAGCAGTAATTACAGCGGAATTCATCACCAATTGAGAAACTAACCTCCCTCCAACATTATTATCATCAACCAATGCTCCAGCATTAGCATTTGAAGATGAGCCAACTTTCTTGCCACTAGACTTATTCCCATATGCATCCCTTTGGGTGGGAACCTCATCAAGACTTGTCGGAAAGGTTTTAATTGGTATTTGTCTTGTGCCAGATACTTCAATGTGTTTCTTTTCTTTATGGGGCTTATCTAGGCATTGGAGATGATACGACTGAAGGCATTTGCCACAGTGCTTCAGGTTACCCTCGACACAGCACACAAAACATACATGGCATACCTGCAAGAAAAATAGGCAGGTGAGACAGAATATAGCAATGACCTTAAAAATAAATTATAGGTCTAAGACAACTAAGAGAAGATCTTCGTAGAAACCTGAATTAAAGAACCAAATCTAAATGTTCATCTCAACTAATACGCTTTCAAGGGTCGGTTGAATAGGGCATATTTTGGTGGTATCTGGTAATCCCTTAAAACCTTTTTCTTTTCAGTATTTTTTCAAGAACGAAATTATTAGAGGAAAAATAGGGAAGGATGGATTATAAAATTATCTACAAAAGATGATAGACATACAACATATATCCCTATGAAACAAACTAAAAAAAGTGAACAGGTTCCAACTTTCTAAAATCTCACCGCAGAATTTCTGTTATAATGTTCTGGTGAATGCTTATCAATCAAATGAACTTGCAAGTCTGGTGGTTTGCTTAAAGAAGTATCATCGGGAGCAACAAAAAGTGAATTATGGCACTCATGTCCCTGTACAGGATCTGTTCTTGATTGCCCCTTTCGCTTATACGTTAGCAACACTTTGCTTCCTGACATTTAAGCTTTCAAAAAGAAATCTTGCTGCAATTCCAAACTCTAGGACCGCATTTTTCACATGAAATTTGTATTTATTCCACTATGTTCAGTCTCATTTCAACGCAGAATAACCTGCATATGTTAAGGAAGAATATCCAATTAACTAAACAGCAAGTCATGACTCATATAGTTAATACAGTTATGAGTAGCAACACAAAGATTGCTGAAGGGCAAAAGACGGATTTCGACTACTCTGAAATAGTGAATCACTATTACGAGGAATGCGGCAAACAAAAATTGTATTAACATTCTCCACCTAAAACACAGGCAGTGAGGTACAAGCATAAATGCCGTTTGCATATTAAAGAATAAGCATAGCAAGAGAAGCTAAACGCATGCCATTCACATAAATGTTTAAACTTCAGAATCAATTTGAATTCAAGCAGCCTAACGCATGCCATTCACAGAATAAGGAACAAACAGAACAAGAGAATCATTTTGCATTTTGCATTCATGGCCTTCTTATTAAGCTAAACAGTTACAGAGAACCTCAGGTTCTCAGCAATGCCTGAGTGATTATACAGATTTCTCACATGGGTTTACTAAGCAAGCATCATTCTCGTCCAAGTTTTGCTTTATTTTATCTTTTGGCGCACACACCCAAACCCTGCACTAAGCTAGACCCACCAAATTTTCTTTATTTTGTTTTGTGTTTCTTGTTTCCCAGCGCTAAAACACATGAATAATTGAATGTCTAAGGAAAAAATCACTTGAATTGAGAGCATCAGGTAAAAAAAGAATGGAGAAGGATCAAACCGGAACCGAAGGATGAGCTAAACGACGTCGGAGCACCCACCACAGCTGAGACCTCTCTGTGCGTAGAAAAATCAAATGTGAGTGCTTTACTAGCTGTTCCTCAGTAGAAAGACAGAGGAGAGAGGGGGAGAGAGAGCGTTTATCAGTGACTGTGAAATGACTGAGTGAGTCATCGAAACGTTTCACCTTTTTAGCGTGTTTTTTATTTTTCGGTTTCTAATATTCAAAACGCCTCTCTCTTTGAAATTGAATCTCCTATGCGGGGCGGGCACGCGGGTGAAATTAACACGTGTTGATACGCTCGCTTGTTCGCGCGTTTCAACGTGGCTAAAGCTTATACGTCCCGTCCTGCAGGCGGCCCCATCTTTGAACAGGCAAGGGAAATTCACGTGCCAAAGAGGATAAGCAGTACGAAACAAGAACAGACAGAAGACAGAATCAGCTTTTGCTGCACGCGCGCCCAAGAGGACACGCGACCTCGATATGACACGTCACTGACCGTTGGGCCCCATAGGAGTTAGTGTTACATTTATGTTCCACTGGCTTTTATCCGTGGGCTTTTCTTCTTCTTTTTTTGGGTCAAATTTTATCTGTGAGCTGGGCCTTGTTTGTGCTGTAATTATTTTGTACATAAAAAGAAGAAACCGTCAAGGAGAGCACAAAACTTACCACCACATGAAAATTCACGGAACATTGTGCGAGGCTGTGAACAGAAGGATTACAGGACCACTTATATATATCATACAAATTTTCAACTTTTGCCTCCACACGAAGTGCTGCACCTCAACAGCCTATATTTGATCATGTAAGCAGGGACTCAAATGCCTTAGTATGTAATGTAACATAAAACATGTATGGGAAAAAAAGAAGAAGAAAACGGCTTCATATTATGAATAGGTACATTTAGGAAAAGGAAAAAGAAGAATAAAAAGGATAAGGGAGGAGGAGGGAAAGGGGGATTAGATTCAGCGACGTATGGGCAATATGCCCCATTGGTGCAGAAACCCCTCCCCGGTGGTGACTTCTAGCACCAATAGAACAACCACCGCCAACATAGCTGCTCTTCCATTCCATGTCTCGGCACTTTTTGTCCAACCCCATTCCCAAACTGTCACAGGTGCTGGTAACTCCCTACGCTGTGAATCATAGGCCGCTAACAACTCTTCCACACTCCCAAGTGGTACTAAAGGCTGCGAGAAAATACCCAAACGTCATCCAAAGACAAGCATAAAGTATAGTAAGGACCTATCCAAGATGGGTTTTCAATACAAAAAAACAGCAGGGACAAATAAACAAAACATGTTACTCTTCGCGAGCTTCTCTCTGCCACCCACACACAAGGCACAACATTGTTCAGGAGGGAGTTTACCTGTCGAGCTTCAAGATTAGAGACTGCCATAGCTCCAACATATGGCAGGCTCTCAATCACTGCATCTGCCAAATCTGAAATGAAGGTGGCCTCACATCCTAGTGCAGGAACACGCCCCCAAATCTCTATACCAGATTTCATAGCCAATTCTTTGTACTCAACATCAATTTCTTCTAGAGTTTCAATATGCTCGCTGACAAAGCTGTGGATCAAGCATCAAACTTTAATCACAAAACTAAGTTCCACGATTCATACATATGATTGTCTGGTTTGCATCCGTACAGGGCGCAGCTAATATACAGCTATCAATGGTGGTTTTTTTTTGGGGGGGGGGAAGAGGAAAGGGGGAGAGAGAGAGAAAAAAAAACAGTGACAACAATTACCTTATAGGGACTGCCAGCAGCCTTTTAACTCCCTTTTGCCCAAGCTCAACTATTGTCTCATCGGTATAAGGCTTTAACCACTCCACAGGTCCAACTCTGCTCTGTAAGAACATTCACTAGCTATCAACCATGTCATGAATAATATATTATGTATGCAGAAGATAGACATAGAATACAATCAGAAAAATCTCACATGAAATAACAAGTATTCCACTATTTTGTAGATGATCTTTGAAAAACCTATCCCTATTCTTGAGAGCCCTATCAGAGTGAGTCAAAAACCAGACCTCCAGTGAAGTTAAGTTTCCTAGGAGTTATCATTATTTCCTATTCTGAAATAGTCTTTAGTTTTCTTTTTTGTGTAGGATTACTTTCTCATGCATTTCTTTAAGAACAAGATGATTTACCAATATTGTATTCTATTATCCACGTCAAAGTGAAATTTACCTATAGATAGTTCTAAATCAGGAGACATTTAAATCAGATCAAATTAAAAGCACAAGCGCACCTGATAGGCAAGGGTGTATGCATTAGTTATTTTTCTCTTTTCTAATTCTTCCATTATCAAATCTATGCATTCCTCCATCTCTGCCTTGTATGGATCGCCAGCCTCTTCCACATATGCAAGTGGCACCCCATGTGCGCTAAAGAATATCATTACCTAAAATGCACATTTCCATGAACCTGAATCTTAGCCATTTGCCACCTAAAACAAGTTTTAACAATGTGAAAAAAGAAGAAGTTAACAATACCTTCTCAGGGCTATCAAAACTTTGAAGCTCCTTTTCAATCAAATTTGCCATTGCTGTTATGTACCCTTCACGCTGGTACCAGGATGGTATTACTGTGTGCTGCATGTTGACTAGATATTCATCCTCCCTGATAAATCAACGAACTATATGGTCAAATTAAAGATTATACTGTAGGACAATGATAAGGAAACACATGGCTAGAGTTAGACATCACCTGAATATACTCTCCAAAAGCCGAAGGCTTGAACCGCTAGTCGATATTGAAAATTGTGGATAAAGTGGAAGGACAACAAGCTTTGTAATTCCATCTCTTTTTATCTACAAAATTGTTTTGAAACCAACAAGAAGATCCATGAACTTTGGTTCACAAAACTAGCTTGAGAATTGATAGAGCACAATCAAAAACCTAAATGCCAGATAACAAATTTGCAGGTTACCTGATGAATTGGATTTTCAACTAAAACTTGACAAAAGTGCAGAATAACTACTATAATCAGGTGGCATCGTATATAAAGAAAGAAGAACAAGTTTCGAGTAATTGGTGAACTAAAGTTGATGTAGAATGATTCAACATAAGCTATAGATTTGTTTACTTTTCAAAGTACAAATAATTCATTAGCTTCGATATCATTAACGGATATCTTGAAAATCAGAACTAAGGTTGACCATAAATACCTGTTCGATAGCTTCTTCAGTAAATGGATGCCAATAACGCATACCCACATACACTTTTGCCGGGACATCCTTCACCCAAAGAGCCTTCCTCAACTCTTCCGCCTGAAGGAAGAAAAAGGTACCTAATGAATTTCTGACTAGATAGCATTTCCATTAAGCTTAAAGCACTACTCTTTCTACAATCTGCATGCAATTTAAGAAAACTTAGTCAATGGATGTGAAGAGAAAATTAGATGTCATGCCTGTGCATCAGTTATTCGTCGAAGAGGAGAGCCACCGCCAATTGAGGCATAGCCTTCTTTGCTCTTTGGTGCCCTGAGAACAGATATAAATTGCGCCAACGGCTTTTGAAGAAAACGGAACAATCTTGGCAGTCTGATGATATCCTGCCCATTTTGTTACATACACTCAAAATCACCATTTCAAAACAGCAACTTTAATTGATATGCACAGTAAAGTTACAAAATTCAAATTAATGTCCTTTTGTTAAAATTCAGTAATTAAAACTAGAAAAAAATAATAATTCAGAGCTTTTGAGAAGTTACAGGGTCTGCGAAGAGGTTGAACAAGAAGGGTTGGACATCGTCAAGAGTCTCGGGGCCACCAAGGTTGAGCAACAAGACTCCGACTTTATCATCGCCAGTAAACGGCGTCGTAGGAACGTCCGGAGTTTCCGAAGCCACCAACGCTTTTAGCGGCCGCAAGCATTTCCGCAGCGAGTCCTTGGAGAAGAGCAACGAAGATTGTGTCGACGAGTATCTGGCAACCACGCAATTTCTAGAAGGTGCTGCAGAGCTGTGACTCTGAGAGACGCAGAGTCCTCCACGTGGCAGCAGCCTGTGGTCGGAGAGAATGGAGGAGGAGATGGTCCAGGGTAGCATTGCTATGGATTCAGCCGCCATTGCCCGAGCTCTGATGAGCCCTCCACTGAGACTGAGAGGTAAACGACAGCATACAGGAAGAGAAGAGAAGAGAAGAGGAGTAGAGAAGAGAAAAGATAGGTAGGTGTTTGGCTATGGGTGTTGA